AAAATTTACCATTGAACTGAAATCGAAGGGCAAATCTTGCAGCCAAATCGAAAGATTAGACAGCTAAAATAAAAGCCTCAATCAATGATTGGTGTGTAAAGGAGGGTAAAGTAGGTACCACATATTAAGTAATGTTGCAACTTTTACAACGAATCAATGTACTTACAATAAGATTTACCACTAATAACTTGTTATCAAACTTATTAGTCATGTTCTTCGGGTCACCAAGAGCTAAGAATTTGTAGTCATCTACTCTTAAATCTAATATAAGAATGAAGAAAAAACTAATTTAAAAATTCATATTATATTATTTTTACTTAAATAAAATAAGTTCCTGTGAAAACAAAACACGTTCTAAACTCTTGCACAGCCACCTCTGATTCCATGGAGGTCGACGCCCCTATAACCTTCAGTCCCTCCTCAAGGTCCTCTTTAGCTTTTCCAACTCCGGCATTGTGAATTCTTCCGATTTAATTTTTCATCTCTTGTGGATTGACAAAGACTGAAGATTTTGGGAAAACTTAAATTTGGGGCTCTTAGAATTCTTTGGATTCTACCATTGTTTTTCATTCTCTTTTTGGTATATTGTTGAGAAGTTGATATCGGTTGGTTGATGATTCAATGGTGTATTGGTATGTTCAAAGGTAGGTATCGGCTAGCTTCCTGGAGAACGTGTTTTGTTCAGTCGACACCACAAAAAGATAGAACCTATTTTGTTTTTATTTTTTACACAAAAATTGTTTTGTTTAATTGAAAATAATTTAAACAAAACTTATATGGATTTTAATTTTTTTTTTTCCAGCTTTAGATTAGATCTAATGGTAGGTGATCACAAATTCCTTGGACCTTGGTGACCAAGAGAACGAGACTGTCAACTTATATATCTTCATCATCATACATGTGAGTCGAACATAAGACATTCTCCAATCAAATTGAGACAAATATCACTAAACTAATGACTAGTCGATCTTTGTCAAAGTCTTTTATTCATTTTATGTTCGTGGTAAAAATATTTTTTTCTATTTTAGAGCACTTCCACTGCAACCTATTTACCCGGGCAAAAGGGGGCCCAAGGGCCAAAATCCAACTCAACAACACCAAGTTTAGCCCAGGCAAGGGGTGGGTCCCACAAGCCAAGCCAAGCCCACGGGCAAGAGAAGCTTGCCCTTGTGCTTGAGGGCTGCTGATGTCATGCCCTTGTTCATAGGGGTGGAAGTGCTCTTATCTTAGACCAATATTTGCTCTTATTAGATTTGAAGATATGGAAAGAAAAAAATCCCCCTATATGCAGTGGCGGAGCCAATGCATGCCCAATGAGGGCATGTGCCCCTCCTCAATATTGTTGTTTAGATATTTAGTTATAATAATATTATGAAATTCCTCTTAAATTCTTAAATTCCCCCTTTTTTCTTTATTTTCTCTTTTATTCTCAAGTGTAAATTTCTTTTGAGTTGCATATATTTTATTATTATGAATGAATGTTAGGTTATTTATACAAAAAGTAACAACAAAGAAAGTAAAAAGAGTTTGAATTTTCAATTGTGCCCCCTCTCACTTAAATTTCTGGCTCCGCTACTATCTATATGGAAAGGAATCACCTTGGATTTACCCTTCTATATATGTAATTCAACATTGCATAAGTCATAAGACTTTCTTTTTTTTTGACAAGCAACAGTCATACTCATAAGAAACAATTCCTTGGAGTTGGAGCCCTTAGAGTTTAACAAAAACATATATCTTTTTTATTCAATGTAGATTGAAAAAGCAAAAAATCAAACTTCGACGTGTAAGATAAGTCATATTCACTATAAGCCTCGACGATGCACTTATGATATTTTAATGACATCACCATAAAAAATTACCAAAAATGAAAAATTTATTTGCTTAAAGTCTCAAACTCTACGCACATTGGTGGAAAACTCTTCTTTTGTGCACAAGATGCCTCCTTTGATCCAAAATAACATATCATAACTTGATGAACAGATTAAGGGTGGCCTGTGGGGCAACATTTTCATAAGACTGGAGTGGGACCCAGGGAGGGTACTATGGTCTAAGTCGTTGGGATTTCTTGGCTTCATGCACCCCAAACCGAGGGCACAAGACTGAGCTCTGGACGAAGAGGTACACGTACTCTTAACCGATTTGACCATCCATTTAAATTTTGCTTGGATGGATTTACCTTCTTTTTCCCTTTGCCCCTTTTGCTGCCACCAACCAACCTCATTGCTTGGTAAATTCTCATGCGTGCTGCACAATGTTTGGTTTCTTTCTGCTGCATTTTCGTGGAGTTTTTCTCGTATACTTTTTACATAGGCAACTCAGAAGATTTTGAATTCTGGATCTCACTTGTTATTTTTGAATTGGAATTTCGAAATATAACGATCAATTCAATGCCTTTAAAACTAAAATGTCACGTTTTTTTCTTTTTCGAAAATAACTAGATATTTAATTCAAATTTGTGACCATATCATGAAAGTGTGGATCTCATCGTCATCTATGTTAGTCTTGCGTTCAAATTTTTAAATTATAAAAAATTATGGATAGAAGTCTTATGATTCTAGCTTATCTTAAACCTCAATTCAAATGAAATAGTAAATTTTGTCTAATCTCATGTGAGAAAATTATGCGAGAAACAAGAATGAACAAAGTTATAAAGATATGTATGGAAAGTTTTACTTAAACAAGCTCTCCTTTTTTCTTTGTTGCATTGCATTTGAAGCGATATGAACTTTAAACCTAACTCATTTTAACTCATTTCATACATATTGACTTTAAAAGTTCTGTGAGAAAGAAAAATCTAGTGTAAAGAGAGTTTTGATTATTGCCAAAGTAACTGCTAAATAGACAACTTGAGAATAAATTTCCCTCTCAGAGTTTGGTTGACTTTTGATCCTTAACTGAAAATTTTAGCAAAAATCATGACAAATTAGCCTCTCACATGATTTACTGAATTTTATTTTTCTTATTCGTACTATATGATAAAAGATTCTTAAGTCTCATGTACCTACTTGAACATCTTATCTGACACCATTTTTTAATCTAAAAAAAGGACAAACGAAATAATTAACAAGAACACCCAAATTTATTTTTCTTAAAATAGTCCATGTGCCAAGCTTATCCCGATTGATCTCAATGGAAACATTTAGATAGAATTTGTGATTAAACTCCAATTTCCATTGGAACATTATGCATATTAAGATTGAAGAGCTCAATTCATGTTGGATTGTAAACTAGAAATAAAAAGAATAAATTGAAAGTTGAATTGGTACAGACCTTTGGCATGCTCTCAAGTGGCCGTGTATTCAAGTCTCCATGATATCCGTGTGTATGAGTCTTCCCTGCTTCCTTTTCTTTGGTGAAAAAATAAAAGTTGAATTGTTAATTTGTTACCATAAGTAGGGAATAAACTACAAAGTGTTTTGCTACTAATTTGGCAAAGCCATCGAAATTTAATTACCCTAAACATTGTAATTGCATTATTCATATTTTAGCAAAATGACCAAAATACCCACGATGGAAAAATGTGCTCATATAGCTAGGAAAGTTGGACTTCAAAGTTGAACACCCTCTCTCGTCCAGTCTCACTCATCTTTCACTAAAATCTCTGCGAGCGAGAGAGGAGAGAGAGAGAGCTTTTTTTTTTTTTTTTTTTTCTCTCTCTCTCTCTCTCTCTCTCTAATGTTTATAAATTTGAGAACCAAACTGTTGCCTTTTTACTTTTACGAGGAACGCCCCCAAATTCCTCTGCATTCTCTCTTCTCTTCCAGCCAACCAAAAGAAGCAAGCAAGCCCACACTTCAGGGTTGGCTTGTCCGAGTTGTCTCTTACTTGCCCTCTTTACCTGAACGAAAACGAAAGCTCCATAAAGCAGAGAGAAGATTAAGGCACTGTTTTTCAAGTTTTTTCAACCTTCGTCAGTTACTCACCATCTCTTGTCCGATTCTTGTAAGTCCCCCTCACTCTTATTTATCCAGTAAAACCCAAACCAAAACCCAAATTTACTTTTTCTAAAAAAAAATTTGTTTTTGTTTCTTTGTAATTATTGTAGTTTGCCTGTTTTAATTACTGATTTGTGACTGAAACCCATTTCTAATCAAGCAATGCCACTTGATAGTACGTCCCAGAAATCACACTGCTCATGATTCTCTCTCTCTCTCTCTGTTTCATTGTCCCACTATTTTTGTGAAGCTCTGTTTTTTCTTCTTTTGTTCCCCATTTGTTTTTACTCTATTTACACCATTGATTTCTCTTTGATCACCAAGATCTTGTGGCTCCATGACCTATACTCAAAACCCAAATCCCAAATTTCTCAGATGAGTAAAGATTCTGGGTTTCAAAATTGGTTCTTGAAGACCAAATCTCACTTTTACATCCAAAAACAAAGCTCTGAACTTGGTCTTCTGCCTGAAAGAAACTCAAAAAAGTAAGCTTTTTTTTTAATACTTAATTAAGTTAGATTTGATCCCTGGCTAAAGATCTCAAAAAAAGGCCAAGCCTTTTGGTTTGTTGTTTAATCTTGCTCCTCCACTCTGTCGTTCCTCTCTGTAAAGAAATATTCCTCACACCAAAAAGGATGAACCTGGCCTATTCTCTCTCTCATATATTAAATATCCCAAGCCATTTTTCTTCTTTTATATTGTAAATTTTCTTTCTTTCTTTCTTTTAATTTTATTTTTCAATCGCTTCTTGCTTACGTTAATTCCTAAGCTGTCTCCGTTTCCCCTGCAACTGGGTCTTTTATATTGCCGTTGAATGCTACAGTTGACACTAATTTAACCTCTTTGATATTCCGTCTCGCCGGAAAAATCTGTAAATAAAGAATGGTTTTTTCAAAGCACCCATTTTGTTTTTCTTGACGACTTTCACTCCCCAAATCATGTTTTTCTCTGAAACTTAGAAAAAAGTATCGGTGGGTTATAGAATCGGATAACCTTAAAGTTTCCTACTTAACTCGCCTCCTCTCCGTTCAGATTTTCAGACGGTGATCGGACGGCGGAGCAATGCGGACCAACGGTGGCAAGATTTCCAAGGTACCCAATTCATCTTTTGCCATCGAATATTTCGTTTATCGTAATATATCGGCTGGGCCGCAACCGAAACTGAAACCCGAAATGTTTTGTCTCAGCCCTCGTGGCCGAAAGTAGTGGCGAGGAAATGGCTCAACATACCGAGTGGCGGGGACGAGTTTCATTCCGATTACTCGCTCAAAAGTAAGATTTCGTTTGTTTTTCGGGTTTTTTCTTGTTTCGGTGTTTCTCGTCTCGTTTCGGGTATCGGAACTGAAGTGGTGTGTTTGTTGTGAACAGTGTCAGACGAGACTGGCAGAAGGAGGAGCTGTTCGGACCAAGACCGCTACGTCGTCGTACCGGACGACTTTTCAGGTAACTTTACTGTGCAACGGCACAGTATTCGTACTTGGTACTGCTTTGGCTCTTTCCCCTCCATGTGGCACATGTCCTCGTATCCCTCTGAGCCATCGGATCCACGGCTCTGTTTTAATTGATTGGACTCGAACTAGGTTATGATGGACTCTCCTTGATTCAGTTGGGTCCCCTGGGGTTTGGTTCAGAGCTAATTCTTGATGTGCCACGTGGACGGTGGATGATGTCGGTTGATTAAGTTTGAGTTATTGTGTTGCAGTAACTTACACTTTTGACTAGGTGTCCTTGCTATATTCTTTCCGAAAGTTATTGAGCTTTTTCATTTTTGGGTTTTTAGTTGAGTTTTAATCTTATTTTATTTATTATTTTGAAGATGGTTGTACATTGATGGAGGAAACAACAAGTTTAGGGGTGGAGGTACCAGCTGTCACTGATAATCTCAACCTCAGGTATATTTTGATTTCGATTATCCACTTGAATGACTGCTAGTCGTTGACAGATAATCACATATTATACTGTGGCCGTAATTTTTCTTAAATGAGTTTGACTAATGCATGATTCAATTTTCCTTACTTTTCTCAAGAGTATATGACTAAGTCTTGGGTTTAGAAAAGATGATTCCTTCCACACAATTTTTTTGGGTTTTGACTATAACGAAGTCGTTTTGTCTTGGTTTGTATTGGATGGTTTTTCAGAATGTTCGTGGGGACTTGGAATGTTGGAGGGAAATCACCTCACGAGGACTTGAACTTGAGAGAATGGCTGGGGTCCCCAACTCCGGCAGATATCTATGTTCTTGGGTAACGGTCTTTCTTTGCATTTCTCTCTCTTTAGGCTTTTTGCATTGCGTCCTAAATTAGACCCCTTTCTTGTTTTTATCTGTGTCTTTGTAATAGTCTAAATGTTGAAGAGACTTTGCGCCAACGAGTAGTCGTCCAACCTTGACATCATATAATGAACACTTTTAAATCTAATATTCTTTTTATACTTGGGTTCTGTTTACCACGTTTGTTTTACATCGCAACTTTTAGTTATGTGGATAAGTATACGTGTGTGATGTCCTCTTGTCAGACAGTTTAACGGGTTATGTAGTTCTTATGAACTCATTAATGTGTTACGTTAACAGTCTAACAACATACATCAAATTATCTGATAAAAGGATGTACATTCTTATTAATTTGGATTTTTTGTGTGTTTTAATTAGGTTCCAGGAAATTGTCCCTCTGAACGCCGGAAACGTATTGGGCGCGGAGGACAAGAGTCCAGCTGCCAAGTGGCTTTCCCTGATTCGCGAGGCATTGAACAAGAATGACCCTGGACTTTCTCAATATTACAACAATGCCACCCATACGGAACATCCTTCACATTTTGACCGGCAGGCCATCATGAAGCCTAGGATCAGCTTCTCCGACTTGCTCTGTTTAGAAGATGAACTGAGCAATGCGGATTTCGAAAGACTGCTGAATTTGAATCCGGCGTCCACTTCAAGTGGAGAAAACTCACCGAGCTCGCCATTGATGTGTTCATGGCCAGGCAGCAGTCCGATGCAACAACGTCGTTACTGCCTAGCAGCAAGCAAGCAGATGGTTGGAATTTTCTTGTGCGTGTGGGTTCGTGCAGACCTTTGTAGGCACATTAGCAACATGAAGGTCTCGTGCGTTGGTAGAGGCATAATGGGATATCTTGGAAATAAGGTTAGCTGCTTGTAATGCCATAACACAAGTGCATGCAAGATGTAGCATATTACTAGATAAATAAAACTATTTCTACCATCTGACGTTATAGAACGTTAGATAATACAAACAGCAGAACTACGGGTACATATATGACGGCATTATAGCAAGGCTTGTAGCTCTAAGCATTATAATTTTTTGTTTGCAACAGGGTTCAATATCAATCAGCATGACATTGCATGGAACAACCTTTTGCTTTGTGTGTGCCCACTTAACCTCTGGTGAGAAAGAAGGGGATGAGATGAGAAGGAACTCAGATGTCATGGAAATATTGAAGAAAACAAGGTTTTCACATTCATATAGAACCTCACAACAACCACTTCCTCCTGATAGAATTTTGGATCATGAGTAAGTCATTCTTTTCCCATTTTGCTTGTTTTATTTATTTTGGAAAAAACCCCTTTGTTTAATGTTCACCATGGTTGTTTTAATCCTCCAATTAACACATTTTTGCCCTCTTAACTTTAATTAACAGCAAGGTTATTTGGCTAGGGGATTTAAATTATCGGCTAGCAGCTGCTTGCTCCGGTAACACACATGAGCTACTGAAGAAGCATGATTGGCAGGCACTTCTAGAGAGGGATCAGGTAAGATACTAATGTAAGTACTGTTTTTCCAAACATAGGTTTGGATTGGTTGACTACGAATCGAAAAGAATGTTTTGGTACTTTCAATCTCACGCTTGGATTTGGTTATATTTTGGCAGCTAAGGATAGAGCAACAAGCTGGTCGAGTATTTAAAGGGTGGGAGGAAGGGAGGATATGTTTTGCTCCAACCTATAAATACCTTGCTAATTCTGATCATTATGTTGTCCAAACTTCTAAATCTAGAGAGAAGAGACGCACTCCTGCCTGGTAAGATTCCAATTGGGTTGTTTTCCTATGAGGAATTTTATTTATGTACATTCATTGAGCATGTTGAAATGAGGAGTAAGTAGTGATCACCATCATTACACACACACACACGTGCAATTATATGTTTCATAATGTTTGGTTTTGAATTTTTAATCATATGCAGTATTTTTGTTTCTTCCTTTGCACATTTCCCACATCATATGCTTTTTAATATAGGCGAGATTGGCTTATTCAAGCGGGTTTCGTCTCTATCGGAGATGTGATCGATAATGTGATCAGTAAATGTGGTTCATATAAGTTCACGTCGTTGAAAATATTTCTAAGACTATGACTTTAGTTGGACCTAAACTTATTAAGCCCCCCCATATTCAATTAGTGTAAACATCCCCTCGGAACCGACAGGGGTCATTTCCTATGTTATCTTTTTCTAGTAACCGACTTTCCACATTGCTATCAAGCTGAGTTTATGCAAATAATCTTTAACTATTACTTGCTACATTAACAAGTAATGCAGGGGACCAATACTGTGAGAGCTGAGGGAAACCAAATAAATAAATAACATATCACTTCTTTGTATTTCCGCCACAGACCGCATGAAATCAATAGTCTAATCAGCCATCATTTATTTTGACATTAGTTGAAGCTGATGGCTTGTTGACAATTTAATATAGGAGAGTCGGCAGGTGAGACCAGAGACCTGTTTCCTTCATCTATATATAAAAAATGAACATGTGACAATGACGTGTACGGACCGGCCATGTCTTCAATATCATATTCAAAACAAGTTGCTTTTATTTTAGTCTTCTGTACTATTTTTTTAATTAGAAACTAACCCAAACCCAAACCTGAAAACTAAGTTTCGGCCTCATAACATGGGGCATTCTTCTAGTTTTTCACTCGCCCTATTAAGTATCATGACATGGTGGTTATGTGTGGATTTTACGTTTGTCGTGGTCGAAATTAGTAAATGTGGTATGAATAATTTCTACTGATCGAACTTTTGTTCGGAGAAAGTTAAATGAATAAATTTATTGAGACGCTAATGTGTTTTTTGGTGTATGTGACAGGTGTGATAGGATTTTATGGAAGGGGGAAGGGCTTAAACAAATGTGTTATGTGAGAGGGGAGTCAAAGTTTTCAGACCACAGACCAGTCTATTCATTGTTTTCAGTCCAATTAGACTTGGCTAACAAGAAAAAGCCCAACTCTGCTGTGACCACAACAGCAGCTTCCACAGCCAAAGCCAAGTCTTGCATGCTTAAGTCTTCAGCAACATGCGTGGCCAAAGTCCAAGCAGAAGAGCTTCTGCTGCTCACCAGAGCCAAAAGCTGCCTAGACACCACCTCAAGTTTCTGAGCTTGTACTGCCAAACACAGCCCACATTTTTTAAGACAAATAGCAGAACCAGCCAGTGTAAAAATCACAGCTTACCTGACAAAAGCAGAAGTTGTTTGCATCGCTATGATCTGGCTTTTTTTGACAGTTCGGGACTGCAAAATTTAAGCTCAAAGCATGCTTAGATTTTGATGATGAAATTGAGTTGGTGAGCTGGTGGAGCAGAGGAGTGAAGCACAAGCATAAGTATAGGATTGGGAAAAATTAGGCATGTAGAAAGAAATGGCTGCATCTCTGTGTATTAGATGCTTTTTTGAAGCCAGCTTTTGGTACAAGTTGATTATTTTGGGTACTGGTTAACAACAGTAAGTGGTGGTTCAGCTTTTAAGCAGAGGAATTTGACAGAGATTGATAGAGAGTTGAAATGTATATCAAAAGGAGGACAAGTCTTGATTGAAAGTTTCTGTAAGGGAACTGGGATGTGGGGCTCTAGTGTCCTTGCTGCCCATTTTGTTTGCGTTTACAGTATATTAATGAAATTCTTTCATATTTCCAACTAATTCTAGGGAAAATCTCTCTCTCTCTCTCAGTCAAATTATAGTGTATATTTATTAAAATTGTACTCCAAAAGTATAAAAGAGACAGTGTAGGGAGACATTAACATTGGATGGGGTAGTTCTTCAATTCTACTCCAATTTTATGGAGAAACTATTTTAAGTCACATCATGTTAGCATGTAAACTTGCAGTTCATTGCTGTAAATTGAAGTGAATTTGTAACATCATGCCGCCATGTCACGTGATATTACAATGCATTAACTTTAACTTTAAACGTAGGATGGAGATTACAACAAATTAACTCAACCTAAGTTTGTTAACAAGCCCACTATAGTATGGGCCTCAACCAACACCCTTTTCATAAGTTAGTGTATTTTTCCTTTTAAAAAAACAGAAGGTTTCTCCATGTAATGTTTGTTTTAGATGGCAAGTTCAAGTTATGGTCTTCTACGGAAATGCTGTAATGAGGAATCTTTTGGTGAGGGGGTTCAATGTAGGGGTCCATCACACTATCCAACAAGAGAGAGAGTGTTGGAGTTAAATTTCTTAAATGAATGAATGTCGGGATGAAACCCCACATTGAACTCTCTCACCAAAATCGCCCTCATTATAAAAGCTGCCGGATTTTGTAACCATTATATATTTTTATTTGAGAAGAAACACATTTGTTAGTTGAGGATTGCAAAGAGAGTTGGAATGGACCCAATTCGCAGTGAAAATTGTTTATGTAAAATATGTTTAAATAGAAAGGTTTAGGGTTATTTAATTCATGAAGCACCTATAATAGAGATGTTTCTATTTCATCAATAATAATCTATCATGGATATGTTTCCAATCCCAACAACAAACGCCACAAGTTTTAGATAACGATGAAAATGACATAAACAGAAGTCCCAACAAATCAAAAGCTCCAATGTCAATTTTAAGGTACATTAGTAATGCTGCTACTACTCACCAAAGTTGTTTTCTTTTTGCCTTTTTCCGCAAAAAATAATTAAATTTTAAAAACACGGGGGACCGCCATTTTCTTACAAATCCAATGAGATCGCGCCACGTGTTTCTGACTCACAACTCCGAGCTCCAAGTCCAACCTGTTTGCAAACAGTTCGAGTTCCAATGCCACGTGTACGGTCCCGATGCGATTCCCACGCATAGTGATTGTGCAGGGCACCCACCACCACATCATCTTATATCTTTTTTTTTCCCTCGAACCTCAAAATCCAAGTCCCTCACACTGTTAGATCTCGCCACGATCTCCGTCCGTACAATATCCGGCGTGTTTTCCGGTCACTTCGACGCCGGGAAGTTCATCGATCTCCTGTCCGCGGATCGACCGGTTATTAACCGCTTCTACTTCAGGTTCGCATTGAAAATATCACTGCTTTGATGATGCGTTACAGAGTAAAGGTTCTAGGGTTAAAGAGTCTCGCTCACCTTTTAGCTGTTAAAGTCTCTGTTTGGTTGCATTAGGGATTGCATGAGTGGTTTTCGATTCTGGGTTTTTGAAAAATGATAGTCTTGGTATATATCAGTTCGATTTTCACTTTGTTTTCCAACATTTTCTCGGTTACCAAACAGAGCATGACGATATTTGTGCTGTATGTATGATCATTGTTTATATTTCTTGTGGGTATATTTTTCTGATTTGTTTGTTTATTTCTGTTTGGCTGATAAGTGAAGTACAGAAGGGTGTGATCTTGAGCAGTTGTGTGTTTATAATTGGAATGCCAATGTGCATTGTTGGTGGAAAGAGATTCGTATCGAGGAGTGTAAATAGTTCTTTAACTGGATCCTTGGAAAGGAAGTGCAGCAGCCTCAGTGGAGAGGAGTTTGAAGTGAAGCAACAAAAATGGTATGTTTGATGTCTCTTTAGTGAAGTTTGGCTTTCAAAATTGGATCTTTGCATGTGGCTTTTGCAATGTGGTTTTGGTAATGTCATGGATGCATACTTTGTTATTGGAAATGTGCTTTAGGTAGTTTAGTTTTTCGTTGGTTTCATGATGTAGGATATGGATGAATTGAGCGTTTAGGTAATTTAGCGGAAGCGAAAACAATGGAAAGCATAAAATAGAAAGAACAAGGATAGGTCTGGAATCACACCAGGGGTTTGGCTTCACACCAAGAAGTCTCCAATCTCTGGAAAATAAACTTTTCCTTATATCTCAACAACTCAACTCCATAATGAATTACATAGAAGGGGTATATATAATAATCTAACCCTAGAGTGAAAAGGAAAATTAAACTTATTCGAGGAAAGAAATCCTAATCCAAATAAAATAGGAAACTTAGAAATCCTTTTGAAATCTGGAAAAACTAAAAATCCTACTAAAATCCGGAAAACTTAGAGAACAAGTTAGAAACTAATCGCAGGAATACAAAATTGCCAGATTTAAAGACCAAGTTAAATGATTTCCGCTTCCATCATTTTCGTTTCTATACCCTAATGGGTTTGACAAAGATGTCCTCATCATTTCTGTTTACTATATATGTCTGCTAAGGCTATTGAGTCAGTTTTTATTTATTACCAAACATAAAATGCGAAGTATTTGTAATGACTGGTTATTGCATATGGCTATGGTCTCAAGGGTACATTGGTATTAGTTTATTTATTTATTTATTATTATTTTATAATACTGAAAATAGAGCATTAAGTTTTGGTATGTCTGTATAATGTTTATACGTTATCCAAGTGGTGAAGACATCTTTCTGAGTAGTCATTTGTGATAGTCTTTTCAGAATCAGGGATTTTGGATGCCAAAGGGTACCGGCTGTTTAAATGAAGGTGAGGCGCTGTATGATAATTCTTCTAGGATTGAACCTAAGCGTTCTCATCAGTGGTTCATGGATGGCCCTGAGGTAGAGCTATTCCCCAACAAGAAACAGGCTGTTGAAGTTCCAAACAACAATCTATTTTCAGGAATGTTAAACGCAAATGTTTCTCCATGGGGGAATGTTCCCAGTTTTCACTCATTCTCTGGCCATTTCACTGAAAGGTTATTTGATTCTGAAACAGACCGAGCTGTGAATTTTGATGATAGAAACATTCCCGCAGCTGAAACTGAAAAGATGAACTTGGCTAGAAAAGTTAACGAGGATCTATTTGGGAATGATTCCTCATTTGGTTTATCTATGTCACATACACTGGAAGATCCTAGAACAAGTCCTAATTATGGTGGGTTTAGAAAAGTCAAAGTTAGTGAGGTAAAGGATTCTGAGAATGTCATGCCTGTTTCGATTGGACATGCTTATAATCAGGGGGATAATGGTGCCATGTTGGCAGCTCATGTTTACAAGGCCGATGACAACACAGCATCAATGGGTCTTGCTTATAAGAAAGGGGATGACAGCTTCATATCTATGAGTGATACCTATAACAGGGCAGATAACAATTTCATATCAATGGGACAACCCTTTAACAAAGGGGATGAAAACATATCAATTGGTCAAACATACAAGGAGAGTAATAACACCCTATCAATGGGTCAGACATTCAACAAGGGTGACAATAATATCATCTCTATTGGTCAAACCTACAATAAGGTAGAGGAAAGTACCATATCAGCTGGTCATATCTACAATAAAGGGGAAGACAGTACCATATCAATGGGTCATGCCTACAGCAAGGGTGACAGCAATATGTTATCAATTGGTCACTCTTATAACAACCGAGAAAGTACTATCATATCCTTTGGCGGATATGATGATGATGATGCACATACCTCTGCAATCTCTGGTTATGAACTTCTTATGGGTCAACCATTTCCAAAAACAGAAGCTATGAATGAGAAAGAGTTGGGCAAATCAAATGCTGATGCACTTGTCAATTTACCTCATATAACTGCTGGAAATGAAAATATTTCTAAAAAGAAAGTTGAACAAAAAATGTCTAAGAAGGTTCCTCCAAACAACTTCCCTTCAAATGTGCGAAGTTTGCTATCAACTGGTATGCTGGATGGAGTTCCTGTAAAGTATACTGCCTGGTCGCGGGAGGTAAATCCTAGTTTTCATGCATTCATATTTCAGATTAGCATATCTTCGGTGACACATCTATATCTATTCTTCATATGCATTTTAGAAGGAGCTGCAGGGTGTGATTAAAGGTTCTGGGTATCTATGTGGCTGTCAGTCATGCAACTTCTCCAAGGTGAGTTTGTTCAGTTTTTGCTTTTCAAATCAAGGGAAGTTTGATGCCCAATCTGATGACCCACCGGGCTTACCACTGCTTATTAGGTAATCAACGCATATGAATTTGAGCGTCATGCTGGTTGCAAAACAAAACACCCAAATAATCACATATATTTTGAGAATGGGAAGACTATCTATGGGATTGTACAAGAGCTCAGGAGCACACCCCAGAATATGTTGTTTGAAGTTATTCAGACTATTACTGGTTCACCTATCAATCAGAAATCCTTCCGCCTTTGGAAAGGTGATGCAAATGATCTCTTTATTTCTGTTGGTGCCTTTCCCCTAAACAATGTGACACTCCAAGTTTTCGACTTTTGTCTGATATAACTGCTCTATTATATGGACATCTTCTTATGCTTGCTCCTATGTCTCCATTTCAGAATCCTTTTTGGCAGCAACACGTGAACTTCAGCGTATATATGGCAAGGATGAGGGGAAGCAATTTTCATGAAGCAAGCTTGTTGGAATTGCAAGGCAGGATCATCTTTGTTTTGTGCATACAAGTAATCTTTTTTGGCTATAACTCAGTACTCGTTGACGGTGGCTTCACCACTAACACAAGGGCTCAGGCTCGGGGTAGTTAAGTGAAGGAAAATGTGTTATTGTAAATCTCTGTGATGAACCTTATGCTCTTAGAATAGAGCCTCTGTTCTTGATCGTTGGATATATGATGACAGGTTGTAGTTTGTAACGGTCTTGAAGGAAATGAAATTTAAGATATTTTGTTACTTGTTTCCTTAAAGAATGTTTCTCTTTCTTAATGTTATTACATTCAGTGCTGCAGTCTACTCCCATGTGATGGGTTTATTGTTGTCATATTTTGACATCATACATACCAAGTCACAGTGTAACAAAGTAGGTTGCTCGGACTATTGAACATAAATTCTTTTTTTTTTCTTCTGGTACTATTGTCATTTTCCTTGCATCACATTCAGTGCTGCAATGTTTATAACTATTGTTATCTTTAGGAACTGTGGATGCTGAAAGAAATGAGGAAAGCAAAAATTTATGAAGATATTAGATTCCTCTAGTCATTTGGTCATTTTGTTACAATTCATTCGCCAGACGATGCAATTGTGATGGCCTGAAGGTTGGGATTTTCTTTTGCTTGTGCTTGTTTTGTTGATGCTACTTCTTCTTCGATTGTCGGTGTTTCAGACTTGTAATCTTTGCTTTTACCCCATACAACCATATATAGGCCGGTGATTATGACCGCAGCACCGAGTAGCCTGTAAAATGATCAAATTAGCTAAGTTTCTTATTTATGTAAGAGCATGGTTTATGGTGGATTTAATACGACAGATACCTTCCCAGATACAGTTGCTCGCGCAAAATGAAGGAGCTCATGACAGCAACAATAACCATGCTTAGGGGACTGAAAGCTGTCACAAACACAGGGCCTCTGTATTTCATCACAATTCCTTGAATGTAATAAGCTAGCCCAGAACAGAAAACGGCCTGCATCCATTTTTATGTGTGAATATACATAAAGAGCTGAAGAATTTAAAACCCTTTGGCTTAAAAACCAGTTTAAGATTTCAATCTTCAGGTTGAAAAAACCCAAAATGTAAACAAATTCCAATTAGTTTCTTAGCATTCTTACACTGTAACAAGCTGCCAATAACTTTGCGTCCCATTTGATAGCCCAAACGGCAGAGTTTCCCCTTTCCATCACCAACGCTAGAGCAGTTCCTTCCAGTGTGCCCATCAGGCATATCCAAGCTGAAAGGGAGAGCTCAGCTGGGTATGTTTTTAATGTGATTGACTACAGAGACATATAAAATGTATTAATTACTGATAAAATAATTAATAGACTATCAACCAATCATATGAAGAATCTTTGTTTAAACAATCACCTGCAGAATCATGAAACAGGCCCAGCAGAAGCAGCCTATTGTGATCATTACGGCACCTTTGATTGAGCTTTGGAGGCTTACAGCCCCACCTGTTTGCTGTTCATGGTTAGTTTGTTCCTCTGGTCCAAAACAAATCTAACAGTGGCCCCTTTACCAGTGTCATGATCATGGCACCTGCAACTGTTGCTGCAGTCCCAAACACCTTACTTTGGCTGCGGATGCATTTCAACTTTACTTTCTCAAGCCTGAGAGCACGAAGATAACAAATGGTTATATAACCCCCAGGAAAAAAAAAAAAAAAAAAAAAAAAAAAACCTACCCCCCCCCCCTTTACAAAAAAAAAAAAAACATATTTTAAAGAATAATATCAGCACATTTGTTACCTAAGAATCCAAGCCATTGCAAAAGTAAGGGCAGGGAGAATGTTGCACATAGCTGCTGCAAACGTTGCTGTTGTGTACCTCATTCCCATGAAATACAAATTTTGGTCAATAACTGGCCTGCCAAGAGACACAGAGGGAGATAAGAAATGGTTACAGGAAACTTAGGAGAAACCTTGTATGGCAAGCAATTCAGAAATTTACTCCAGTAGGCCGAGCAGCATTATCTTGATGAAGATTGGAAGCGTCATCTTCGGTCTTATTTTTCTGTTCAAGATCAAAAACACTGTTTTAGTCACTAAAAATCTTTCTTAACACATAATGTTAATGAATGAGAGAAATAGAGAATCAGAGACTTGTCCAGGATCAGCGCGAAAGGGGCAACGACAGCAGTGGCAACTACGTGGCGGTAGACAACGAGCACATAGTTGCTCATCCCCTGGTTTAGTGCAGCCTTGGAGAGAATATCCATGCCTGCAAGCCCAAATTGCAAGAAAATAACAGCAAAGAAAGGCTTGGCAGCCTTGACTCTTTCAAGCAATCCATGTCCAAAGTTGCTCATTTTTGTGTAGATATATTCTCCCACTTAACCTCTTCCTTCAACTGTCAAAAATGCAGACTTCACCTACATAAGGAAGCTGATGAGAGTGTCTAGCTTCAACCCTTTTTATATTAGAAGCTTGCCGCACAAACTGCCAGATTCCCCTGGGTGCTGCTTAAATACATGGTAATCTGTACTTAAAATTACAGGAAACTCACTAACCTATTAAATAAAAATAGTTTTAGCTGAAAACCCTTTTCACCAAACATTCGATATAAGTGAATTTGTGATTTGTTTAGTAATTAGACTACTAATTATTCCAATAAAGCCTAAAGTCTCACTTAGTGCCTCCAATTAAGTATTTGGGTATCTTTGCATTGTGAAAATGTGAAGGTAAAGAGCCCCACATTGGAAAGTTAAGAAACTTAGCAAGAGCTTATAAGGAGTTGGGCTATTCCCCTCATTGCCAATTGGTTTTGAGATGGAATCTCAACTTCCTTCATAGTATCAGAGTGGGTTAGCCCACATGTGAAAGCCCAACGGCCACACGTGCTCCATGTCACCCAATATGTGTCTTATAAGGAGTTGGGCTATTCCTTCCTTTTTCTGTGTCTAAAAAAGTTGTTTTAGACAGTTCGATGAAAACCTTTCTTTTGTATCCGTGTACGCAAATCCCATATCTGCACATGAATTATGAGATCGGAAAAGAATATATCGACACATTTTTTGCCCACTTGAAAACCCTGTCTTTTGCTTTTACGTTAGAATGACTGAAGAGAGAAAAAAAAAGTACAACAGAATTCATTTCAATCAGATTCCCCTATTAGGGTCCAACATAGGTGATTGGTTCTCAGCCTCATCCATGTTAACGCCCTCGAATTTGTTCTCTAAACATACCAAATTCCAGCAAGTGCTGGAGGAGGTGACATAATGCTGCTGATCAGCAGAAAACCAGAAGCTCTATTGATTTTGGAAGTTGAATTAATATAGATTCTGTTTTGGTGGTTTTAGTAATACAAGTGATATTGGGGAGGGGAATCAAACCTAGAACCTAGGGTGCACAGATAAATGCTCTTAACCACTTGTGTTACAAATCCCTTGCATTAGAGTCCAGTTTTTACAGTCAAAAACTATGAGCGCCCTAGTTCCCACTACTCTCTGTTTTTTTTAACACTTTAAATGGTTTGTTTCCTTGTGCTTTTTTTAAACATGATTCATCTGTAGACTAGGCACTAGTATTAAGGCTAAATGGCTAAACCAACTCCTATCTGGAACCCATTAGGTCAGTAGTTTAGAGATTGTGGGACCAGGGCCCACTCAACAATTATGTGAAATAATGTGGATGATGTGGTTCAAAATCTTCTGCTTATTTTAGTGCTACACAGAGATTAGGGTTACATGAGGGTTGGTTTTTTTTTCTTTTTTTGTTTTGTGCATGAGGGAGTTTAGGTTCAAGGATCTTTCAGAAAATTGACATAGATACTGACTTCGATCTAATTAACATTCTGGTTCACTTGGGCTACAAAAAAGAACACTCAACACATGGTTTCTGGTTCAAAAGAGAATGTTGCAGTTTGAGATTTGTCATGCTATGTGGTCTCCACATGCACCAGAGAGCTCAGCAGAATTCAAAATCTTGAAAGTATTGATCTTCCACCCTCTCTCTCTCTCTCTCTCTCTCTCTCTCACACACACACACACACACACACACACACACACACATCACACAAATAGGAAATATACCTCTCTCTCTATTGTTTTGTATGCATCAAATTCTTTCCAAAACTGAACAAGGAAACACAAAACCACCACCAACTGAATTAGATTTATATTCCATTTGGTGATAAAGGCTGATTCAGTTTGATCTTTAACTGTAAAGCCATCCACTAGCTTGCAATTCTTCCTCCTGATTTTTACTTGTACTCTTCTGTTTCCCATGTAATGGAGTTTTTCTGGCACTTAAGCTCATAATGATGACAACTTACCCATTAGCCCACATTTTTTGTTGCATCATCAGCTATAGATATTAGCATAAGGGAAGAATTTGATGGAAATGAACAATGGCATCTGAGTAGGCAACAAGTCTTGGCTGGAAACTTATAAGACCAGACATGAGACGAGACAACATCTTTTATTTTCCTCTTTCCAATCAGAAGTGCCACTAATGAATGACAGCAGCATCCAGAATATATGGCAGTGGCATCGAGTAAGATCCATTTCTGAACAAAACTACCCCAAAAGAATCACGCCATGAAAACTTTCATGTATTAATCCGGCCACGCAATGATTCGAAAAATTTCTCGTCACACAGTCTAACACGATATGTTGTATGTTTTATTGTTAATCTAACCATTCTTATTCAAATTTCGAGCATTATCCGAAATGTTCGATTGTCAATATAACAAAAACATCTGAGTCTACTTCCTCTTATCTTATCACTAATTGTAATGGATTCTGCATCATTCAGTGAGGCATTTGTTTTACATAGTCTCCTTTTCGATGATGAACTATAATGGGATAAACATCAATTATTTGTGCCTACGTATGACAGCTTTTGTATCTGTCAGGAGTTGCACTGGGGACACTGAATGTGGTTCCTCAGTGCAGAATGAAACTCTGCTTTATATGGTCAGACTACCAGAAGAGATTGTTAAGATAGAAATGAGGATTTTCAAAGAAAAAGAAAGGGTTTAATTGGTGGAATCCATCACCTTTCAATTTGTATTGACCATAATTATTTAAAGCTGCTGAAAGCGATCAGAGTAAGCAAAAACACGCTTGTAGGCAATCACTGAATCAATAATGAGATAGATTTCTCTTCTCTTTTTTCCTTTTATGGATTTCTCCTCTCTTTTCTCCTTTGTACTTTATTTGCCTTTTTTTTTAAATGGGCATGGTCCATGAATTATCAACTGCATTATTAAACTTTTGGTCAATTTTCAAAAAAAATAATAATAATACAAGGCAGCTTTTAGTGTAGTGGAAGTCTATTAGCTCTACGGGCTACGCATCAGAAGGTACCCCCACGTCATAATACCCTCCAAGTTGGTAAACAGTTAAAAGAGAATACATTATCAGCAGCATTAGGACGCTTTATATGTAACCCACTGTGAGCATGGCCGTGCTGAAACCTGTGTTGTTCATGCTAAATGCACCAAAACTAACACCAGAGAGTGAGGCAACAGTAATATAATGATTTTTGGGAGCATTTCCGACAAGAAAACATAGATATTGATATAGGGACATCTGTTTCGGAACGTTTCGAACAAGACAATTATGGAATAGAGTTATGATGAACTAGCCTCACTTCTACCTTTTTTCACAGGCAATATGGAATAGACTTGTGATGAACTAGCCTCACTTCTACCTTTTTTCACTTCTACCTTTTTTCACAGGCAATATGGAATAGACTTGTGATGAACTAGCCACGCTTCTACCTTTTTTCACAGGCAATATGGAATAGACTTATGATGAACTAGCCTCGCTTCTACCTTTTTTCACAGGCTCACACAGAAACACAAGAACCCTATCTTGCATGCCGGATCTGAGCTATTTACAGCCAGAACAACAAAAAACAAACGTCGACGCATGTAGGCGACTGTAGGCAACTATTAACCATTGATTGGATTCAGCGTCACAGTGGTTTTCCACAGCTATCAATGGTTTGGAACCACCAACTATACCAGCAATGGTCAGTCAACTCCTATCTCACTTTCTAAGAATGAACGAAAGGGGATGGAAATATTAAAATGCTTATTTAAGTCAGTCACTTTATGCTGTCAGGAGAAATTTTCCTTCCCCTCGCTTCTTACAAGATCCGAAGGAGGCCGTAAAGGAACCTTCATGCCAAAGCATTAAATAAAATGCAGATCCCAAAAGGCATCAACAAAGCTATGAAAAAATTGTATAAGGGATGAGACAGGCTACTTTCACTATTAAAGAAGGCATCAACTTCTCTGTTTATATATGCTCAAGAAGATAAACTTTCATGAAAAATCAACTAACATATAATTGACTTCCCAAAATATGAGGATCTACCATTCACACCCAAATCAGTAGTAGTTATAAAATAATGATAAAAGAAAGCGATACAAGCACAAGTAACATAGTTGTGACAAATCAGTTTTTCCCCCAGCAGAGTGTTTGCGTTGTCTTAAACATTTACGCAGCATATCATGTTCAACACACTTTTCTTAAGAACCACAGCAAGCTGATTTTTGGGCAGCTTGAGCAGCTCCGGCTCCCTGATCTGGTTGGTTAATCTTGATTGTCTGAGGCTGCCAAAATTCAAAAAAAGTAAAGACTCAGTATATATCAGACTAGAAGATGAAAGATGGGATTTAATCAAACGGTTGGCAACCAACTCAAAATTGGTATCAAGACTCGATACTCAATAATTTTCAAAGAAAGCAAATTTGAAACATTGTAAGAAGATGGATTTGGACCAGAGGTCAACACTTTTGAGGGTGACTACCAACTGGTCTATGCCCCCACCACATAGTTTGATATTAAATTATTGAACAGAAATAGTTTCTTTAAGCCAGAAGAGAGAAAAACAAAGGGGGATGAAATACGGCTCCAACGTACAACAGAGAAAAAAAGAAGGGAAAAAAAAACAGACATTGTATATTTTCAGATGTTAAATTAAAAAGATCGTACAGACACTAATAATTTAGTTATACACAGGAAACCAAGCTACATATGTATCAGGAGGGAAAGACAGTAATATAAGTGACATGAACCATTCAAAATAATCATACCTCAGCCCTCGAGTCAGTATCTGCGAGTCTTTGCTTGATATCCCTAGCTATTGAAAAGAAGACCTCCTCCACATTTAAATTTGTCTTTGCACTCTGTAATACACAGTATTTTCAGCAAATAGGAAAAACCAACTACTTTGTAAGTTAGAAGACACCATGAGAAACTCACTGTCTCAAAGAATTTGATGCCATACTCGTCAGCAAGTGCTTGACCCTTCGAAGTGGGGACAGCCTGAAAAATGTAACTTGTCAAGTAAAGATTGAAGATCACAAGTCACATAGCACACAAATATGTACGAACCAGAAACGTCCATAAACAAGAAATCACAGAGAAGGGATAGGAACAAACCCTTTTGCTTTCATCCATGTCAGCCTTGTTACCCACCAGGATCTTGTTGACATTGTCAGAAGCATGCTGTTCTATGTTACGAATCCAATTCCTAATGTCTGAATGCAGGTAGAAATTAGATTCATTACCATGTATATGTAATAACCAACTAAAAAAAAATTTCCCTGTTAAAGAATGAATGACATCCATAGAATCCACAGACAAAATCCACAATAATCTTAATATCAGGCAATTGTACTTTCTTCACTTTAATAAAATCCACAGAAATAAAGTTCTATAAAGCTAGGAAACTGACAAATGATGAATATAAGCATAGGGTGATGTAAGTGATAAAGAAGTTACTGTTAAAAGATGACTCATCAGTGACATCATACACGAGCAAAATGCCCATGGCTCCACGGTAGTAAGCTGCAGAGACAAAGAATAATTAAGAATGCTTTGAAAAAATTTAGGAAATGAACGCAAGATTAGAAAAACCAATGTGAGAGGTAATATGAGATGTCAGCTTCATTAACAGCTTTATGAGCTCAGACCCAGGTTCAAATCTGATCATCTGATGTGCCCACCCACAAAACTAAATTTTGAATTAAAACCAACGAACTGAAATGGCCCTAACCATCAGGTCTACATATTCTTCCGTGCATGTCTCACTACTGTAGCAATAAAGCAACAGAGAGACCCTGGAACAATATAAGACCTTCGACATTCAGAGAACTGTAAACCACCCATATAGAAAATATGGCAATATCTTAAAGTTAGACCAAAGACCCGTCTAGTCAAAGTATTAGGGTTTTTGAAAGAGGTCTTGTTGGCAGACTAGCACAGACCTAAGAACATTAATACATTCATCTAATTTTAAAACATTAATATGCAAAAAAAAATTTATAGTTTCTCCTTTATGAAGGTGCATCTTTGGCGGGCAAGGTTGCAAGCATCATATACTCAAACTTGCATTTAGGAGAAAGTGAGAGAATGGTTACACATTCAAATTCAACCTAAAAACACTTTAATGCCACAGAACTAACCAGTTGTAATTGTCCGAAACCGTTCTTGACCAGCGGTATCCCAAATTTGCAACTTAATTCGTTTCCCATCAAGCTCTATGGTCCTTATCTTGAAATCAATACTGTCAAAGAATTACAACCTAGCAAGATTCAGAAGCAGTTGTAGAAGGGAGGAAGAACAAAACCCCCTTAATACAGTCATGCACAGAAAATACCTACCCAATGGTTGTAATAAAACTAGTTGTAAAGGACCCATCAGAGAAACGCAGAAGAAGGCAACTCTTACCCACACCTGCAAAGTTGCATAACAAAGAAAAAGAAAAGGGAATTAAACTCAAACTAATGGCTGTGGTACATACAAGAAAACATAAATACAAATGTGGGCATGCTCAACATCCACAATCAAATCATTGAAAACTAATCAAATGTGGTACTTCCTCGATGTCATCTGACCCTAGTAATGCTGGACAGGCATTTGAAAATAATCAAATCATTTGACGCCAGATGATAGTAAGTAGAATTAACCAAAACAATATAAATAGCATACAACAAATATTCACCTAAAATTGGAAACGTCCAAGGTTTTATATGAAACTACACCTTGGGAAATATCAAAAGACCAACATATACATGTTTAAGACACCACTTCAAACAGCTAATGGGTTTAGCCTACACCATAAGTTTAAGTTTCTGGATTGAAGTGGGGTCTCAAACACGCATGTGTTGGCCTATAGGAGACTCCCCGAGGTGTTGCCCCCTAACAGGAGTCACTCAATGGTAAAGTGCAATCTAGCAATACTTTCTAAGAGTTATCCACTGATAAAAATTGCCCCGGAAAACATTATCAAAGAAATTACGCTAAGTTGAGTCCTAAGAAAACGGCATTCATCTTATAAAATAGGTCGAACTCCGATAGTCCCTGAACACAAATGGGATTATTTTGAAAATTCATATAGAATAGACCTGAAATACAGACATCACATGAAATGCTGACCCAAAGGAAGCTAAACTAGAACTTCAATTAACTAAATTAAGAGCAAACCTAACATCTCAGACCACCTATTAAGAATGAAGCGGCTAACCACACGGTGACCCAAAACTTCTATTTCATCTAATATTACGCAAAACAAACATATATCTGGAATCAACAGCAACCCAAATACGATTTACCAAAGAGAAAAAGGAAACACAAAACAGAAAACATCTTAAATATGCACGTCAAATCCCGAATCAATATAAATGATCAAATGATGTGACAATAACACATTCCAGTCCATGAGATCACAACAAATGGGAGGGTAGAAATATAAAATCGTACCGCTGTCGCCGATCAGGAGGAGCTTTATGAGGTAATCGTAATCGGCTCGAGCTCTAGCAGGTGGAGCAGCCATGGCAAAAAATTCCCAAAGCCACACAAATTACCAGCAACAATAAACCCTAGAGAGAAAAAACTGCTTCCCGGTGAATAATTACACAAAAGCGGAACAAATAATCTTTGAAAAAAACAACGAGAGCGAAAATAAAAAGGTGAAAATTGATTTGAGGAGGAAGAAGAGATACCAGATCAGGAAAGAGGAGAGTGAGATCTAAGCAGATGAGAGAAAAGAGGAGGGAAGCAGAAGCAGAGTCCCTGATACGTCAGCAGACTCAGCACCAGTCGGCCGTTGATTTTTTTGTTTTTTTATTTGTTTCGGTTTTTTGAAGAGAGAGAAATAATATGTTGTGGGATGAGAGTTCCTGGCCGTTAGATCGTAGGGGCCAATGAGATCTGTGTAGATGTGACGCACGTTATTATACTCTCGTGAAGAGCGTCGGAGATGTATAATGAAAGTTTTTTTTTTTTTTTTTTTTTTTTTTTTTTTTTTTTTTACATGGGGATGTTGATAAACTTGATGGTCTGTTCACTCAAAATTAAATAAATGAAATGAGACAAAGGGGAATGGTGATGTTTTGATATTTTCTCACATTCGATACAATTATTACATGGTGATAGATTGGTACAATGGTAGATGCATGTGTGTTATCACGTTTATTCACATTATGATATTATTACGTATTATTTGATTGCGTGATGGATATTATCACGTGTTATTCACATGATAAATATATATAAGAAAAAATAAACATATAAAAACATTTCATCTTCAAACTTATTTTGCACTTCTTAAATGATAATACATAATGGCATACGCATTTGAAGCCAAAATTTTGTATACAACTAGTTTTTGGTTGAGGTTAATTAATGGGTCGCTTTACTTATTGGCTAAATACAATGAGTCGAATGACGGGTGGTATCAAGGATGTATAGATGAGAGAAGAGATTGGCGAAGAGTTGAGATATGATCATTTCTCTTATTTGAATAATATTTTTAATACTAAAAGATATCTCAAACTCAAATCTAACGTTGAAGAAACTAGCAATGTTATATGTATGTTATCGTGGATCTCAAATTGATGAGAGAAATTGCCAACCTTGAACATTGATCGCCCACCAAAAACTAGGTTTTGATCATTGCCCAATCTTATACAGAGGCATTTCAAACAAGCTCCCTGGTCCAAATTTGAGGAGGGCCTTAGGTTTGAAGTGATGGGAGTGGAAGCAGCATGATGGGTTCAACATCTTTGTTCATAGCTATGGGCTTAACAAAAAGGCTTACTATCAAAATTGGGATGGGTCTCTTGACTATGAATTAGAATACCCTTCACAAAACAAACTTAAAATATAAAGGGTTAGGAAACACTTTTTCGGTCATTGAGTTTTACACGAAAATTTAATTTGGTCATTGAGAAGTTTTTATAGGCAAATTGATCATTGTATTTCCCATAGTTTACAATTTGTAGATATTCTTCCATTAAAATTTTAAAATTTTTTTAAAAGAAACACCTTCATTCTTGTTTCTCTAAATGTATATTGTGCTATTATGGTTTAACAAATTGGGGGAAATATTTGAATCGAAAGTATAAGGAAAATAAAAAAGACTAACCAAATTAAAATGAAATCAACAACTTACGAATATATTTTGGCTCTCTATCCCCTTGATTACTTCTCCTTGCCATCTGAAGTCACAATGTGGTTCTCCTTGCCATCTGAAATTACAATGTGGTTCTCCTTGCCCTATCCAACTAACCTAACTTATGTATACTTCTAATATACTTCATACAAGGCTACCAAGATGATATCTTCAACCCGTGAGACATTCATTGCAAAGCCTCCTTACCAACCGAAACCATAACATGCTTTGCACATTCATGAAAGATTTCAAATCAAGCTCAAATATTATAATATACCCACCACCCAAATTTTTTTTTAATGAAAAAAAAACAGGCGGAAAATCAAACTCAGGTAGGCTGACAATTGTATTCAAAGACTTCTCCAGATCCTTCATCGCATATACAAAATAGTTGACCAACTATGCACTCAAGATCAAAGATGTTATTCATTTTTGAATTATTGTTTGGTACGTACAATATAAAAATGGCGGTGCCACGTGCCATTCTTTTTCTCTGCTAAATATCTAAAACCAGCGATCTAAAATCACAAGGCAGTTCCGCTTGGACGCTTGTTCTTATGTGCCTATTGTGATGGATGGTCGGGTTTCCTACCAGTCCATTTGTGTGTGTCGGCGCCCTCCAATCGTACTTGTTCTTGCACACAATTGACTTGTCTCACGCTTGAGCTAGTTGAGTGTGATTTGCACTAGAATTACAAAATGTGTTTTAGATGCTTCGTTCCGTGACAAATGAGCCTTCTTTATGTTGATGTCAGTTGCTTTTTGCATGGTATGATTGATGTTACATGTCGATTCTATAATTTAATTTATGGGAACATTTTGCTAATATAAGTGGTTCGTATACGTAGGCAATCATTTTTTACTGTTGATGATGTAGCTATGAATTTTTCAGGAAATAGGCAATATTTAAAAGATTAAAGTTCAACAACAAAATTAGATAACTAAATACCATTAAAATTTAATAATACTAACTTCCTTAGATTCATGATGGGTGAAGTCTCTTTGAAGCATTTAGTCGAACATATGGTGAGCACCATCATAAGGACAAATTCTAGCATATCCTTTCGGCGAGGGAGGTGCATGACCCTGTTAGTAGTTGATGAGATGCAAGTCTCACATGCATTAATGGTAAAAAATTTATCATAAAGACTAATCGTAACACATCATTCACCATATGGGAGAATCTGAGTAAATTTCAATTCTCTATTTATCCAAAATGGAAATTCCAAATTGCCCATTACCAAACAAGATGAAAAAGAAAATCAAATTTTATGAGCATCTTTAAAAGGCATAGAAGAAGGGAGTTGTAAAGGGGAAAATATTATGATGCTACATCTTCATGGCGTTCGAATTTCTAAGTATAGATTCTTATAAGATGAAGAAAATTCAAAGTGGAATTTTGCAAGTAAGATTCCTGAGGCAATTGCAAAAATTCCTTGTTGTATATGGATTGCTACGTAGGACCGATGGAGAATGAGACGTAGATCACATCAACCTCTTTAGTCATTAGGAATCGCATAATCCCAATAAGAAAAGTAGGGCATGCTCAACTCTTCAATGAATCTTACACAATTTTCCAATTTCATAGACACGAGATGCCTCAACATGGCCCAAGTTTATTAACACCATTTTCAGGTAAGTTTTTAATCCTATATGTATCATATCTATTATTACATCAAAAGAAATGTTCTTTTGACAAACAATATATAGTAACGTAAACCAAACTAGATTTACATGATTTAACATGTGCCATTTGCCCCACAAAACTATACATGTTTGGTAATCTAACTATTTAACTCTAATAAAAGTTTGGATATGTAACATTTATATGTACAACCTGTTGCATGCAAGTTGAAAACTTTGAAGTTCATCTCATAAAAAAAAATATTTAGAAATTTTATTTAGACAAAAGGATTCCAAATCTCAAAATTCATGGCATGTTTACTAATCCATAATTGGATTTTGAGGAATTGAATTGGGGATGAATTGAATTGATAAGGAGTTGGATTTAGGAGAATTAGATTCCGGATTTTTATGGAAGTCGTTTACTAAACCATATGGATTGAGGGGAGTTAGATTTCAGATTCCTATTGAAGTTGTTTACTAAATCATATGGAATTGGGATATGGGTGGTGATAATTACTAAAATATCCTCATTGTTGGGTTAAAGTATATGATGAATTTGGACTTTTGAAAAATAATGTGAGGATATAATAGGTAAAAAAAAATGAATTCCTAATGGATTAGTTATTCAGGAATTAGAATACCACATCCCATCCAAGAATTGAATTCCTCCAAAATCAGAAATTTAATTCATAATTTCTTTTCAATTCATTAATGTGAAGTAAATTCAGAAATCTTTCCTATGTGGAATTCAATTCATGATTAATAAAAACATCATTATGAGATATTATTAAAAATATATATATATATATATATATATCTTCTAAATGTATCCAAATTTCAGCAAGGTGCGCAGTGGCAGGCCATGAAAAAGTCACTAAGATTGACGTGGTCATTATTACTCTTCCTATAATCATACTTTTTTTTAAGTGTTCACCAGGTCAATACAAATGACCACATTCAAACGCCGCGTCCTTGCATGGACCAAATTTTTAATACAATCTGACTGTTCCCACGTAACAGTAAATCTATCCAAGGATAAGGTTTCATTTTTTTTATTTACCAATTTAGAAGGGAGACTGGTAGGTTTCTGCGCAGAGATCAAAGTCAAACCAAGAAAAATGTCGCCTTAGAGTAATGGATGGGCATTCACACACACCTCTTACTCACACCCCACATGCCCAAGATAAAGGAAACTATCCCCTCTCATTGGCTGTGGTTTGCTTCCAATACATTTATTCCACCACATCAAATCTCACCAATCAAATTCCCCCTACCATGGCCCACATGATGACATGGTGGAATCCGACTAGGTGCGCAAAGCATCCACACACAATTTTTGTGCTCCATCAGCTAGTCCTCTCAATCCCTACTTAATAAATATTTTATAGGTAAAGTGACTATAGCTTAGATGATTAAGAGTATTTATCTTTGCATTCGGACTGGTGTTCAAATTCTCCCTCCTTACTATTGCTTATATCACAACAAACATTTTTCACAAGACATTTATATTTCAAATAATTAAAAACATTTATACATGCATCCGAGTTCATTCAATCTATCCTTATCCAAGTGCGATTTGTTTTCAAGACACGCCTCACCGTCCGCTTCACGTATGAGCAGCGGACCCAAAAAGAATGCCCCACACGACCGTTAGGAACACCGTCTTTGTCCGAGGGTGGGCCTTGCGCCAACCCAATAAGGCTGAGACACGTAGCGGATCAGTGCCAGCTGGAGGCACGTTCTATTCAGTTGGCCAGAATATACGGATGCCAAAAGCATTTTCGTAGCACCAAAACTTGGGAATTTCTCACTTTAATTTTGTTTTTTTTTCCTTTTTCCCCTTTTTCCATTTTTTTTTCCTTTAAATGGAAGGCACAAAGAGAGCGGGAACACGTACAGCTGCTTATTGCTTTCCTCTACTTGAGCGCCCCCCCATTCACTCCTCCTCTCTGCCTGCCTCCTCTTCGTTTTGAGATCTGTGCTCTTCGGTCGTCTCCTTCCTTCCTCTCGAGGCTTCTTCTTCAGCTAGGGTTTCGTAACTCGGATCCTTTACCGGTATGTGCCTGCTTTTACGAGTCCGAGACACTGTCGTTTTGTAAACTTTATGCTGCATTTTTAGCTGATTTTGGCGTCGTTTTTCTGACTTTACTGTACATTTCTAGCTGATTTTAGCGTCGTTTTTGTTCTGTTTGTGGATCTGATCTTTTTCTCTTCGCTTTTGCTCGTAAGCGTTTGTTTTTGCTGCGTGCGCTCCATGTTTGCGTTTTAATTGCTCTATCTTTATCACAATTGGAAATGATTGTGTGGAATTTAAGCTAGTTTCTGAGATCAATTTTTCTAGATGTTGAGAGCTAGCCTTGTTCTTTGTTATGGTTCTGAGATTGCTCATGTTCTCTGTGTTGTGAATTACTTCCTATTTTCGTAATTTTAGTAAAGTTAAAGTCATAGTTTGGCAGATCTATACACGGTTTCGCCGGATATTTAGATTGCAGAAGTTTCCATACATTTTCATTTGCTCAGCGTTTACTTTTAAATAAACGCTTTGCTGACACGTTACCAGAAACATTTTGACTGTCAACTTGCGAGGATATTATTAAATTAATTTCTTGATTTTTAGCCTCTGGTGAAAAAAGATATTTTTACAAAATTTGGAGCTGCTGATATTTGTCGATCTGGTGCAAGAAGCTAATTCGTCTCCTTAATGCCTTTTGTCATTCGTATCTGATAGCTTAAGTTCTGCAAATATGGCTTTAGTTTTATGTGATCTTGATATCAAAGCCGTCTTTTGCGAGAACATTTTTTATATACGATTTTAACATCTGGAACTGAAGAAAGAGCTTTTACAAAATTTTGTTGGCATTTTTTGATTTGGTGCGAGAAACTAATTCTTCTCCTTGCTGTCCTTTTGTCATTTGGATGATCGGATCTGATAGCTTAAGTCCTTCAAAAATGGCTTTAGTTTTATTTGATCTTGTACACGAGGGTGCATTTGAGATATCAATGTTCAACTTCATTATGAATTCTGGAAAAATGGAACTGTTTCTGTATGTCCGTGTGTGTATTTTGTACAAGGTTAAAGAAAAAGGGAAAGGAAAAAGGTTCAATTTGTTTAATTATATCTAAAATGTTTCTTCATAAGTCTTATCTTATTTGAAGGTCCTCAACATTTTGTGTTTGACTCTTTTTAATCAAAGGATAAATGCATGACATTCTTTTATGATATTGATTACTACTCCAGTTGTCTGAGATAGACTTTTATGGCTTGTACATATGCCTTCTTTTGTTGGCCCACTTATTCTAGATTTGAACTTTTGGGAATTGTGTTTAAGGCCTGTTAGACATGCTCCATGAAACATTGTTGAAAAAATCTATCGAAATCTTTTGCTTGATTAATTAAATAGCTCATAGAGTGTTTCCGTAGTACTGCTTTTGATGACTTCTTGTGGTCTTATATCTTGTAGTTATGGCTCCACCAATTGAGACTGTTCAAAAAGTTGAGCCTCCTCAAATAGTTATCGACTCCCATCATCATCATCATCATCATTCCTCACATCCACCTCTTAATGAGAGGATACTTTCTTCCATGACCAGGAGATCTATAGCTGCACACCCTTGGCATGATCTTGAAATAGGTGAGCAGTAACTTTGGCAGCCATCTTGGTCATGTCAGCTTTCTTTAATTGTTATTTTACCCTATGTGTAACCTTTTTTCCTTTTCATTTTAATATAGGACCTGGAGCTCCAAAGATTTTCAACTGTGTAAGTATACTGAACCTTAATAACTATTTGATGCCTTAATTTTTTATTATAATGATTTTATCATTTGCTATACTTGCTCAATTTATGCATTTTCCATGCTTATTTTGAACGAATATTGATTAGACACTGCAAATACAGAACAGAAGAAGTCATCTTAGATTAAGTTGACCAAATTTTCAGAATGTAGTGACATTCTTAGTATAATTCTCATTATTAAAATAATCTGCTTCAGAAGATAATTTTCTCTATAATATCATAGTTGACAGTATTTTCTCTAACTAGTCAGTTTTCATATTCTAATTCTAAGAGTTACGACCTTTATAATACTTATTCAGAAACTATGTATTGTGATATGTTTGGCATCCTACTGATCGTTGTTCTTGTGGAAATGTATCCAGGTTATTGAAATTCCAAAAGGAAGCAAAGTGAAATATGAGCTTGACAAAAAAACTGGACTCATCAAGGCAAGTATTGCCCCAAGCTAATCTTCCTCATATTTTTAGTACATAAAGTATGCTTGCTGACAGGTGTTTGTATGTGCAGGTTGACCGCATACTGTACTCATCAGTTGTCTACCCCCACAACTATGGCTTCATCCCCCGAACTCTTTGTGAGGACAATGACCCCTTGGATGTCTTGATTATTATGCAGGTATTTTTATGCTTCTTTCCTTTGGAAATGCTATTTTGGAATTTTATTTTAGCATTCTAACCTGAATATGACATGAACCATTCCCTACGATATAATCAATCATATAGATGTAAAAATCATATAAAAAGTTGTGAGATTATTCTGACATTTGTAAAGCCATGCGCAGTTGCTGGTGAAATCATGTGTTATATTTGTAAAAAACTTTGAGCAGCTTCTAAATCCATTTGGTTTATGTTAAAGCCGATGCTTGTATGTGGAAACTCACTCTGATGTATTTTGAATCTGAAAAAACTTGCAGGAGCCAGTTGTTCCAGGATGCTTTCTTCGGGCAAAAGCTATTGGCTTGATGCCTATGATCGATCAGGTACATATTCAGACAGAAATGGTTGTTCTTTTAAATTTGTCACAATGTTCTAATTTTCTATGAAATCAGGGTGAGAAAGATGACAAGATAATTGCTGTCTGTGCTGATGATCCCGAATACCGACACTACCAGGACATCAAGGATCTCCCACCACATCGTTTGGCTGAGATCCGGCGCTTCTTTGAGGACTGTATCCTTTTTGAAATTTCAGTTTCGAGAAATCGTAATTTTGTGGGATATAATAGTTCTTTCTCCAAAGCGCTATTAATTTTTTTTTTTCCTTAACCAACCAAAAAAATCAGACAAGAAAAATGAAAACAAAGAAGTTGCAGTTGACGACTTTCTCCCTGCATCTGCTGCCTATGATGCAATCCAGCATTCCATGTAAGTGTTAATGCTCTCAGAAATTTACCTCTGTCTGAAAATTATACTGTCAGTGGTGTTATGAGAATGTAGATGTTAGAAATCAGAATAGCATTGATACAATTCAAAAGTACCGAATCGCCCCTCGACTTTTCAAGTTTTGATCATTTCTGGTTCATAAGAAAATTGATTTGAACTGCATTTGTCAGCCTAAATTTCATTTCACATCAGCCAAAGTCAAGCATTTTAATACCAGTTCACATCCTCGACCAAGAGTCGGGGTTAGATGCCTGGATTCAGTTTACATTTGGGTTTGTCTAGAGAGTCTAAATAGTCCAATATTACTTGTCTACAAACTTAAATGAATGGAGTACGAACTTAATCTCTCAAACTCTCGTTGTTCTAATGTGATAGGGACCTATATGCGGACTACATAGTGGAGAGCCTCAGGCGGTAGTTGTTTATGCAAGCAATGAATCTTGGGTGCTATCATCTATCATCTGTAATGAAAATAACTTTATTATTGTGTTGTTTATGCATGCATTTTGTTTCGCAATGTATGCATATGCTTATACTATAGATGGATTGTCTCATCTGCTTCATATGACAAGTATTAAAACTTTTATACAGTAATGAATATCGAAAACGACTGGAAAAAGAATTGTAGTTTGGGTTGATATATTGGTTTTGTGTTATTCTTCATTCACCCTGACATGGGTTTGAAACAAAGTGTACTTGTATGCATTGTGGCTGTTCTTATTCATTTTTTCATTTTTTGGAGTATAAATGTATTCTTCACTATATATAGATGTAATGAAGCAATTCTTGTGGACGGTTGATTTTTTGTAGAATGCTAGAAGGTGGAGTTTGTAACATCAATGTATCGTTTGTTACGGATTTCAAGTTTTACGGTTAATATGATGAGTTAATCAGCTTAAAGGAAGCTTAAAACACCAAATGATCGTTTACTCCCCACCAGGCTCTGTCCGGCTACATTTCCATCACTATCCACATTAATCATAAGGCAAACTGATCAAATCGTTCATAAATTCGAAAAGTCTCTGTGCTAAGATATTGAGTTTCAAAATCTATCCCTCATAGGCCCCTTCAATTTAGCGAGAGAATGATTAAAGCTGAAGTAAAAGCACGTGAAACTTACTAAGCTGAGGAAAGTTTCCAAAGCCGCATAACAGCAATCGCCAGTCAAAGAAACTAAGAACTCTACTGCCAGCAATTTGCCTCCTAGCCTCTTCATGATCCATAGCGCCGCCGGCAAAAGTTTCCAGCACAACATATCCAAATTGCCAAGTTATACAAATATGTCAACCAAAATAAACCCATCAAACTTTAAAATTAGCACACACTCGTGATATAATATATCACTACGACTATGTCAATACACAAACTCAAACTCATTAATATATGCCTGCAAATCCAACCAACATACTTTTATTTTTATTTTTTATACAAACAATAATCTAAACAACTTTATATCGATCAAATCTAAGGAGAGAGGATTAATGAAAAGGCATGCATTCACTGCTCTAATCAACTTACTTAACCTACGCAAAAGCAAAGAAGGGTTGGGCTTAATTTTTAAGTTGCCATTGTGCTTAGAAGCAGTCACAGCCCATAGGTTGACAAAGTGATAAACATCCAGGTCACAACGGTGTATATTTATCATCTCTACATCCACGTGGCTCCATGTCACCTGCACACCTGGCCGAAAACCCCGAATCCTCAATCATCTAAGCCACCAAAGTCAAAAATATTCCCAACACAAAACCTAAAGCTTAAAGCCATAAACCCTCACCAAGCAACTGTTTTCTCCTTCATATCCCCAAAACCCAAAAACCCTATACTTTACAGGGCGATGTCGTAAAACCCTACATACCAGTCCGAACCCGAACCCGAAACCAAAACGAAACCAAGCCGACCACCATGAGCTCCTTCACCAACACCACCAACTTCGACAACCTCATGCTCCAAACCCTCATGGGCAGGCTCCAAATCCGACCCCCAACGAACAACTCCTTCCTCTCGCAAACCCTCGAAGAACTTCTCTTCGACGCCGCCAATCTCTCTGGCGATGAAGACGATGACGACGAGAACAAGACCCAGCTCGCCAAAGAAGAATCCAAGCTCGAGAAGGACATCATCCGGGTCATTCTCAGCGGCAAGACCGATTCCCTCAAACCCAATTCGGGTCAGGCGGTGACGATTGGGGAGCATCACATTTGTGTCGGGTTTCATGAGGAAACGGGTTCGGATTATCGGGTCTGGGAGTGGCATGGGCATATCATGCTCTTCGATGAAGAAAATGGATACACTCCAGAGTATATATATGGGAATTACTTTGAGAGACTGATTGGCAAGGCTCGCACTGGCAGTAGTGGTGCTCGTGTTGAGGAGGAGGCTAAGGAGGAAGAGGAGGACAAAGAGCAGGTGGGAAATTTGGGGCTCAGGGAATTGATTGATGGTGGGGATTCGGGTCAGGGTCGGATTCTTCATCGGAATATCAATGCCGGTTCTTCAAGGTTTATATGAATTACCCTTTTTTTTCCTTCCATATTTTCGTTTAATGTGCTTGTGTTTTATTGCTTTCGCATTTTTCACTGTTGAAGTGCTTTGGATTTTGAAAGTTGTTGTGAGTTGCAGAAATGCTATATGCTATGTGATCTTGGAAACTTGTAGTTAGTGAATGCTCTACTTCAATTGCAATTTTGTGCTCATTAGCCTAAGATTTTATCCAACTTCTCAAATTGAGGTTTGGAGTAATCCTTCACTCAAATATCAGAGTAAAGAGCTTATGCCAACTATTTTCGCGAAAGATGGCGCATATGGAAGGACACATCTATTTTGTAGTTAGAAATAGTAGTAAGTTGGATTTCTGTTTGTTTTGAAGTTAATCATAATTGTACTAACTTAAGTTGAAAGCTCAAAATAAGATCATGTATTTCACTAGCACTGTAATGAACAGATATGCAGTAGGTTGAAGGAATTAGATTATAACCGTTGGTGATTTTCTTGCTTAGATTATGAAAAAAGTTATCCTTTAGGATGTTCAAGATGTTGACATAAAAGCTTATGAAACTTCAAGTATCTGCCTGCTATTACCAGGTAGGCTGAGAAAAAGAAGTATTGGTCAAGTAATTTTTCGTATATATAGTCTGTTATCTTGAAATTGACAATATGAAGAACTAGGGACTATTCTGCTACCACCCGCTCTTACCATCAATTGTTGCCATCTTCGGCAGGCATCACACAAGGACCTAGGGATTATTCTGCTTCTGCTTGCTCTCACCATCAATTTATTCTCATATTTGGTATTGTTAACAATATCCTTCCCAGCCACCCTTGATTGTTGACCCTTATGCTTGTTCAATCAATTTGTTTCATGTTGATTTAATAACAAAGAGGTTTATAGTCCTCTTGGAATATATGTGTTCTCTGTCTAGATCTGGATCTTGTTTCAAATTGGTTGCTCCCTCAATATCTTTTTCTTCATCATGTTCTTATCCCCAGTGGATTCATGTGGCAATGTGAAGAAAAAGAAAATAATTGTAGCAGTTGAGTTGAATTCATCTTAAAGCAAGTTGTGCATATGATCCTTCTGAAGTCTCTTTCTCAAGCCTTCACCAAGCATTATATATTACTATGAAACCTTGCATGTGGTCTGTTTCCTTGTAATAATCTTCTACACTTACTTGAATCATCATGTTCCACTCGTGTTTGTGGTAAGCTGTGGTTCAAAGCTCCAAACTGCCAGGAATTTGTTTAGGATTTTGGAATCATGTCATTACCTTCATGCAAACTGTTTCTTGCCTTACTGTATTTAATCATTCACCGTCTATATGTACAAACCATGCCGACCTTGCCATTTGCTATGCTTTGCGTGTTTTCCATGATTATCTTTCCTCTTACAGGGTTTAGTGGAGATCAAAGATTTGGTTTGCATAAGAAGTATTAAAGAAGGAGCTGGCAATGATCTTCTCATTTCATTGTTTACTTGGGGTGGGAGATCAAGGCTATTTCAATTTAACATGGTATTTGTATGCAGTTTTCTGTTAGCTTTTGTTTGACTTTCCAATACGTTGGACAGTACAGAAGAGGAAGAAGATATGTTTTGTGAGACTTCATTATGTTAAAGTAGTTTTTGATTAGCTTATCAATGGACGAAAATGGTGCATCCATCTTTGATATTTCTTGGTTGTAAATTTTAGTTTTGCCCCAGTGGCTTGGCTTGTGGTTAAAGCTAAGGGTCCAATTTTGGGCCATTGGTGATCATTTTTAACGCAATGATTTGCAGACCCGTGTGTCAGTGTTAGGCCTTCGGCCCCGTTATGTGCCACCAAAAAAAAAAAGACTCGGCCTCTACTAAAATCGTGGGGGAAAAAAAAACCAGAACAAAACTACTTTATTAAGCTTCTGCCCAAAAAAAAACTTTATTAAGTTGAATTGTTACAAGATACTTTATAAACTCTTTAGTTTTTAAATGTTCATTTCTTCAATTTAAAATGATGAAAAATAATACTTTTGAAATAAAAAAATTAACACATTTCTCCCTTTGCTTCATGAGGATACGGTTAAAAGTATGTACAATTCAATTAACCTTTTCTTCTTCTTCTTATAAAAACAATAATTTAATTTAATTGAATTTATGGAATAGAGGGATTCGAACTTCGATGTAAAGCGTAGGCTCCTTGTTGTTACCAACTGACTTAACTCACATTTAGGATGGTAATAGGGCGAATCGGGGATGGGTATGCCATGTTCCCCATCCCTGCCTCTATATGGGCAATATTCAAATTGGGGATTTCCCATCCCCTCCTTCGTTGGGGTACAAATTCCAAAGCCTCGCCCCATTACAAAATACCAATGAAAAAATAATTTATGAAGGAGGAAAAAAAAGTTAGAAAGTAACATACAATACAAAAGTTTTGTTTTATACTTAATTCAATATATGTAGAAGGAATATAAATATGGGGATTAGAATACCATATTCAAAAATTTCCTATCCTTTATACTCTCATTAAGGTTTTTTTTTGGTCAACTACTCTCATTAAGGTTGAAGTCTTGCAAAGACTGTAACCCATGGTGGGGAAAATTGTCATCCCTACTCACATCTACCACATTTTTTAAAATTTATTTTAAACCCAATTATAATTTTGAAAAATAATAGTTTCAGATTTAAAAAACAATAAATTCATAAAACAACAAAGAAAATATTAATTGGCATTTTGTTACCAAAATGGGTCCAGTCATCCTTGAGCAGTCCCCGTCCGTACTATATCTATTTGTTAATTGTTGCGAAAGAAAATCTAAAATCCTACGGCAGGGAAAGTAGCCAAGTCAATTTCTCTTCAAGCAATCGTACGGTCCATATTTGAGACGGAAGCCAAATCAACTTCGTAATCCGTATAAGACTACGACCGACTCAAAAGCATCCGTTATCCCACATTCCAAATCAATCCAACGGAGATAAAAACACCCACGTCACCAATCCTCGTAAAATCCCAAAACCCAATCAGAACCAACCTCACCACACTATATAAACACTCGCGCACTCTCCTCTCCATCCACCAAAATCCCTGAATTCACTCTGTGTGTAGAAGACCGTTCTCCTTCTCATTCGTCAGTTCGTTCGTATCGGATCAGAAGCAACAAAAAATCGGCGAAATGGCGCCAACGAAGGCCGAGAAAAAACCAGTCGCAGAGAAAGCTCCGGCGGAGAAGCAGCCGAAGGCCGAGAAGAAGATCCCCAAGGAAGGCGGCGTCGAAAAGAAGAAGAAGAAGGTGAAGAAGAGCACCGAGACGTACAAGATCTACATCTTCAAGGTCCTGAAGCAAGTGCACCCCGATATCGGGATCTCGAGCAAGGCCATGGGGATCATGAACAGCTTCATCAACGACATATTCGAGAAGCTCGCGCAGGAGGCCTCGCGATTAGCTCGCTACAACAAGAAGCCCACCATTACGTCGCGGGAGATCCAGACCGCGGTCAGGCTGGTCCTGCCCGGTGAGCTCGCCAAACACGCCGTTTCCGAGGGCACCAAGGCCGTCACCAAATTTACCAGTTGTTAAATTTATTTATTTTTCTCTTAAAATAAATTTTTTGTGATTTTTTTAAAATTTTTTATTATAAATATTTTGTTGATCCAGGTTTCTGGATATGTTGTTAGGGCAAATTGGATATATTAATGAAATTGGATCCTTCATTTTAATAAGATGTGTGGAGAGGTTTTATATGGTGCATGTTTTATTTTGTGGGATTGGTTTCATCTGATTCTCGTATGAATTATGGTAATTTTGTTAAGACCAATGAAAATAAGGAGGAAGAGGAGGGTAAAGAAAATAAGTTGAATTGCTGCAAATCAACCTTTGAGTTGCTTAAAATAAGCAAACTCCTGATGTGTGAGAAAGGTCTCCACTTTTGCCAGGTGATATGTTGTTTTGTTTGTATTAAAAAAAAACGAGAGCATTACAATGTTTTTTTAAAATTTTACACAAGTGATTTATTGATGAAAATAATTATATAATTTTTTTGAATAAGATATCTCGAATGATATCGGAAGGAGACTCGAACCATGAACGAACTTGTATTCATTAATGAAAGAGCATAAGGAATGAACAATTTCAAAAGTTACATAAAATTTTGAGTGTAATTAATTAAAAACGATTTGGTAGCAATACTTGCGTCTTTTCAATAGAAGGTTTTTTTTAAATACAAATTTATAAATAAACCCAATCCTAGATATGTATTTATAAAAAAACTCAAACACTATTTAAACATAGAAGAAACACACCCAAAATCAACAATTGTATATTTTTTGGGTGTGTTTATAAATGGGTTTTGAGTGTGTGTAATGATGAGTTTTGGGTGTTGGGTTTTTTTATAATTTCAGCCCCCATTTTGGGTGTTTTAGTGAAACTTCATTTTTTGAGAAAAAGTAAAAAAAAACACAAAAAAGAGGCCAAAATTTTGTCAAGAAAAAAATCGCTAGAAGGAGGGCTCGAACCTCCGACCTTGTGGTTAACAGCCACACGCTCTAGCCAACTGAGCTATTCCAGCTTTTGATTACTTTTCTATGATATTTCATTTATAAACGCTTATCCGTAAGCATTCAAATGCGGCACCAAATTTATCATCAAGGATTTCTAGTTCAGTCAGAATTCTGGCCCAAGTTTAACTGCCCTGGTAAACAGGCCTGTGTCGTGTTTTTACAATACAACAAATTGTCATCCACCTTGATTTAGAATCTTTATTGAAACGCCCAAGCATTATGAAGCAGATGCTCTCCAAATAGTAAGAACAAAGTGCAAACACACAAGCAAATTATCTCCAACTGCAGCATTGCAACAAGTGAAATCTAGAAGGGGGCTAATTTCATTTCATCAGAAACATGGATGTTCTACAATTGGAAACACAGAGTACAATGGACTGAAATCCTAGTGGGATAATGACACATATGAACCATCCTACTAACCAAGTACACACATGAAGACTTCCATACAGAGATACATTAATTTACTACCCAGAGACACTACTAGTTAGACAAGTTAAGCCTTCTTGGGGGACTTGGTGGCGGTGCCCTTGGCCGGAGACTTGGGCTCCTTCTTTGCAACCCTCTCTGGCTTCTTCGGCAGAAGCACAGGGTTGATGTTGGGAAGCACACCTCCATGGGCAATTGTCACACCAGCAAGGAGCTTTCCGAGTTCTTCATCGTTCCTCACGGCCAATAGCACATGCCTCGGAATAATGCGGTTCTTCTTGTTGTCTCTTGCAGCATTTCCAGCCAGTTCCAAAACCTAACCAAATCACTCCCATCACGGTTAACACTAACTCATAGCAACTCATAGATCATGGTTCATGCCATATACACCATATGCTTGAACCCCATTTGGCCACTGAGAACAATGTAGGCAAATTACAACAAAATAAAACAGAACCCATAGAACAAATAAACTCACTTGTTATCAAATATTGAATCTTTGATTTTCAAATTGAGGGAATCAATTGAAACCCGTGATCAAAGTATCAACTATCAAACTCAGAACCCAATTAAGTAGCTGACCTATATCACAAAAATTACGACCTCAAGGGCCTGTTTGCATGCGAAATTGAAAAGCCTAACTGAGATGTTCCAGTAAAGGTAAGCTAAGCTGACTCTTGGTTTGCTCTACAATTAGAAAAGCCACGACTTTCCATTTCCATTTTCCATCAGTTTCTTATCTACCAAACAGATCCCAACTGAAAATCAAAATCAGAAACCCTAAGAACCTTAAGCAACATATCAGCTCAATCAGAGAGAGAGACAGAGACAGAGACAGAGGAAACTAAGGTTACCTCAGCAGCAAGGTACTCGAGCACAGCAGCCAGGTAAACAGGAGCTCCGGTTCCGATTCGCTTAGAGTATCGGCCATTTTTTAAATACCGGCCAATACGTCCAACCGGGAACTGCAGACCGGCTTTCACGGACCGAGACACCGGTTTTTTTTTGGGACCGCCTGCCCTCCTTCCTCCGGCTCCTTTCTTGAACTTTACCCCGGTGTCCATCACTCTGCCTCGGAACTTCTGAACTGAATTTCCCGAGAAACAAACAGAAACAATAACAATGTAAAAGTCAAATTTTAGGAAATGGTGCTTGAGTAGAAAAGAGATATATACAGGCTAACTAAGGTTAGAAGACCAAGAATGGTTTGGAATCCGGGGACGGTGGCCGTTGGATTGGCTCCGATCGACGGTTGTAGGAATCTGAGTTGGCAATCCGACAGTGTGGAGTGGACCAAAGGGGTGTTAGTTGAACAGTAGAGTGCAATAGTGACAACAACCCAGGTGGAGGTCCCATGGGGGTTGTTCTTTCTCTTATTAGATAAGTTCCAATTTGGGCTACCGTTCATGGCCCTGAGTATTTATTAATAGTATATTAGTGATTTGTCTTCTGAATTTGTACCTAATTTTCGATTGATCTCATATCCTGTTTTTTTAGAAAATTAAAGATATGAACTTTTTTTTTCACCAATTTCCCATTTGTCGTCTAAATCTGCAACATTTCAACCAATTAGCCGTTAAATATGAAAGCAAAATGGTCATTTTATACATTAAAAATAAATTTAAAAAATGAAAAATAAAGTAAAACCCAAAAATACTCTCTCTCTCTCTCTCTCTCTCTCTTTGCAGGTGTATATGAAGAAAACCCAAGAAGGAGGGGGTACAAAAACATAAGGGAGGAGGTGAGGGCAGGGGTTTGTGGGGTGGGGGATTGGTTTAGGAGTGGAGGGTGGTGGTCATGGGGGAATGGGAGGAGAAGAAAAACCAAGAGGAGAGGGGGAGTGGGCTGGGTTTGGGGGATGAAAATACATAAGGGGGAGGTGGGGGGAAGGGTTTGTGGGGGTGGGGGATTGGTCTGGAAGTAAAAGATGGTGGTCATGGGGAAATGGGAGGAGGAATGGAGGAGATGGAAGGGGTTGGCATTAGGTTTACTCTTTTTCTTCAATGTTTTCCAAAAAAATAATTTTTAAAAAATGATTTAACTGAAAGTTGGATGAAATGTTGAGAATTTAGACGGCACGGAGAAATTGGTGAAAAAAGAAGAAGCTCATATTCTTAATTTTCTATATATATATATATATATATATAAAGATAGGGGGTTAATCGAAAGTTATGTATAAATTCAGGGGGCAAATCACTAGTATACTTATTATATCTTAAAAGCGGGAATTTAATTATATTATTCATCTATATTATAATATGTGAATGAATTATAATAAATAACTGTATTCAAATATCATACAATAATTTCTCCAAATTAAAGTGCAATATTTAGTTACAATTGCAAAGTTTTTATATGTATTTTCAACATAAAATTGTTTCTTGCTTTTTGTTAGAGAAAAAAATTGAAAAAAGTAACAAAATTCGAATCTTCCCCTTCCCTTTATAAAAAATGAAATTATGTCACATTCAACATTCTTTTTTAAATGAAGTTTCAGCCTTAACCATTTTTTAAAATCAAGTTTCATCCTCCCATTTGATATTTGTTATTGTTAAATATTTAGAGAGTATTTGTTTTGCGATTTCAGAACTCTGGAACAGCAAAATGACAAAATTCAAAATTTAAACACCAAACTTCTAACTCTCAAAATGACCCCATTCACATGTGAAGCCTCAAAACACCATCTCCAAATCCCCAAAAACTCTAAATCCATATTCTAAACCTCATAATATCAATACCTAAATTCATTTGGTTAATAGGATTTTATTGGATTGGATTGGATAAGTTAATAAATATAAGGTATGTTAATTTAGGTGCTCTCACTGAACCTCCATAATAAGTCTGTGACTTAACAATGTTAATAATTATGACAAAACTATATATGTATTTTTTATTGAGAGAGGCGATATTATACTAAACTCACACACATTACATGAATGCTTAACTCAAACCCAGGACCTTTCATGGGAGAGCAATTGCTCCAAACTAGTGGCGGTGCTGTGCATAAGGCAAGTTGGGTGCCCACCTAGCCCAATTTTTTTATTATTAAAAAACCTACATATGTTAATATAAGCCCATCCCAAAATTAAAAAAATTTAAACCAAACCCTACACACATGTTGCCCATTCAAGTGGTCCCATATCTTCTCTCTCCTCTTTTGGTTATGCGACATCTTGTTTCTCTCTCTTAGCTACCCGATAGCAACAACTTCTATCTCCCTCTATTGACTACATCTTTTGTTATATTGGGTGGGCAACTTGGCAACAACATCTTCTCCTCCATTTTCTATATATCTTTAATTATAGTTTTAATTTAAAATTGAGTATTCTAGGGTTTAATTATGGATGAATTATAATTTTGGGATTTTATTGAAATTAATTAGAGCTTTGATTTTAGGAATACCGTATTGTTGAGATGCTATTATGAGAATTTGGTTGATTTTTTATTAGTATGTTTGATTAAAATTCTTTCTATATATTATTTATAGGCTATCTTTTATTATATCGGAATCCTAAGAGAACAAAGAATTTATTGTCTTTTTCTAAGAAAAAGAATGATGGGTCATCATCTAGTACATTACCTTCTAGCACTTCTTAAGTCTCCCATTGTCGAGCCTCAAGTTGAAAGAGTTGAATCCAAAAGAGTCGATGATGATTATGATTTTAATATCAACTATCTTGAGCGTGATTCAAGATTATGTTGTCTAATATGCAAATATCCGGTGAATAAACAAGATAATGTGCGTAGAATATATATTATTATAGGACCATGCCAACCCGAGTTAGAAGATTATATAAGTCACTTAGACGGGCGGGATTTTCCTTGATTTAATAAAAAGTGGTTTAGTCAATTCACTTGGCTTGAGTATTCAGTTACTAAGAATAAAGTATTTAGTTTTTCTTGTTTTCATATCGTCTAATTTAGTATGTAAGTTTTGCCCAGCCAATTTTCGAATCTTGGAACCGCCAATCAAAACCACCATTATGACAAAACTATTCTTAATTGTACCACTAATGCCTTTTTAATAAAATAAACCGTGTTCTTTACTTGAATAATGGTAGAAAACTTGTTTTTGCCTCAAATTATTAAAAGCAAAAAAATAAAAAGGGCCTTTTGGTGCAAATTGCAAACAGCCGGACACCTCCCCATAAAATTCTGAAGAAAAAAAGAAAAAGTTCGTTGACCCGGCCCAACCCAACTAAAAATCTCCCGCGACCGCCTGGGTCGCCAACCGAGATGAACACGTGTACGTCTCCGATTTGATTTGAGAGCCGCCAGACTCGGCCGTGGACCCATTGACCCAAATATTCCGTCTCCTTCTCCTTCATATAAAACAAAGAAAGGAAAACCCCAACACCTTCTTCAATCCCATATCCTCTCTCTGATCCATCTCTCCCCGATCTCTGAAATCCTTGACTCTTACCCAACATCCCATTTGGCAATTTCCTCATCCTTCACCATGCTCTGACCCTAAAACCCCTGATTTCTAGACGACCCAGAACCCTGTTTTCTCAGATTTCACAGCTCTGGTTCACGATCTGGGGTGGTTTTGTGAGTGTTGTTTTGTGCAACGCGCGGGCTTAGGGGTTTCGAAGAGCATACGATAATGCCTTCGGTGCCCATTCAACTCCTGCTACGACCCTTGGTCCCTAACTTGACTTCCTTCCACGGCGGCTCTTGCTCTCATCGTCTGAAACGTATAGAAAAAAGCGATCGGCGTGGTAATCTTAGTTAACATTAGGTTTTAATATCACTTTGGGTTGTTCTTTTTGTGGTTCTTGCTCACCTTCCCAGACTCCCTGTTTGTTGGGTTTTTGGTGTTCTTCTCGTTTTGTGGTCTGCAAGAGGTTAGATAATTTTGTCAAGAAATCTGAGGTTTAGGGATTGGAGGATCTGTAAGGCTTACAAAGTTTGGTATTGGTTTATAAGTTCTTGGTCTCAAGGTTATTCTAGCTCTGAACTTTATACGAGGTAATTAAATTTCACCGACTTTATTTTCATTTTAGTTCAAATCGTTTATATTGGCAGCTGGATATCATGAATTAGATTGAATATGTAGTTCTTTTCTGCTTGATTATGTGTTTGGGTAACTGGGTTGATTTAATTTCTGGAGTTGTGCTTAACGTTCATTAACATGTGGGTTTTGGCACTATGTAGAATCTGGTATTGTAGATGGACATAAGCTCTCCGTGTGGTAAGTCGGTGTTGAAAAATGTAGACAGCTTCCCAGGTTTGCAGCCCTCTGCGAACCAAGCACAAAGTCCTAATAGTTCGCTTTCAGATCGTTTGGTAAGTGACCTTGTAAATGCTGTTGACGAGTCCTTGAATATCAAAGATGTTGGAGAAGAGTCCTTGAATATCAAAGATTTTGTTGAAGAGTCGTTGAATCTCAAAGATGTTGGGAAAGAGTACGTTGGTATCAAAGATGTTGGAGAAGTGGAACATGCTTCTTCTAATGAGGAAATTATTAGCGGCGTGGAGAAAAGAGACGCATGCGATGGTCCTAAAGCACAACAGGGAAAAATCACTCAGACGTGCTTGAATAAGTGTGTAACCTTTCCTAATGCTAATGGGGTGCTGCCTCGTAATGCCTCAGATATGGCAGAGGAGGAACCCGAAACAGCCATGCAGACACCTGTAAGTCATCTGTGCTTATTGCGAGAGTGTATTGGCCATAGAGTTGTATACCCCTTCGTTCTTTGCTAATACTATGTTTTCACTCATGGATTTCGTATTAGTCATTGCTACTTTTGATGCCCGTGAAGCATTGGTTTCCCATTAGTCATCACTAACCCGTCTCCATTTTGTCGGTAGTCTCTGCCTAGCTCGTGCAAGGTGCTGGAGCTACTTTATTTATGTGCATCTCCTCTGTCAAGTTATCCAGAGAAGTTATAAAAAGAATGCTTCTTTGATTAAACTGCCAGTCTTTAAGAAATATGTGTATATATAGTTAGTGTAATTTTATTTATGTTTAAAACAATTTTGACTTAATATCATGCTGTCTTCTAGTTTTGGATGGATTGAACTGGCTACTTGAAAAGAAATGTTGTGATGGTCTACTTGAGCTTGCGTCCTCAGGTCATCTGCTCATATGTTTTATTGTACTTGTGCAGGCTCCTTTGAAGCTACTTTCTGCAATGAAAGGCAGCCGGGAGAAAGAGGGGTTGTCACCTGGGAAACTTACTGTCACTTGGGCCCCTGATGTGTATGATCCGCCTACTACATCAATGTCGCACACAGTTACAGGCAAGAAACAGCAGAAGTCAAAGAACAAGAAAAATTGGAAGAGAGATGGAAAGAAGGGGCAAAAGGGCAGCTCTTCTCGAGGAAAAGAGAAGAAGCAATATCGCAAAGGTGGGGCTTCTGAGAGGTCTCACAGATATCTGGATTCCCGTGAGACATTGGTTGGCACAAACAATGATTTTGGTGACCTTGTGGTTGGCAGCCCAGACCAACATTCTTATTGTGGGAGCTCCTTCTTGAAAAATTCGCTCACAAGCATGCATTACCCAGTTGCAGAAGCCCTGTGAGCAACATATTTTGTTGCGAGTATCACATCCTACGCTGTGTACATAAATAATTACTACAGTTCTGTTGGGGTTGGTGTTTGAGAAAACTTGGAACAATATGCTACTCTGTTTGTGTCTGTCGTTGAGCCATTGTGGTGATCCCTTTATATATAATGTGTGGTTTTCTTATGTTCCTTTTGCAGCAGCATTTTGTAATTGCATTTGGTGTAATGGGTTGGCCTGACTTATTAATTTCCTGTTTCGATAAATTTATGGGATTCTTTGTTCTGTATTGATATGGCACGTTTGTGTGTGCATCAAGACGCATTTGCCTACATGCTATTCCAAAAAGGTTTATGAATGCGTACAGATTTTTAAACCTGTATCCATAAGGCAATTGCATGGTAGAACAACCCTAATTTCATGTGGAAGAACATTGATTTTAAGCACGTTGGAAATATAGGTGCATAAAATAGCGAGTTGGGGTTTTGATATTGAGGGAAATGAATCAAGTGCTCGTGAAACCCGGAACAGTGTCTTGACATTACATCGTTCAACGGACGAGGCATGGTGGTTTTGGACCTTCTGGTGTTACATTCACCTCAAGAAAATGCTAAAGTAAAAAAAGAATTGAAGACTTGACTGATAAATATCTCATTTGAAATTCAAGTCGGGAGTTACACAATGACGAGTACTTTATGTTGTGTACTCGGCATTAATTTTAACATAATCATAACTTAAATCACAGCCCCATGCTTGACCTCGTCCCGGACCATCACCTGTTCAAAAAGTAAAGGGCATATCAAACACAACGGAAACGAAAGATGTACCAAGAAACTTAAGTTTGCAGGCTTAGTTAGTACTCAGGCAGATGGAAGTAATTAGTTATGATTGTGGTTACAGTTGAATATCCGACTTGCATAATGCTCCACTTGGTTCAGAAACTTACCCACAGATACATTGATTACAACTGTGCCATGGATCTCACCAGCCTTCTTGAGGTAGTCACTGGCTGCACCCCTGAAACGAGATCCATCCAGTCAAACTACTAGGTTTAGAATAGATCTTCTCCACAGAGAGGAAAAGATGGCACGCTGAAAGGGAAAATGTGCTTGGCACAAAGAAAAACTTGAGTTACCTGTCAAATAATTGTGGTTCCCCACCATCCATGAGCAGAATATCCCCTAGCAATACTCGGAGCTTGGTTTGGTCAAAAGATATTCCTGCATAGCCTGCAGCAGCAGCGATGCGTCCCCAGTTTGGATCTCTGCCATATACTGCAGCCTGAGTGGCATTTGGGAAATAATTTAGTATTTGGTATATTTTAGCATCAAAAAGGTAGGCAGGGTTGGGATATCATGCCTTTACTAGTGAAGAAGATGCCACCGACCGTGCTATTTTTGCTGCTTCAGGCTCACTGTCTGCACCAGTCACCGTTACCTGCACATCTAGTCAGGATTAGCAAGGCATTTTTGAAGTCATACATGAAAGACCATAAGTTCATCATCGTCAATAAATCAAAGTCCAAATAATTTGCACAGTCTAGTACTTAGATGCCCAGATCCTACATAGAGTATTTTACAACATATCGTTATATTTGTGTGATTAAAGACATGAAAAGAAACAAAGATTAAGGGACCATAAAATCGAGTTGCAAGCTTCAAATTTATACTTTTACATACTTTCGGCATCATTACTGATCTTAAATAAGAATGCAGACCTCAATTAGGCATGTTGCTCCTTCTCCATCCCAAGCTATGGATTTGGCAAGACCTTGCATTACCTGCAAAATGAATACGGTAAAATATGAATCCCAGAAGCTGGTTTTAGACTGCATAAAACAAATCAAATGGAAAAGTCAACTTATTCTTTCATTAGTTTCGTGTGATGTCAGAATTTTGGAGCTCACTGTAAAAAAAATTTAGATAACAGAGGAATGCAAAACTTAAATGAAGTGAAACTAACCACATCAAGGCCCGCTTGAAGTTGTACTGCTTGATTACTGTTGTAGGAAGATATCTTGGTTGATCCAGATAATCCACTAGCTAACGCAATGACAGTATCATTGGTACTCGTATCTCCATCTACCTGCAGAAAACCCATACATGTGGTGGGTTATCATACTACAAAATAAAAATGCAACAAGGTAGGTTGATTACACCACGTGAGGTGTAGCCCCACTAAGTTATGGTGTTCAATAATTGGAAGAAAAAAAATGTACACACTGTTATTTGGTTGAAGCTTCGGTTGACAGCAACTTGAACCATTTTTCTCCAAACATCACTGCTAACCATTGCATCAGTTGTTATTACCTGTCCATGTAATCATATTAGTTAATAACTAGTCAAACATCAAGAGAGAAACACTAGAAGACATACTCCAAGCATGGTAGCCATATTGGGGTGGATCATCCCGGAACCTTTTGCCATTCCCCCAATTCTTATATCTGTCCCTCCAACCTGAAAAATTCACCAGTTTTTTTTAAGGACCAGCCTGGTTTCTATTTTACTGCCTACAGGTTTCAAAAATAAAAACATGATATTGCCAAAGTTTTGTACAGCTAATCAGCAATTAACATAATCCAAAAGTAGCAGATATTGCATTCACTACAGATATAAATACAGGAAACTAGATCTTGCACACCTGAGACTGAATTGCCACACTCTTGCTAACCAGGTCGGTTGTTGTGATTGCCACTGCTGCAGCATCTGCCCTGCAGACCAAGGCAAAATGACTTCTCTGGGAGATGATTTAAAAGTTTTAAGCCCCAAGGTTTCACAGAAAAAGAAAAACACGAACTGAAATTCGATGCTGAAAATAAACACAACCAGGTATATATGAAATTATGTCAGTTATCTAAGTTAAGTTCAAAACCATTAACATTTACCCCTCAGTCGATGCTGATAGTGAATTAACCAGTTTTGGAAGAGATTTTAGAAGTGCTTCCTGCATATGAAAATTAAAAAATGAATCATTTGTACAACATTTAGAACAGTTCATGTTATAAATCTTCCTAAAAATTATCATGCAACATTTATCAGCTGATCTGTTAATATTTCAAGAAATCCTGTGCAAATCAATATTATTAGAATTTTAGCATAACATGGAAACAGGAATATGATGGTTATATAGTACCTTTTTTATCCTTTGGCCAATCACACCAGTGGATTCAATCAGCACTTCCTCAGGCTTCATTTGAAGTAGCTGCAGTAAAAAGTTTCATACTTACAAGGGATAACAAATCCAGCCTATGAAAGAGCATCTATCAGATTAGGGTGTTTGCCACCCTTAATGCCACATACCTTAGCAAGGCTGCTGACGGACTCTATTACATCTTGGTAACCTGCATCACCCTGAGAAAAATGGGAAATTTATTAGCGTGCAAGACTAAATTTAACAGCATACTCAAGAGTATTCAACGGGACAATTGACAATATGCATCAGTAACGCCCTACCGTCGCTGCATTGGCTTGACCAGCGTTTATCAAAACTGCCCGTGCCTAAAAGTTGTAAACACTTTTCGTTAGCAGATCCAAATGACAAAATTAAAACATGAAAAGTAGTATAAAACCCAACACAAACATATAGAGCACTACATTTACAATAAGCACAACATCATTGTCTAATAAATAAAAGAAGCATTTTCCATCTCACCGTTTTTGAAGTGTTTAATACTGTTTTGCAGTATAACACTGGTGCAGCTGCTACCACATTCGTGGTAAATACCCCTGTGAGTAAACCAACATAGAAATAGTATAAATTTAAAAAAAGTACAAAATTAATTTGCTCAAAATACCATTACTAAGAAGCATAAACCAAACACAAGCAACTCACCAGCAGAAGTGGCATCGACATCACAAGTGACAAGTGCGAGATCAGGCTTGTCACCTTTGGCACGAAGACCGCCGAACAAACCTGCAGCTTTGAATCCTTCTGCAGCCGTAACTCCGCCGGGAATCTACAGACTCGATCACAGTCAGAGTCCCGATAAAGTTCAAAAATTTATCAAACAAGAAAACATAATTGCAGGGATAAATGTGAATGTAAACCAAAAACAGCGTCGTAGAAAAGGTCACCTGCTTCCAAGGCCCTTGAGGAAGGAAAATGGGAGCTGGTGGAATGTGATTGGTGACTTCACTTGCAGTCATTGAAATAGCCGGAAGTTTGAAGTCCCTCCGAGTCGAACCGAAACGAGGAATGGCGGGGAATTTGATGGAGACGTACTGAGGAACGCATACATACATCTCTGCAACACAACTGGAAGCTACTGCCTTCTGGAGTTGGATTTGAAAATGGCGGTTTTAGGGTTTTATGGTTGAAGTGAGGGGGTTTTACGATCGAAACGTATTTATTTTGTTCCGGCGGCCGAAACGTTTCGAATAGTATAGTCCGTGAGAATTAAGAACTCGAATCGAATCTCCTTCTCACTCTCAGACAATTGGGTACAGGGACAAAGTCTAGGGTGTAGCTGTACAGGACTGTCTTAGGTGTGTGTGAACTGGACAGGACTGTCTTAGGACTCTGTTACGCCCCTCCAAGGAAAAAGAAAAGAAAAGAAAAAGCCTATGTTATTATTTGTCACTGAATGTGTAGAATGATTCCTCGTATCATATGTAAGTAAACACAGGGAAATTCAGTTCTTCTCATTTCCATTACTTGTAAGTAAACGTGACATAGAAGTGAATTGGTGTACCTTGATTGGTAGTTTAGAGTATTTCTTAATGAAACATCCGTGCACAATTGGATTTTGATCTCAACTGTGTTTTGCTTACTTATCTGAAAAGCAATTGTTAAAAAAGCACATCTACTTGGATCACTCCCAACAAACTTTTTATGGATTTGTGCATGTTCATTTCCTTTTGCTACAATTGGCTAGACATGCAAGATCATACAATTTTGTCTTCTGATACTACGAAAATGATATGTCCCTAGCATCAACCAACCACAAGATCTTTCTATATTAACAATAACCGCCTGGATCCTGCAAATAAATGGCGAATCTTTACTGCAACAAATATGTAAGTCCAACATGTTAAAACTAACATGACCTAGACACCACATGTCACTTACAACTCCTCTCCGATGTTCTATAAATTCGGGGGCTTTCCACCCTATGAAATTCACTGAATGGGAAGACAATGTTCTTGATTTATCATGACATCTAATCATTTAAGTAATAAGAAAAATAGAAATTTCAAGTATGAAGCACAAAAGAAGGAAGCCAACATTGGCATATAGATTAGAGCATTAAGGTGGTTCCAACAGAGGCCAAAATGAACCAATACATAATGTTAACAAGGTCCCCTGTCCCAAATAATTCACCTAAGTTACCAAGTCCTTCATATTTCTCAATACAAATAACACAAGAGAGTATTACAGTATTTCAACTCCCCTTGTTTTCATCACAATGAGATCAACCCAAGGAACTTATGCAGTCATCCACACCATCCAATGGTCTTGTTGGTTCTGAAACCAGTTTCAGAAGGATTTGGCTGTGCTTGAGGTGGAGGCCTAGGCTCCCTAGGTTTTGCAGGGTCAACGAAAATAACCCACCCATCTAAGAACTTGGCATTCATTCCCTGTCTAGCTTGCTCGGCCTCTTCAATGGACGTGTATGTGATGAAACCAAACCCCTTTGATCTTCCTGACGCCCTATCGATAACCACTTTCGCTGCAGGATCATCAGCGCAATACGTTAACATTAAAGCAAGCAATCTAAGAAAGGATGTCAGGAGCAAATAAACAAGTTGCCTTAGACTTTACCATCTACAATCTGCCCAAATGGAGAAAATGCCTCTTGAAGCTTTTCATCTGTTGTTAATCTGGAAAGACCTGCTCATTGCATATGGATGAAATAATAGTGATGAATCAACATTCTCTGTATTCGTATTCGTATATAATACAAATGGTTACGTAGTAGTTACTATCTATACATCTGTTTAGCAAACAGATGGGGCAATAAACACTTGAACGCATTTGCAGCCATGTTGGTTAGTGTTTTTTCATTTTTGATAAATCAGTCAAAATATTGGAACCTCTGAGTTTGCAGATTTGTAATTATACCCAAAACAAGAATCAAACAACAAAAATAAACACAGATTGAAGCACAAGAATACGCAATGGAAAAGGCCTAATAGTTCATAAACCACACACACAATCTACACGAAAGGAGCACCCAATTATTTAAGTTCGCATTATCTGGGTAGAGATCATAAACCCATACCCAAATCTCGAAGAAAAAAAAACCAAAATTAGGAAGAACAAAAAAGGATCGAACCTTTAACCCAACAAGCCAATTTGAAAAATGTGTTTAAAAAAACAACAAAATGAAAACTTACTTGGCGAGCAAACATAAAAGAACAGAAAGAAATTAAGAGAGTGATGAGTTTGATTTGAAATTTACCGCTGATGAATAGCTTGGGGGAAGTGAGAGTTGAATTGTGACGAATGGAGACGAATTGGGATTGAAGAGCAGCGGAAGATCCGCCAAGAACGCGTCGGAAGCTAGAGATGAACGCCATTTGATATGATCCGACTTCAATGGACAGAGAGATTACAGGGGTTGGGGATTTTGGGGTTCAGGGTTTAACGAGAAGGAAAAATATAGGTTTGGTTTTGGTTCGGGTCGGGCAGCCGCTAAAACCCTATTAATCTCACAACTCAGAAGCTTCTCGTACTTTGTGCGACCAAAAGGCCAGACCAGACATATAGCCCAATTGGGATTTTAGTCGAACTCCAACTACATAAAAAAAAGAGATATTTAGTGATATACCCATTCTTAGCACTAATATTATAAATAAACCCTTCATCATTGAATTTCTATAAACAAACCCAAAAAAACCCCCAAAAATGACAGCTGACCTTATTGAATTTAATATTGATTATTAAATTACTTTAATGCCCTATTGAGTGTTTTGAGTATTTTTATGACATTTTGGGGTTGGGCTTGTTTTAAGAAATTTATGGTAGTTTTGTAATTTATAAGAAGTTAAAGCCTCTTTGTTATGTTGTAAATGAGTTTTGGGTGTGTTTATAAAGTTCATTTTATATGGGGTATTTTTATAATTTGGGCCCCTATATTGGGTATATTAGTGAATCTCCCTAAAAAAAATTCCCAAAATTGTTTTCTGGTGTTTCTGTTCTGTTTTTTTTTTTTTTTTTTTTTTTTTTTTTTTTTTTTTTTTTTGGGCAAAGAAAAAAACATGCTATTACTTGTAGTAAATTGAGATTGGAGTATTCGGCAAATTTTTCGGGAGGTTAATATGGCAGCTGACACTCTTGCCAAGAGGGGACATTGTTCACGACGTACTTGTATTTGGTTTAGTAATTTTTCATTGGATATTTTACTTTGGTTAGAGCATTTATAATGAGCTCCCTAAATCACCTATTTAGCTAAAATTTGGGGAGGAATTGAAAAAACCCACCTCCAATCATGCTCCCTATCCAGCTCATAAAATAGGGAGACCTTTAGGAGCTTCTAAATCTGAGGAGAGAGAAAAGGTTCCTAATGACTCCCTATAATTAAATGCTACCATATTTTATTATTATTTTAAACATTTATTAATGATATCTTTAATTTTATCAATTTTTTTTTACAAATTTATAAATAAGCCCAATCCTAGACATGTATTTATAAAAAAACCCAAGCACTATTTAAAGATAGAAACACATCCAAAATCAACCCCAAAGTCAACTTTTTGGGTGTGTTTATAAATAGGTTTTGAGTGCGTGTAATGATGGGTTTTGGGTGTGTTTATATGTTTAAATAGTGCTTGAGTTTTTTTATAATTTCAACCCCAATTATATTATTATTTTAAATGCTAGTGACTCCCTATAATTAAATGCTACCATATTTTATTATTATTTTAAACATTTATTAATGATATCTTTAATTTTATCAATTTTTTTTTCTTTCTGCATTTTATATTTGTAATCACTTTCCATTGCAAGCTACCTACACCGTCTGTTCTATTCTTTTTGCCGTAGCTGTAGGTGCTTTGCAAAGCACAAACAAACAAAAAAAAATTCGATTCTTTTCACTGTAGACATTTTGCAGCACACGAACACCTTTTTTTCTTTTTTTCTTTTTTCTTTTTTAAGTTATTTTCCCCGTAGGTATTTTACAAACCACAACAACCATAGAATATCAAATTGAACAACAAATAAACTTACAATATCATTGTAGTTTATTATTTTGGAATATTTAGTATTTGAATATGAATATTTTATTGCAAATCATGAATTAAATTTAAAAAGAAGTAAATCATTTATGACTCTCCAAATTGGGGAGTATGGTTGGAGTTGAAATTTTTAGAAAGCTCCTATAATAACTTTTTTTGTGTTTTTAGCTAAATTTTAGCTAAGAAATAGGGAGTGTGATTGTGGATGCTCTTAGTGATTCGCCAAGCTTGGAGTACAAAACTTCAGGGAAGAAAAGGGTCCAAAAACTTGAATTCTCCAGGACCTCCACAATCAAACTAGAAGTTAGTCCATGGCATGGCAATTTGCAGCCAGCATCGGGTTTAATTTTGTTTTGTTACATTATAATATCGGATTCGGGAAGCTGAAAAATGAACCAACAAACAAGAGAACAAAGCATATCCAATACTGTGTTAAACTGTTCAGAGAAAAATATTATTATTTAGGGTTTCTGCGTTGAAGATAATACACTGGAGTAAGTTAAATGTTTAAAACAAAAACAACATTCTCGTGATATAAAAACTAAGCAAAAGTTTCACGCATGCATTAAAAAAGGTCAGCATGCACTACTTTTTTCTTTTCTTTTTACATACATTCTTCTTTCTCCTCTCTTCCCTACTCTAATTCCAGGTTTCCAACAACAAACAAATCTCAACAGAAGCTTATTGGAGAGGCGAATCACTAACCGGGAAAAAAAAAATTGCAGCAATTTTACAGGAGTGGTAAATCGCTAACAGTGAAAGAAAAAAACATATAGATAATAAAACAATATGTTTCTACACCTAACTTCTCTGAGTGGAAACTATCGGAAAATCGATGAGCAGTCAATCCATCAACTTCACCACCTTTTCCAGCATTGACGTCCCCCTGAAAATTGTCAGCTGGACTTCCTTCAAGTATTTTGATAACTGGCAAATAAGACAACTGTTAGTGAATGTGTAACAAGTATAGCCCAATTTACAATACCAAGTTAAAAAATTTATTCTCTGTAACTGTAAACTATTGAAAAATAACTATTGCAATTCAAGTTTAGACTGATTCAATCAACAAAACATTCTGAGGACATTTCGTGCAAACTTGTTCTGTGATTCACTTACTTGCTCGTCTCTCATCTTTCTAAAGCCCAATTTCTTCGTCCAGATTGACTCAGCTTCCTCAGCCGCAGGGAGAACCAGCTTTTCCACTTTCAGGGAAATAAGTAACCTCTCTATACACGAAAATAAAGCTTGGAAATAACCCTAGAAAACGAATTTAAAATAATGAGGTTCAACTTTAACAAAGCCTGACATTCTCATAGAATGGGAAAACAACAAAGTATTATCCGAGAGACAAGAGCAGATTTTAAATCCCAATATACATACTTTTCCTTGATGTTCTCTACTTGTAGCAACAATAGGAAGCTCAGCAACCTCCTGACCAAAAACCCTAAGGAGACCAGCAGATACAACAACAGACCTGGACATGAAAGAAAATTATTGCCAAAAGTGTAAAATAAGGAGAAACCCATCAAATAGTACAAGCAACACCAATACCAGAAAAGCAACATACCTTACTATTAAAACTACACAATACATGCCTCCAAACTCTTGGCCTGATATATTTCTCCTGAAAAATGCCAGGAAAAATAATTGCTTACCTAATGTTACTAACAGAAAATTTATATTGGATAAACAAACACTACAGACCCAAACCTAATCCCATAATCATTCTTTATGGAGCAGAACTCAAGAAGCAATAATTGCTATGCATCTATATGTATCACAACACAAAAGCCCAGTTGGGATGCCTTCAGGTGTACTTGAAGATGTACAGCTTGAAAATGGACACAGAACCGCAAAACTTATTCACTAATCTTCCTTCTTGGGGGAAGGGGGGAAGTTTCTGTCTTTTTGTTTGTCAATGAACAAAATAATTAAAAGGATCACTTACCCATATACCATAACAGGGATCAAATCACGACCAGATTGTGCAACAATAGGGTCAAAGCACTCCTGGCAAATGAACACAACATATAATTAGGTAATATATTTGTCTAGTAAGAGTTTTGATGCTCTGTCTGGAACATAAGCTGCCAGTGAATTAAATGGCTGGTCTCTCTTTGGGTATTTAAACAAACAATTGGGAAAGAATAAAACACCAAGTCCAAGTTCAGTGAGTCATAAGATCATAACAAGGCATCAAAATTATATATACTTACCCGAAAAATTGCAGCAGCCCTTGAAAGAAAGGGTAGATGTTCTGGGTAGCGACTTTTACCACTGAAAACTCGCCATTGAACATCATCTGTCACTCCATCAATAAATATACCTCTATCTGCATGCTTCCTGATTATTGTATCTGACAATGGAGCTGGAATCCGCTCCGCTCCATTATATACTAAATTCTGCAATGCTGCATGAATATTATTACAGTCATCACAACAAAACCACTTATCCTTGGGGAGTTCCTGCAGCAAGATACGAGAAAGATAAATTAATACCCCAGAAACCATAAAAATATTAACCATTACAAGATTCAGAACGTACTTTTAAGTCACATAATCCACTGTTCCGTAAGCAACCGACATGGAACTCCTTCTCGCACTAAACAAGAAGCAAGGGTAAGAATAAAACAATGATAATAATGAAAAAGAAAATTTGTTCAAAAGAATGAAAAAGCAAGTCATACTTGGTCACAGATTATAACTGTTCGGTCATCAAATAAAGCCGCACTGAAATCATGGCTCCTAATAAACATAAAATAATATGTTAGCAGATATCTATAACTGATAAGCAAATGGGGTATATCAAATCAAGAAATCAATTTTCAAGAGTGCTTGAGAAAAGTTAAATAAAAAATATTGCAAAGGAATTGCCTAGAATCCAGGCAACCAAATTTCCAACAAATAGTTTGTAGTCATAGCATTATGTTGAACGTGATGTGGCCAAACTAAAAAAAGTGAACCTTCATTCACTTTCCCTAGTACCAAGATCTCATCTGAAGGTGTATAACTTTTCACAGAGTATCAAAAACTTATCCCTTTCCGTCAATAAAAGGATCTTCACTTCATGCTACTTAAAATGCACACAAAATGAATTAAATGTACAAAGTAGTGCAACCAACCTGCAAACAACACAACCACCAATTTCAAATTCAGGGGCTTTAAAGACCCTTGTCAACCGTATTACAATTGGTTTTCCAAAATTTGAAGATTCCCCAGCAGCAGCTTTCCTACCAGGTTCAAATTTATCTCTACAATTTGGACAATGCCAATCACCTTCAGGAACCCACGGTAAATCCAAACAAGCTGCAACACAAACAAAGTTAGACCTCAATACAATGAAAGAAATCAATGCACCAAACAAGCATCAACATTAACCCATACACCCAGCACCTACTAGTTCGATAGACTCATAGGGACCTTAACACCACCATGTTACAATATATATATATATATATATATATATATGACTTTGATGCCCAACAAAAATGTTGATATATTAAATCTTTTTTCCAAAGAGGAATAAACTAACATGACTCCTTTTGAGAATACAAAATACAAAAGACATCATAATAAGGCATCTCTTCCCATCAAAAGTACAGTGGGGACAATATGTGCTGTTATTAGATTGAGAAGACTTAGTGATGTGGAACGAAAACCATTGATCAAATGATTAAAATATTCAGCACAGCACAGTTGCACTAGTAAAACATGGGAAGGACAAAAGACATTTAACACAAAGAGTTTATTTGTCACAAAAAAATATCAAAAAAGATCTTCAAAGTTGATAGGCACACCTGAAATCAAACGTATAAACCTACGAACTAAAAACAAGTATAAAAAAAAAATAGAACCAATTAGATACAATATCAACCTGAATGATAAGCACGAGGGCAGCCATCACAAAAAATCATATCCCCCATATCATGTCCACAAACTGCACACATATCATCATTTCCATCACTGCCACCAATGGTGAGGTTTTGCCCATTGGCCAAGGACATGGCTATATCGTGAAGCGTCAATCCATTGGAAATATAGATGTGACGGTAGCTGCAAAAGGACATAAATTATCTACACATGACACATTAAACAACTATAACAACAAAAGTTCTTTGGAAGCTACTCACGGTTGACGCCTTGCAGCCATTCCAGCATGAGCTTCAAACTGTGAAGGGCTTATCTGTTCATGCATAAGCACAGAATTTACGTGAGAGAGTAAAGGGAGGGAGGGGCTATAATAAAATGCAGAACTCAAATTTGATGTCATCTTTGCAGCTCAGTATTTACCTCTCTGTCACAGCAATTACAGACTATACCATTTCCTTGCTTATAGCCACCAAGCAATCTCTGTAGATATCAAATCATCAGATCAATTAAAGATTGAAAATGACATACATCTACACCTGAAACCAAAATCAACATAAAAGATGTCGAAATTTACCTGGCCTTTGACATAGTATGCCAATTTAGCTCCATCTGGAAGCCCATTTGGCATAAACAGTAATCGGTGAAGATCATTATCCCTATCAACAGCACAAATTTCCCAATCAAGAAAAACTCACCCATTATTGGAACAGCGTCTTATAAACAAAAACTCAAGAAGAAGCATAAAAGGGAATTTTAAAAAATGGACGAGGGATGAGGGCAACCTTCTCTTATTGCCACCTTCAGCAGGTTTCTTCTGGTACATAACTGAGTAAGGAGTGTGGGAGCTTGGTCTGCACGGCAAACACAGTTTCAATTTTCTAATGCAAAATACTGCATCTTATCTGAAATCTGAATTAACCAATATGATGAAAAAGAACATACAATGTTTTATTCAACTATAATTTAATTAAGTTTAATCACCATTAGATTAGTCTAACAAAATTTAATGATTGACAAATATGCATTGTATAAAACAGGAAAATATCATGAGTTAAGCTTGTTACCTGGGAAGAGAATGAGTCGGCCTAGGAAGAGAATGAGGCAGTTTAGGAAGCGAATGAGGCAGTTTAGGAAGCGAATTAGGCAGTTTAGGAAGCTTCACACAAGGTCTTTTATCTACTTCAGCCATTCCATCACTTCGATGAAGAGTTGCTGCAGAAATTTTTAAGAGAGAAAAGGAACATTAGGGCCTTAATAGTACTTACAATATAATTATTTCTATATTTACAGAACAAAATTTCTTTTTTCTCTTGACCCAATCCCTTTTCCGAAGAAAGACATTAGCGTTTCCAGTCCTCTGACATTGCAAATGTGACCCTTTACTCAAAACGAAAACATCACATGAATAACCATCACCTTTCCAAACACAGAAGGACTCTTCATTGACAGAAGAACCGGCAACACCCCTTATCACTTCATCCAGCGAGTCTAGTGGAGCAGTCTTCAATTCTTGTATGATACTATAAACTGGCCTCCCATTCTCCAAGTATATATGATTATTAGGATGGCGAGTCTTGACACCAGCATGCTGCTCAAACTCATATGCACTGAGTACCTGTTCATATCATTGAATCAATCATCTATAACTAGTAATGCACTTAACTCTATAACAATCTAAATAATGAGTAACCTTACCTTGCTGAAATTGCATGATGAGCAGGCGCACAAATAGCCACCATTACTTATAATTCCATGCAGCGCTATCTGCCAAACTTTCTATTAGGAACTCTATGATAAATAAATATTCAAACTGCAAGAATACATCCAACAGAGGAAAAAGAATACATTCGATAAATTACCTCTGATGTGGTGGAAACATATTTCACTCTAGCTCCATCAAGAATACCAGTAGATAATAGCTTTTTGACATTTGTAGGATAGCTGCTCGAAACCTTGTTAGACGCTTCCAATTCCCTATTAGGAGTACATGGATGACAGTTTCCGGTTTCAGCATACTTCCTCGAATATGAACTTGCAGGAAACTCCCTACTTGTACTAGCCATTGCTTGAAAGTCTGTTCCAGGCTCCTCATAAGAACCTCCATGTGGAAAGCCACTACCAAGTCCATTACTCAGAGTCTGACTAACAGAAGCCACTGACTGACTGTCATAATCCTCTCTTTTTTTGCTGAACTTAAACGTAATTTTGCGAATCCCAGATGAAGTGGCAAGCTTAGGAATTTCAACTACAACGCGAGAAGTCAATACATCACCATTCGTATCGTTATCAATTTGAGAATTATCATTCTCAGCACGCTGTCCATCGCTCAAGGTCTCCCCTGAGCTTGAATTTCCCAGACAAGGGGAAGTGACTTCACCGCACTCAACTTGGTTACTATTTTCCGCTTCAGCCGGTTGGCTAGTTATGTCCTGAAAAGTGGAGGCGTTCTCTTTTGGAGAGACAACCGGGTTTGAAACTTCTGAGCGTATATCCTCATTGGAATGCTCTTTGGCTTGCTTCTTGTTTGGAAATGAGTCTGGCTCGGTATCATCTACGACACACTGATGGTCTCTCTTCAATTCAGTTCTTGGGAAGTCGTCAGTTTCCACTCCCCCATCTGTTAATTGGCCCAAACAAACCGCCTCTTCTTCCATCCAAGTACAGCAACTCCACTGGAAACTCTAATTTGCTAAGGCTCGGAAAATCAAGACTGTGAGACAGCATTCAATCAGAAAACCAAAGCGAAAATCTGAGGCCTAATTTGCTGGTGGTCAGGTTGAATTTGTCTCAAAAATGAATGAGCTTGAATTTCGAACTAAATCTTTCCCCCAGAATTCAATAACAGTCTTATCCTAAAATCAAAGAATAGAATCAAAACCATGAAAATAAAGAAAAAATGAACCTTTGGAATCATCGACAACGAGTAAGTGTAAACCAGTGATTGAAATTAGCAACAGACTGAACCAAAAAGGAAAATTTCACAAATTTACCTTGTTTGACTGATTCAAATCGAACGACTTTCAAATCTGAATAAACAAAGAGCAGTCTGGGAGATCGAAAGCGTCTTCGAATCGAATTTCAAACAATACGGATCTGAAATCCGCAGAGATAATTTAGAGCTCCTGTTCGTCAAGTGAGATCCAAGAGGAAATAGCGCGGGACGTGGTAAGGGTTAGGGTTTTTCAATTCCGTTTCAGAGGGTAACGTACAGAGCGGCAAAATAGCGAAATGAAAAGCTTGGCTCGCGCTCAAGATTCAACTTTTGAGGGAGAGATAGAGTCCATAAGACAGAAAATATTTATCTTTATTCGAAATAAATAAATGAAAAAGAGGGTGACGAATGAGTATCTTTGGAAAGAACCAGAAGGCGGGTGGGTGGATAAAGCTGATGGGCCCACTTTTTGGACGAACTCGATCGCGCCGCGTGGCATAGCTGGGTTACAACCGTCGGACTCATCAGACATTTTGGGTTGCACTGTCACGTGGGCGACACGTGTCATCGGATTTGGCCACCGCGAGTCCCGCTTTTTTTTAATCTTTTTGCGGGAATTTTATATTTTCCAGAGAGTTTAGTACGAGCAAGTAACTGTGACTGATGTGTCGAACTGAATTTGGGCCGTTGGATGATCCAGGTGGCTGCATCGGAGGGATTATAGAAGCTTTTTTGGGGGTTCATAACCGACTTAAAATGGACCAAACCTAACTGTCATAGCCGAAAAGGCAAAGGAAACATAACGGTCCAGGCTCCAAGTAGATTAATAAGAAATACTTTATATATATAGATAATAAAAAATTAAATTTTTTTGATAAATTACTTTGTGGGCCAGTCGTGACCTTATATGTGGGCTCTGGGTTACCAAGTGGGTGGGTTACCAAGTGGGCCTTCCTTATATATGTGATTTTATGATATTTATATTTATATTTTTTGTTTCAAATTTTTATGATTTCTAATAATATATTGGATATTTCTCCCCCTCTTTTTTAAAAAATATTGGGAGGAAAGAAACCCCTTGGGATTTCGAACCTGGGTGTCAAGCAGGGGTGAAGGGGAGGCCACCACTGTGGTACATGCTCTTGACGGATATTTCTCTCTTTCGCGAATATTCTCCATGCATTCATCTCTCGGTATTTTCCTCCACATTTTTTAATTTATAAGACCATAGTCAATTGTGCAATTAACAATTTGTGACTAAACACAAATTATCAATTCATGATGTAGTGCCCGTTTGATATTGCTTATTTGGGGTGATAAGTAAGTTTTAAACAAATTTGTGAAATCCAGCATGTTTGGTAAATTATGAGAAAATCACTTATTGTTAAAAATTGTTGTGAGAGAAAGCTATAAGGGAAAGCAGTTAAGAGCATCCACAATCATGCTCTCTATTTTTTAGTTAAATTTTAGCTAAAAAGATATAAAAGTTATTTTAGGAGCTCACTATAAAATTTAAATTTCAATCGTGCTCTCTAGTTTAGGAAGACATAAATGCTATAACTATTTTTTGATTGGTCCAATCTCTATTAAAAAATAAAACAAAAAATAGTTAGCATTAAATAAAGGTTTGAAATACTCATTAAATAAAGCAGAATTAAATTATAGGGAGCCACTAGGACGATAAATTATAGAATAGTACGGTATCACCACGTCAGCTGGTGATACTTCCATTCAAAAATTGTCATGTGTATTATTTTTATAAAAAATTAAACTTTTTGTTCCAGTTGTATTTGAAACTCCAATTTTACCCTTTAAATTAAAATGATTAAAAGAAATAGAAGATAAAATGTTCCAGCAACAATCGCTCGCCCTTAATCTCACTGTCGTGCCGTCGCACTACCTCCCATGGCTACTGCCCCCATCCTCTTATTTATTTCCTCCGTTTCTATATTTTTGCAATCATATCACATCCCATCATTGCCCCTCCGCAATTGTGCCAAGCAAGCCCATTTCTTCAACAAACAATACTGTGAAGAAAACCCAAACCCCATTTCAATTTGTTAATCAGGTGCATAGCAACTTGCCTAGTCCTGCAAGCATCAAACCCATAGTAGCAAGTCTTTCAATCACGTTGTATGTGTTAGACATGAAGATATTATTACGAATTTGGTCACTTCGCAGGCCATTCGTCTCTCTCCTTGAAACTGCTACTTCTCTTTAACCCATGGAAGCACCTGCAAGATCTCTAATCATTGCAAATGGGTCCATATTTAAACAAAGAGGCTTTAATCATTATCAAATTGAAATACTAATTTACTGAGAGTGTAAACACGAATTTCCTGCGACAAATGAGACAATAACACGTGTTCAAAATAATATTTGTATTTATGAAATTTAGGGTTGAGGAACTGGCACTTATTTGTTGTGCTTGGTGGCTCTTCCAAAGTGAGGTGAAGAATGCAGAGAGTTTTCTGTTTATTTTGAATGCTTGGTCTTTTCTCAACCCTTTCTTTCGTCTTGAGGCCTCCTATTTATAGGCTCTTGCAGGATGCTTGATCTAAATAGTTTTCCTTCTTTAAAACCTTCCTTTGTGGAATTCTGATTTGATTTCAAATCAATTCAAATAATTTGACAATTTAACCAAATTATCTTCGATTGATTGACTTGATTAATACTTGATTTAATCAAAGCTAATCACATAAGATTATTTCCTTTAACTTTGTCTTCACTTTGAACCGTTTGATGCACTCCATCGGATGTCGCCACGTGTCACTTTTTGACAACTAATTCGATTTTGATGAGTCACACTCCACATAGGTGAATTATGGGGTCCACAATTTAATCCATCAAACCTAATTATTTTCTTATTTAGTGGAATTTAATTCACCAAACATTTCTTTGTTTACAGAGACATTTGAATGAACATCAAGTAATGGAAAGACAGAAAGGGAGGGCCGTCGGATGATGGTGTCAGTGCGATGATAAGGGTTGTTTTCGTTTTCTCTGTTTTTCTAACATTTTTTTTAAAATTTTGTTGTGAAGGGTAAAATTGGAGTTGCAAATCCAGCTGGAACAATAGTTTAATTTCTTATAAAAATAATACACATGGCAAATTTTAAATAGAAGCTATTATATAATTTCTCCACTAGGACTCCCTTCTCTCTCCTTAGATTTAGGAGCTCCTAGAGGTCTCCCTATTTTAGGAGGTGGATAGGGAGCATGGTTGGAGTTGTATTTTTACAATTCCTCCCTAAAATTTGTCTAAGGAGGTGGTTTAAGGAGCCTTTTGTGGATGCTCTAATGAAGTGCTTTCATTTTCTGATTATGCAGGAATCAGTTTCGAATATGCATTGGGTTTAATGATTGTGCATGAATCATTTTTGATTATGCGGGAATCAGTACCAACAACACTTTTAACAAAAAGTTTATTAAATGTCAAACTGCTTTCTCTCACAACAAATCTGACAGCGATTATTTTCACAGCACAACAATGCCAAATTGGTCCGTAATCACTTGTTGTGATAAAGAACATATAAAAAAAAGAGCTAGCAAAGTCACGTAACATCGATGATTTGTCATCAAAATGTTCTTTGACTATTGTAAAATGATGTATATGAACTTAACTATGGTCTTCCGAGGCGAATTTCATAATGATGTTTTTTTTTCTTCTCAAATTGTGTTCTGTTCGTTGTAGCCACAACATTTAGTAAGATTGTAAGGTATGTATTAAACAACATGTGGCTGCGTTTGTTCTTTTTTTTTCTTTTTCTTTTTTTTATAAATATTTTTTTAATAAGGTGAAAATTGCGAGATAATTGCGGAATGTGAGTGTGTGTTGACCGATAATAACTGAATAAGATTTCACGTGGATTTTTGCTTTACTTCGTCTTTATCGGGCCTCGTTCGGCCTACTAGGCTTTAAGGGCACTTCCAGCAGTTGAAATCTTGCCATGGCAAGGGGGGCTAGGGCTGACACTATTCATAGAAATAGTGTCTGCCCTTGCAAAAAGTATGTTCCACTTCCAGCAGTTGCCATGGCAAGGGGGTATTATTTAATTTTTTGTTTTTTTCACAAATTTGTTTACCTAAACAATTAATTTGGACAATATATTCGGATGAGATTTTCTAATAAAATATTCAGATAAGGTTTTCAGTTTCAAATTTCAGATAAATTTTTTTAGAGTTGAAAGTGAAAAATTATTGAGTAGAAAGTGAATAATTAAACTTGAAAGTGAAAAAAATTTAAAGTTGAAAGTGAAAAAATTATTGAGTAGAAAGTGAATAATTAAACTTGAAAGTGAAAAAATTATTGAGTAGAAAGTGAATTTGTTGTTAAAAGTGAAGAGTATGGATTGGTATTTTTATAAAAAAATTCAGTATTTTTTGGGGTTTTTTTAAAATTTTTTACGATTTTTTTTCATAATTTTTTGCCTTGAAAAATTCCAGGCCGTTGGATTGGATGACGTCACGCTGACGTCAGCCTGCCTTCGAGCTGGAGCTCGGGCTCCCCCTACCTTCGGGCCAACCCAGGCTCGTGGACCCCACTCTGCCCAGGCCATCCTTTGTTGCTGGAACTTGCATTTGGGCTCTTGCCCCCGACAAGCCCGAGCCCTCGGGGGCTGCTGGAAGTGGCCTAAGGGATACTCTTGGGCCTATAAGAACATGGTCAGGCCTTTATTAAAGTGCTTAGAGAATAATGGTTGACATGAAAGTGGATTAATTACCCCCTAGAAAAAATTTGAAAGTGGATTGAGAATCAAGGCGCGTGGTAGGTGACTCATGGAACCCACCTGATTTTCTCTCTCATCTTATGTATGCTTTTAATTCTATTAATTATTTTTTTTCTTTCCTTTCTAGCCAAAAGAGAAATCAAACTGTCGTTGTTACCATTTTTAAAGTTGATAGGTGCCACTTTCACCATCGAAAGTGATAAAGAAAAATCATTTATCTCTTATTAAGTTTATCTCCTTCATTTGATTAATCACTCTTGTTTCTATTTTGAAGTTGACTATATCCTATACCATCTTTGATTCTTAAATACATCTCTTGGTGTCAAGACCAATAACTAGTGGGAAAGAATTGATTTTCATTACGAGTGATATGACCCTCTCTATGTGACTACACACGTGCACGGTGACTTCTATACATTGATGAATTGCGTACTCCACATGTATTAATTATCAAGATTAATTTACAAACCTGTGTACGACTTATCTTAACATTTATGAGTCTGATAGTACCACATCATTATGCTAATATATAACCATATGTGGTATGGAAGGGATTATAATTTGACAATTAAAACTCAAGTGATTTGCAAAATTCACCAGATTCGATTGATCCACAGAGTGGTTAAGTAGAGATTAGGTGCAGTGAACTTACCTTAAACTGAAAAAAAAACATACAAAATGAAGAAGTAAAGGGACCCGATGCATGTGGATCTGAAAACACACAACACAGGACGAAGGTTCCAAGTACCATGCACGAACCCATGACCCCGCCAAAACCTCGTTTATATTCTTCTTCAAATCACATGGATTCCAAGCAAATATATTATCCAATAAAAGTTTTATATATTCGTAATTACATATATGCTTGATCCTCACACCCAAACAGCCACGATTGTTCTCGAAATTACATGGGCAGTAATTTTTCTTTCTTCAAAAGGATTTGTTTCTTGGACAATATATTTATGTATTTATTTAAGTATCGGGACCCGAATGCAATTTAACATAGAGTTTAATATTATTTTTTAGTAGTGAATTACAGAAGTTTCATAAATTGAACCCATAGTTAACTATATATTTCAAAATCATGGACTAATCACCCCCTTCACACCTCCATAAGAAAACTTTTGTGGTATTTTCTTACAATCATCACATTTCACGAGTAGCACGTAATAAAAAAGGAGTGCTGCTATTTTCACCTCCAGTTTTATTTCTTCACTCACCTTATCTTTCCACCCACCATGTAAATTTGAAAAAACAAAATCTTATCTTTCCACCCACCATTATTCCTAAAATACCCTTGAAAAAACACAATCCTACTATTGAACATTCTTCTTACTATAGGTTTTCTTAAATTCAGAAGAATTTCAATTAGACTTAGGTTTTGATATGGATTTTGATAGGTGAATAGGTAGGCCTCATCATTTGGCCCGCGGGCTCATGGGCCGATGGGGGCCCGCCCGGCCCATTGGAAAAAAGCCCGGCCCGGCCCGTTATGGGCTTTGGGATGGCCCGGCCCGCCTTGGGCCGGGCTAGGCTTGGGCTTGGGTGTCTGAAGCCCGGCCCGACCCATAGGCCCGGCCCGATTAAGCCCAAGAAGGCCCGGCCCGGCCCACCCACAAAAGCCCGGCCCGTTAGGCCCGCATACATATATAATTATGTATAAATAAGAGTTTAGGATTAGGATTATATCACTTAAATCACATATATAATTTGTTTCATTTCATTTACTTTTCTTTACTCATTCCTAATTTATAATTGGATGATTAGCACATTAATTTGTGTCAATTATTAATACAACAATTATATATATATATATAAATAAGATGAACAATATATCATATCACTAAATATAATCATATCACGAAACATAATCGTACTACTACCACCAAATATAATCATGTTTTTCTTGAACACATCACCAAACATTTACATATTTATTTATACCATCTTTTAAAAAAAATATCTTTTTGATACTTATTACTTTTTAAAATTATTTCTTAAAACGTATTACGGTCTAATTATGTAATAACCTCAAAAATAATACTTTGTTTTATTATTTTTGTGGAAAATCTTATTAAGTTGTGTGACTTTATTGGGTATTTTATGAATTTGGTTTGATGTGAAAATATTGGAATTAAGTGAGTTTAATCTCAAATTTAGACTAAAATGTCCTTATGATTAAGTTTATGATTTTTTTCAAATGAAGTAGGCCCGTTTCGGCCCGGCCCGTTGGGCTTAGCCCAGCCCAACCCAATGGGCTTTCTCAAGCCCGACCTATGGGTCGGGCTTGGGCTTTGAATTTTCTAAAAAAACCCGGCCCGGCCCGGCCCGATATTTTCTCTCTCCTCTTTAAAGCCCGGCCCGGCCCGGCCCAAGCCCGTTAAATTTGGGCCGGGCTAGCCCGGCCCGGCCCATTGACGAGCCCTATGAATAGGTAGTGGTATCGTTGTTCTTTAGGGAAGAAAAAGAAGGCTCTAGAACGATGGAGCCATTGTCGACAACCCATTCACCACCACCAAATCCCGCTAGCATGGATCGATCGAAAAAATGTGGGGTGGTGGAAGATCGACGGCCGAGATCGGGAGATGGTAGATAAAGGGGAGGTCGCCCCTACAGCATTACAAGCTCAAAATTGGGTTTGCATACGAAGCCAAAATTGGGGGAGAGACAACAACATCAAACTCATTGATTCTACATGTATACATTCATGGGTCCTAACCTGTTTCTTCTTCATCTTTATATTTCTTTTTTTTTCTTTTTTCTTTTTTTTTGCTTTTTTCTTTTGGGCTTGTAATTTTGCAAAAGAGGAAAAGATTAGATATTGGTTGTCCTGTTTTTATTTTCTATCTTCCCCACTTGTTGCTTTCATGGTTTGGTGTTTGGTTGGATAAATGGACAATCACATAACGGTGAGAAACATAGATAGGGGTAAATTTGTCTTTATAAGTCATTTTACAATGGGATAAATGTGTCTTTAAAATTTTAAAAAATAAAGTGAGTGAAAATAGTAGCACTCTTAAAAAAACATATATGACCTCTTAATTGGTGATATGCTTAAACATTCATATCTTTGGTAATAAAACCATATAAACTATTGCATTAATTGTCAAATCCCCTCAAAAAGATGCAAAAACAATCTATACATATGAGTAACTTATGTAAAATAAATGTGTAGCCAAATTAAAATTTAAGGACTAACTAGCCTTTCACACCTTCATAAGAAAACGAGTAGTGATATTTTATCACGATTATCTCATCCCGTGACGAGCACGTTATCGATAAGTATAGCCAAAAATGGTAAAGAATCTTCACATCTCATTAACTTTGGTAAAACAAAGGTGTAGTCAAATTGAAATTTATGGCCAACCAACCCTTTCACACCTCTCTAAGAAACTCTTAGTGGTATTTTCTTACAACCATCTCATCCCGTGAGCAGCATGTAATCGATATATATATATATATATATAACCAAAAAGACGTATACGACCGTCCCATCCCATAACTTTTACCCCCACCCAGTTCAATTGTGGGGGTCAATTATGGGATTACAAAGCTAGATACTTTCCATTTTTATACAATTCATCTGCAAGATAGTGCCCATAGATCCCGGGACATTAGATATAGATATTAGAAAATCCCAACCTAACAGCTTTTAACCCATCTCAGCAGTATAAAAACAGAGTCAACACTCTGTGCTACATGCCTGTGTGTCTACACCTAACTAGCTATACAACAACACTCTTCTTTCTTCCCCATACACACTCCCATACGCAGCTCTTATCTCCTTTTTCATAACCTCAATTTCCAAAAGAATCCAGAAAATGTCTCAGAGAGCCAATCGCCACCAGAGAAGGCCATCCCAGAGCTTGTTCGTGTCTCCTGACTATCTTTTGGCTCCTCTTTCTGATGATGCTGCAGCTGCAGACAAGGTGGCTGATGCTGCCGCTGCTGCTGCTGCTGCTGTATCCGGTCAAGCTATGCCGCCGCAGCCGATAACTCCCCCTCTGCCGCCAACCCCGAAAGCTGCAGAGACCAAGGAGGTTCCGGCCACGGACAACCAGAAAACTGCAGACGCTGCTAACTAAACCCAATCGGCGGCAGACATATTGTTCCGTTTATGTTATGTTGCGTTTTGTTTTTGCTGTTGTTATGTGTTTGGGTTTGTGATTGTGATTGTGAATGTCTCAAGAATTGAGCATTGTCATGGATGTTGAGAATCAAAGATGAATCACATTAATGAGAAAGTTTCCTTTGATTTAATCGGTTCTTATTATGAATTATTGCTGATCTTGTGTTTATTTTTATCTCTTTGGATCCAATGTGGAGGCTCATTTGAGCAGAGTTATCTGTCCAAATATAAATTAATGGGTGTCTTGTATTTTTTTGTTGGAAAAAATTAATGAAAAAAGTAAATATTAGAGCTCAAGGGTTCTCTGGGCTCTGCACTGGGGCAGTGACTGAAAGTTTTGCTGCAAATCCAAGAATTGGGGAGGTCCTTACAGCTTTTTTTATATATAATGTATATGGGCAGTGTGTTTGGGATTAAAATTTAAAATTGGCTTGGGAACATGTATTGATTCTTTCAATCTTGGTGGAGGCTTGGTTGACCCTGCTCTGGTGGTGTAAAGGTGTCCTGGGTTTATCCTCACAAACGTGATTCACGTGGAGAGAAATAAGTAGACGAAGATATACACTTTGTTATATGTAAGTTTTAATCTTTTAAATTAAGACTTGTTAATCATATATCTCGCAAGTTCACAACTCTCATCAAAAGTGCATCTATTACCTATTATAAAACAACACATTAAAGAGATCAGTTGTCTTATGAATGCTGAGTTAAGTGAGTAAAAATCTCATAATTTGTTCATCAACGCAATGAGATCAAATTAAGCCACGGGTTAGTAGGGCAACACGTGCTCAACACGTGGATAGCGAATTACAAATCACAATTGAAACCTTGACAAATTAAGCAGACCTATCATAAAATAAAAAAATAAAAATCCCAACTTCACTCCTAGATGCATCAAGCATTAGAAATATATATTTATAATAAAGTAAAAACAATTTAGTCTCATCGAAGATGGGCCCATAAAGAAAGCAAAAATAACTTTACTGAATGTCACATTCCGCTTCTAATTGTAATGTTGAGCGTATGTTGTTGATGCATTCCTATTTGATCTGGTCTTGGAATGGTCCCAATTTGGATAAGCATTGACCTTATTTTGCATTTTGTCTGTGGTCCATCTTTCACAAGCCCACCATAAATTGTATGTACATTTTTTGCGTTTGTTGAAGGGCATCTCAGTTTTGTCCAGATATTGTACAACCTCAAATAATATATAGATTTGTTTTTAATGTGTCGGGCACACTGCCGTATTTCTCTTTAAATAAGTTATTCTCCAAGACCAAACTAGATGATCATCTTATATCTTCTATGTTAAATAATCCTTCTCTCAAGATAAAAACAGTACAAATAGTCCTTACCTAAAAATTGATGTAAGGTCGGTATCGAAAAATTCTAATAATAGTGAAAATGCTTTTGTTTTTTTTTTTCTCCTTCTAAATTTGGGACAAAAGAGAGTTTGGTCAAGATGATTAAGTAAGTCTTTCTACGCATGAGAGTATAGTCGTCGAAGTAGTCTATTCTCGTACTATTTAGAGTAATGAGGTCGAGACTCGAACTAATTATGTAGTTTACTCTCCTACCACTTAGAGTGGTGCGATAGAATCAAAACCCTGATAGAATTAAGTACCATAAAATTCATTGAAATAAGAAACTAAATAGAGAAGATCTAAAAATCAAAAAAAAAAAAAAAAAAAAAAAAAAATATATATATATATATATCTAAGCTCGAGACCCACCTCAATTAAGTATTATTTGTTCAATTATTGAGAACACTAGTGTAGCTTGGGGAGGGTGAAGGGCTTTCAAAAGTTCAAAACTAGTCGAATCATGTGGAGGAATGTGCTAGCTATTTTATTTAATTTAGATAAAAGTAGTGACCAATTAATAATTCAAATTAATATCCTAAAGATGGTAGCGTTGTATCGACGCAGGAAAAAGAATCTCTGTGGACCCGGCCCGTGTGTGATTTAGTTATTACCTTTTTTCCTGTCTAATTATTAATTTAAATAAGTGACTTTGTGAATAAATAAATAAAAATTATCCCAAGATTTCACTGTTAATCCAGCAACAACAGTATGTCAACGACCAAAAGATCTATTCAACTCAACGTCTCATCAGCTTCTCTGCTTATCAGCCGAGCTCATACAGCCAAGCCAACAGTAAGGAGCTTCTGGTGGATTTAATTTTTAATTCTTAATTTTAAACCGTATAAATATATCGAAGGGTTATATATAGTTTGTTGCCTACCTTCAGTTTATTTGGGACATTTCACCAACTAAAAATACAACTAAATGAAGAGAAAATTCATAAACAAACATGTTATTATGACTATTCAACAAACAATGGAAACAAAAATTTCGAAGAAGATTTTGTTGGCATATATTCACTCACCTAGTCACCTTACTAGATTTTTATGGATTAAACTTCAATGGTCTTTCCTTAATTGCTTGAAAATAAAAGATAGAGATAAATTGTGACACAGTTAGGAAAAGAAGAGGGAAACTCACACACACGAATATGATGGGGACTTGAACTCAAGACTCCTTGGGAGCACACCAAAGGCCTGAACCAATCCAACTAACACTCCATTGATAAAGTATATTGATTTATTCACATTTGTTAAATTGTCATTAAATTACATACCTTTTTTTTTTTTTTTTTTTTTTTTTTTTTTTTTTTTTTTTTTTTATAAAGTTTATAGTATTAGTTATAGGATCCCAAACCTCTACATTTAGCATTGGTGCATTTACATGAATTTAAAAGAATGCAAACCATTATATTAATCTAATGATTTTAACAAGTCTACTTCAGCAAACTTGTATTAAACTAAAAATTAATTAATTGCACCACATTATTTCCCTAGCATCGCAACCCTCCAATATTCCTTCCTCCCTTCCTCCCTCATTCTCTCTCTTTCTCTCTCTCTCCCTCCCACACTGCCAGCCATGGCCATGACTGCCATCTCCGTCTCCCTCCCTCCTCTCTCCTTTCTCTCCTTCCCCCACTCCCTCCCTCCCATTTGCAAAACAGAGAGAAGGAATTATGTACATACTATTGTACAATCATGGAGAGAGGAAGAGATGGGTTTTTTGTTTATGATTTTGCAAGTGTAATTTTGATGTTGAGACAATAGTATTAAAGATAAGAATTTGATATACCCATTCTTAGCACTAGTGATATAGATAAACCTTACACCATTTAATTTATATAAACAAACCCAAAAAGCACTCAATAAATGACAGCTGACCCTACTGAATTTAATTTTGATTATTAAATTACTTTGATGTCATTTTGAGTGTTTTGAGTTTTTATATATGAAGTTTTAGGGATGGGCTTGTGTTTTTAAAGTCCATTTTATATATGATTTTTTTCAATATAATTGAGGCCCCTGTATTGGGTTCAATAGTGAATCTCCATTTTTAATCAAAGAGAAACTTCATTAGATAAACTTCAACGGTACAATTAAAGACATCAACAACACATCTAAAATATCAATCTCAAGAGGGCAACAAACTAACATTTTAAAAGCAAAACTAACGCGGACAAAAGTCGCACTAAAACTAGCAACCCACATCATCACAATTAACCATAAGTCTAAACAAGGACCATAAATATAAATTAACCAAAACCCTAAAACAACTCATGAGCCTAAATGAATCCTACCACCACTACCTAAAAAAGCGTTGTCGCTATCACACTCACCACCACATATAAGAACACTTGAATTGGTTATTGATATGTTGCGACTGTTTTAAATTTATAAAATATTTTGATAAATAGTAGAAAATTTAACCCATCCATGCTAAGAATCTTAACTCTACTAGAGAGTGTTAGAAAATAAAATTATAAGTGCCGTAAAACATTGGCATAAACATTTAATAAAATAATTAATTTTTTTGGTTATAATGGAATAGATATGGACGCTTGACCTAGTCTTATCACAATTCATTTCATCTCCCCTAAACCCCTCGAAATTTAAAAAAAAAAAAAAAAAAAAAAAAAAAAAAAAACTCACTCCCTCTCTCAAAAAGATGGAGGGGGATGGAGGGAAAACAAAAAAAAAAAAAGACAAAAAAACGAAAAAAATAAATATAAATGATGTTATTATTACTCTCCAATTTAATCCGTCTCCGACTTTCTTTTTGCGTCAGTTAGAAAATAAATATTTTAATGAATTCATTCACCAATAGTGGCAGTTTGTTAATTTTATTTTTTGGATGCTATTTTAAATATATATATTTAAAAATGATAGGTTTTGTAATTTTCTTTTTTGTTGGTATAGGTTTTGTAATTAGAATCCTTCTTAAAAGGCGGGTGCGGTAAATATAAAGAAGGAAAAAAGAATAAAAGAGGAATGGTGAGTCCATATCTAATAAGCCGAGTGTAGGGAAGCCGACTTAAGCAAGCCATCACGCATCCACAGACAAAGCTCCCGTACAAGTCGTGGCGGCACGCCATTGGCTGAACCGTGTATTAGCCGCTCCTCTATCATACGACCAGCTCCACGTTGTCAATCCTCTGGCATCAGAGAGCCACCGAATATAAAGGAGCTTAACATTTCTTCTGCGAGACACAGCTAGTCATCGGAGGAGAGACCATTCCCTATATCTTCTCCTCCTTCTTCGTCGCCAACAACACCCGAACAAAGAGAAAAGATGGTGAGTTTTTCACTCTTTCCGGTCCATTTTACTCATCTAGGGTTATGACCTTAGTATCTGTTTGGCTGCTGAGAAAATTTAAAGAAAATTAAAGTAAATTAAACGATTTTTAATATTTTTTCTTTGATTGCGATTTCTTAGCGGCCAAACGGATCATCGGTTTGATTGATTTGTTTGTTTATGCCGGTTGTGGTCGATCTGATAGTTAAAAACCAAGCTGGCTGGAATTTGAGCTCATTTACTGTTTATCTCTGCATCTCGTGCTCTCAGATCTGTTTTGATGTTGAATGTTTGATCGCGATTTGCTTTAGTCTAGATTGGTTATTTGTTGCCGAATTTTTATCTGATTATTGCTGATTGCAAATGTTATGGATCTACTATCTGTAGCAGATGGGTTGGGATGGACCGTGTTAGATTTAATTGTTTATTTTTCTTATGATATGTTATATCAATGATTACTTGGTACTTATTGTGTAATATTGATGGTCGATACTTAATCTTCATGTTTTATTTATATTAAACAAATGGTTGATCTATTTTTGTTAGCTATGGCTGTGTACGCGCGTTGTGGTTGAGTTAATTTCACATGGGTCGGACCAAAACTAAACAAATAGAAGTGCACTTTGTGTCTGTTTTTCGGAAGGGGTTCATGAAAGGAGTTTGAAATGGATAACTTTTGGTTGTATTGTTAGGATGCTTAGACATTGAGGGGGATTTTAATTTTAAGATCTTAGCATGAAAAAACTTACCAAGGATTAAAAAATTGTGCGCATTTCAGCTGCGTTATGCCCTTTTTCTGTTGGAAATGGAAAATTATGGGTTGGTTGAGAGTGCGTATAGACCGTTTGTTTTTGCCTGTGGAGATTCATATTGTCTTGGTAATTTTGATTTGTTCAAATATATTTTTAATTTAAATTATGTATCTCCTATTATATTTTGATGTTGCTGTCTGATCTTTGCTCATTGCATGCAATTTACAGGCCAACGCAGCATCTGGTATGGCTGTGCATGATGATTGCAAATTGAAGTTTTTGGAGCTTAAGGCCAAGAGGACCTACCGCTCAATTGTTTTCAAGATTGAGGAGAAGCAAAAGCAAGTTGTGGTGGAATCTGTTGGTGAACCAACAGAGACCTATGAGCAGTTCGCCGGAAAACTTCCTGCTGATGAATGCCGTTATGCTGTTTTCGATTTTGATTTCCTTACACCAGAAGGTGTCCAGAAGAGCCGCATATTCTTCATTGCATGGTAATGCCAATTCTTTAATCATTTTTGATTATGTGCTTACTTCGTTGTCTAATCATCTTTTATATAAAATTCAATTGCTGTTTTTATGAAGGTCTCCTGATACATCAAGGGTGAGAAGCAAGATGATCTATGCAAGCTCGAAAGACAGATTTAAGAGAGAGCTTGATGGAATCCAGGTTGAATTGCAAGCGACTGATCCGACTGAGATTGGTCTTGATGTCATTAAAAGCCGTGCCAGCTAGATAATCATAGGCTACTTGGTTGGGAGTGTTCTTCCCTTCAGCCTTTTGTTACTTGCGTGGAATGTTTATACATTGTGGGATGGCGACTTGGCTAATGATGGCATGAATTTCCAAGTTTCGCCATTGTTTCTTATTCGTTTTGAACAAGTGTCTGTGGTTTCCGGTATATCATATGATATGTTTATTTGATAGAACCTATTTGTTGAGTGGCTGCTTTAGTAGCCGCATGTCAACAAACTAATATGTAGCTGTTTGTGGTGGGTTTAGACGACACCTTACTCTTTTCAAGTGTTGTATATGACCCTTGTCATTTTACTTTGGAGCAGTATAAAGGAGCTTGCTTTATGACCTTCCTTCTTGCTGATTTCTTGGCTTGTTTTGTATTCACCAATATGGATTTTTGATCTATCTAATGGGCTGTTTCTCAGGGTGGTTCAATGAACCATTTGAGTGTGGTTTTAAGCAGATGATGAGTTCATGTGGAGAATTACTTGCTTACCCGTTACATTGCCCCCTTCTTCCTATCTGCATTTTTCGTTGATATGATTATGTGGCCATTTCAATTTTCATGTTACATGCCTTAGTTGTTGGGAGTAATTGTTACAATGACGTGGTACAATCAGGGCAGAGCCGCACAGCCACGCGACCCTTAGTTGAAGGGCAATAACTTACCTGCCCCGTTGTTGCATATCCCCTGTGTCTGTCTCTCTCGCCACTTCGGTAGGCAAGTTTCCCTTCTGTTGTGGAAAGCGCCCTTGCTACTTCATTCTGTCGTCCCTGTCAAGGTGGATGCACGTCACTTTTATAGGCAAGTGTTTCCCTCCAGTGGCTGAAACTGCCCTTGCTACTTCGATCTATCTTCCCAATAGGGGTGGACACGTGGCTTCATTGGTTAGGTAGAACAGCTCAATCATAAAATGCTTTGTCAGTTTTAGAGTCATACCTACATTATTTCAAATCTAGAATTTTGTATGACCTTCAAAAAAATTTGTAGGGTCATGACTCATGAAAGAAGTAGATTGATTATGCATCTTTGGAATTTATCTTAAGATTTTGTACCACATAGCAGAGGGGGCAGTTTGAGTTTTTCTTCTATGACTTTGTACTCGATGAGATAGTTGAGTGAGAAATCTCTCGTAATTTGTCGTGTTCAATCTTACCCATTTTGTGTGACGTGAATAATAGTCTAAATCACTCTAAATTATTAAGATAATCTAAATTAGTAAGATAAGAACTAAAAAGTGACAAACTTTTGCCAAGCAGTTCGTATTGAGGCAAGGAGAGCATCAGTTTAATGAACTGTCAACTGTAGGAAGCTCACCAATACGACGTCGTATGGGTTTCCTCTGGAGCCTCTCCTGGCATAATAAAAGCCAAAAAACATACCCCCCAGGACGAGGTCCAAGAACAACAGCAACTTATCCGTCCCTCGCTTTCTGTACTTCAAGTTGTTTGTTCACCCGTTAACCTTAATCAGCCAAAAGCTAGAGAGTTTTCATTTCAGCTGAACTTAAAAGCTGCTTTCGTTAAGCTCTACCATGGCCTAAGCATCTTATGTGTTTGTTGGATTGCTTCAATGGCTTTCTCCTTCTGTCTCAAATGCTATCCTTGGTCTTTCACACACTCCATAATGCAGACACCGCCACCGCCTCTCAAACCCTTCACTTCTCTCTCTTTCCCGCTCCTTCATCACCATGACCAGCTCGTCACCCACTCCTCACTCTCCTATTCAACCCCTGTCTCCACCCACCACCTCCCTCCAGATTTCACTCCACAGCAGCTTCTCGACACCCTCCGTCGCCAGAACGACGAGTCATCCGCGCTTCGCCTGTTCGACTGGGCTTCCAAGCAGCCCAATTTTACGCCCAATTCCACCATATACGAGGAGGTTCTTCGCAAGCTCGGAAAGGTGGGGTCTTTCGAGTCCATGAGGAACATCTTGGACGAGATGAAGCTCGCCGGTTGCCAGATTAGCTCAGGTACTTTCTTGATTTTTGTTCAGAGCTATGCGGCGTTTGATTTGTATGATGAAATTCTTGGTGTTGTGGAAATGATGGAAAATGAATTTGGATGCAAACCAGACACTCATTTTTACAACTTCTTGTTGAATGTTATTGTTGAGGGGGACAAACTTAAACTAGTAGAAACTGCGAATATGGGTATGCTTAGTAGGGGAATTAAGCCGGATGTTTCCACGTTTAACATTTTGATAAAGGCTCTTTGTAGAGCTCATCAGATTAGGCCTGCCCTTTTGTTGATGGAAGAGATGTCAAACCATGGCTTATCGCCGGATGAGAAAACGTTCACGACCCTAATGCAGGGGTATATTGAGGAAAGTGACATGAAAGGTGCATTGAGAATTAGGGACCAGATGGTAGAATACGGGTGCCCTCGGACTAATGTGACTATTAATGTTTTGGTTAATGGGTTTTGCAAAGAGGGTAAGGTTGAGGAAGCGTTGAGTTTTATAGAAAAGATGTCGAATGAGGGGTTCTCCCCGGATCAGTTTACGTTTAATACGTTGGTGAAGGGGTTGTGCAGGGTGGGGCATGTTAAGCATGCTTTGGAGATCATGGATGTGATGCTCCAACAGGGATTTGATCTGGATATTTATACGTATAACTCATTGGTTTCTGGGTTGTGTAAGTTGGGTGAGATTGAAGAGGCAGTGGAAATTCTTGATCAGATGGTTTCCAGGGACTGTTCCCCAAATACCGTCACATATAATACTCTGATTAGCACGTTGTGTAAGGAGAACCGGGTTGAAGAGGCAACTAAACTTGCACGTGTTCTTACTAGCAAGGGAATCTTACCTGATGTTTGTACTGTCAATTCCCTGATTCAAGGTCTCTTCTTGAACAGTAATCATAAAGCAGCTGTGGAACTGTTTGAGGACATGAAGATGAATGGATGTCAACCTGATGGGTTTACTTACAGTATGCTGATTGATAGCTACTGTTCTAGAGGGAAGTTAAAGGAGGCTCTGAACCTGCTGAAAGAAATGGAGTTGAGAGGCTGCGCACGAAATGTAGTTATATACAATACTCTCATTGATGGATTGTGTAAAAACAAGAGAATCGAAGATGCAGAGGAGATTTTTGATCAGATGGAACTCCAGGGGATTTCAAGAAATTCAGTGACCTACAACATCCTTATTGATGGCCTTTGTCAGAGTAGGAGGGTGGAGGAAGCTTCTCAGCTTATGGACCAGATGATAATGGAAGGCTTGAAGCCTGACAAGTTCACCTACAATTCCCTGCTCACATATTTCTGTAGGGCGGGGGATATAAAGAAGGCAGCAGATATTGTTCAGACAATGACTTCAAATGGGTGTGAACCAGACATAGTCACATATGGGACCCTGATTGGGGGGTTATGTAAGGCAGGTAGAATTCAGGTTGCAAGTAGACTCCTCAGAAGTCTGCAGATGAAAGGGTTGGTTCCGTCTCCACAAGCGTATAACCCTGTAATACAATCACTATTTAAACGAAAGAGAACAACAGAAGCCATGAGGCTTTTTCGAGAAATGATGGAAAAAGGTGATCCTCCAGATTCTATAACATATAAGATTGTCCTTCGCGGGCTTTGTAATGGTGGAGGACCAATTGCAGACGCAGTTGAATTTGCAGTTGAGATGATGGGGAAAGGATATTTACCAGAATTCTCATCATTTGCTATGCTGGCCGAAGGACTCCAAGCTTTATCTATGGAGGATACCTTAATTAACCTTGTTGATATGGTCATGGAGAAAGCAAAACTTTCAGACAGAGAAGTTTCCATGATAAGCGGTTTCCTCAAAATTCGTAAATATCAAGATGCATTGGCCACTCTTGGTGGTATCTTGAATAGCGAAAAGCCGAAAAAATCTTATTGGCAAAGATGATTTTACTCTGAATCACTTTTGAGTATCATCCTCTAGTCCAATAGAAGATGCAACATAGATGTAGTAAACAGAATGAAGGGTTTTTGGAGGATGATATGCGCAGAGTTAGGAAGCTTGAAATCGAAACATTTTAGCACGGTTGGCTTTCATTGGCCGGCTTTGTGGAAACCATCACTTCTACGTCCCCATCTACAAAAGGGAAATTCAGGTACTGTCTTGGAAATTTTAAGATAACTCCACCCGAAATGGATTCGTCCTCTCTTTTGATACCCAATCTTCTAAGCTGTTGTAGCAGAATTGAGGATGTAGAAGTTTTGCAGATCATTTTTCAAGTGTATTTGCCATCCCTTCTTGAGGGTGTTTGTGTTTATTAAAGATATCTAGAATAAATAAACAATAGTTGGCTTACGGCGTGAGTTTTTGAAAACAATGGTAAACAATGGGATTCATGGTGATATAACTTGAAATCACACGACTGCAACTTCTCAATTTATGTTGGGAATTGCGTGTGCTAGGTTTTACACTTATCGATCAAGGCCCAGAAGAAGCAATTAAGCATAAGATCAATTTGGAAACATATATAAAGCAACAAAATATTTCAAACCTTAAGAATAGAGCTACAGGTTTTTCTGTTGTGTCCCACTTATTCACAATCGTGTTTATAACATATTGAGAGCATCCACAATAGGGGGTGTAAATTCGGGGGTGTAAAGCCACTTTTACATCCTTTTTACACATCCGGGGGGTGCAAATATGTTTTTTGCTCCAATGGGAAAACATGTAAATCTAAGATGTATAATTGTTTTGTTTGTCTTAATTCGTTTTTGTGTTAAATTTGTATTTTATGTTTACTTTATAAAATTAATTTTTTTTTTGTATTAGGTTAATTTTATTTTTCAAACAAATAAACCCAAAAATATTTAAATTCGGAGAAGATATGATTTCATCCAAAAGCGTTGGGTGAGCATGAAAACCACAAATGAGCAAACAACATGTGAATTTTTTTTCTAGCAATTATTGTAACCGTGGGTCCTAGCCTTTTATGTTAACTTTTCTTCATTTTTCTTCTCTTTTCTTGGGTGGGTCCCGCCTGCAAGGGATGTAAAAATAGATGTAAATATACATTTTATTTTACATCCCCAGGTGATGTATATTTACATCCCTTTACATCTCCCCATTGGAGACGATTCCGGTGACAATGGATGTATATTTAACATACATCTCCCACTGTGGATGCTCTGAGTAACCCAGCCCCTATTGTGTACAACAAGTGTAGGTAAGTTTTTCTCCGAATGCAGACGTGTATAACGTCTAGCACAAACATGTTTTATATGGGGTATGAGTTGTGCCTCATGCCGTGCAGTGACCTTATAAGATTGCATAACTTTCTTAAAGTGGGAACCATCAGATTTAACGCTGTTAGAAGAAAATGTATTCATAACGCTGTTAGAAGAAAATGTATTCATATTAGAATCAGATCCTTCCTCCTCCTAAGTCGCAGGTGAATCTCATGCTGGGTATCTGCTTTCGTTTCAGCCACGGTGAGACTTATTTCAACATTCTCCTGGTTTGGAACTTATTTCATGCTGTCCTCATTGTGAAAAATATACTTAGCATATTTTTTTAACTATTTTGGAAGATTTTTTTTTTTCTCATACAAGCGATATTCTACTTTAATATAATCAAATCCTACACCACCTTTTTTTCTTCTTTTTGGGTGGGGGGGTGGGTTGGGGGTGGTAAAATGTGTTCGGATTTGCCTTATTGGGTTAGGTCACAAAAAATTTAGCACATTCTCAGTTTGTCATCTTACACTCTAAATTTAACCTAATTTTATTTTAAAATACTCAAGGCTGCAGAATGACGCTACAAGCAACTAGCAATATTTGGATATCATAACATTAATATTGGGAAAAAGAATCAAGTTCTTCATTCTCCACCAACCTTTGAAAAGTAAACTTTTCGTTTGTTTATTGGACGGTTTGCATCTTTTTAACCTAATCAAAGAATTCATCTAAAATACAAACATTCAGAAAACTAAAAATTAATCTAATTGTATACAGTATTTGCATGAAGATTTTCGCACATGTTAAGTGCATAGAGTTTTATTTTTTATTTATTAATTTATATTAAAACATAAGAATAAAGGACTGGTATCATGGTACTAAAACATTTATTAATCTTATAATGAAGTATATATTAGTCCCCTTCTATTGATGGATTTATCAAATTATTTGAGGGACACCTTTTAGAATTTTTTTTCAACGATCCAAACCCTCTATTTTTTAAGTCTACATTCGTAGATCATCCTTGCAAAAAATTAGAGAAATCGGAACCCGTTTCGATATCCAATTGTGTCCTACAAAATCAATGAACATGATGCTTCAAGAAAGTACTAAAATTTCAATAATTCAATAGAGTGGTCAAATGATATCGGATTCAAGTGATTTTTTTGTAGAGATGATATTTGAATGAGTACTACAAAATAGACGGTTTGGATGAATGAAATATAATACAGAGTAAGCCCTACAAGAGTGTCCCTCAACTGAAGCTCCCTATATATATATATATATATATATATATATAAGGGATCCCTCAAATAAGCTTATTTGAGGGACACCCCTTATAGGGCTCACTCCGTATTGTATTTCACTAATTCAAAACTGTCTATTTTGTAGATACACATTCAAAGATCATCTCTAAAAAAAATCACTTGAATCCGATATCATTTGACCATTCAATTGAGTTATTGAAATTTTAGTACTTTCTTGAAGCATCGTGTTCATTGATTTTGTAGGACACAATTGGATGTCAAAACGGTTTCCGAGTTGTCTAATTTTTTGTAAGAATGATCTATGAATGAAGACCTAAAAAATAGATAGTTTGGATCATTGGAAAAAAAAATTGTAGGATACCCTAAAGGGCGTCCCTTAAATAAAATTATTTGAGGGATCCCTCAATAGAAGGGGATTATATATATATATATATATATATATATATACACACATACATAACCAAATATGGTAGTGACCATTGGTGATGGGAGATTCCTATTTGTCATCTTGATGACATAAGAAATGGTTCAGTTGGATTATAATTGATAATTTGATAACCTCACCTCACGGGCCTTGCTACACAAGTAATTAAACATATGCAAAGATTACATTGCATTGGCGTGGGGAGATTCTCGATTGTTGATGCATGTGGGGTTCACAATGCATGAACGGTCAAATTTCAACGAGACGCATGAGATTTACGCTAATAAAATTCTTTGTATGAAAGACCCAGTACCTCAACTTTTTAAAAAGATTTTGAAGAAAAACCACGTTTCCTTAGTAGTCTAGAATGCATTTTGATTGAAACACCACCTATAGGAAAGGAAATTCACTTTGACCACTTTCTGGTGCAGAATAAATGGTTCTACAAGAAAGGCATAATGAAAACAGAAAAAGAGAGAGATTCTGCTATAGCTAGGAACAATCTTTGTAGAACAGATGCAAATAGAGAGAATATATATACGCCGCTGCTCAAGCCTTAACCAGTTAGTAAATTAATATGACACAAAATATTTAGGTCTACTGCACAACGTAATAGTTGATTTCCCATGTTGGGCTTAGGGTGTAACAAAGGAGATAGCTGTTTAAATTCTATAGAAAATCCCTCTCAAAAAGGAAAATCAACGCTAAGTTGGATTTTGTTTAGTTTCTACCGCAGGTTGGGAAAGTCAGCATCGGAGTCACTAAGACAAATCCAATGTGTGGAATATTAGTTTCTAACGTTGGCTGGAAAAGGACTATACTGATTAGTGTCATCAAATGAAGCCAAACCCAAGAAACAGGGAAGCCCAAAGTGTAGAGAGAGAAGCACCATATCAATGAATTAAGTTTCCAAAACATCAAATCTCTAAACTTGACTGATTCTTTCACAGAAAGTAATTTTATCAAGTGGGCATTTATTCTTTAATCTTTACCTTCAAGACATCATGACCCTTTAAACTTGTTGTGGCTGCCCATCTTCACACATTGACATCTGGTAAAAATTCCAAAAATCTTTGTTTCTACCAGTGCCATGAAACTTCACTGTTACCATTTCATTAGCTATTCTCTTCATGCTAAAAGCAAACATACGTATATATACCTGCAGAAATTTTGAGTTCAATCTTAGCCAGCTATATATATCTTTAACACGATCCCAAAACCAACTTAACCAAGTTGGGCAAGCACTACTGTTATCATGATCATGATATGATTCAGTTATACCTATAAACTTGGGGGGTTTTAATTTCTCCTTACATATCAGACTTCTGAATCTATGAGTCCGGGCAGCAGTACTGGCTGGACCTGTGCCTTGTGGTGCCTAAGGCTACGCTCAGCTTTCCGAACCATCTTAGCCTGCAGCATAGTCTACACCACCACCCTCTACGGTCCACAGCCTCTCAGGCAGCTAGTAGCCTACCCTGCATACTCTTACCTCACCACCATCCTGATCGTGTCAGACGGTGTGACTCTTGGGGACTCGCTGAGAGGCTTCTGGCATGCCCTTTGCGCTTGTGTTCAGGTTATGACCCTCTCAATCTTGAGCCTCCTGCTGATAGGGCCTGCGCACTTCAGTTACTTCATATCAGCCTTGGCAGTGGCTCTGTGCACTTTTGTTGTGGCATTGCCGGGAGCAACTCACTTGATGGCCAAGAGGATTGCATTTGGACAGATTGTGATTGTGTATGTAGGCACTGCCATTCATTGTGCAGAAGCTGGTGAGTTGGTACTTATGCACCCGATTCAGGTGGCGTTGAGTACCATGCTTGGAGCCTCGGCATCAGTCATGGCTATGCTGTTTCCCAACTTGTTCTTCTACCAAAAGGCATCTGTGGCGGCTTTTCTGTCTCCTTACCTTGCCTACCACGAGGTATATATAATACAAATCTATATATGTCTTTGGCTTTGCTTTTGAAGCAACTCCATATGTTTGCATCATTTTTATATGGATCCTAAATTCTTGCATGCGATGAGGGCAAAGTTTTCATGATATGCAGATTTCATGATGGTTCAAATCATGTGGAGTCTTTCTGTTTTTTCCGGATATAAAAGGCATGCTCACAGAGGATTAAAAATGGTAAAGATATACAAATTCTTACGAAATATGTTTAATGAAGAGGGTCAGAATTAGGAAAGAAAATGAAAACTCTTAAGTGTTTGATTAAAAGAAGGGCCAGTGGAGGAATAGATGCTGTACTGACGTAGCTTCTTCAAAGCGAGTTGTTGGCAGCATTAAGTTCTTAGAACTTATGCCTATCAATTCAGTCTTTTCCATATTCCACCACAAAATTCTGTTTTTGTTTTTTATTCTTCATCGAAGTAAACCTGAAGTGTCACGAAAGACTGGAACTGGAAACAAAACGGAATGTACCAGATTTTTTTTGCACATGCAACCATCCACAATCAAGATTTCACTAACAGTTCTAGATTTCAATAAGATTTAAGTGATGCTCCCTTCTTCATCTGGTCTCTCGAATGCATGTGATACTGGGCCTAATGGCAATGCTTTGTAACATTTACAGGTGAGAGATATGTGCCAAAAATATGCTGAAAACGCTAGGAAAAGGTTGAACTTCTATTCGGATGCCATCTTGTCTCATGACAGCTCGGCTGCACTTGGCTTTATTTTACAAGCACAGCCCTTGGCTCAAGTAGGAGAAAAGCTCCTTCGAAGTATCAAACACAAACAGGTATATACAAGAGCTTGGATTCTTTGCTCATATTTTGTGTGCTGATATTGTGATTTAACCTTAAACCCTTTTGAATAGGAAGCCTTAATGTGGGAGAGACCAAAACTCAGAAATATCCTGAAACCAACTTGCATGGATCTGGGAGAAAAATTGCAGGACATAGAAATACCCTTAAGAGGGATTGAAATTGCTGCAACTTCTTGCCCTTCTTTTCCTGCTGCCTTGATTAAGAAAGTGCAACCAGATGCTTTACATGACATGAAAAGGCGAATACATGACAAGCTGGAGCAACTTGAGCGTTTTGCCCCCTTCTACATTCTAAAGAAAAAGGAAAAATCTTTGGATGAGTCCTTCTGGCCCCTCGAAACCATTTTTCGTGAAGATTTGCTGGCTTTCTTTTTTCTGGATTGTTTGAAACTCCTCCAAGAAAATACTGAGGCATTTGAAGAATGCAAGGAGAGCTACTCTGAAAATGAAAGTTCACATGGTTCAGAAAATCAAAGCCATGGTGGTATCAAATGGAGCTGGAGCATTTCATGCATTATACCAAGCAAAACAAGCCTGCTTTTTGCAGTTAAGTGCTCAGTTTCACTAGGCCTTGCTGTGCTATTGGGTTTGTTGTTTAATGAAAGAGAAGCATATTGGGCAGGCCTCACAATTGCAATAAGTTTTGTCAGAGGAAGACAAGCAACATTTACAATTGCTAATGCTCGAGCACAATCTACGGCAATGGGATCAATCTACGGAATCTTGTGTTGCTTTATTTTCCGTAAAGTTGAGAATCTAAGTTTCTTACCTCTTCTTCCTTGGTTAGTTTTCACAAGCTTTCTAAGGCACAGCAGGATGTATGGCCAAGCTGGTGGAATATCAGCAGCTGTAGGGGCACTGCTGATACTTGGTAGGAGACATTATGGCCCTCCACTTGATTTTGCAATTGCTAGAATCACAGAGGCTGTTATTGGATTGATTTGTTTCATCACCATAGAGATTCTCATATACCCTGCAAGAGCAGCAACTCTAGCAAAACATAAACTTTCACTTAGCTTGGGAACTCTTCAAGATTGCATCAAAGATGTTGTTCTTTTTGACAACCAAAACAACCAAAACAACATGCAAGCTTCAATCTTTCCAAAATTGAGACAGAAACAGAAGAAGTTGAAGTCCCATGTCAATAAGTTACAAATGTTCATTGAAGAAGCTGAACTGGAGCCTAATTTCTGGTTCATCCCTTTCTATGGTTCTTGCTACAGAAAGCTCCTGAGGTCTTTATCAAAGATGTGGGATCTTTCACTTTTTATGTCCAACAAAATAGAATTTCTGTCAGTTGTCTTACAGAGATGTGAAGTTGATTCAGAGGACCTCCAAAAACCCATGAAGTGCATTAACAATGACATAGAACTTTTCAAGAAAAACGTTGAGACTTCACTGCAATGCCTCCAAGAGCTGTCTTCCAAGAAGTCTCTTGCAGTACATGACAAGCATGACATTGAGTTGGGTACATCACCAAAAGCAAATGAGTGTAGGGGTTTGGAGACAGAGAAGGAAGAGGTTGAATGCATTTTAAATTCTTTTCTTCTACATTCCAATGAAGTATCTGACAGAGTTGGTACCAATACTGAAGGTGAGGATAAGAAGCTTAAGAGCCAAGTTATTGTTTGCTTGGCTGGCCTAGGGTTTTGCATCAGTAGTTTACTCAGGGAAGTAAGAGAGATGGAGAAAGAGTTTCAAGAACTGGTCAATTTGGAAAACCCTTCAAGCCATATCATAGTATGAATTCTCACATTTTTGTACTAACTTACCTGTAAATAAGCATGTTCTGCATGCCCAATATTACACCTCCGATCTCCTACAAACATTAACTATAAATTTGCTTTTGACAATCATACAAAGCAAACACATGAAGGGATCAATGTTCTTTTTTTGTGTGTGCCAAAGTTACGAAGGGGGAGGGGGAAAAACTCACACACAGGTACCATGGGTACTTGAACCTAGGACCACTTGGGAGCACCCCAAAGCCCTGAGCCAATCAAACTAACACTCCATTGGTTGAAAGGATCAAAGTTCATCAAGTTAAACATTGTATGCTATTAGCTAGTATATTGTGTTGTCATCTAATTTAAACCCAATAAACTATTTAATGACATATATTATTTCAAATGTCTTCTTTGGATGAGGATTTAACATTCAAGACCAAAACATAACTTTGATTGGTGGCCTAAATCTGCCACCAAAAAAAAAAACCAATGTGATCCTTATGAGCTGTAAGGTAATGAAGTATACAGATAAGTGAAATTAAAGGTGAGATTAAAATAGGAAAAATAATATCAGTTAACATAATCATTTGCATCAACTGCTTCTGTCGTTTTCACCACTTGGCCAATTGCCAATAATAGTAATCTAATGCAAGAAAGGCCTCCTTGCTAGAACTTTCTGCTCATAATTCATATAGGCTGGCTTTGATTTCTAGCTAGCAGAGATATCCCAAATTGGTCCGTGATGCCATCTGAAATGAAATGGCACGGCTCCAATATGTTTCTGCATGAAATCAAATTACATGATGAATATCGACAAAATAATCTGACCCCACATCACATGTTCTGAGAAACATGACCGAGTAGCCACATTTTCTCATGATAAAGACCGAGTAGCCTCATCATCACGTGAAAGAGATGCGTATCCAAATAGACACCCAATAGCATTTTTTAAAACTTCTGATCATATCAGATAAGCTTTAGAAGAAGATATTGTTTTTTGTTTGGAAAGTGACACTGCATGGCTCCTTTATTTTATTAGTTTCTCAGCTGCCACGGCAGTAAATTCAGAATCTTTCCTTACACTTTCTCAGCAACCAAACAGAGTCTTGAGTTTACCAGCCTTAATTCTATTAGTTTCTACTGTCCAATAGCTCATTATTATGTTTCTGCTGCTGGCACAAGTAGCCTCCTTTTAGCCCTCTTTTTTTTTGGAGTCTCTCATCATCACACTTTTTTAGAGTTCATAGTGGTTCTGTGATCAGTTGGGTTGAGAACTTGAAGCTATGGACTCTGCTGCTTCTCATGACCTAGAGAAGCCACTCCTTGTCGATGATTTGCCGGTTCTGAAAAGAAGGAGTCATGCAAGAGATGTTCATATTCTCAGCTGTGCCTTCTTGTTGATCTTTCTTGCTTTTGGTGCAACTCAAAACCTAGAGAGCACTCTCATCACTGTGAGTTGGGTTTTCCATTTTCTTCATCTCCTCTGCTTTGAAGAAACCAAAAGTTGGTTTCTTTTTACCTTTTTTTTTGGAGTCTTTTGATGATTTGATTGGAATTTTGAAATTGACATATCAGGAGAAGAACTTGGGTACCACTTCTCTTGGAATTTTGTATCTATCTTTCGCATTTTTCTCTTTGGTGGCATCCTCAGTGGTTCGAGCACTGGGTTCAAAGAACTCTTTGATCCTTGGCACCACTGGCTACTGGTTGTTCATAGCTGCACATTTAAAACCAACTTGGTAAAGCTCATTAGACCAAAATAAATCCCAACGCAGGAGCAAATGTTTCATTATTTTTTCAAACCAAGACTAATCTTGAGCTTTAAAAAATTTCTATGAAGATTTTTATCACAATGCATATGCTTTAGCCTTGAAATGTTTCCTTATAGGTATATAATGGTTCCAGTTTCTCTGTACCTAGGATTTGCCTCTGCAATAATATGGGTTGAGCAGGTACATACAAGTCTTTATAGAATCTCAGTTTTTTTGTGGCAAAAGCTTGAATTTTATTTCTAACCTTATTGTGGGTGGGTTCATCAGGGGACATATCTAACTGCTGCGGCACGCAGTCATGCCAGAGATAATGGCTTGCATGAAGGAACAATTATTGGCAACTTCAATGGAGAATTTTGGGGAATGTTTGCATGTCGCCAGGTGAATCCGTTTGACCGTTATTTATGAATTTGTGCTACATTGTTAATCAAGATTTAGCTTTTCATTTTGTCTTATAATCTTTATTATAAACTTCTGCAGTTTGTTGGAAATCTTTTACCACTCGTCTTGCTAAGGGGTGGAACGGTATGTGCCATCCTTTCTAGATTATAACAGTCATCATGCACATACATTACTTGTTCGATTTCGGGTTTATAATTTGTCATTGTTTGATCTGCAGGAGGGAAATCCAAGCGATACGACGCTATTGTTCACTGTGTTTCTCTGCAGTATGACCTTAGGTACCATACTAATGTGCTTCTTAAATAAAAGGGATGATGAATTAGAGAAGGACCCCCATAATGCTGAATGTCTCAGCTTATACCCTTCTCTGTCATCTTTGTCAAAGTCAATCGTCGCTCCCTTGTTTGATGTACGGATGCTATTGATCATTCCCCTTATGGCCTATACAGGATTACAACAAGCATTCGTATGGTAATTAATTACTTGACCAATTATCACTGCCTACTTTCTTATAGACAAAACAATATCACTTGCTTTTCCCCTTACTAATTCACTACAACAATCATTCTAATTTTAGGGCTGAATTCACCAAGTATATCGTTAGTCCAATGCTCGGTGTGTCTGGTGTGGGTGGTGCCATGGCAGTTTATGGGGCTTTTGATGCAGCAGTAAGTATATATGCAGGAAGAAGTATTCTGATTGATTCATTTGCATTGTATTCACAGTGAGTATCTTTTTCCTATTGTATATAAGAATAACTTGCTGTCATAACTAGCCTTTAGAAAAGAAGAGTTTAAGTTTGTACCTTCTCTGTGATTTAATTTTGATCATTGAATCTGTTTCTAAAGAAGCAAGAAACATGCTCAAACTTTAGGTGTTAAAAGCGAAGTAAAATCCATACAATCCACATGCTTGCTAGACAACATAAATTCTGTTATAGGCAGATTTGTTTGTTATATTTGTGATCTCACATTTTGGTGCCACTTATGTCAGTGTTCACTCACTGCCGGCCGCCTTACCTCCGGTCTCAAGTCCATCACTCTTATCGTTTCTGGCGGAGCTTTTGTTCAGGCTGTCATATTCCTCTGGCTTCTTCTATGTTACAGGTTAATTAGCAGTATTTACCTGCAACAGTACTATAGTTTTGCAAGAGTCTGAAATTGCAATTGCAATCTCCAATTTGAAGACCTTGTAACCTCTAATTCCTTATTTTACCTTGTTATGATCATGCAGCCCATCAAGTGGAATACTTGGAACCATAAACCTTCTCATAATGGCAGCTCTATTAGGGATTGGTGATGGAGTTTTCAACACACAGCTCAGTGCTCTGATTGGAATATTCTTCAAGGACGATACGGTATCAATTTCACCACACTTTTTCCCTAATCTTTCTCCTTCATGAGTTCTGTTATTCATGAACTTCAGAATCAAAACCACTTGTATTTACAATCCGACTTGAATCTGTTGCTTTCTGGGGAAATGCAGGAAGGAGCATTTGCACAGCTCAAGGTGTGGCAGTGTAGTGCTGTTGCACTCATCTTCTTCATCAGTCCATACATCTCATTGCAAGCAATGCTGGTGCTTATGCTGTCTGCAATCTGCCTCTCGTACGCCGCCTTCGTTTACCTATCCCAGAAAGGAGAGAAAGCACTCTCACTTCAAGTTCAGGTTCAAGTTCAGGCTCAGGTTCATGATGTGTGCACATGAATGAAAATCCATACAAGTTTTTATACTTTTTTGATGTTGGTGCTCTCTAAATACCATCCCCTCTGTTGTTTCTAAAACTAATGGAAATGACCATTATACCATCACACACACACCACCACACTGTTGACAAGCAATCAGAATTCGGTTCAAGTCCACTTCAAGAGGACGGATTTCCAATTTTTCTTTTCTTTTGTTCTTTTGTTTCCACTTATAAAGATCTATTTTTGAACTGATTCTCTCTTTCAAGTCTGGTGCAAGAGTTCTTTTCTTTTTTCTTTTTCAAGACTACCATTGTGTTTGTTATTTCTGGTATGTATATTGATAAATATCACGAGATGTCCCATCAATATTGAAAATAGATATACTACTAGAGCGAGAACTGGTTTACATAAAATATCTTTTTCAACTCATCTACAATTATGCATAGAAGAATGCTAAATTACATTTTTACCCTTTGTAGTGTAGCTCAATTTTCACTTAAAAGTCCCTATAATTGTCTTTCTCTCTCTCTCCAGAAAAAAAAGTCCCTATAAAGCTATTTCTCATCAAAGGAAAATCAAAAGCTACTGTCCACCGTCAAATTGACGGAGTGTCGACATGGGGATATGTAAACTACGAGGCTAAACTATAATATATAAAAAACCTTGCAATTATATGTTGGCGGCAACAATAACGAATTGATTAGCAAAACGTCCGTCCGGCGTTTGTCGTTGTCTTCCTCTTCTTCTCCAGCAACTGTTTGTCGTTTCTTGAGATTTCTTCGGTGTATACAAAGGCTTTTCTTTATCGCTTGATTCCCCACCATCGCAACCGACAACAACGAAAATTCAGAGAATCACTTCAACTATCTTTACATTTTCACTACATTTTCTCAGCAACCAAACAGTGCTCGGAGTTAATGAACTCAAACCCAAATTGAAAGTCAATCTCTTTCTTTGTCAACTATCTCTCGATTTTCTTCGCCGGCAGTGACCTCACCTCTTGGCCTCACTCGATTGGAATTTGGATTCTCTCGCACATGTTTAGGGTTTTATAGCGATTCTGTGATAAACTGTATTGAGAACTTAAAGCTATGGAGTCTGCGGATTTTCGTGGTGAAGAGACGCCACTCATCATCGAAAATTCGCCAATCCAAAGCCGGAGGAAGCATACAAGAGATATTCATATTCTCAGCTCTGCCTTCTTGTTGATTTTCCTCGCTTATGGTGCCGCTCAGAACCTGGAGACCAGTCTCAACACTGTGAGTTTAAAGTTTGAATCTTTAATTGAAAATAATTGCTTTCGCTTTTTCAAAATTGATTTGGTTGATGATTTGGGACTGTGATTTTGGGTTCAGGAGGATGATTTGGGTACCATTTCACTTGGGATTTTGTATTTGTCTTTCACATTTTTCTCTTTGGTGGCGTCTCCGGTGGTTCGAGCATTGGGATCAAAGAATGCTTTGCTTCTTGGGACTACTGGCTACTGGTTGTTCATAGCTGCAAATTTGAAACCAACTTGGTATTTACTAATTTGCTTGTATACATACTTACATGCATAAATGCATCACAACGCGTATGTTTATTTGTTGAAGTATTTCCATGTAGGTATACTATGGTTCCAGCTTCTTTGTACATGGGATTTGCTGCTTCAATTATATGGGTTGGGCAGGTATTAAGTCTCTTTTTAGTATTTAGTGGTTAAAGCTAGAAATGTTGTTTTCTGAACTTAGTTTGGGTCTATCAGGGGACATATTTAACTTCTACTGCGCGTAGTCATGCCAGAGATAATAACTTACATGAAGGAACAGTTATCGGTCATTTCAATGGAGAATTTTGGGGAATGTTTGCCTGTCACCAGGTGAATCTGTTGGATCTTTTCTAGGGAGCATATATGTATGATTTCACTGAAAGTAATCTCTCTTATTGATGAAATTGTGTTACTCTAAACTTTTGCAGTTTATTGGAAATCTTGTATCACTCGCCATGCTAACAGATGGAACAGTATGTGCCACTGCCATCCTTGTCGTTGAACTTGTGTTTTTCTTGTCCTTTCTGTTCATTTAATTCACTCGTTAGACCCCACAAGTGTGATGGCCCTAGTTTTGTAAGCTTTCAGAATACGGATTTTGACACAAAGCATCAAGTTTTCTGTTCCCTCCTCTTTCTGATTTCTGATTTCTGATTTTTAATTTATTATGTGTTTTGAAATTATGTGCCTTTATAATATTTTCCTTCCCATCACTGCAGGGGGGAAGTACGAGCGGCACAACCTATTTGTTCAGTGTGTTTCTCATCAGTATGACTTTAGGCACCATACTGATGTGCTTCTTACATAAAAGGGATGGTAAAGGTGAGGAGGACCCCCAGGGCTCTTCTCTCAGCTTTTATGCTTCTCTATTATCTTTGTCAAAGTCAATCATCACTCCTTTGTTTGATGTACGGATGCTATTGATCATGCCCCTTATGGCGTATTCAGGATTACAACAAGCATTTGTGTGGTAATTACTTGACCAATTGCTGCTGCCTACTTTCTTATAGCCAAAAGAATATCACTTGATTTATTCTGATTCTTCTTTTGTTTGTTCCATTATTAAGCATTGCAAAACTATTCTTATTTTAGGGCTGTATACACCAAGTATATTGTTACTCCAACGCTCGGTGTGTCTGGTGTTGGTGGTGCAATGGCAGTTTATGGGGCTTTTGATGCAATAGTAAGTATATATGCAGATACAAGTAGTTTGCATCATTATTTTCAATACAATGTGTACCATTAGTTAGCTCAGTGGACATAGCATTCAAAATCGATATTTTGGTTGATTCAAATGCTAATGCAAATTGAGCTTCTTTTATGTTGTCTCGTTCTCTTTTCCGGAGTGGCTGAAACGTGGAAACTTAATTATTAGAAAAAACTTTCCTCTGCACTAGTCTTCTTTTGGGAGTGCCCAGGAGGGGTGTGTTAACATCAGTTCTTGCTGCCATAACCAATAACAACATCAGTTCTTGCTGCCATAACCAATAACCTACATTTCTTCCCTTTGCCTGATCATGGCTTTTCTTTATTAGACCATTTCTTGGATAGCAAGAATGGAGCTTTCTTGATATTGCATGTGCATGCTCGATATGTGGAGTTAAAGGCATACATTCACTCCATGCTTGCTAGAAGGTATACATTCTTTTTAAGACAGATTTTTGGTGTGCGATATGTTTTTGGTCTGTTATATTTGTGATCTCACATTTGGGTTGAACATGTGTCAGTGTTCTTTGACTGCTGGTCGACTCACCTCTGGTGTCAAGTCCATCACTATTATAGTTTCTGGTGGAGTCCTCCTTCAGGCTATTATATTCCTGTGGATTCTTTTATTATACAGGTTAGCAGTATTTACGTGTAGCGTACTACAGTTTTGTAGACTTTGAAATTGTTACAGTAATATCTAATTCGAATGATTGGCCGAAAAAAGAGAATATCTAATTTCAAGATATTGCTGTCTTGTTGTTATGATGCAGCCCAGTGAGTGGTGCACTTGGTATTATCTACCCTCTTATAATGGCAGCTCTCTTGGGCATTGGTGATGGAGTCTTAAATACACAGCTGAGTGCTTTGGTTGGGATATTCTTCAAGAACGACACTGTATTTTACTACACCTTTTCTCTAATTCTTCCCCTTTTTAAGTTCTTGTTCTTTATGAAGTTCAGAACAACCATTGTATTGATATTCAGTCTGTTTCTTTTGGGGAACAGGAAGGAGCATTTGCACAGCTGAAGGTCTGGCAGAGCGCTTCAATTGCAGTTGTCTTTTTTATCAATTCTACATCTCATTGCAGGCAATGCTGATAATTATGCTTGCCGCAATCGTCCTCTCATACGGTGCCTTCGTTTTTCTGTCGCTTCGAGAGAAAGCGTTCCCATCTTCGAGTTCATAATGTGTAAACATGAAATCATCTTGCCCATCTTCGTGTTCATAATGTGTAAACATGAAATCAGCTTCCAGAAAAACCTTTGTGTATACAAGCAGGTATATGTTAGGTTTGCTACTGTCTCCAAATGCATTCCACTTTACATATTTGTTGTTTGTAACATGTTCATCTACTTCAATAGAAATAAAAGTGTAGTGTGAAGAGTGCAAATATTCAGAATTTGAATCTGAACCACCGTTGTGTACATTTTCGTTCGAATTCGTGATCTGATTCAGAGTCTTGCAACATACGATTTACACATTAAAATTAAAATAGAACCACCAAAACAAATATGAGCAGTCAACAAATATGGGTCATTTCCCATCTTCTTCCACCTAACTCCAAAATTCACAAAGTCGTTGAAATTAGGTCCCCTCTCTCTCTCTCTCTCTCTCTCTCTCAGACTTTTGACCCAGATTTTGACCACCCAATACCATGCCTATATAAACTCCCAACCTCACCACTGCGTCTTCCCAAACCCAAAGAACAACATGCTCCGCTCGCTCGTTACCTCCACCCTCACGACCGTCTCCTCGCGCTGGCCAGTGCTAATCTACGCCACCACGTGGACCACATTGCTCACTCTGACGGTGGCCGTGGCCTCCTTCTCCCCCGAGGTCGCGTTCGTCTCCTCCATTTCGTCGACGTCTTCCTTCTCCCGCGCCTGCGACTCGGAAGGCTACGTTAGGGTTCCGTCGGACGTGCCGGGAGATATCCTGTGCTTGCCGGCTCACTTGTTCAGCAAGTCCAGCATCGATTTCATCGTGCCCCCTGTTTTCGCGGCGGTTGTGGTGGCTGGGTCGGCTTTCCTCGTTCGAGCCGTGGGCTTGTGGGAGACTGATGAGGTCCCTTGAGTTGGGCCTGTTGGGCTCGCTTAAAGCACTTGAGTTTTTGTGTGTGTTTTTTTGTTGTTGAAGATATAGAATTTTAGGTGCTTAATTAATGTTTATGACGTGATATAGGTTTTTAGTGCTTTGTTCTGTAGTTGGATGGCTCATGTTATAAATACATAGATGATATTATTCTTTACCAACATATATAGGAGAAATTGTTGTTTGTGAGGGAAAATATTAATTACTTAATAGTTAGTTACGCATGAGTGATTTCTGACCGTTGACGCATGTATAGATTTTTTACCGTTAAAGCATGTATAGTTGGATTTTGCATCAAAATCAAAACAATAATCTTCTTATCATTCGAGAAGACTTATAACACTATTATGCTTCATGATAATGCTAGCATAGTATTACCGTCACACTAAATAATTTATCACATCGAATAACTTTGTTTGAAATGAATGAAAGCTGGACTTGGTGGAGAAAAAGAGAGATTTTCGCTTCCCATTCCAGCTTAGGGGAAAAGTGATTGTGCTAAGGATGATTTGTCAACCTCATACTAATGAAAGAGCCAACTCAAATCCCATCACTATAAAGAAGCACATGATAAGTGACAATCAATATATGTAAATGATTATGCCTTGCAATTCCAAGTGGTAGGCATCTCAGATTCACAGGATATGCTTATTATGCTTCTTAAATAATCAGCTTTTGGAAGCCCCATCGATCAACTTGTTGCTGAAGTCCCAAAGCTTTTTGGCCAACTTTTCATCTCTAGCATGTGAGCTGGGTTTCATCTCGTTGCAGTCCACAAAGTATTTTCCAGTCACACCTTTCATTTTTGGGTGCAGTGCTACATATGATGTTGTGGCTGCTCCCTGAAAACAATCAGAGAGATTGCATTCAAAATATATTTTTAATTTAATCCCTCGGTCCATTAGAACAAATAATTATAAATAAGAGAGATCATTAGTTGGAGATTAATTAATTAATCACCTGAGGTACATTCTTCCACATCCAAAAGGTGAACAACTTGAAAGTTTCTGCATAGCAGAGATGGTCAAAATTAATTAATTATAAAATGCTTAATTGTATAAATTGGAAATATGCATGGAGTATTGGAACATACTCATCAAAAGAGGAGAATGCCTCATGAGAGGTGTCATGATCAATCCTGGGTGAACTGAGTTGACTGTTATGTTCACACCTTCTTCCTGCACATAAAGCAATATACCATGTAAGAGCATGTATGGAATTTTAAAACTTTATATTCACGGTTAACTTATCTCCCCACTTGTTAATCACTCCGATCATGAATATCAATAAATCATGTCAGCGTAAACATGTTAATTGATATATGACAACATAACATATTAAATTGGTAACTATTGAGAGGAGCGAAACAAAGTCTTTGGTATAGGTCTATTTGTAGGGTGTATATGTCTACGGGAGCCTGTCAGGTTACCCACTTGAGGACAGTGATTGATATACAATTATTTTTTTGTTCATTGAATTTTTTTTCCCAGCAGCAATTATAATCTCTGTACATACTTTGGTGAAAGTTCAATCTGTTTCTATTTTTTAGCTCCCAGCCTTACTTCATGTGCCTCCACAAGCATGTAGGTCTCTTCACCAAAGCTAATGGGACACTAGTTACTTGCTTGGGACCCTTGATGAACCATCAAACACTCACTTAACACAACTACCATGCACCTGTTTTTTCTGGCTTCAATTAAATGACAGTGATTAGAGCTGTTCTGGGGTTCTGTGAGCACATTTTTTGTATACCATGTGTCTCTGCACAGCACTAGTTTCGAATAATTAATGTGAAATAATGGTTGGGGCTTTCTGCCGACAATAGAGGAAATAGGATCACCTGCAATCGACGAGAGAGCTCATTGGAATGCAGTAAGTTTGCTAATTTGGATTGCCCATATGCCTTCAGTTCTGAGTAACTGAGTACAAAAAACATTTAAGTTACAGGATTGTGTGCTATCTGCTTATAAATAATCAATATGGAAAAATATTGGATTACTCAAATTATTCCTTACCCAATTCGATCGTTGATCTTGTCGAATCGAATCCCCTCTTGGTAAGGGGTTGTATGAGCAAGTGATGACAGAATCACAATTCTGCCTTCTACACCAGTAGTTCTAGCAGTGTTCTTCATTTTCTCAAGCAAAAGGTTTGTTAAGAGAAAATGGCCTGTAAAATAAGGTTATATGCTTAACTAAAATGCAATGAGTGAAAAAGTTGGGAGCCCAATTCTTTTTTCAATTCCTTTTCCCCCAATTCTCTCATGTGAGATGGGCCTTAATTGAAATCTCATACATCTCAACAGAAAAGATAACAGTAGTTACCAAGATGGTTGGTTGCAAACTGCACCTCTACTCCCTCTTCTGAAAGCTGGTGGGGGCAGAACATAACACCAGCATTGTTTCTGCAACATAAATCACCAATTTTTATAAAACTGAAGAAATTGAAAATGCTAATATGTTAATAATTTCATATTAAACTAACTAAATAAGGAGAGAGAGAGAGGATGACATTAAGAGATTGAGAGGAAGATCAAGAGCGTTGAAGCTATCAACAAATGCTCTAACAGACTTGAGAGAGCAGAGGTCAAGTTTCAGAACATCCACTCGGGCACTTATATTTTCTTTAATAATAGCCTGTTTTGCTTCATTAGCAGCCTCTATGTTTCTGGCGGCAATGATGACATGGGCTCTACGAAGTGCCAAGACTCTTGCTGTCTCAAACCCAATCCCACTTGCCCCACCTGCATTTCACAAACAGGAACAGAAATGTTAATCAAACTGGGAAGAAGCATATTGGCTTGCTCTCTGTCTCTATATGCAGAGTAGCTCTGCAACACAATTCAGAAAATGACTTGCAAAAATTTGCATTCAAAAGCCATATTACCACTCCTAATTTCATGTTTAATTGGGTCATATCTATTTTTTTGTTCTTCTTATTACTATAAAATAAAATAAAAATAAAAATAACCCAAAAAAAGAAAAGAAAAAAGGCCATAAACACCAGAAACAGAAACATCCAATGAAATAAAGAACCCCACAAAGACCGGAAAAATAAAAAGAAGAAACAAACAGATGAATTAATTCACAGAGGAAAATGAAAATTTAGCTGACCAGTTACAATAGCGGTAAGGTTGCTAGCATCAACTCCTTCAGTGACCTGCTCAGCAGTTGAAGCTGACCCAAACCCACTAGGCCCTGGCCTTCCTGTCACCAATGCAAAGATACCCATTTCCTAAGATCACAAGAAAGAGAGAGTCTCAATCAAGAAACCTACAGACAGAGAAGGTCACAGCACGCAATGATATGAGCCAAACTGATGGACTCTATTTTTATAACAAACGGACCACAGCTTTGGGAGAGATTAGAAACTTGGAGGGTAAAAGACAAATGCCACAGACACAGAGCACAAATGCATGGGAATAAATATGAACACCGGCCAGAAATTTTTGAGTGCGATGGTTTTTACGCGGTTTGATTCATCCGTGGGTTATAAGGGATAAACTTTGGGTGAACAACAGTGCTGACGTGTCATGCACATAGTGTTTAGTATTAATGAACATGTACCATAATACCAAACCTAAAAATTACTCGAGTAGGATGAGTTGAATGTATGTAATAAGTTAGGTTCAATTGACCGGAAAGTTATTCACTGCGGTCACCACCAACGTGGTTTTTATACGTGTCAAATTTTTTAAATATTTTTGTTGTTGTTAAAACTTTATTGATATTGTTAAAATTTAAAAGTTCTGCTCTTATCAATCTACTCATATCGTAACATATATTCGTAACATAACATTTGAATTAACATCGTGTTCCCGTCACATCCAATAAAGTTTTTGACAAAGAAAATACAAATAATATTAAATGCTCCTTCTTAATGGCCTCATTAATCTGTTAATAGTCAATAACGAATGGGCTGTAAGTAATTGTGAAACGACCCGATCACCAACTGGCCCCAGCATGGAAGGATGTCATCAATTTTGAACAAATAATTTATGTATTTTATAGTCGAATGTCTATGGTTTCTGTCTTGAGTGTCTATGGTTTTTGTGAGTTTGTGTGTCTTTCTTGTAGTCTTTTGTTTTTCTTGTTATGATTGAAGGTTTAATTTTGTTTAATCGTGGTTATACATTGTTATTGTTGTTAATTATTAATAAGCTTTGGCTGTATGCATTAATAAGATTCCTGGCTCTGTCCAAATCCCATTACATTATTTTTTTTTTACAATACAAAATAATTATCAACAAACGACCAAACGACAATCACTATGATCCATGAACTATTTCAATCAAACCCAAATTCCACAAACATGAGGCTTATGCCTTGCAAGCAAGCTTTATATAAAAACAGGCATCACAGATTGAGAGGGTGCTTCTTAAATAATCAGCTTTTGGAAGCTTCATCAATCAACTTGTTGCTGAAGTCCCAGAGCTTTTTGGCTAACTTTTCATCTCTAGCATATGAGCTGGGTTTCATCTCGTTACAGTCCACATAGTATTTTCCAGTCACACCTTTCATTTTTGGATGCAGGGCTACATACAATGTTGTGGCTGCTCCCTGATAAAACATTCAATTCAGACGACGCATGCAAAGATATATTAAACAATGAATTATAATTGAGATTAGCTCAGTTGGTTGAGCTCTTTCGTCTCAAGCCTTGTGAGCAGAGGTTTGAAACCCCAGGCACCCATGAATGTTTGTGTGTAAACCCTCTTATACCCTAATCGCTTGTACTAAAAAAAAATTGAGATTATTTGATGGAGATTAACTAATTAATCACCTGAGGGACATTCTTCCAAAACCAAAAGGTGAACAACTTCAGAGTTCCTGCATAACAAAGATGATCAAAGTTAATGGCGTAGCTAGCTGTGATACAAATTACAATATATGTGAAAGTGCATATATATGTTGGGTGGGAATATCAAATTACGCATGGGATATTTGTACATACTCATAAGAAGAGCAGAATGCCTCATGAGAGGTGTCATGATCAATCCTGGGTGGACTGAATTGACTGTTATGTTCACACCTTCTTCCTGCACAGCACGGCAAGCAATTTGGCACTTAATTAGAGCAGATTACTTGCATTTTAATTTACCTTCATTGTCAGACTTTTCACGGATGAGTTCGTCCAACACAATAAATTGCCTGCTTGGAATTTTAAAGCTTTCTGTTTAGGTTTTAGTCAATTGGACCGAAAGAAATCACGCGGACCTACCCGGTGTAAATTGATAGTACGGTAACAATTTATCAAAACTATGCCTACCTCCCAACTAGATTTTACCCAACAAATTAAGACCCTATCTTAGAGAGAAAGTTCACTTCCTTCTAGACTCTCTGAGGATAGAGAATTTCACCAAGGACTCACAGTCGTTCATGCAAACAGTCCTTATGATTCAAAGTTCACACACTGTGAGTACAGTACAGGATACATGTCTGTCTATGGGACCATGAATGCGGCAGTGATTGAATTTAAAATTCCATTTATGAGCCTCCTCTCCTTCCCAAAATTTATTTCATCTATGTTTTTGGTCCCCGCAAAGCATTGAAGACCTGTACGTATGGAGAGCCATCTTCTGTTAACGTTCAATCGACTCTTGACAGGACACCATGTCCATACTATATTGTCCACCAGCCAGCCCGCCCCACTACTTCATGTGCCTCCATAATCATGTAGGTCTCACCAAATGCTTATTGAAGAGTCTTTGGACATTATAGTTAACTAGTGGAGGCCAGTGATTAACGAAACTGGAAACATTCACCTACCACAACTACCATGTACCTGTTTTCATTTGGCTATAATGAGAATGATAAAGATAACTTGGGGTTGAGCTAGGGTTCTATGAGCAATTATGTGGGAAATATGATCACCTGCAATCGACGAGAGAGCTCGTTGGCATGAAGTATGTTTGCTAATTTGGATTGCCCGTACGCCCTTTTGTCATTGTAACTGAGGGGACACAAAAAAAAGAAACACCAAGTTAAAGAGCTATGAACTAGCTGCTTGTCATAATAACCACTGTGGAAAAAAGATACCTAATTCGATCGTTGATCTTATCGAAATCAATCCCATCTTTATAAGTGTGTACATGAGCAATGGATGACAGATTCACAATTCTGCCTTCCACACCAGTAGTTCTAGCAGTGTTCTTCATTTTCTCAAGGAGAAGGTTTGTTAAGAGAAAATGACCTGTAAAATTGGTAATTGGCTTAACTAGAATGCACATAAGTAACAAAGGTTTAGAACCCCTTTTTTTCATATATATTTTTCCCAATTCAGGATATGGGATAGGCCTTACAATAATTCCCAATTCAGAAAGCAAATAAGTAGGACTTACCAAGATGATTGGTTGCAAACTGCAATTCTATTCCATCTTTCGAAAGCTGGTGGGGGCAGAACATGACACCAGCATTGTTTCTGCAACATAAACCACCAATTTCTTAAAAACTGAATAAGATGCAGATGTTAAAACGTTACAGGAAGCCTAAATAAAATAAGAGAGAAAAAGACCATTACATCAAGAGGTTGAGAGGAAGACCAAGAGCATTGAAGCTGTCAACAAATGCTCCAACAGACTTGATGGAGCAGAGGTCAAGTGTTAGAACATCAACTCGAGCACTTCGATTGTCTTTAAGAATGAGCTGCTTTGCTTCCTTTGCAGCCTCTATGTTTCTGGCGGCAATGATGACATGGGCTTTTCGAAGTGCCAAGACCCTTGCAGTTTCCAACCCAATCCCACTTGCCCCACCTGCATTTCACAAATAGGAACAGAAATGTTAATCAAATAGAAGTGTTGGGCTGTTGGCTTTTTGCTAGTACCCAAGATTTATCATGATAATGACTCTATACATCCACAGAAACCCAAAAGAAAGGACATTAAGAAACAAAAACACAGAATTCAAAGAGGAAAATGCAAAAGTTATAGCTGACCAGTGACAATAGCAGTAAGGTTGCTAGCATCAACTCCATCAGTGACCTGCTCAGCAGTGGAAGCTGATCCAAACCCACTAGGCCCTGGCCTTCCTGTCACCAATGCAAAGATACCCATTTCCTAAAATCACACAAAAGACCCAATCCCAATCAGAAAACTCACACAGAAGCACAGAGCAAGTTCCCCTTTTTTTTCCTGTCACTCCACAAATATGTGAGACAAACTGACAAAACCCTCTCTTTTTTATAACATTTGGAAACAAAGCATTGGGAGAGGGGTAGAGGACAAAAGAAAAAGACCTCAAACCGTAAGATGATAAGGACAAAAAAAGAGGAAGGAAATGCATGGGAAATTCATGTATGGGCTGGTTGAATGTAGGTAATAAATTGGGTTTAATTGGAGCTGCTGCATTGTTGACAAGTATTAAATGCTCTTCGGTGAAGAGCTGTTAATTGGCCTCAACCAACCCCTCAACAGCTCAACAATGTAGCTTTCTTTGGAAAATTGAAAGCCATGATCCTTGAATTCAGTGCTCATTTTTTTTGGTACTGGGAATTCTTCCTACATCAATTGGGTTCTATTTTTATCATCAACTTGTGTAGAATGATCAACCTGATTATGATTGGTGTGCCTAGGACTTGGTCTAAAGTAGGGAAGTCGGGGGTTGCGTTGCATGCACAATCACAATAAATTTACCATTACATTGTGTGGTGATATGAAACCAATTGTGAATCGATTGGATCCAACAGGTCCCAGATTGGAATGATGAGACATCTTCATCATGATCAGCTTGCTTGAATGGACCATGCTTCCATTTTGGAAAAATAAAGGTTTTTCTTTTTTTTGTTTTTTTTGTTTGAGAGAATAGCGATAGGATTTTATCCACAGTCAAATTAGTCAACTGATAAGCGATGCAGTTTGAGTGGCGGTTTAGGTGAAATTAAACACACTAATTTTATACTTGAAAGTTGAAACGAACACATATAAAACAAACATTGCAGCCGCCATTGTAATTTCTAAACATCAAACATCCTAACTAATAGTCAAATAAAAATAATATAGATTTTTTATTCGGTTTAGGCGGTTTTCATATAGATCTCTTATCACCATTCATCAAAGTGTTAATTAGCATTGCTTAAATAAATAAATAAAATTCATCGTGGTTACTTTGTTGCTGGGGAACTAACTAAACAGGCAAAATGCATGTGAACATCCACCAATCGTACGTTCCCACTTGATCCCTCTCCCTCTCAGAAACCAAAAATTGTGTCTAAATGTGTCTTCCTGCCTTTCTTGACTTACCAAAATCCTAGTATTGTGAACATAGGAATAACATTCGGCCATTAATTCTTTGTTTCTATCAACCTTAAAAGCATAAGTAAATAAGGAAAAAAAAGAAGATTTTTTTCTTTTAATATAAACGGTAATCTAAACTGCAAGAGTAGAGAGTTTCTCACACAAATGTTGAAATTTGAAACCATAAATATGTGCGATAATGTCTTTTTCCAGTGGATTAGACCTGCCGACAAAGAAGAAAGGATTTAAATTATGATGGTTCGTGCATTGACATTAAATATACTCATGCTCATCCAATCCTTTGAAATGTCATAAAAGACCGTAGACATTGGCATGCGTATTGGCTACAGTGACTGATCCATCCGAGCGAACAGTAGCTCTCTCTGCAGTATTATTGTAGGGGACTGATTTTCCCACTCCATTTTTATTCACATACACTATTTTTCTGAACAAAAAAGAGTGTAGGTGAATAAAAAGGGAGTGTAAAGAAAAGTCCACCAGATGAGACCATAGAAAAAAAGAGTACGGAGCTATAAAATATAAATAAAGAATGACTGACCCCTCTCCCAACTAGCTCTCTTTATCAAAACGGTGAAGATGCTTGGATGTCAAAATTCATTGTGTTTCAATACCTAAATTTGAAAATCAATTTGATTTGATATTTAGAATGAGGGAAGTGATGTATTTGATTACGAATTTTAATGTGAAACTTGCTTTTTTTTTCTCTTTTTTGACCAACATGCCTAATTTAAATTTAACAGAATTAGAATTATTTCAATATCAAAATAAATGAACATGTGATTGATTTTCCTTAATTCTAGGACTTTATGAGTATGACGTATGAGTTTCCTTAATTCTAGGTACAATAATGCACAAGGGTGTGTGAGACTTATCTTTATTAAGGCTTTGTTTGGTTCACGCACGGAATGGATTTGAAGGGAAATCATTTTTCATGTTATTTTCCAATGGATGGAAAATGGAAGATTACATTTCTCATGTTTGGTAATGCTGGAAAAATAACTAGAATATATTACTTTATTTCATTTCTCATGTTTGTTTTGAGTATGAATGGAAAACAAAGTTCGTATAATTTTCTAATTATACAAATATTACATCAAATTAAAAAAGAATGCATGTAATGATATATTGTAATTCAAATTGTTAATGGGGACAAAATGATCATGAAAAATGTGCATTTATTGTTGACTTATTTTCCCAAACTTTCCCACGAGAAGAGAAAACAAAACCCAAGTTAGGAGGATAGCTTCACTTCCCTCATACTTTCCTATGTGCGAGACAATTATTTCCCATATTTGAACTTACCAAACATAGAAAAGCAATTGATTTTCCATCCCCAGACCTTCTTTCCCATTAACCAAACAGAGCATAATAGTGCATAAAGGTTATCAACTTTTTAAAACTAGGCTATTCAATAAGGAGGCCCTAAGGCTTTAATTAAAATTTTAAAATCAGCAGAACTCAACCTAATATTATTGACTGCATTAACACGCATGTGGGGGTTGCTTTCTATCAATGGGATTACAATGCAACTTTAACTTGTATCGGTTTCCTTTGCAATACTATAATATCGATTTTTTCTTTTCCGTGAAAAAGAAAAAAGAAAAAGGAGAAAGTGGCATAGTTAAGAATTTCTTCTCTCTCTCTCTCTCTCTCTCTGTCTCTGTTTGTAATTACAAAAATTATAAGTGTAAAATTGCAAAGTTATAAAATAATTGAGAATTACACTTTGTTGAAAAATATGGAAATTGGGGCCTAGTTCCAAAAATTACTAAAAATAAGATACCAATGATCTATCTACCTACCAATTTATTCCAATTGTCCCATGTGAGATTCCTAACCAGCCCATTATAGAACATAGTATTTATTTGAATTATTTACTCAATTTATTTTCCTTCAATATTTCATGCAGGGGTAGGCAGGCATATTTATTTACAACATTTTTTGGGTGAGATGTTACAGGCTTGAAATCATTTGGGCGTTTTATTGTAATTGAAAAATAATCATTTGGGCCTTTCAGTATCTAGCAAAGCTCTAAGCCCATTTGTATACCTTTATAAGGTCTCATTCTTCTGCAATCTTCTCCATCTCTTTCTTTTGAATGTGGCAATGTTCTGTTTCAAGATCCAAAGTTAGAGTGGGCTTATGGGCCTAATGAATATTGCCTAATAATGTGAATGGCAGTTGTTTATGGAAAAACACTTGGAACTACTCTTCTTCCAATTGGTTTTATAATATTTTTGACTTTTTATGGCAAATATTAGTATCGCATACATGCGACTGACTACTCCTACTAATAAGGTTAAGTAAGTCAAAATGTGAGTTAGAGAATATACAAGATCTAACTTTTAGCATACCCCATAGCTAGGGCAAGAGGTCGAAGCTACCCTCTCAGTCGCCATTTTTATAACCAAAACATCTAATTTTATTGTACACTCTAATATACGTATACTAAATTAACAAAAACAATTGAAAAGATAGAGTAAGAGATTATAATGGAATTATAACTCTTCAACAATTTGCCCTGAAATATTTTCGTCACCATAATTACCCGTTTTGTATTTATTTTCCAGACTTACCAATTTATGGATATTCTTCTTTTGACAATCGTTTCATACTAGAGTAAATAATTGTGTGGAACAATAAATTTTAGCTAGTTATAAACTTGCGCGTGAATTGGTAAAAATAAAAATAAACAATATAATTGTTCGATTTTACAAGATGATGAAATAAAATGGAAGTTGAATGAAATGATAAACTGTCACACAAAATACGTTAACCACCGAATCAAGTAACATTGTTTCTTGGTTGAAACAAATTTAGTAAGTTAGTTGTTTCTAAATTCATAGGAAGGAACAGAGAAGTAAAACTAAAAATCACCGCACGTGCCACCCTTGAGATATGCAGCCAGAGAGCAGTGGACTCCATCTGTTCTTCAAATCCATAAAACTATAAAAAGTGTTCGACGAATTAACGCTGTCGGTGTTCCCCTCATTCCAATTCCTCTCCCCAAACAGGGTGACATTCCGCCTCCCTTCCTCTCAATTAAATTCTCTCTTCTTTTTTTTTCCTTAAATTTTGATCTCAATTTTTTGATCCGATTTTGTACAATCCGATTCAGATCGGAACGGATCGTACCCCCAAAAAATGGCGGCATCTCGGCGGCTCCGGGACCTGCAATCGCAGCCAGGGAACAAGATCTGCGTCGACTGCTCCCAGAAGAACCCGCAATGGGCTTCGGTATCCTACGGCGTCTTCATGTGCTTAGAGTGCTCCGGCAAGCACCGCGGCCTCGGCGTTCACATCTCCTTCGTCCGATCCGTCACCATGGACTCCTGGTCCGAGATCCAGATCAAGAAGATGGAGGCCGGCGGCAACGAGCAGCTCAACGCCTTCCTCGCCAGCTACGGCGTCTCCAAGGAGACGGATATCGTCACCAAGTACAACACCAACGCCGCCAGCGTCTACCGGGATCGGATTCAAGCCCTAGCCGAGGGTCGTCCTTGGCGGGACCCACCCGTCGTGAAGGAGAGCCTAGGGTTCGGGAAATCAAAGCCACCTTTGGCCCATGGAGGCGGCGGCGGCAGGGGTGGTAATTCGGGAAACAATGGGGGGTGGGATAGTTGGGACGACGACGGTTTCAGATCGTCGAACGATATAAGGAGGAACCAGTCGACCGGCGACTTCAGAGCTGGTGGTGGTGGTGGTCATGGTGGTCGTGGGAATGGTGGATATGGAGGAAGCATGCCCGCCAGGTCGAGGTCTACGGAGGACATTACGAGATCGCAATTTGAGGCCTCGGCGGCGAACAAGGAGAGCTTTTTCGCGAGAAAAATGGCAGAGAACGAGTCGCGGCCGGACGGGCTCCCGCCCTCGCAGGGCGGGAAGTATGTCGGGTTTGGATCGAGTCCCGCGCCTTCCCAGAATCATCAGAATGTGAATGCGCAAGGCGATGTGTTATCTGTTGTTTCTCAGGTTGCATTATTTTTGTTTTTGTGTTTATTTTTATGTGTGATTGATTGTAGCTGGAAATGGCTGAATATTGATACACATTACATGTATGTTTTTGGTTTTGCACTTTTGTCATTTGAATAGGGTATTGGTAAGTTATCTTTGGTTGCTGCGTCTGCGGCTCAGTCGGCTGCGAATGTAGTCCAGGCAGGCACGAAAGAGCTCACTACAAAGGTATTTTACTTGTCACTCTTAATTTTGTTTGATGTTAGATGACCATTCTGCCAGGCATAGGCATTGTATCTCTGTTCATGCATATTTATTATGTCTTCTAGTTCCAGTAGAGTTGCTGGTTTGCAATTTCTCTTATAGTGGTAGTTCGAAATTATTGAAATTCTATGCACGAAGAATCCGTTGTGGTGGTTATTGAAATGCTATAGACGTAATGTGTTTAATGCTTATATTGAATGCTGTGAATGTAGGAACTTTGTATGTGTCTGCGTTTCTTTTGGCTATGGTAATAAGATATATGTTTGGCGCCACTTTTTCTGTTTGTATGTGCTTTTTTCAGTCCAATGACATACAACTTCATGCTCCGTGCCTGTAATATGAAATGTATTTGGAGCTACGTAATTCTAGCTTTACTGCGGTAGAAAACAGAAATAAACAAAACTAAACTAAAACCAAAAGATCTCTTACTTTCTAATGTAACTAATATCAGGTACTCATTAAAAATAATTCTATTTCAGCTTTCCATTTGGATCCCCTTTAGAGAAGGACAAGGAATAGAAAATTGGTAGTATTCTGAATGAAAAAGCTACATTCTCTTTGTTCTTTCAAATATTCTGATAAGTTGGGTGAACAGCCCTGAAAAAGCTACCTCTGTTATTCATTTTCACCCATTTTCACCATTTCTACTATTTTTTAACTATCAAATTCCAAATTTAATGGGTTAACTCCTCAGAACTTGGCTAATGACTTGCTTCATGGATGTATTAAACACCTCATAGTGTCTTGATCTCCCGTCTTAACATATCAAAGTACCATTATAAATCATAACGTCTCCATTTGACATAAAAAACAATTACAAAAACACTCTAGCCCAGCCCTCTCATGGTGTCAATTACTGGCAAACCACCACTGCTAGTCATTGTTTTAAGTAACAGCCAGATGAAATATTATTCCCCCTTGGGTATTAGATCAACCTAATATCCTGAGGTTTGAAAATTTATGAACCCGTTACTATACTACAAATGTAAGGCTATTTCGAGGGGCAAAAAACATCTATTATGAGGAAGACACATCTTGGTAGTAACCCATTACCTTTGTTTTCTCGTTGTTTTCTTTCTGTTTTACATTGCTTAGAGTTTTGAGAAAGGTTTGTGTGTTTTTAGTCTTCATCTCTATGGGGGTGTGTGTGTGCATGGGTGAGAGAGAGAGAGTTGTGTTATTTGCATTCGGATTAACTAAATATTCTGCATTTTTTTTTTCACAAGGAATGCATATATTGTAAGCAATCTTTCCAATTTCTGAACTTTGATAAAGGAGTTGTGTGATTAAACTCCTATAACAGGTGAAAGAGGGTGGCTATGATTACAAGGTGAATGAAACTGTTAATGTTGTCACTGCAAAGACTACAGAGATAGGACATAGGACTTGGGGGATTATGAAAGGGGTCATGGCAATGGCTTCACAAAAGGTTGAAGAGTACACTAAAGACGGAACAACCTGGAAGGCTGATAATAACTGGCAACGAAATGATAGTGAGCAAAATGGATATTATCAAGAGTTTAAACAGGAGAATAAACAATGGAATTCTTCTGGAGGGGGGCAGTCATCAAGTGGGAATTTTAATTCTCAAGGCTCGAGTTCTTGGGATGATTGGGACCAAAAAGACAATAGGAAGCAAGAGACTACTAAGGGAACGGGATCCAATAGCAGTGACGGTTGGGCTGGCTGGGATGATGGCAAAGACGATGGATTTGATCATTACCAGAGTGCATCTGTTTCGAAGGCTGCTGGTCACAATGGGAAATCGGATTCATCGTGGACTGGGGGAGGCTTTAACTAAGGTTAGTGTATCCAGAGGAACCTACTTTCATTGTAATTTAAAACTTTTTCAATGTTTTGTCCTTTTTGTGTTTAAAAGTAGATTGTATGTTCACCACAATGCTGTTCCACCACTACAAGAGGGTGCTAGAAATGTTATTTGTCTTGAATTGTATTTGGCTATGATGTGCAAGTTTTGAGACTCATTCCTGTTTTGGTTGTGTTTTGCTTTGTGTGTCCAAGTAGAATCTTACATGGTCTCAACAAATTTCTGGTTGACCCATAAGTTGCAGACACAAATTATTAGCACGCAAATTGAAGGCTGCCAAGATTGATGCCTAAGGTGAAGGAAATGGAATTTGGTGAATGTGGAATTTGTTAGCGGCTGCTGCTGCTGACCAATTGGTTGGTTGGTGATAAATTGGATTTGAGATCCATTTCCGTGGGAAAAGACACTTTTGTTGAGTTTAGTATATTTGCAGAAAACATTTTTTTTCCCTTTCTTTTTCTTTCATCTTTTAAAAGATTTTATGTAACTTAATTGGGGATATTTGGTGTTATTCAAAGTTGTTTATATGTGTACAACTATTCACAAGAGGGTTAATTGCCCAATTCAAAAGAGTACTGAAATGTTCGAATTTGTTTGTGAGATTTGAGGAATGAAAATTTCTTTTAATTTGCAATTGTTCCAAGTATGTTATCTTAATCCTTCCTTTGTGTTCTGATATGTTTTCTCCGTTTGAAATCCCAGTAATGAGCAATCAATTGAAGGCATTTTCTTTGTTGAATTAATTGGCATGGTATACTTCTCGCATCCTCCAGAGAGTAATTTACCGCTATGAATAGCACCATTCCGATGCGATGTCCTCCGAGACCAAGAACAAATAGTTTGCATAATAGAAAAAACTGAGTTCTGCCTCTCGAATCTTAACCCGGTATCTTTCTTCTTCTCTGTTCTACTGCTTTATTTGTTTCACATACCCTACAATAATCTTAAGCGCTCTGGTCATAAAGCTCGGGGGTTCTTTTTGTTTTCTTAACTTTTTATAAGGAGATAAAACTAGCAAATGCATTGATCGATCTGCTAACATTTTTAACAAAATTGAACTAAACTCCATTATTCGTAGTTTTTTTAACATGTGGAGTCTGCCTCGGCAAATGACAAACTAATTTACATAGCTACAATTACAAATCCTGGTCTCCAACTGCCTTCGATCAATTCATATTTTACTTCGTGGTGTTTGTATCACAAGTACGGAGGACAAGATCCCATTTGAGGACGAAGCTAATGCATCTCCAATTGGTCCCAGTTCAGCATGCTCCAGATGCTGGTGAGCCAGTTCTGCAACCATGGCTGGGTGGTGCTGCTCCTTCCCCACGATAACCAGGTCGTATTCCGCGCTCCGACCTATACTCACTACCGTCTCTGCAACATTGCCGGCCACCACCTTCTCTATGTATTCCACTGATTCATTAGACCTCTTCAGCTCTGCCACTGCAGCCTCATCAACTTCCCTCTCATGGCTCTGCTCCAAGCTGTCTTTTCCTTCAACCTGAATGCACTTCACAACTGTGACCATCACACTTGGATGCGCCAGTCTCCTTCCAAACTCCAAAGCCTCGCGGTCGTCGGGTCCACCCGCAAACAAAACGCACACCCTCTTCAAAATGGTGGCACTTGAGGGCGCTGCATGCCTCTCAGGTCTGCCACCAAATCCACGATCCACAAACAATGCCACCGAGCAATTTGCACTGCTTAATACCCTCTGATTGACCCCTCTCCAATCATGCCCCAAATTCTCCATTGTCTCTTCACCCTCTGTTCTGCACTGTCTGTTAAAAGGCAAGATGATGATCGACACCCTCTTTTCTTCCGCGACGTGGAGTATGTCCTGGTGCATTGTGGACAATGCCGAGATGGCCGTCGTGTGGCGGATGGTGACTTGACCAACTCTACCATACGCCTCAAATGCTGCCGGGATTTGGTCCCGCGAAACCCCTTGACATAAGCGGTTGATGAAGGGGAAACCATTTTTTCGAACACGGTGTACCATCATAATCGAAGATGAACGATCGGTGAGCTCAACAAGATGCATGACGTAAACTTTGAGTGGCCGTGAGTTTTCAAAGGCGGTTCCGGTTGACTCTATGAGGTTGATGAGGGAGGGTACGCTTCCGGGGCCATGAATGCAAGCAAGGATTCGAAGGTCCTTTTGTTTCTTTGAGCTTTTGGTTGGAGAATGTAAGAGACGGGGAGTTGGAGAAGCAATGACGTCCCATGAGGGATTGTAAATGGCCATCACAGCCGGAGTTGTCATGAAGGTGGTGAAGAGTGCCATAAGGACTAAAATAGCGAACATCTCGTCGTTTAGAATCTGCAAAGCGAAGTTTCCAAAAGTTAATCCCCCAAGGTGGTAATAACAGGACTAAATAGCAAACAAACATAGATGGATGGACAGTGAACACATCCCTCAAGCCATCTCCAATGCACCAGAAACTCAAAATCCAAATTTGACTCTTATTATCAAAACCACAAACTCAGATTTTGGGTTTGAATATACTTAAAACCCATATACTCGCTTGAACTGTCCCTATAATACAGTTAACCGCACTAGAGGATAATTGAATTTTGCACTGATCGTTGACTGACATGCATTGGTGGGACGATCGATAAGACACAAAATTAATTATCCGCAAGTGCGGTTAACTGTATTATTATAGAACAATTATAAGTCTTAAGGCCCATCACTTTTGCACTCGAGAATTTGAGTATGAGAAAGAATATGGGTTATTGCATTGGAGATAAGATATGAAATTCATTTATTCAAGCAGATCTTGTCTTTGTAAGAGATGTAGCTTATGGAGTTTATAGATATATATATGGTCTCTTTAATTGTGTTATTATCTACCACATTATTGAGCTTAAAAAAAGGCTTCCTTCCTAAAGCAAAGATGGAAAAACTTGGTGCTGCGTGACCTGGCTTTGCACTATGGATTAATTTTTCATGTAGTATTATAACACGTACGTTTATATTTTATATTATTATAAGTGGGTATTTGTAAAATAAAAAGGAATACACGTACCTTCTTTTCCTTTCCAATATTGAGAACAATGAGCTCTACCAACCCTTTGGTGTTCATCAACACACCCAAAGCCAATGACTCTCTTACTGGTATCATACACAACATGGCAACCAAAAACGTTCCCAAAATCTTCCCTGTGCAGGACACTGATATCACCAAAGCCAACAGCCCCCATGCCTTGACCCCTTGAATTTTAGCCACATCCGTCCTCAACCCACTTGAAGCAAAGTAGAGAGGGAGAAGCAAACCAGACACAAAATCTTCAATCCTTTTGGTCAGTTTGGCTGCAAACTCACCCCCCTTTGGGATCGTTAACCCGAAAACAAAAGCTCCGAATATGGCATGGACACCGATCAGGTCCGTCGTAAACCCGGATATCATTACCCCGACTAGGGTCAAGCAGATGTAGGCCTCGTCCACTAAGCCATCATTGGATGAGCTGCGTTTGGCTACCCAGTTCATGAAGGGCCTGACCAAAGTTAGCTGAAAAGCAACAAAGGCAACACCTGAAATGAGAACCCAAAGGGATACTAAGGGGCTTTTGTGGTTCCCTCCGGCTAAGGCCACTGCCAATGCCAGCAATACCCACGCAGCGACGTCGTTGAAGGCTGCTGCTGCCATTGCTGTTTCGCCAATGCGAGTTGTGAGCAGTTTGAGCTCTGCTAGGATGCGTGCGAGGACAGGGAAAGCGGTGATGGAGAGAGCTACCCCGATGAACACAAGGCACTGAGCGTAGCCCACTTTGTTCTCCCCATTGATGGCTTTGCGCATGAGGAATGTGACCCCTACTCCGGAGAGAAAGGGGAGGGAAATTCCTGAGAGAATTTGTAGATAAAAGTTTGAAAATTTGAGTGAAATATACTAAAAGAAAATATTGGAAAATATATTGTATCAGATTGAAATTTGGACCATGCCTGCAATGGCTATGGTGATGGCTTTTCTGCCACTGCGGCGAATGGAGCTCAGATCAAGCTCAAGGCCTACAAGAAATAAGTAAAACAGAAGGCCAATGCTTGCTACGGATTCGAGTATGGGGGTGCTCCATGAAGGGAATATGATCTGCAAAAAGTGTTTGTTCCGGCCAAGTGCTGATGGTCCCAACAAAATCCCACCCTGAATTGTACGCAAGAAAGTAAAAGCAAACATTCTTTTCAGTCATGCACAAAAGAAAAAGAAAGAAAAAAACGACGTTAGTTTTAGACATAAGCATGCATATATCAGCAAAAAAAAACAAAACAGTACTAATATTTCAGCGATGACTTTAGGTTGGCGGAGTGGCTTGAGAAGTAAGGCGAGGAGGCGGCTAACAAAGAGGACGAGAGTGGTTTGAACTATCAACAATGGGAAGGCATGGTGCAAAGGGTTGTCACCTTGCCAAGCTCCATCTGATGAAGTTCTCATAGTGGTTATGTTGAGCTCCATGGTTGGGGGTAATTGAAAGTTAGATTAACTTTGAACCCTAAATGACTGGTGTCTTTGTTCTTCACAATGGTGAATTGAAATTAAACGCGTAGGTGATGATCGATTTTTATAGAGGATAAGAAAAGTACCAAGTGGTCTCAAGTCAAACCCATCGCCTCACCCACCCTGTTTACACCTATCAACAACAATGCTGCTGCCTCCAACTAGAAGGCAGATAATTGCTCCTCCCACTTAAGTCAAGTTCGTTTGTTTATTGTTTGTTATGCGCCACCAATTAATCCAGTGCTAATCATGTTGCTTCTTAATTATCCCTTAATCATTGCTTTGCTTTGTCGTTAAATTTCTAAACTCTGAATCATTAGCTTGGCTCTTTTCTTCAACTACCATCATAAGTTGATAACAAAACCTAATCTCACATATTTTTCGGACAACGAAACTTGTAACAAAACAATACACTTTATATGATGAACAAATTAATTACTTTTGGTCACACAGATTCCTTAGAAATTTCAAGCACATTGCTGGAAGATTCATCTGCTACGAACCTTTCGTAGTCACGGTGCACTATCTTTGACATGGGAGCCTCCACGGCATGCGCTACGTCATGTTGTTGAATCACAAGGACTGATGAGACCACACCATGATCTGATGAGGCCAATATGTCTCCAACGGGGCCTAACTCAGCATGCTCTGCTTGCCGGTCTGCCAATTCTGCCACCATGGCTGATGGGAACCTCCCTTTTCCTACGACCAATAGGTCTTGATCTCCACTTCGTCCTATGGCCAACACCCCCTCTATAATGTTATTGGCTCCCACTTTCTCTATGTACTCTGCTTTCCCATCCCACTTGCTTCTGAACTCAGCCATTGCACCCTCATCGAGTTTCTGATGATCAAATTTTACCAGAAATTAGTACATACTGAAAAAGTTAAACGAGCTAAAATTGTGTGATTTGACTAATCTTTTAGTGTAACACGGACAGGGTGATGTGACGAATGTGTGGTTATGGATGGAGGACATATTGCAATGTGACTAAATTGTAGTGAGGCACAAATACCTTTTCTTTCTCTCTGTCCATTTTAGCTGTGGAGAAGCTATAGCTATTATCGGTGGACTTGGAGGGTGAGGGCTTTAACATAAGCCCATGAGGCCCATTACTCTCCAAGCCCTCTTTGTCGATGAATTTCACAACCGTCACTTTAACTGCCGGGTGTTCGGCCATCCTACCACCCAACTCCAAGGCCTCGCGATCATCAGGCCCACCGAAAAAAATAATGCAGATCCGTTGGGTCAGGATGGTTGTAGGCCCAGGAGTTTGTGATCTAGGGCGACCAAATCCACGATCTACGAGCACTGCAACCGAGCACGGTGCATTTTGAAGCACCTTTTGGTTGACCCCTCTCCAACTGTGGCCCACAATCTCCGTTGTCTCCTGATCATCACCGTCGAACCTCCATTCTTTGTGGAAGGGCAAGATGATCATCGCCGCCCTCTTATCTTCCGCCACGTGGCATATATCTTCATACATTGTGGACATGGCTGAAATTGCAGTCGTGGGCCGGACCGAGACACGGCCCAATTGGCTATAGGCTTGGAAAGCCCCGACAATGCTGTCGTGGAGCTGGCCTCGGCCCAACCGATTAAAGAAGGGAAACCCATTTTTTCGAGCTCTTTGGACCATGATAATGGAAGAAGAGCGTTCAGTGAGCTCCACAAGGTGCATAAGGAATAGTTTGAGTTTGGATTTCTTGGAGCTCCGAATGGACTCAATGAGGCCAATGAGTGAAGGCACATTGGGAGGCCCATGAACACATGCGACCACTCGAAGCTCGTCTTTGAAGGCCTCACTGGTCGAGAGGTCACCTAGCTTGCGGCGAGGGCGCAATGAGATGCCACGTGCCGGCTTGTAAATGGCCATCACTAGAGGACTTGTGATGAAGGTGGTGAAGAGTGCCATGAGGACTAGAATAGCAAATGTCTCGTCATTAAGCACCTGTAATTAAATAACTAGTAACTCTTAAGATAACATTGTTTAACCCAAAGTTGCAAAAATCACATATCTTTGATATCGCATCAGCTTATCACATACTTTTCCACATAGTACTTTTAAAAACAAATGTAATTAATAATCTGACAACATAACGCATATACCAACATATAAAATAATATTAATGGATAGCTCTTATAGACGTCCTCAAATAGAAAGTTAGAAATCTTGCACGCAAACAAAGAATTCATGAGATATTATTTAGACGCCCTTAAATAGAAAGTTGAAGTCTTGAAGACGAAACAAAAGGTACTAATTCATCAAATTTCTTACATCAATAATTGGTATATAATTTTTTTGGCCGAACCAATAATTGAGATTATACAACTCAACTTTAATCTTTGGACGGATTCACAATAAAGCCAAGGAAAACAGGACAAACTTTACCCAAAGTCCTTGCTTTTTAACCTTTACAAAACATGTCTGTGTCCCTTAATCTCTTCTTTTCCTGACTGTATCTTTGTGGCAAAAAATTTGGCACAGTGAGAGTGTTTGTTGCTTTTTAATTTTCTGAAGACACGTAACTACCTAAGGGCCCGTTTTATAATTTTTTTTATTTTTTATGTTAGAGTATAGATAAAAAAGAGAGAGAACGAGAGTGAATATGAGATTGAGAGGAAAGATGAAAAAGGAGAAAGTGAGGGAGGAGTAACAAAAGTGAAAACAAAAACTAAAAACTTAAACTATTTGAAATTGTTTTCACTTTTGTTACTCCTCATTCTCATTCTTCCTTCTCATTATCTTTTTAATATCATCCTTCCTTGCTCTCATTTTCACTCTAATTTTCTTCTATATTCTAAAACGAAAAATTAAAACTAAAAATTAAAATTGAAGTAGTTATCAAACCGGCCTAACTAAATCATCATGCAGAGTGAGGATTGTTCTGAGGCACAAAAGAGTTCATGGATTGGCCAAAAGCTTTTAGGAAAATGGAAGGGGAATCAATCAATAAAGCAAAAAAGAAGTGACATAAAGGTCCAATTGCCGCTGAATGCAGTGTAAACAGACAATAACGTAAACGACGGATTACAAAGAGGAGGGTAAAAGTTGATCTGTCGTTTTCAAATGATTTTGCAAATGCTTCCTAACATGGCCCCAACAACTAGAACCAGCTGCCTTAAGTTAATCCCATGCTAAACAGTATTGATTAGCTGATATGATGAATTAGTTGTGACACGTGCACATGAAACCTAAGTTAATTATATTATCTAGTTAAGCTGATTTTTATTTGAATGTATCGGTTTGAATTCACAGCCCGATGTAACATGGCACCAAACAACATTACATAATTCACATTCATTTTTTTCAGATGGGAGATTTTGTGTTTGGCGAGATGTCAAGTAACGATTAATTATGTTATTGTCAGTCAACCGACCTCCCACATTTCAAATCCTCAAGGACTTCCACATAATATAAGATATTTTATAAATGTATAATCACTTCTTTTGTATGAAATGTATGATTAAATTGTAACTATAATTTTTTTTAAAACTTTCCTTTAAATAGGTGTGAAGAACATGTTAATTATACATGGCAATTCAATCATTTTTCATACTTGTTATAGTAGTGTATATAATTAATTAAAATGCCGATGTAAATGTGGTGGAAATCAATTAAATAAATAATTGTAACTGACCTTTTTCTCCTTGCCAATATTGAGAACAATGAGCTCAACCAAGCCTTTGGTGTTCATGAGCACACCAAGCGTCAAGGACTCCCTAACAGGGATCATAAACATCAAAGCCACAAGAAACGTTCCCAAGATCTTCCCAGCGCAGGCCGTGGATATAACCAGAGCCAGCAGCCCCCACGCCTCTCCTCCCCTGATCTTCGCCACGTCCGTCTTCAACCCACTTGAAGCAAAGTAAAGTGGAAGCAACAGACCAGACACAAAGTCTTCCATCCTCTCTGTCAACCTGTCCGCAAACCGTCCTCCTTTTGGAATTGTTAGGCCAAACACAAAGGCTCCGAATATGGAATGGATCCCAATTAGGTCTGTCACGAACCCGGCCACCATGACTCCAGCTAGGGTCAAGCAGATATAGGCTTCGTCCACTGAGTCTTGCTCCGGGGAGCTGCGGCGGGCCACCCAGTTCATGGCGGGGCGGATCACCACCATCATGAAAGCAACAAAAGCAAGACCTGATATTCAAAAGCCATTACTTACTTACATGGATACGCCAAATAGTAACTGAAAATATATAAAATAGCAGAAAAGTCAACATATAAAATTATAATGATTAGGCTTTATACTATTTCTCCATTAAAAGTGAGATTCATTTCCACACAGGAGAATGTCCCTTTCTGTTTAATTAATCATACAAAATAATTATATTTATATTTATTTAATATATTAGGTGAAAAAGAAAACTATGAATTATTTTTTGAGGATATTGTATTATTTCAGGACCATATATACCTGAGAGGAAGACCCAGACAGATACCAAGGGGCTCTTCTTGTGTCCACCAACACCGTCACCGGCCAAGGCCACGGCCAGCGCTAGCAAGATCCATGCAGCGACGTCGTTTAACGCCGCCGCAGCCATGGCAGTCTCGCCAACCCGAGTGGTCAAAAGCTTGAGCTCTGCTAAAATGCGGGCGAGCACAGGAAAAGCGGTGATGGAGAGGGACACTCCCATGAACACAAGGAACTGGGTGAAGCCGGCCTTGTCAGCTCCATCGATGGTTTTCCGGAGGAGGAAGGCAACTCCGATGCCGCAGATGAAAGGGACAGATATGCCGGCGAGGGCTATGCCGACGGCGCTTCGGCCACTACGACGTCGGATCGAGCTTAAGTCGAGCTCTATGCCTACGAGGAACAAGAAAAACAGAAGACCAATGCTTGCCACGGTTTCGAGGATTGGGGTGCTCCATGAGGGGAATATTTTGTGTAGGTATTGTTTGTTTCGTCCGAAGGCTGACGGTCCAAGCAATATTCCACCCTAAATAATAATTACTCAACACAAGATTAACATTTGACCCAAAAAAAATAAGTAAACACAAAAGATTCACAATATTATATATTATTAAATGGGGATTCTAAGTTCGAAAATTAAATCAATCAAGTAGCTCGTTATTTCTAATAGTATTGAAAGAGATTTTAAATTCGAAAATAAATAACTTACTGCAATTTCGGCAATGACTTTTGGTTGGCGGAGGGGCTTGAGAAGGAAGGCGAGGAAACGACTAACGACAATTATTAAGGTGGTTTGGACAATTAAGAGTGGGAAGGCGAAGTTGAGAGGATTGTCGCCTTGCAATAAGCCGCTTGATGCGGTTTTGATTGAAGTTATGTTCACCGGAGCCATAGTTGTAAAATAAATGTATGAACTAAGATGTAATAGGATGGCATGGAAAAATCAAAGCAATATATATACAGAGTAGAGGTGTCAAACGGGCCGTGCCGGGCCGGCCCGTCCCATTTAAATTCGTGCTTTTAACGTTTTCATGCCGTGCCGGGCCGGCCTATTTAATTTATCGGGCCGTGCCGTACCGGCCCATTTAGTAAAATCATTGATCCCGGCCCGGCCCAAAGCCCATGTCCACATTTAAACGGGCCGTGCTCATGTTGTGCCCGTGCTTGTGCTTGTGCCATACTTAGGCCCAAGAACCAACCCATTTAATTTGAAGTTTTTTCACTTGATAATTCAAATTATAAACATTAAAAATATAATTAGAGACAAGAAATGATGAATTATTTGAAAACATTAGTCAATAAAACATCCAAACAATATAAAAGCCAGAGGGCAAAAAGTGTACAACTCTACAAAGTCCACTTCAACTTTTCATCTTTAAACAACTTATTATTTTATATGTGAAGAAATGTCTTGCTTTGATTATAAGAAAAACGTATATGTCATATGTACTAATTAGATATCAAGTCCAATGTTGTTAAATTAATTTGTAGTTGATATGTTTAATTAATTAGGATCCAAGAAATTTCCCTAAAATAAAAGACATCAAATATATGTTTATGATTATAAAAAAATAAAAAAACCATATAAACAATGATATTAGATGTCAAATTTTTGCATTTTGAAATTTGAGAAAGAAAAAAAAAATTAAGTGGGTCGTGCTTGAAGCGGGCTTGGGCTCGTGCCGTGCTTGAAGCGAGCTTGGGCCAAGTCCGGCCCATGTCGGGCCGTGGGCCGGCCCGGTCCATTGGACCTCATTTTTTATCCCGGCCCAGCCCAAGTTTTCATACCATGCCTAGCACGGCCCATTACTATTCGTGCTCGTGCCGTGCCGTGCCTCATTTAAACGGGCTGGGCTTGTGCCGTGCTGGGCCGGCCCGTCCCGTTTGACACCTCTAATATAGAGGGAGGGACGGAGGGCGATTGAAGTGTTGGTTCTTGTCGTCGTGTGTAAAATGAATTCACTGTGGGTCAGATTGGATTGGAATTTTTTAATACAAGCTTTTAACGGAAAGTAGAGAATCGAATCCAATATCTAAGGTCATCTCGGCCATATATGGCACCTAAAAAGTGCAAAACTCATCTCCAGTCATGGGTCAAAATAATTTTGAAGGCCACATGTAACTCTTTAACCCTTCTCCCAGGCTACACATAACCCACCTTTAACCTAGGTCAAATATTTTTTTGTGAGCCTATTGTATGTGCTGCCCAATTAGAGGATGAATCAGGTGTGGGTGTGAGTAGGGGAGGACTTCGTGCAACTGAATACCAACGGGCATACGTTGAGATTCAAGAGCTCCAATTAAATGCGATGACATCAATGCCTTTATTTTTATTTTTTATTTTTTATTTATATTTTTAATGTTTTAATTTTTTTTTTTTTTTTTTTTTTTTTTTTCTTTTTTTACCAAATTATATATATATATATATATAAAGCAAAAGGCAGAGAATGGTGAAACATTCAAAATACCAGAAAATGTCCTTGATTAATGCAAATATTAAGAATTGAAATTATTAATTAAATGAGGATAATATGGTAAATTCACACTTTTTCATATTAAAAAAATTAAAATTAAAAGACAAATCAGATAATGGTTTCTATTTTTATGGAACATAACTATCCATTATTTTTTGTAATTCTAAAATAAATTTAAATTTTTTTAAAAAAAGCCTCTCACAGGCGCGGAAGCGCATGCAGAGAGGCTAGTATATATATAAAAAAACTTGTTTGGACCGTTGGGAGGTCAGAACATTTAGAAAGTTCAGTAATTTTCAAACATAGCCGTTGGACTTTTTTCCTTTCTTTTTTAAAACCTAAAATATGTATATCAATTTCTTCAAATTTCTTCAAAAAAATCCACTCATTTATTACAAACTTTATCACATTCTTTACTTATTTACAACTTTCCCAAACAATAAAATATGTATGGCCTAAAAATATAACCATACATGGTTGGAGATGAAATTTTTTAACCTTACACTATTCTTTAAAATAATAATAATAAAAAATTTGGTCTAAAAAATAATAATATTTTGGAGGGCTAAATTATACCCGTGTATTTGGCCTATAGTCCATGACTAGAAATGAATATAAGAGTAAATACTCTTAACTAATTGAGCTTTAAACCCTTCGAAGAATTGAGTTGTTTTAGATATGACTAAGCCAAGTAGGTTAATTACTATCGGACTCACTTCCACCCAACCCAAAAAAAAAAAAAAAAAAAAAAGCACCCCCTTGCTCTTAGTTTTAGACATTGGTTGACTAGGATCAGTTTGACGTTGTCAATAAGTGTGGCATGTGACCTAGTCACAGCTTTATCAGAAATTTGATTGATATTTAATTATTAATTTAGTGTTATCCATAAAAATGTGGCTCAAATTGGTTTCTCTTTTGTTGGTTAACATCTTCCTCTTCTTCTTTTCCAACAAATCCAAGCACTTGTAAATTTGGATCTATCAAAACTGTCTCCGATTCTGGAAAATTTAATTAACTAATCACGAGACTCTTCCAAAAAAGCATTGCAATTTTTTTTTTCCACCACACTGAACTTGACCCGTGGCACCCGTACACTGGATCATGATCATCACACGGTCCATACTCATCAAGTGCATGGCCCCTCCATGTTTTTCCTGACAAGATGGGAAACGAGAGGAGCCTGTCTGAAGACTACTGAGGAACTCGTACATTTTTTTTGTTTTTTAGTTTTTAGTTTTTAGTTTTGGGGTTTGGAACTTAGAGAGGGCTAGAAATGCAAGGTGTCCGCTGAGTCAAAGAATCGACTAGTTAGGCAAATAAAGGATCCGATGGTGTAATGATTTGAAGCAATTATTCTCACAAAAAAGATTTTAGGTCCGAGTCTTAGTATCTATGTAATGTGTGTGAATTTAGTATGTTATGGCTCCGATCTCAATAAGAAAAGTCCACACAAAAAAGAATCGATGGTAGATTGAAAAAGCTAAGGGTATAGCTAGCTTCAATATGAACCACATGTGCATGGTATGGGCACATAACATAAGATTTATGATTAGTCGTACGTCGATCAAAGCAGCTGCTAATAAGTTGCTTTCTTGTTCAGTCTTTCGTCTTTGGTCCATACACTCTTTATATCTGAGTATGAGAATTGAGACATTCATGGCCACAAGTTGGTAGTTGCCACTTTCCAACATGTTCCAAATTAGACTAAGAAGACCCATATGCATGCTGTGGCCCCAAAACCATATCACTTATTAATTTTCTAAATTTTTTTCAATATGAAAAAAAGAATTAATGAATTTTATTTTATTTTAATTTTCTGAATTAAGTGTTAATTAGTTTTGTACCATAATATATTAATTTTTAAAATTTTTAATATATAAATTTATAATTACTCCAACATATTCATGAGTGTCGGTCTACCAAGAAAATCGTTTTTTTTTTTTGGGATCAAATACCTAAACAATATCCACCAACGAATCCAAGAGACCGACCGACATAAAATAAGAAAAAGTATCCTACATCTCTGATTATTTTATTTAGCGTACGTTCTTGAAGGAAAATGAAACAATTATTAGACAAGATCCAATGGGGTTTTGCTATGCTTAGTTCTGAATAAAATAATTAGCACTGATTTGCTTTGCTCTAAGAAGTATTTGGTTTGTATTGGACTGTTGAGTTGGACAAATTTAATTGGCATGCAAACCCTAATTATGAAATCGTCCAAAAAGTAGAAAACAAAGCTGACTGAATGGAGCCACGAAGCCACTCTGATAAGTATCTGATCCAATTGAGGATCTTTGCCGGTTGTTTCACTTTGCTTGTAACGCCTTCTTTCTTCGACTAATGTAGCCTCACCTACCTATGAAATTGTGTTTCAATAGAAATGGACAAATCAGAGATTCGGGAAGTTCATGGAGGAATTAATACAAGGGAGTTTCAGCTCCTTTTGAGTTGTTCTTATACAACTCTTGAACCCAAGAGCAAAATTGGAAATGTGTGAACAATACATGTCAAGCTAGTACTTTGCTTCACTTGCATACTTTTGAAGCGATTACCTTGAAACGATAACTCTGATATCATGTTAGACAATTATTGAACCTATAAAACTTAACGTGGTCAATAAGACAACAATGTATATATATCTATCATAGTCAATTAAACTATTTTATTATATAACAATGTGAATCTGTTTTATTTGTTTTGTTAACATGATCATTGAACTAAATACTAGTAGCTAGATTCAATGGACCTCCTAGATTTGGAAGCAATCACATTTTCAATTATCCAAGAGAAGAATGGAAATAGATATTCGTTTTGTGATCCTTTTCTTGACAAAGATTGATGGACACGTAACGTTGCATATATAAAAGAACAATGAAAAGGTGGAAAAGACATATATAGTATCAGTGAAAATCAGGGACGGACCCACAGTGGGGTCAATGGGGTCAAACGACCCTATGGACTCCAAGCAAGTAAGGTAGAAGGTCCCTTTGAATTGGGGTGTGACCCCATGAAAGGCTGAAGAAGGAGTTGCAGGTACTGAGGAAGAAGAAGATGAACAGAAATCTGTTTTTCTTTTTTCAAAAGAAGCTAGCCAAAACGGCGTCGTTTTGGCCCAGCTTCTAATTTTTTTTTAAAACAGGCTGGCCAAAACGGCGTCGTTTTGGACCAGCGCCTTTTTTTTTAAACCCCCTGCCAAAACGGCGTCGTTTTGGTAGCGAATTTTTTTTTAAAAACTGCGCTGGCCAAAACGACGTCGTTTTGGACCAGCAGCATAGCACCGAATTTTTTTTTAAAAGACCTGGCCAAAACGACGTCGTTTTGGTCCAGGTCTTTAAAAAAAAAGAGAACAGATTGTGTATACACAAACCCTCCATCTCTCCCGAGTTTTCAACTCCAAAACCCCCATTTTCTAAACCCTCAAACCTAAATCCCCAATCTCCACCCCCCCCAAACCTTTAACCCTCTCCCCCACCAAGCCTTTAAGCCCCAACTCCTCCATTGCCGCCTTTTACACTATGACCCTACGACATAAAATTCCTGGGTCCGTCCCTGGTGAAAATGATTGCATAAGATATATCACCTCCTAAACCTAATTGATTGAAAATAAGTTTCCTAGGGTTTGCATTGCACAAATACACGAATAGCTCTGAGCTGGTGCCGTGTGAAAATCCTTGTTCTTGTTTTGTTTTTGGGACATACCAACTTGATATAATTGAACTTCCTTGTTGGAGATTCAGCGGATCTCGGAGAATCAAAAGTAATCAAAGTTCCATTTGTCGAAGAGAAAATGGAATCAAATAGGTTTTTTCTTTCTTGGTTTCAAACTGACAGAGATTGATTATTGTCACGTATGCATGCATATGAACATGAAGGCGGCGAAAAGACAAAACGTTGTACACTTTCAAGTTTCGGTTGTGCATGTTTCATTTAAAGAACATGTATCGCATTGGATTCATCCGATGTGTGGTTTGGATGGTGCACATATGGGGAAACAAAGTGTATCAATTATTAAAGCTCTAACCTTACAATGTTGATTGTTGAGTTGAGGCCAATTCATCTTTATTTGATTGATATGATTTACGTGAAATCCGCTGGATCAAATAAAATGAAGAACTTTATTGTGAAATGATATAAAGTGGATATGATTATGGAAAAGTAACCATTTTCATGACTCGAATCTCGATTGAGATGATAAATTGGGTTCGATACTCACGTTCTAATAAGACATCACTAAAAGAAGAGGTTAGAACTTTTAATAGAAAGGAAAAGTAAAATAAAATATTGGATTTCAACTTAGCTTAGCTCAATTTCCTCTTCACTTATATTTGGGTTTCCTTTTTAAAATCAAATACTTCCAAGGTAAAGTTTCGGCCGATACATCAATATATCGTGATTTTCAAGTGTCGACACTGATATTGAGGGGTAAGGTCATATCTTCCCATGTATCAGCGATATATCCTAGATATGTTGTCGACATTGTCGCTATTTCCAGATACCCATAATAGAATCCAGAAAATTTTCAAAAGTTTTGAAGGCAATTGATGCAAATTGCCCAAAAATCTCTAATCATTATTATAGTATGCAATTAAGTTAAATAGGAGGAAATTAAAGCTTAATTGGAACACCTATGAACTAAACAAGCCATTAAATCATACTCATAACCCTATAATATATTAATATGAAGAATCCATCCAGTTCACTACCCACATAACTCCAAAAACATCTGACTATCTTTATGCATGGTTTATTCATTCTAATCAACGTTTTATTTTCACATTTTTCATTAAGGCGCATTACATACCATTTATATTTCATCATATGTATATCTTATACTTAGTAAATTTTGAGTTTATTTGTTCAATACATCCATTATAACATAACATCTACAAAAAATTTACTCTAAAATTCCGTGTTCCAAAACTCGTGTCATTTTTGTTGATTTTTTTTCGATACCTAAAACAATAACGATATATTCCTGAAAAATTGTAGCCCCGATATATCAGCATGGCCGATCTTTTAATCCATGAATACTTCCAGTTGGTGTTGATATTGTGTTCATAATTTTGACAGAAAATAGGCAAATGAATGAATGGGAGCCCAAAGGGCAATTGGGCCAAGTTCATACAATCCATTCAAAAACATTGATCCAGCAGGGAAGCGGGTTCAAGCATGTATGTTATTAAAAGGGAGTTTCACTAAAACACCCAAAATAGGAGCTGAAATTATAAAAAAAACTCAACACCCAAAACACTTTATAAACACACCCAAAACCCATCATTACACACTCAAAACCCATTTATAAACACACCCAAAAAATATACAATTGTTGATTTTGGAGTTAATTTTGGGTGTGTTTCTATGTTTAAATAGTGCTTGAGTTTTTTTATAAATACATGTTTAGAATTAGATTTATTTATAAATTTGTATTATTAAAATTGGGTAAGCTTCCAAGGACACCCTACTAATTTTCTGTTTTTAGACAATTGGGCGTGTATAGAAAACCCGAAACTCATAAATACTTGATCCCATTGAGCTAACCGGGCACGGGATATGATCGAATTATAAAAACTTGGTCCAATTATCCAAATTTACACTCAGTTTTGTAACCCCAAAAAGAGCATGGACCTTCGAATGAATTATATGAATTTGGCCCACTTATCAAAATTTAAAATGATTTAGATCAAGCACTTAAAAAAGCCAATCATCCAATGGCCCAATCATTGGCATTCAGCCCATTTTCTAGTAGCTGAAACCAACTCTGAATTTAGAAAGCTAGGGAGCTACCAGTGTTTGCAAAATGGAATTTCAACATTGGAAACCAAAGATATCAAAATTAACAACTGCAACTCATGCAAACCATCAAAGATGACAAAATGGATTGAGAAAACAAGTAGATTTTCATTTCATAATCAACCTAGAAGTACATCAACTTCAAGCAACCGCTTCCTAAACTAACGAACAACCACAACACCAATTAACCCCTTTACAATTCCCAATTCGAAACCCTAAAAATCCTAACCACCAAACCCGTACAGAGTCCTGCCCTGCCTCTTGAGCGCATAGACGACATCCATGGCGGTCACCGTCTTCCTCCGGGCGTGCTCTGTGTAGGTCACAGCGTCTCGGATCACATTCTCGAGGAAGATCTTGAGGACGCCACGTGTCTCCTCATAGATGAGGCCACTGATACGCTTCACGCCGCCCCTACGAGCAAGGCGACGGATTGCAGGCTTTGTGATGCCCTGAATGTTATCCCTCAGCACCTTCCTGTGCCTCTTGGCTCCTCCTTTGCCCAACCCCTTGCCTCCCTTCCCTCTACCCGACATATCCGCAAAACTAAGGTTTTGATTTTGGATCGAATTTTCAAACTGTGTGTGAGTCTCGTTTCTTCTGTGCGGAGGCAGAGGGAAGGTGGGCTTTTATATTGGGAGGTGGTTTTTGTGTTTGTTTATTTGAGATTTGGGGGGAACGTGTGGACGGTTGGATTGGGTTTCGATCGACGGCTCAGAGTGGCGATCCGCGTCGATGTTTTGGTTTTTTCCTGGACCGTCGATTATGTTTGGATCGACGATACTGTGAGTATCGAATAGAGATAGTTCGGATTGTGTTTCGTCGAGGATTGATGATGTGGCGATTTTTGTGTTTTTCGACTTTGGCATCAGACGAAAATGAATGTGGACCGTTAGATTTCAGTGTTATCGACGTCTGAGCGATTGAGCTTAATTTTTTGTGAATATTTTTTTGGGTTGAATGAACTTTTGTGATTTCAGTAAGGCACGTCTCTTTACTAGGAGTCTAGGACCTTGGGGTAAAAATTTAACCAAATGTGTATAGATACATAAAAAGTTTGGGTCCTTGGTTCCATTGAAATGTTGGAATTTAAGTAGTCTTATCACCAGTCGTCAGGTGATTGTGAGTCAATTGATGCATTATGTGATTGTGAGCCGTTAATGTAAGTTTATCTCATAATACATCAAATGGCTCAATCACAAATCTCATGATGTTTATAATAAAAAATTGAGACCGAGAAAATGGACAAATTAGATTTTGTACATCAGCAACCCCAAGCGCCTACATTAGAGAAAATTCATTTTATATTCCACATATCACTTAAGGTCATCTCCAATCATGGGTCATATACCATATGTAGCCCTCAAAACATGCAAAACTCATCTCCAGCCCTCAAAATGTAGCCCAGTTATAGCTCATGCCAATTTTTTGTGCAGGCTCAGCGCATGTTTTACCCACCAAGAGGAAGTATCTCACATAGGCGTGATCAGGGGAACATCTACGCAACTGCAATCCAAGGGTTGATATTAGAGCATGTCTAATGCTTTGAAACTAGGTGCATATATTTTTGAAAACAATTTTGAGCCATACTTTGAAACAACAATTTATATATTTATATATTATTTTAATTGATTTTTGGTTGGTTGGAGGTCACATTGGAGGTCAGGAACCTTTGAGGAACCTTTTTTTTTTTTTTTTTTTTTTTTTTTTTTTTTTTTTAGTTGTTTAATTATTAATTAAACAATACATAGTAGTGGAATATATGAGTCTTATACTATAGTTTTTCTCAAAATAATAAAATATGGAAAGCCCTCCAATATAACCATGCATGGCAAGAGATAGAAAAACAAAAAGAAAAATTAATTAATATTTTGGAGTGCTAAAATTATAGCCTGAACTATATTTAGGTCTATGATTGGAGATGGCCTAACATGGTTGAGCCAGTATCACCAAAAGCAAAATAACACATCCGAAATAAGCAAAAACTACCACGTAGATGCTCCAAGAGTAAAGTTGGATTCAATGCTACATTCGAACTTGGATAAGCTAAAAGGATTAGCATGAACCAAAATAGACACATCGCAGATTCTGACGGGAAGAGCCCAAGCTCTATGTCTTCTATACATACTACTGCAGCTTGAAAATTTTGTTATAATTGAGTAGAGGTCAGCTTGACATGAGTTCTCATCCTCTTTCTCTCATCTGCGGTAGAATCTGTACAAAATTATTGCCATATGCTTCTTCACTTTATTTCCAAGCTGTTACCTGTGTGCAAGTCTATAAATTATAATGACAAAGCCGAATTTTGAATTGGTGATTATTTTCAAGGTAACTTGAATTTTTAAGAGATCACATTCAGCTCACATTAGATACCATACTTACAAGAGGTATGAAACAAGTCTAAAGCTCTGCCAGAAACTCAACCTCTATCGTCTGTTGCGTTTCTGAGACCCAGAGCTACTGCCTAAAAGCGAGACACACTATCATCAGCAGGTATTATAGTAACCAAAAAAAGAAGCAGAAAATATTCTAAGCATCAAGTTAAAATGACTTTAAAGCAAAATTTTGGGTGAGGTGGTAAAGAGGGTGACAAAATAATAAACGCTACTAAAGTCATTCTTATTCACATAAAGGAAAAAAAAGAGGTGCCAGTCTAATACAGTTTATAAGGGACAAACCTCTTGATGTTGTTACTACAGGTAGGCCTCCCTGAATTCCAGTAACCTTACGATCCTGAATATACCACCAGAGAGAGAGAGTCAATGTATCCTCAAGCTAATAATACGCCATACTTTAAAGTTATGAAAGTAAACATGAACATAAAAGGAAATCACATAGCCAACCCCCTACATAGTGTGGTAAGAATTAAAAAGAGTTTTTGTGTTATAACATTTTGGTAAATTAAATTCTAGTTGTAAGAATGTCAACATATTCTACTTCAATTTCCAGCTATCCTCCAGTGAGTGTGCCTGCCTATTGCCAGTGGGCTGTGCACGCATAGGTGCAGGTGAAAGCCAAGCAACCACACAGAAGCCCAACAAGAAGAAAAAGGGAAAAAGAAAAGAAAAAGAAAGAAGAAGGCAGGGAAAAACCGAGTCATAGATTGCCAATTGATTGCGCCAGAATTCCATGGTCGGTAGAAGTAGTCTCCCTGCAACACAGGCAAATCATTATTTGCTGATACACACTGTGACAGACAAAATCAATTTAACTTGGTATGGGACAAGAAAAGTTAAATAGAACAGTACAAATTGAAACTCTGATGTTTCAATTTCTCCCAAAGATTGTAGTAATAACAGAAAATAGAAAAGACAACATAGACATGTTTCAAATGCTATGAACCATTCATTTGAACAAGTGTGCATACAAAGTTTCCTCATGTAACTAGCCATGGAAACTATAATTCGGCTTATGTATTTTCAATTTGCGATTATATAAGCAGCAATTGGCAGAATCTGTGTGTGTGTGTGCATGTGTGTGTGTGAGAGAGAGAGAGAGAGAGAGAGAGAGAGAGAGAGAGAGAGACACACACACACACACTCACCGCTTCTGGACCGTCTCATATTCAAAGATTCAGGAGAAGCAATAGACACTTTCTTGTTCACCTCCAGAGTGGGATTTTCCTAAACAGGCATTAAAAGGACAATGAATGTGTGATAATCACTAGACTACTGGGGGCATACGACAATTAACTTGCATTACTATAACCAGCTTACCTTTGTATAAAAGGTAGTGTTTGTCTTAGTTCTTTTCCTGAATGTGTTTTCTTCTTTAGCATCACTTTCTCCTCCTACTGCAATATTCAAGTTGTAAGTTGATTAGTTCAAGCAAGGCCAAAGGATAAACAAGCTTGTACGCATGGTACCTTGAGTTGTAATATTTCCACAATTCTGTCCCTGTTTTGCCTTGTGAGTATGCTGCAAATCATCTTCTAGACACCCAAAATCAAGTTTTTTTATTACTTTCAAATAATTTGGTTCTTGAAACTCAAAATCTGAAGGATGGGACATACTTTTCCCTCCTACTTTACAATTATCATTTTGTAAACTTTTGCTCAAAGTTTTGAACACCGCTGGAACAGAATCCACTGTATTTTTCTCAGAGTTCAAGCCACATCCCACCATTTTCTTCTTTTTCCCTTTTCTACTTAAATTTCTTGACAAACTTCTGGTCACTCTGCCTACAGAATAGCTTGGATATTCCTCTGATATGTCCACTTTCCCCCCAGACTGAGTGGTTGCACCTGATATTCCACCAAGGCTCTCAGAGGCCTCTGATGCAGGACTAGAATTTGTACTTTTATGCTTCATAAAGCATCTGGATACCGGTTTCTTCTGATTGCTTACCAGATGCATTGGTTTACCAATACACTGAACATCACTTGCTCCAATATTTGCTCTGCCTGTTTCCTCCTCAGCAGCATGTTTAGGGAAGTCATCAACAGCGACATTCGTAGGCAGCTCAGAAGAAAACTGTTTTGGGACTTCAACATCATGCCTATCTTCACAAGAGACCTGCTCAACTGGAGTTTCTTCTTGATCAAAATGCAAGGAAGACGGAATAGAACTTTTTATGCCTGCAGCCACTCCACAGCAAGAGAGAAAGATTCAAAACAGCAATGTTAGATAATTATATAAAAATTTAGGCATGAATAGTGCACGTTGGACATTTAAGTAATTTATAAATATGTATTACTTCCTGGCTGAGTAGCTAACTTGTCTGAATCAGAAATACTTCCAGAAACCGCACAAGTAGTGGTAGAGTCTCCACCAAAGAACTTTGCAACCCATTGTTCCCAGTAAGGAGGAAAGCCAAACAGAAAATGACTGAAAACCTGCTTAGGATCAAAGGCAAAAATGCCCCAAAATAATAAATAAAACAAGGTGTAATGTTAAATTTCTAACTTTAGTGAACATGTTATGCAGCAACAACGACTTGCAATGCACCCTTATACTGGTTAGCATTCCTTTAGTGAATGGAGTGTACAAACGCAGGCCTTGTAGCATGACAGGAAAAGCAACAGCCGAATCGTTCAGCACAATAAACTTACCAAGTACTTGGGTACAGACACATTTAGTGCTCATCATTCACTTATACTTGTAAACAAAAACAAAAATAGAAATTTTGAATTTCCATAATCTATACCGATTGTTTACGTTCATAGCTAATTGACTCAGTTTACCACTCCGTATTTTAAAAAATAAAAAATAAAAAACTCAGTTTACCACTACTTGATTGTTCAAAACTTAAAAAGTTCATAATGAAAACCACAATCAGCAATGAAAGAGCAAGAATGGAAGCCAATTTTAAGTACTACCTCAGATGGAAACCCATTTTCAGTAGTCTTCTGCTTGTTTATGAACCCTTTGATGGCTACACATATGCCATCCACCGTCTCGAGAGTGAAAACATCGAATCTTTTGGCTATTGGTGCAGAGGAGAACACTCGCCTGGCACCTTCCCTAAAATTGATCAATACCACCATATCCATTAATTCCTTCAAAAACAATAACAAGAGAAATGAAGAGAAAGAAACCCTAGAACTTAGAATCAAATCAATGTATCTCACTTTCTAGAAGATACACCGGCGACGGCTAGCCACTTTCCTTGGACCTCGTTTTCGGCTTTAATCAGCCACCAATCGTTCAAACATACCTTTCACAATTCAAAAACCCAAAATAAAAAACAATATATGTAAGAAGAAAGGAAAAAAAAATTCGAGGGCATATTTTGTTGCGGAAAAGCAGAGAAAGTAGTTACTGTTTTCTGAAAGTAGGAGACGTCGGTATTGTTATCGCCATGGATGGTCTGGTTCGTGCTCGGAGTAGAAGCCATGAGACTGAAGCTTGGCTACTGGGTCGGTCGTGAAAGACGAAAATGGGTCTAAACCTCTTTGCCGCCAAAGTACTGCCCTTTACAAAAAATAAAATAAAATAAAATAAAGAGAACGGCTTTTTATTTAATAATTGGTATTTTGAAAAATGAAAAAATTCGGGGTTAGGGTTTTTCTTCAATTTTGGGAACAGAGCAAGGTAAACTGAGAGAGAGAAGAAATGGCGCTGAGGGCAGGACTTGTAAGGCGATTTCTGTCTACTCCAATCTTCGCTTCTCAATCTAGAGCTGCTGCAACTGCTGCGTCCTTGGCTTATGCCTCTGTTGCTGATTCCAACAACATCAGTGATAAAGCTACCGCAGAACCTAACACCACTCTCTTCGTCGCTGGTAACAATTTCCCATTAAAAATCTTTGTGGGTTTTTCTTAGTTCATAGAAAATTAGTCTAAGATGGTTCGTTGGTTTCAACTGGTTCATCATGACCAGTGGTGACCATAATGAGAATAGTGAGAAAGCTTGAAACTTTTTTCTGTGACGATTGGAGCTTCCATAAACCAATGGATCCCAATTTCTATATCATGAAGGTTTGATAATTAACAAAATTTGGGCTTCTGTAAAGGCGAGTGAGAAGTTTAGTTTCTTATTATACTGCTGTTTTAGATAACCAAATTGGACCTCCAAATTATGCTCATTGGGGTGCAGTTGCAGAGAAACTTGTTTTGCTTCTACTACATTTTGGGTTATTGGAGTATGCATAACTATGCTTTGATGATACGGTTTGTCTTGCAAATGTGCTTGCAGGGCTTAACAAGAGAACCACGCCTGAAAAACTTAACGAAGCATTCTCTCAATTTGGTGAAGTGGTTAATGGTAATACGGGGTTCTCATATGCCTTGCTCATTTGGATTTCATTGCTTCAACTTCATGTAGCCCCCAACTAAATTTCATGATCAAGATTTTAAGTTTCTTTTTCTGTCTCATTAGTGTTGCAAGTTGACAGATTTACTGTGTAGTTAAATATTTTAGGATATGAATTTGTAGAAACAAACTGATATGCGGTTTAAGCTTGAAACGAGATTTTGGTGGAACTGATGCATGTTTAGTTTTGGAGGTGCAAAGAGAATCTCATTTCTGGTAAATGATGTAGTTCTAGTTTCATACCATCTCTGCAAGATTTTCAAGTATGATGATAATCAAGGATTTTCAAGTATGGGAATGGTGCTACAAAATATGAAATAAAACCTTCCAAATACAATAGAACCTGTGTAGGCAACACAAAAAGATTGGGATTTAGGTGTCTGGGTTGAGATATAAATTAGCACACGGTCATAATTTCAGTCGGCTTGTATTTTTGTTCTAGATTTCTGAGCAATCGTCATAATTGTTCCTTGTGTAAGAATATGCCATGGATTTGGTCATCTGAGGCTCCAAATTTTTGCAGCATTGCCTTGTTTTATAGTTATGCATTGACAATTTCTTCTCTTGTTTCAGTAAAGGTAGTAATAGACCGTGATTCTGGATTCTCAAAGGGCTTTGGGTTTGTGAATTATGCCACTTTAGAAGACGCCGAGAAAGGGGTGAAAGGGATGGATGCACAGGTCTGCATGTCTTGCAACAACCATCTTCTTTGTACTTTTTTATTTTGATTGCATATTTTCTTAATACATGATAGGAATATAACTGGTGCTATACTTTCTAAGTATATATTTGTGTGAGGCAGGTTCTTGATGGATGGGTCATTTTTACTGAATTTGCACGACCAAAAAGAATTCCAGGACAGTGAGCATCTCCAGAAACTTACCCAACTGCTAGCTGATTATCAATCCAACCAGTGTTACATTGTGAATTATACCCTACTTGGTGGAGTAACGGGTGCTGTGCTGTTTGTGAAACCAATTGGCTTCCTTGGGAAGATTTGGACGTAGGAGCAGTTTTGTTCTCATTTTCATGGGCTAATTGTACCTCAAAGCAATTTCTGCCGATAAAAGCTTTTGATTTCACTCTTGATAATATAATTTATCTGTTTCTTTGTAATGATTTGCTTGACATCACATTACATGTCCATGTTGTCTTTTTTAGCTCTACCCCCGTTCGTTCTTTTTTTGTAAGGAAAAGGAAACATACATGCAAAAGACATGGTATGAGCGATCGACAGTCCAGAATTGTTAATATTAAGTTAATTTGCATCTGAATATAAATTGGATTGTGAATTTTCCAATCTAATAAGAGCTTAAGAGTCAATCCGATCCAATTGATATTGATGAGATTGGATTAGATGGTTGGCTTTAATGACAGATAAAAAATGTAAGGATTTCAGAAATCCCTCGTCCATTATATATGTTAGTGGAATTTTTTCCCTCTAGCGTATTAGGCATAATCCTATCAAAATGACACAAATTATTCATAATTTATTTTTTGGTTTAGATGCTTATAATAGTATAAATGAATGAAATAAGACTTAAATTGGATACTCACAAGTAAATATGTCAACCTATTTAATTAAGTTGGTTTAAATGATCCAAGCTGATAAAATAGAATTGGTTTAACCGATTGGGTTGGGCAGATTGAGTAGGATGTTGAACATCCCTAATCATAACCATTTGGTTTAATAATTGGCACAACTCTAAGTTTCATGTATTAGCAATATAAACAAGCCTTGGTTTGCATAAGAATCACTTCTAACTTTCATGTATTAGGGCTTTTTTGGAGTGATTCTGGGATGACAATAATCACTTATGGGGAGAAGCATATCATATGTGTTTCTCCATATACTTTAAATGATTTTAAGCAAGGTGCTTCTCCCCACCAATTAAAGTGATTATTGGCATTCCTAGAATCATTTCCAAACAAGTCCTTACTACATGAGGATTGTATCTCAATTCTCAAGTAGTTAAGAGCATTTACATCTGCACCCAAGGTATCAGGTTCAATTCTCCCTTCCCCCAATATTACTTTTATAAAAAAAAAGTTTCATGTATTACCAATCTAATCTAAAGTGAGTTTTGAAGAAAACATTCATAAAATGAATAGTTGCTTCTTTCTATCTTTCTTTTATATAAATATAATCTTTGTAGACAAACTAACATCTTGTGGCTGTAGTTTAGTGGTAAGAATTCCACGTTGTGGCCGTGGAGACCTGGGCTCGAATCCCAGCAGCCACACCTACAATCCTTTTTGGCCTTTTTCTAAATTCCCATAGAACGACGTCGTTCGTGGACCGTAAAATATTGGGCAAAATGCATTCCCTTGTATAAGGAGTACAAGTAGCTTCAGCACGCTCTTTCCTCACTCTGTTTCAGCAGTTGTCAGAAGTCTATATCTTCGCCATTGACTGAGCAATCTCTTCCAGAATTGTAAGAATCTCAACCCTTTTTTCAATTCTTGTAATTATGTGATCTTGATCCGTAATATCTCGTTGTTTATGACGGCAATTCTAATTCAATGTTTTCAATTCTGCTAAGCAATTATGGTGTTGTTCATCCCTTTCGTAGATCTATAGTCTTCACAGATTAATTTGTAGTTTTGTTTTGCTTTCTAATGTTACGCCAAAAGGTTGGTTTGGTTGAAAGAATCAAACTTTAGTCGGTAGGTGAAATGGGCTGTGGCCTGCGAGCTAAACATGGATGCAAAATTTAAGCAATAGTTGATAGTGTGAGTCTAATTGTGGAAAATGTAGGGTAATTCAAGGGAACAATAAGATTTGTTTAATATGAATTGAACCAAGAATTTTGGTATAATGGGTGTTCAATGATTTACAAAATGTTGTCAATGGGTTTGAATTTCTGTATTTTATTGTAGGGAGAATGGCGGTGTGATTTCTTCATCTTAAAGGCTTAGTTGGGTTAGAGGTTTTTTTTTTTCAGAACCCAAAAGCGTTTTTGTCTAATCTGCAAAAGAGGGTGGTGTGGCTAGAACTAGAAGTTGCAAGTTATAACTACAACCCAATTTCTTCTAACTTGCTTCAATTAGGGAATAGCGTAGATGGATCAATTACGCGGTTCATATTTGTTGATTTTCTTAAGTTCTAGGATGTTGCTTATCTTCTGGTTGATGGCTGTCTACTATCCCTTTCTTTTGATGCTTGGTTATATTTCATGGGAAAAAAAGTTCTTGTTGCTTATTGCAAATATGGTTTTGAGTTTGAACTCCATTTTGATGTGATATTTTTGTTAGTCAGTTAGTTTCAATATTTCCAACTTGTGTACATGTAGGGTACCTATTTAACAAGTTTGAGAAATGATATTGAGGTACACTGAGTGCTTTTGCTTATTTTCCAATTGTTGCATTTGATGTTACAGATGATGGATGATCAGGACCTGGGCTTCTTTGCCAATTTTCTTGGCATCTTCATATTTGTATTGGTAATAGCGTATCATTATGTGATGGCCGACCCAAAATACGAAGGCAACTAAGGATCTGTTTCCTTTTTTATATATTTGCAACAGAGAGATGCATTTTTCTTGCAACTAATGGAGATACCCTGTTAATTTTGTAGCCTGAGCTGTTTCACAATGGATTCAACTTGAATTAGTCAAAAGCTTTGTTATGCAATGTGAATGTTTATTGTTATACTCAGGTGATTTTCTTTCACTAATTTATATCTGCTTCATATAAAATTTTCCACACCTTTGAATTAACATTCAAAGGATGTGCCCGTGATTGAATACGATGCTGGTTCTGTTTGAGAGCTCACCGTTGGCGGTGGCAGTAATCTGCTGTTTGTAACAAATGCGAAAGAACATGTTCTCGAAAGGGTTTCAAAGTTGTGATTTCCTTTGTGAATTTTAAAAGTAAAATGCATGGAAAACAAGAATCCTTTTGGTGCATATTCAGAAGGATTATATTTCATATAGTTGTCTACATGATCTAGCTAAATTACAATGCGTACTGAGGTCAATGAAGGATTGACAAATCTAATAGCATTTGCCAATCGGTTTTGTTTATGTTTTTTTTTGGGTTGGTCTGAATGCCAATCGGTTAGATGTATGGTCAAGCTAACACACCTCTTATTAGGCGCTATGTATTTGCATCCAGTGCATCAGCTTTACAACAAATATTAAGAAATTTTTTGTGCCTTGAAGGACTCTCCCATTTTACTAGTTTCCTCACTTGTTTCTCCATCTCCATTGTTTCACTCGTCAAAATTCGGATGCAGAATCCCAGGCTAGCCAAACAAAGAACCATTTGGCTTTTACGTTTCTCTTCACTGTCACTATTATGTGCGTTGTCAGCAACTTCCTCAAAATGTTGAAGAAGAATACTTACAATAATCTCAACCTCTTCATCTCCTTCACCCAAAATCCTAAATGGGTTTGCTGGTTTGCCCAATTCGCTGTCGTGGTAATCGTGTTGCGCCTCTGTCTCAAATGCTGCAACGGACTTGATCGAAGTCACCTCCTCAAGGCATTTCAGTGAAGAGTTAATTTTTTCCTTTAGAAGCTCAAGGTCAGCATTCATATGTTGCCTTAGTTCCTCTGAAGCACCTCCCAATTTCTGTGTTACTTGTGAGAGGAACTCCGTTTCACAGGCCACAAATAGTAAAAGATCAGCCATTTTCGATAAAGATCCTAGGACCTTACTGTAACTTGCACCCTTAAAGGGCAAGAACCAGAAATTAGGCTCTGTTTCAGCTTCTTGGAGGAAGTTTTCTAACTTTTTAAGGTGGGATTTTAGCTTCCTCTGCTTTTCCCTCAGTCCGGCAGAAGCCGGTACACAAAGATTTATGTCTTTGATGCAATCTCGAAGTGCCCCCATGCTTTTAGAAAGCTCATTTCTTGCTAGGGTCACTGCTCTCATAGGATAAAATAAAGACTCTACTAAAACGAAACAAATCAGTCCAATGCATGCCTCTGTCATTCTTGCAATTGCAAATTCACTTGGAGGACCATAATTTTCCCTGCCCAAGATTAGCAATGCCCCAATGGCTGCTGAGATCCCACCAGCTTGGCCATACATCCTGCTATGCCTAAGAAAATGGGTGAAAAAGATCCAAGGTATGAGTGGTAAGAGTCTAAAGTGCTCAATTCCTTGGAAAAGAAATAACCATATGACTCCATAGACAGACCCCATCGCCGTTCCTTGTGCTCGAGCATTTGTAACTGTAAATGTGGCTTGCCGTCCTGTCACGAAACCGATGGCAATGGTGAGGCCTGCCCAGTATCCGTTTTCTTTGTTATATATCAAACCGAATAACACAGCAAGGCCTAATGCCAGTGAACACTTGAGGGCAAAAACTAAACTCCTGAGGCTTGGCATTATGTTCTTCCAAACCCTTTTGAAGTTACAGTGCGCTTGATTTTGTGCACCGCTTGGTTCTTGGTTAGGGTTAGATTTCAGACTGTTTCCGGGATTTCGGGCAATGGGTTGGTTTTCTAGCAGGAGTTCCATGCAGTACAAGAAGAACGAAGCCGCCATGTTGTCATGGTTTGTGGTGGTAGGTTTGCCAATCCAAAGGGCACTGTCCAAAATCTCTGTGTTTGTCTCTGGAGCTGTAGTTGCATCAGAAGGCATAGAGTACCTAGATTGCAGCAGCCTTAGGCTTATCTGTACTTCTGAACGTTGTAAATGACCTCTTAGCTCTTCATCAATCAGATTAAGAGGAAATGAAGAGCAACTAGATAAAGCTATCTCCATCCCCCTCAATGGAATCTCAGTTTCTTGCAACTGTTCACCCAACTTCATATAATTTGGTTTTAGAAATTTCATCTGTGGTCTCTCCCACACCATCCCTACCTGCTTACAAGAAAATGAATGGCCTTAATCTTTAGCTGAATGAACAAACTAAATGAAGCTCACGCTCATTTTTTCCACTGGACATGAGTCAATGTTAGCTTACCAGATTGTTGCTGATGCTTTGATGAAGCTTAGCTGCTGCTTTAGAGAGAGATTGTTCTTGAGAAATGAATTCAAGTGCTCCTCTTTTGTCTTGGGCAGAGACGGCCTCAACAAAGTGAGTTAGCCTCTGGGAAGCATTTTCAGCATACATCCTCCATGATTTCTTGACCTGTGAATGCATTTCAATTCACAACCATCAGTATTTACCAACTGCAATTGGGTTATCAAAGAAAAAAAAGTCATCTTAGATTTATGAGTTCTTAATATAATATTATCCCACGTTAGAAAAATAGGAGATCTTGATATAATATACGAGTTCTTGAGCACCCTTACCTTACAAGCCAATTTTGTAGAGGCAAGTTCTGTCCATGTTTGCTTGTGTTAGACGTTACATCAGATTTAGACAAATGAATATTTGGGATGTTTCATTTAACAGAGAAAACACAATAATACAGGTTCTTAATCAAATGTTATGATCTTTCAATAAAACTTTTCAGTTTGCATTATACCATGAATAGGGTTTTGCATTTTTTGTTGTCTGGTTTATGAGACAATATTCAGACAGGACCAAAGGGGCTTTAATTGGACCACGAATCCCAAACTAGGCAACTGTCCATGAACAGCACACATGGACTAAGTCCTGCCCTTGAGAGCCACCAATAAACACTTTTTTTTTCCTTGTTGGACATGACAATCTGAGATTCTAAATAATCCCAATCAACAAGCTGCCATTTGCCGTATGATGCTTTTGTTTTGAACTTTGTTTCCAAATTAGCTGGACTTGGCAACTAGGACGCATGCATTATAATTTCCTTCACTCTGGTTGGTTCAGCTGTCAAAGCTAAAGACCAGGTGAGTTTTTAAAAGATAGAAAATGCAAAACATTATTGGTTTTATTAATTGATAAATATATGCAGGCATGTATGCTGTATGCACTTCCCAAAACACATCTTTCACTCCTACGTATGGAGGTCTCTTTGTTTTATCCGTATTTGGTTTAGAGACAATGAATAATATCCTCTATATGTTTTCTGTGCTTATATTTTATCATGCTCAAAACCCCGGCACGAAATACAATGAAACCGTCTCTTGCTAGACTGTCTAGCAACACAATGCACTCCTATTTCCAAATTAAAAATCCGAGTCCTTACTCCGTTGGATTCTTGTTTGAATATATGATTCCGATTTATAGTCTTGCAAAATAACAATATGCCTAGCAACATAAAGTTTGACAAGAGAAAATGACCTGATTTGAGACATTGCTAGACTAAGAACCCGAGTGAATAGCTGGTTCAGATTCATATTCTAACAATATAAACGGCTGTTATTTGACTTGCCACAATACATGTGCATGTGCATGAGTAAAAGCAAGAAGATTAATTATTTACCTCGAAGTAAGCCAGCCGAGGGTAGGGAAACAACAAAGCAAGGACAGAAGCCAGAGCTCCAAGGGCTGTGCTTGCTGCAACGCCAAGAGGGTGCATGACAACTCCAGTTTGAGCCCCATGAACCACAGTGCCTACATAAACATTCACAAGCTGCCCAAATGCAATCCGCTTAGACATCAAGTGTGTAGACTCTGGCAAAGCCACTACAAAAGCACTGACTGCCACAGCCACTGCTGCCAGCAAGATGTCGAAATTTTTCGGGCCAACCAGCCAAAGGGTAAGCACAGAAGGCACCATTACCTGGACAGTGGCATACATGACATGCCAGCAGCTTCTCAGGACATCACCAAGCTTTGCGTCCGGGACAATTAGAATGGTGGTCATGTAAGAAAAAGATGGGTATGTCAAGTACTTTCGGAGGTGTGGAGGTCCATAGAGGGTGGTGCAGCCGACTATGGTGCACGCCAAGGCAGTGCGTAGAGCGGAGCCTAGGCGTGGCCGCCAAGACGATTGGGTTTGGTAATCTCCCATTGTTGTAGAGGCTGCCATTTTTGTCTTAAGGGTTACTTATGAAAAAAGGAATTAGTGGTGTGTGAAATGAGATCAAAGGGTTTTTGCCCTTTAGTTTTGAGAAGCTTGTTGTTGCATAAAAGATGATCAGCATGAAGGGCTAGGTTTGGTTTGGAGGAGAGGGAAGACACATTTGCTCCTTTGAGGACATTTCTGCTCATGGCGCAACTTCTATTATTTATACTAGAAGCTTTGTCCTAACTAAACATTTTAACCAGAGGATTTGTAGGACCTTTTCTTTATCTTTTTGCTACAGGAGAAAATAAGAGTTGTGAAAGATGTTATTTTATAGAACTGTTATGATTTCTTTTGACAAATTTGTGATCTCTCTTTTCTACTTCTTTTAACTAAAATATGGGGGAAAGAAAAAAGTGAGAGGAGAGATCTTAGTTTTTATTAGAAAAGTTTCAAATAACTGCCCCATCTGAGAAAATTTGAATTTTTGTTAAATCTAGATATGATGGTATTTAGGTGGGATAATAGTCCAAAAAGGTTGGATTAATGTGGCCGGTTGATTACCATCATTAGCAACTAAAAATCTCCTAATCATGTGTGTCTGAGAAATCCCTTTTTCCTTTGTAGTTTAAATTATCGTTTATATTAAAAATAAAACAAAAACTCTTAATTAGATTGAATCTTCTGATATCCTTGTATAAGCTTGTTTGTCTTGTAGCTTTGTAAGCACCGATGATGGGAACTTTGTAATCGTTGTTTTTGTACAACCCAACATTTTAGGAACTGCTTATTTATTAAAAAAATTATATCCCAAGAAAGTGACACGAAAAATTGATGGGTTTGGTTTGGATGATTAAAATTAAATTAACCAGGAATGAGAATAAAAATATTTTTTAGAACGTAATTTTGTTATCATGGCCATTATTGTGTCAGTCGGCAGAAGAAAACCAGATCTTTTTTGTGCTGGTTATGGAATCAGATCCATTCATCCCTGCCTTTCATGGGCAGATTGCACAGTTGAGAAATGTTGAAGCTGCTTTGTGTCGAAATGGAAAGAAATTGGTGAACCACAAGGCAGGGTAATGGCATATGCACGACCAGGTTCGTGGGTTTTTCTGTTTTGGCTCTATGAAATAACCAAATGAAATGAAGGCATTCAGTTGTCAAAGTACTCAGTTATAAAAGCTTCTTGGGACTTCTATAGTTCAAATATTATAAGCACTTATTAAATCTTCATTTCCATCACGTCATCGCTTATATTTAATTGCGACAGGAAGGAGACTGCCCAACTACAGATTTGAGAGGGGGAAACAAATAAATCCAAGTATCATGACGGAAGCAACTATATATTAATGTGACTTCCTGTTATAAATCTAATCCATCTAATAAATGTGTTGAGGAGGTTCACCATGTATCATCATGTGTGAAAAGGACTTGGTAACATGCTCTGAGCTAACTATGACAACAATTACTAACAAACTACAATTTCATGTGTGAATATGTTTCCCAGCTAGATAATCTGTCATGGTACGTCGTTAGACTGTGAATCATGACCACACATTCAAATAAAATTTCACTTAATCGAATGGTCTTTGATTAACCGTCTAAGAACATAACAGTCTTTAGCAAGAGAACACGCAAACAGGCCTACCTGGTTGCTTAATTTCACAAACACCTGCTTGCTCCTAACAGAAAGCATAAATGCACACGGGTGATATCATGTAATACAAATTCATGTTTCGGCAATGCATGAAAACAGGCCTCCCTCGAAATAACTTACCTGCAACATGGAAGTGTCTCTCCTAGTTACCTTCCTCAACTTGGGAGTTCCCAATAGGTTAGTGTCAGGATTGGTAACAGAGTCTGAAGCAAAAGGGTATGACTCAAAATTGGTGTAAATTCGACTTGATGTGACTTGCGCCCTTCGTAATAGGGTACAGTAAGGTCTCACAATGATGTGACTTGATACAATAAAGGTTAGAATGCAATAGGAAATGCTAACTGAGAAAAGAAGGTGCCGGTCCAGAAAATAAATATGAAGAAGTAAAATACCTAATTTCCGTTGAAATACAAAATATATACAACAATACTCCAACAATTAAACAAACTGGACAATAAGTACGACCGAATCAAAACATGCATGCTACCAGCTCACATCCATAATTGGATTCCGAGTATGTGTCATTGATATCCTAATCGTAAGGTTATCAGCCCTCTTCATGCGAGGAGTGTTTCAATTCAATAGGTAGACTACACATGAATGTAGAGACAAATTCACTAAACATCATCAGCATGAGCACAGCTCATATGCCACAACTTTTAGTGTTTTACACCTCAACTTGAGCTAATCAAACAAATGAAAAATCAATTATGCTCAAGCTAAGCATCTTCGAGATCATGTACTTATTGGTTGCTCAGTTAAAACACATTTTTCAACTAAGTGAGACTCATAGCTGTCCAGAGAAATATATGTGATGATGACTTACTTGGATTAAGAATCCACATTATGTGATATCATTCTTGCTCCATTAAAACTTGCACTACGGACAGTTAGTTGTGTATCATTTTCCAAAAGCTAATAAGCTCAGTTCTATCCATGGGGGTAAAACATATAATTGCTCAATATGCGATGTACCTTCTTACGTATGGGCTCAAAATTGGCTTCTACGTTAACCCACCAAGCACTTATGCACCAATTTGCAGTCATGTGAATATTCAGAGCCCAGTGCTGTACTATTGTGAGTTGGCTCATCTTTGGTCACCATTCACACTGTCTCAACTGTGGTGTAGCATGGTTGATTAGACTCAAATGGAAAGACCAATGGAATTGACATTATAAATAATGCTTTCAAGAGGAAAAAACAAATAAAACCATAAACCATGGAGGAGCCAACAAGACAGATATAGTTTGACGCTGAGATGGTCCTTATTCTGCTATCTGAAATATAGTCCTACCATGCTGTCTATTCCATCTGCAATTCATTCAACAGGACATACTAAAACCCAGAAGAAGGACAATAGATATGACAAGGCCTGAAAGAGCCATACTAAGCTATTGCTATGTTCACCCATCCATCCACTTCACATAGATGATCCCAAATACAAACATGCATGCTTTGTATTCGTTTCACTTGTAGTCCCAGTTCTCTCTGTTAAACATATGTAACGAAAGCAGTGCTTTTACCTCTTTCAAGTCCCCAAAAGGCTGCCTCGCTTGGTTGTGAGTAATTCTGATGAAGGAAGACAGTTTAAGACTTGTTCTGTGAGCGAGTCCGAGGGAGAAACCTTAATCGTGGAGAAAATCGCAGCTCTTGCCTACTGCAGGAAGTAGACTTCCTCTTCTGGCCTTGTGTTTTAACACCACTTCCTGAACCCTTTCCTGCAATTCACATCATTCAAAGCTTAAAATGCTGAAATTTAAGAGAGAGAAAAGGGAAACCGTTGAGTAGACAGGACTTTCTTAAATCATGTAATCAAATAGATTCAAACTACAGTTTAAATTTGTCAAAATTGAACAAGGGCTGACAAAAGCACTTTTAAGTCGGTTCTAAAACACTGAAAAAGTGATAAAGACCAGAATGTCAAATTGAGTTATGTTTGAGATGTTCTGCAAATCAGATATATTTTCTGCATGAGTAACATAACACAAATTATTATAACTAGACAAGAATATATACATGCACATGTAAATATAAACATATACAACCTTCACTTTGTCGAATGTTTCCAAGTCTTGTCACAGCACCAGACATGTTCTTTTTATTTATTTCTTCGCCAGGCGTAGTGTTGTCCTTGTCAGATGAAGGAGAGACAACTTTCTTCTTTCTTGATCCACCACTTTTATTTTCCATTCCATAGTTTTCAGGTACTATTAAATTCTCCTCAGAAGAATGTGTGGAACGAGTTAACCTCCTCATGTTGGTTGGAACCGTTGACTTGTTTTCCTTAGCACAAGTCTTCATTGGAACATTTATATCTTGAATGGCTCCAGCATCACCACGCATCGGCTTTTCATTACTTTCTTCCATCGGGATGTTAATCTCTGCATGAAGTGACGAAGAGACTGCTTTCTTATTTTTTGATGCATCATTCTTCTTTTTCAATACATTTCTTTCATGAATGGTGACATTTCCTTCATAGGAAATTGATCCTGTAATATGAGCTGACTTGCTCTCTTCCAACCCTTGTTTAATTGGCATAGTTGATTTATCTTTTTCTTCTTGGACTGCTGAACGAGTCAACCTTCTTGTGTTGGTTGAGGCCCTTAACTTAATCTCTTCAGCAGAATCTTTCACATGAGAATCACTGTTTTGATTTTCAAAACCTTTCTGAACTGCTGAGAGAGTTTTTCTAGCATCTGATGTCTCATTTTCATTCTTATGAGCTTTGGTTGCTTCAGAAGATAATGTGTTACTAGACATATTGTCACTGTCATGGGAGTTGAATAGCTCAGTCCCACCTACAGCAATATGCTTGTGAGTACTCGATACTAGCAAAGCCAAAGCTGCACGAGCGGCAAGAGGACTAAGACAGGACCTGAATTCTGAATGCTCTTCTTCTATGTTTACTTCCAGCTCACCAGAACTCTGAGCAATACTTTCTGATTGATCCTGGTCATGAGAAACCTGAGCATTTGAAATGCTTACTTTGGGTGCAGCAACAGATTTGCATCGAATATCTCCCTTGTTATCAGCTGCATGCACACAACCAGGAATAATCTAAATGATTGAAAACTAAAAGAAAACTGATCAGTTAGCATCCCCTAAGTTCTGTTAATGAAACTACTTAGTTATCCCCTCATTATTTTTTGTATTTCTTTTCAAACTTCGAAAAGTTACACAATCAAAATGACCACCACGGAAGGAAAGAAAAAGATTAGGGGCTAACTGAGTAAACTTTTACGTTCGAATAGAGTCACCAACATTGAAAAAATATCACTCAAGTATCATGCAGTTAACCGTTGCAAGCATAACTCCAATGTATCTGGCTTCAGCATTATCATTGATGTCAATCTCATTTGTTGATGAGAGTAAAGGGGGTGGGGGCAGGATGGAGTATTTTATTAGGCAATTTCTAAGACTGACCCAATTATCAGTCCATTGCCATAAGGTGGCCAAACTCTTTCATAAAAACCAGAAATATGTAAAGGCTAAAAGTTCCTTCATGTAAGCTACATAGTTATTCCTCCCCTAAAATTAAGCAAATGAAAAGGCACACGATTAAAATAGGGAGCTGATTTTCCCACTCCTCTTTTGGCCACTTACACTCCCTTGTATGTTATAGTACTAAAAAGTATTAAAAAACAAAAGGGAGTGTAAGTGGACAAAAGGGATGCGAGAAAATCAGCACCCTTAAAATATGGGTACATTTAATTATATTGGATTATGCATATGCCTTGGACCATACACAAGGTAATGCCCATCTACTACTGCATCACTTTGCAAGTACCATACTCCTCTAATTCAACTTAAGAAGGGCGTTTCAGGTTCGAGGTGCAGATGCAACACACAGTTAAAAGAGAATGCTTATGGGGACAAGTTTCTTAAAATTATAAACAAAAACAGATAGAAAGAGATATTGCAAAAACAGGTCTGAATTCATTAAACATATAAAGTAGTGAGCAGGGCTGGTTACCTTTAACCCCCTCTAAAATGTCTATTGTGATTTCTTTTCTGAATACATTAGCTGAAACATTGATGTCTTCTATTTGCTTTTCCAGAAATTTATTAAGATCCAATTCAACAGCAAAATCCTCAACCTCAAGCATGACTGGAACGGAAGATGCACCATCTAAACCCATTTGTTTAACTGATTTCAAGAATGCAGAAACAGTTGGATGGACATTGATGTTTTTGCCTGTCAGTTTCATGATTGAACTAGATGGTACAGTCACCATCTGTCCTTTGAGGTCTTGGTGAAGCCACTTGATCATAAAAGTGCATCTACAATAGACCCTCATTGAGTGTCTCACTCTGAGCACCTAGTCGTCAAGATGTGAGGACATGGACTGAATTAACAGAAAATATTTTTTCATGCAAAAGGTGTATCAAGTAAATAATTATCAAATAAGCTCAGGACTGCAGTACATTATAACCCACGGAACATGATGGTTATAACCCACTGAAACATGATTTGGTTAACAAAATTAATCTAATTTATTTCCTATTATAGCTATAACCAGATATGCAAAGGAAAGACAAATTTCTCAATTTATAAGTATCCAGGGCCCCTGTAAATTTGATGGAAACATCCTCTTTAGCATTATATAAACCTTTTTTTAACTGACTAGGCATTATATAATCAAGCACTTAAACAGTGAGCAATAAATACTTCAAGAGAGTAGATAGATGATAACCCTGGTTCCAAGGAAGCTGTAAATAAATTAGAGAGCAGATAAGTACCTTTTCCACCTTGGCATCGAATAAGTGGCTCTTAGACTGTGACTTGTTGATGGCAAGAACATGCTCTCCTTCAATGCGAGTGCAGTCATCACCCTGAAGAGGAGCACAACGAAAACGGAGACGCGTAAGGGCTCCATCCATGTTCAACACCATATCTTCTAACTCCTGGCCCCCAAAGTCTACAATTAGGCTATCTTTAGTAGAGCTGTGGAACACAAACAGGAGCCACCTTAAAACATTTTGTATGCATTTCTAACAGTTGATATTTCAAACTTCACAAAAATAGGGCGATAAAACACAACTGCCTGACTAGAGAAATTTAGTTCTTCATGATCCGTTGTTCGGATACATTCGTTGTTAGTGTTAATATCAATCAAGTTATCCCCATATACGGTTATGAGTGACATATGACATGACACTCTTTCACAGCATGAGTAGCATAAATATTTTCTTAACTTTCTTCAGTACCCATTTAGAAAGTAAATACAACTAGGAAATGTGATTGAATAGATAAGATAAGATCATACAATTACAAAATGAATATAGTTGGTTTCACTGGATCACTGAAGTAACTCTGTATATAATATGAAGGAAATTAAACAAGTGCACAACCAAGCCAGAAAATTAAACAACTAATTACACGACATCAAATAGTTGAACCATCAATTACAGAGAGAAGCTGAATGCATGTACACACTGATCGGATATCATAATTCCAATTTCCAAGGAAAACCCAACGATCGTCTACACCTAGAACAAAAATTCAAAACACGAACAAAACCAAGCTCACTAAAACTATTGGGCAAAACACATCTCTGCATTTTCCAATAAACAATAGGATCACAGTCCGGAAACCATTTTAAGTGGGTTGGTTCAGTTAGATGGCTCACCTGAGAGAGACTTGACATGGATGCCAAGACGAGTCTTCCTTGCACATAGCTTCAAGCTCAGTGACACACTCTGCATCGCTAGTAACGCCCATTTCATCCCCTCAGGTTATAATCGTCTCTTTGGGTGATGAACAATAATGGAAATGGGAAGAAGATGGAAGCTATGGAAGACTATTTTATTTGGTGTTTTTTCTACGCACACAAGCTGTGGAGTGAGAGGTTAGCTTCCAGAGCATTTACACAGTACGTTCGTACCAGTCTCGGGTCGGGCCGGGCCACAATACCTGGGCTAGAGTCTGTACACGTGTACGGTCCAGATTCATGCAAGTTTCGGCGGGCTGAGCTGGCCTGATAGAAGAGCACAGTTGATTTGTTGCCGACCAAAAAAAAGAAGAATTAAACTAGTTTTTTTATAAGGGATATTTGTTGAAATGTTATATGAACTTATACCTTTGTTTCAATTTGCCACTTGAAAAAAAAATTAAGAGAAATGTCACTTGAATTTTTCAAAATTTATAATTTGTCATCTGACTTTAACACCATCCAATTTTCCATCTATAAGCAAGGGTATTTTAGTCTTTTCATTTTTAGGATAGTTTAAAAATAAAAAAATCATGTTAGCAATTTAACGAATATCCCTTTTACAGGTGACAAATTGAAACTAATGTATAAGTTCATGTGACATTTCAACAAATATCCCTTTTTATAAATATTTATTCATTTAGATCCACTTGACATTACTTATGCATCACGTATGTGTCATGTTAGCAATTTAACGAAATCTCACGTCGTGATCAAATTAATGTCTGAGGTGTAATATAAGGACCAATAATGTCAGCAAAAAAAATATAAATGACCAAATGTGATAATTTGGCAAACTTTAAGGACAATTTGTGATAAAACCCAAAATATTTAAAATATTGTTTAATCCACGTTAGCAATCTAATGGAAATTTTTTACGGAACCTAATAGCATGACCAAATTGATATGTGAGATGAAACATAAGGGATTAATAATGTCAAAAAAAAATAATGGACCGAATGTGATAATTTGGCAAACCTCATGGGCTATTTGTAATAAAAACTCATACAATTTTTGTGAATTATAAATTATACGAACATGAATGTAAATGGCACCATTTCTTCTGGTGCTTTATCATCGATTCAATGTTTGTCAAACTAAAAAATGTTAAACTTCAAATGTAATACAAAGTATAATATATCATCAAGCTGGTTTCACACACTTCTAAATTCTAACTCAACGAATTCAAACTTAAGAGCCCTAGCCCATGCTTTATCTCTACAAAATCAAGACAAACCATTTGAATACTTGATCTATACAAATTTAAGAACCCTAGCCCATACTTGATCCATGGTAATTAGGGGCATTGTTTAGAACTATTAATTTTTATAATAAACTAAATCTCAATTTATAGCATATATTTTTATTTAATGCTAAATGGATATTCTAAATTTTGTTTTTTTGTTTTATAAAATCGACGCTCTAAATTACTTTATTATACGAATTTGGAATTTGAACTAACGTGTAATGGGGCGAGCACGCTTTCGTAGTCATTAGGGCTAACAAACATATGCCTCATTTCTGATCATAGGTACTAAACCTACCCTATATTAAAATATATACAAATTTATAAATAAACCCAATCCTAGACATGTATTTATAAAAAAACTCAAGCACTATTTAAACATAGAAACACACCCAAAATCAACCCCAAAGTCAACTTTTTGGGTGTGTTTATAAATGGGTTTTGAGTATGTGTAATGATGAGTTTTGGGTGTGTTTATATGTTTAAATAGTGCTTGTGTTTTTTTATAATTTCAACCCTCATTTTGGGTGTTTTAGTGAAACTCCCAAGTATAATTTATGTAAAAAACTTCAAGAAAATGACATATCCAATCCAAATACAATGATTCTTACAAACATGTCCATATTTTGCAAGAATGTAAACCACTTGATTTGTTTCCCGATAAGCATGGGGCAAAATATAAGTATTGTAAATGTCATAGTTTTAAATTTTTATTTATTTTGGATTCATAAATAATTTGAAGTTATAACTTTAAGTGAGCTGGGTTATTAATTTTAAAATGATCATGATATTTTATTTTTATCAAATACTTTAAATTACAAAACTTTAAAATAAAGCTTTTTTGGGGAAAAAAAGCAAATTCCAAACAAGGTCTAAATATTCTAAACAAGAGTACAAATCCGCACAATAGGTTTAAATGGCAACCAAATTAGGATTGAATTGGATTTCACGAAAAAGATTTCCATATAACGATCAAATTGTATTTGATTAGATTTTGAACTTATTGTGTACTCAAATAAGAAAGATACAAACTTACGAAGTACCTTTTCTTCTAGAAGAAAAAAGCCTGGATTGTAATTTGCAAATAATCACAATCAATCAGGATTCAGACTTTGACCCAAAAAAAATAAATAATAAGGATTCAGAGTTGGAGTGGGCTCCACCCAAGTGCATACGCGTAAAAGTGAACGGCTTATGGTCGACTACCGGAGGGAACAAAGACCCCAAAAGGAAGGCAACCGACTAACCGTAGGAAAACCCAACGACGCGCGGATTGGTGAGAATCTAAATCAAATTGACCACGGGTCTTCCAAAGCAACATGGAAACAATCCAGGCCGTCCGTTGCTCACCACATCCCACGGTTCCAAAACTCTAGGGTTATAGAACGTTCTGGAATTCTAACGCTCCCAACGCTATATAAACCCCTCCGATACCCAGCCTCTCATCACTTAACAAACCCTAGCAGCCAGTAGTTTTTCATCCTCTTCTTTTTGATTTATTTTCGTTGATATATTCGTCGACGAAAACCTAGAATATACAATGGCCGGCAAAGGAGAGGGACCAGCCATCGGTATCGATCTCGGCACCACCTACTCCTGCGTTGGTGTATGGCAACACGACCGTGTTGAGATCATCGCCAATGACCAGGGTAACAGAACGACGCCGTCTTATGTCGCATTCACAGACACCGAGCGTTTGATCGGTGATGCTGCTAAGAACCAGGTCGCCATGAACCCCATTAACACCGTATTCGGTAAGATCCGAGTTCCTTGCTCCGTTTCCTTTCAGTAACTTATAGATCTGTATTGTTGTTTATATTAGTTTATGGATCTGTATTTATGTTTACAGTGGCTTTTGGATCCGTATTTTTCCTTATAATAGCTTATAGATCTTGTTTACAGTGACTGGTATGCTATAGATCTGTCTAAGCTAGATTTCTTTTTTTATGTGACTGTTTGATTGGTAAATTTATTAGGTAGTTACTTGCATAGATCTGTGTTTACATGCTTCGTATTGTTGTATCTGGTTATTGGCTTAAAATTAGATCTTTAGTTGGGCCTTCGAATACTGGATTGGAAAAAAAAAACGAAATTTGATTAATAGATCTATAAAATTGTCTATTTCATTTGGACTTCAGTTTAATATAGTTATAATTAAATAAACTACAATTCCTTTCTATGTTGATGAACAACTTGATCACTGAGGTACACTAGTTTTTATAGATCAAATGTTATCAGTTTTGGTAATTATGCATACAAAATTATTTTTTAAAGTATGAATTGTATTATTTTTTTTGACGTTTATAATTTATTGTATGCAGACAATGATTTGTTTTTAGCTCGAATTGAATATGCTGATAGTAAATAAATGCATCATGATTGGATATTGATTTGTTTCATACTAGTTCAGGCGGTCAAGGTAATAAAATAAATTTGATAAGTAATTATTTTGCTTGGATGATTCAATTATATGTTTTGTCTAGAAATGTGTGTTGTATGATTTTGGATAATTATACCATGATAGGCTAATCATTGATTTGTTACCATTGCAGATGCTAAGAGGTTGATTGGTCGTAGATTTTCTGATGCGTCTGTCCAGAGTGACATGAAATTGTGGCCATTCAAGGTCACCCCCGGACCTGGTGACAAGCCCATGATCGGTGTCTCTTACAAGGGAGAAGAAAAGGTCTTCGCCGCTGAGGAGATCTCCTCCATGGTCCTTATCAAGATGCGTGAGATTGCTGAGGCATACCTAGGCAGCACAATCAAGAACGCCGTGGTCACAGTCCCTGCCTACTTCAACGACTCTCAGAGACAGGCCACCAAGGATGCCGGTGTCATTGCTGGAATCAATGTCCTCCGTATCATCAACGAGCCCACAGCAGCTGCCATTGCCTATGGTCTTGACAAGAAGGCCACCAGCGTTGGTGAGAAGAATGTCTTGATTTTTGACCTTGGAGGCGGTACTTTTGATGTGTCACTTCTCACCATTGAGGAGGGTATCTTTGAGGTCAAGGCCACAGCCGGAGACACCCATTTGGGAGGTGAAGATTTTGACAACAGAATGGTGAACCACTTTGTTCAGGAGTTCAAGAGGAAGAACAAGAAGGACATCAGCGGCAACCCAAGAGCCCTCAGGAGGTTGAGGACTTCATGTGAAAGGGCGAAGAGAACCCTCTCATCCACTGCCCAAACCACCATTGAAATTGACTCTTTGTATGAGGGTATTGATTTCTACTCCACCATCACCCGTGCCAGATTCGAGGAGCTCAACATGGACCTTTTCAGAAAGTGTATGGAGCCCGTCGAGAAGTGTTTGAGAGATGCCAAGATGGACAAGAGCACAGTCCATGATGTCGTGCTTGTTGGTGGATCAACCAGAATTCCCAAGGTGCAGCAGCTTCTTCAGGACTTCTTCAACGGCAAGGAGCTTTGCAAGAGCATCAACCCCGATGAGGCTGTCGCCTACGGTGCTGCAGTCCAGGCTGCCATTCTCAGCGGTGAGGGCAACGAGAAGGTCCAGGACCTTCTTCTATTGGATGTCACCCCACTATCTCAAGGTTTGGAAACTGCCGGAGGTGTCATGACCGTTTTGATCCCCAGAAACACAACCATCCCCACCAAGAAGGAACAGGTCTTCTCAACATACTCCGACAACCAGCCCGGTGTGTTGATCCAGGTCTATGAAGGGGAAAGAACCAGGACCAGGGACAACAACTTGCTCGGAAAATTCGAGCTATCCGGCATCCCACCTGCTCCCAGAGGCGTTCCCCAAATCACTGTTTGCTTCGACATCGATGCCAACGGTATTTTGAACGTGTCGGCCGAGGACAAGACTACCGGACAGAAGAACAAGATCACAATCACCAACGACAAGGGCAGGCTCTCAAAGGAGGACATTGAGAAGATGGTCCAGGAGGCAGAGAAGTACAAGTCTGAGGATGAAGAGCACAAGAAAAAGGTTGAGGCCAAGAACGCCTTGGAGAACTATGCGTACAACATGAGGAACACCATCAAGGACGAGAAGATCGGAGCCAAGTTGCCGCCGGCTGACAAGAAGAAGATCGAAGACTCGATCGAAACCGCCATCCAGTGGCTCGACAGCAACCAGCTCGCAGAGGCCGATGAGTTCGAAGACAAGATGAAGGAGTTGGAGAGCATCTGCAACCCAATCATCGCCAAGATGTACCAGGGTGCTGGTGCTGACGGTGCTGGCCCTGTTGATGATGAAGCTCCAGCTGGTGCAAGCGGCCCTGGACCCAAGATTGAGGAAGTCGACTAAATTTCTGCTGTGGTTTAATTTTAATTTCGGAATTTTAGGTGTTTTTGAACTGAATATTTTTGCCTTGGAAGTTATTTATCAAGGCCTTAAGTTTCTTTTTTAATTTGCGGAACCTATAGGCACCGTGGTAATTTTTCCCTGGATCTCTTTGCACCGGGGCCTTGTTATTTTTTGGATCTATTATAATTTACAAGTTTACTTTTTAGCCAAAGCTTTGATGGAATTTTATTTTGTTAATGCTCAAACTGACAGCACAAATATAAACCTAATGAATGTGTTTGAACAAAATTACGGAAAATTATTATTATGTCATGGTGTGCCTGGATCTAACAGCGGATGATGGCTATGGCGGCATATGAAGCAGAGGAAGACACCTGGTGTAAAAGTCAAAGTTTATGTCGACACGACATGATCCTTCCTCTCCTCTTATTTATTTGTTTGTTTGTTTTATGGTAAATAGAATGGTAAATGCAATGCCCGAAAATTATTGTAATTGTTGATTAAGAAGCATTTCTTATTATCATCAGTTTAAACATGGTTAACGGACTCTTTGGGACCCACTTTCAGGTAATCAAACTTCAAAGCGCTTCTCTTAAGGGTAGGTGAAAAATGCTTCTAACTTATAATCAGAATTGCATTACTACTTCTGGACCGGCTTGCTGAACGTGGTGGGATCCACGTGTCAAGCAAAGCGTGGGCACTGAAAGGCGGACAAATGGAAAATTGACGTGAAAGTTGGAAGGCCAGACGCCATCCTTGACCGCTTCTAGTCTTTCTACCATCTCCCTCTCTCCCTGGCTCTTTTGATTAGAATTTGGTTCGCACAAGTATGCTATGCAATAACAATGAAATGCAACCCTCTTCATATTCCACAAAATTGACCAACTTATGGACTGATTTGTTATTCAAGTTATAGCTCAAGGGTTACACGGAATGAAAAGGAGTTTATAGACAGGTTGAAGAAGCAACTTGGGATATTTTTCCCAAAGTAGACTATGACTGCCACAATTGGGATATTATTTTGAAGTGATGTGGTTGGGCAATGGCCACACATAATAAGGGTCAAGAAAGATGCTTGTGCTTTTTAATACTTTGAAAATCCCACCACAGTCACCACTCACTGCTGGATGAGTTAAAGATTCTAGTTTTAAGACTGAGTGGGTGGTGGTGAGGTGAGGTTGACAACATAACTTACTCCGTAAGATGTTATAAGTCATAGATAATCCACAATCATGGCAATGACATCTATCTAACTCTTAACACATGTTATGCTACAATACAAGGCTTTCAAGTCTTCATCACCCCCCATTAAACAAACAGTGGAAAGAAAGAAAGAAAATACACTACTTGCACAAAGCAAGACTTGAAATAATTATTTGACAAAAGTGACAACTAAAGTAACATAGTTTTAATACATTGTTGACTGTACCATCCTTTGTGTATTTGTTTCTTGCTACTCAACTAGTCGATTTTTTATGTATATATTATAAACAATAGTCTAAACTAGAGGGGATAGGGGTTCCGCATACACACACAATTAAGATATCATGAGATTCGAATATGATACTTCTTGTCTACAAATAAAGGCCTTTTTCTACTGGGCTAGACCCCGTTGGCAACTAGCAGATTCTTGTTACTTAATATGATGATAAACAAATTCCTTCAAGAGTAAGTTTACTCTAGGTACCGCCTGGCTGAGTTTTTCAACTTGGATTATGGATTTACGTATTAATTTCTGCTATGGAAGTGAGAAAGAAGCAAACAAAGAGTTCAGTTTCTGAAACCAAAACATAAATCAAGAATGGTTTAGCATATATATTTGAATCAAGAATAGTGGGAGTCAAAGCTAACCAGATGCATAGATTAGTAGCAAAAACTGCAAAGACAAATGTGAGAAGCACATTCTTTTTCCTTCATAAAATACACAAAATGGTACAAAGTTAGTAGAACAATGAAGCACCAACCATGACAATAACCCTTACATAAACTCTATAAAATGCCTATCTCAAGTCAACATAAGATCATTGCCTCCAAGGTGAGGGCGGAGGCAAACACGAACCTCATGTTCTTCTGGTCCAACGCGGAGTTTTGGAACCATAATCTCTAGCACAGAACCTGGCCCATCGTAATAAGCCTCTATGTTAGCGTCTTCAGGAATGCGGGTGGACAGTGGGATTTCTCTGACAAACTCTCCTGGAGGACAATGTTCAGAGGATGGATCTGTAAGCCTGAAAGTCCGATCATGTCTCTTAATGAATGGCATGCGAGATGTGCTCATACAAGACACCTTAATAATACCATGAGTAAGAGTATTCCTCCAAGAAACTTTCACCCTTTGGAGATCCACAAATGGTAAGCTGATAATGATCAAATAACCTGCATCATCCTCATAGATTGTTTTTGCAGCTGTAACAGGTCCATGAACATTCTTCATTACACCACTAAAGTGATTTGGCCATTGCGACCCATTTGCGTGGATTTCCATATCTGGGATTCGATCAGATGGAGGATTAACAGCCAGGAAGCAATCGTCATCGTTCCCATGGGGAAAAAACTCCTTCCTCCTCTTGCTGACAGGAGACAGGTCCATTCCATCAGAATTGTTGTTGTTAGATGGTTGTGTAGACAAATTCAGCCCGGATCCATTCAGAAGTTTCTTTGAGTGGGAATTTGGCACATTCTTTAGTGGAGCAGGTGGCCTCTCAAGCTCAAAGTCTGTATTTGGAAGGTTCCTCCATGAACTAAAGTCACCTGCTTCCATAGGGATTGTGAAGTTCACATCCCGCCCAGTCAGTTCCATCCACCTCTTACGCTCGTCCTCATCAAGGCCAATGAGATTAGGTGCCCGAACAAGTTCAATCCCGTGCACACACTGGGGGTTAGAAAGACCCCTATAATGCTTCCGCTGCATTCTGTGAGATCGAACAAAACCCTTGTCAACACTAAATGGAAATGGACGCTCCCCTTGGCGGGAATGTCCATTCATGTAACTCCTTAGCTGCATCTTACCCAACGCATTCTCAGGCCTCTCCTTGAAAACCCACATGTACATATTCTCCATGTCATGCTGAACCATGAAAACATCAAGCTTGAGATCAGACTTCTCAAACCCATTAACCCCATTGCTGTCCCTGATAATTTTGGCCTTTGATTTCTCATTCAATGCAGGCTTGAAGTAAAAACTGAAGAAAAACCAAGCACCCCATATGCTGTCTACCCGCTTGGCGCATTTCCGTCCAACCACCTTGGGGATGGTAAGTAAACTCTCAGTCTCGTAAACCTGTGGACCAAGCCCAACATCTAGAATATCACAAGGGTCCGAATTCCACGACGGTGGAGGTGGGCTGCGCTCAGCTGACAGGGGTAAATTGATATCAGGGGGGCGGGAAAGTATGATTTGCCGATTCATCTCCAAATCCAATTCGTCGTGAGAGGAAGCACTGGAATCCATGGACAAGAGCGTGGAAGGGTGATGATTCTCCATTGACAAGGCTGTGAGCAGAGAATCTCCCATTTCAGCTGAACAACTCCTGGGTGGGTATTGTTGCTGGTGGATTGAATATTGCCATTTCCCAAAAACAATTCAAAGAAATAACCTTATAAAGACCTTCATCATATCAATCCCCACTATATCTCCCCTCCATCAAAACCCTAGATTTATCAAATCAAATAACAAATTCCTCACACACCCACGTCAAGAATTCAACAAAATAAAACAAGATTCAATAACCCAATAAACAAAACATAAAAGAAATAAACTTTCTATGGAAAAATAAAGACAGTGAGACAGTGAGAGAAAGATCTATAAGAAAAAAAATGATGGTATATGGTTTATAAAATCTGTGTAAAAATCTCTTCAATCTCAACCAATGGAGAGAGAGAAAGAGATTTCTAAAACGCTATAGAAAAACTATATCCAATCTTAGCCCAAGAATCTCCTGAATTCCTCCAAACCCAGGTGGGAGACACTGAATCAGAACCATCAAATCCATAAAATAAAATTTTAAAAAATATCTAAAAAAGCAAACCCCAACCAAAAAAGAACAAAAATTTTATCCAAAAAGACCCAGAAGAAGAAAACCGAAGGGGATCTTCAAAGAGAGTACCTTTTGGGATAAGCATCGGGGAACCGGAAGCAAGAGGGACCTCCAGAGGCGACCATGATGCTCATCTCCAGCGTATCATCAACTACCATATTCGCTTTTCCCTATTCCAGTTTTTATTTTCTATTTTTATTTCTAATTTTAATCTTAAGTTTAATTAATTTTTTAGCCTATTTTGCCGTCCAAAAATACAGAGGCATCGGAGAGAGAGAAAGAGCGAAAGAGGGCTAAATTGGATTTAGGTTTTTGGGGGTGAGAAATGAGATTGAGAGTAGGAAGAGAAAACAGAGTCGTGTGGGAGCATCTGGTTATAAAGAGGGAGGTGGTGGGTTAAAGCCCGCACTAGATGTCACCCATTTGGTCTACCGTTACCCGTCGTAACGGTGTTTGTTGTTGTTTTTTTGGAAAATACTTCATTCCTTATTATGTAAATATTCCTTATCATGTAAACAGGAGTTTTTATTTATTTATTTATAAGGAATAGGAGTTTTTATATTCTTACCAATAGCAATATGATATGTGTGTAAAAAAAATTCTTTTTGTGTCACATACAATATTGAGAGAGTAGAAAATTGAACCTCGAGATTTCGTGTGCAGAATAAAACTCTTGTTCTAAGAGTTATTCTTTTTATTTATCACATCTATAGGCAGTGTGCCTATAAATTTGAATAATTATAAATATCATTTTGTATTAAAAAATAATAATAATAAAAGACTTATAGTTAATTGACAAAGCAAACTAAAAATGATAAGTTCTCTGGGACGGAAAATTCCAATTAGGTCATCCAATACGACATAAATAATTGAAAACAAACCAAATGCAGCCAAGCTCCCAGGTGACTCAAATTTGCTATTTTGCCCTACAAGTTGTACGATAACAAGTAATTGTAAACACGCATGTTGACTTTCTATTCTCCCTCAACTTATCATTCAACCCTTATCTCTCCCTTTGTCATTTCCGTTTGGCACTTTGTTCTATTTACAATAGTACCCATTTTGTTTCCGACACTTATTACCCATTCTGGTAATAAATAAGAATTCTGCATCCCTTTTGGCCACTTTGTCACACACATATTTTCGTATTTTTCACACTTTGTTCTAAAGTTTAAATATGCTCTTTCGTCAGTCAATTCTCACCGCAGCATCAAGATCTTTTTACAACAAATCTAAATCCGTTACTAAAACCATTTTCCGCTGCGAAAGACCTTCTGCACAAAAGCTTTCACTGTCGAAAAAACTGTATTCAAATTCATTACACATTACTGAAGCACCATTCATATCAACTTTGATAAGTTTGAATGCAATTAAGGAAACATAAAAGAAACTTTCTAATTGATTGAATGAACTTTAAAGATTCTCGATGCAGTTTTTTTTCCCTTCCATTTCAACTTTACCTGTTTCTGAAGAGATGGAATTGATGTAGAAGATGGGGAAAACTGTGGCTATAGCTCCTTGTAAGTTGTATTATTAAAGCTCAAAGAAGAAAGTGTGTCGTCCACTCTCCATCTTTACTCTTTTAATGGTGGGTGTGGCTTTCAATCCTCTCCTCTCAGAGGGTCCTCCCCGCACTCCCTAAACACCCCAAAAATGCATCCATCCCACCAATCAGAAAGTGTGACTGCTTTTTTATTCCCATCAATATATGATATAATGTTGTGGCTGGCTTGTGTCGCCTATCGATTGGTTTCTCAGATCTCTCTCATCTCCCTCTCTTGCAATTTTGGGATCAATGGCTAAGTTAATTTGTTGTCCTTAATCTTCTTATAATAACAATGTCCCAAATGAACCTTTCCTAGTTAGCCTTAATCCCACCTTATTTTATAGAACTAATTATATTATTCCATAATTGCCTCTGTCTTTCTTGTCCCACATGCGCAATAATGGCTTCATGGCCCATTAAGTGTGCAAAGCCATATATAATTATGGTTTAATTACACCCCATCCTACATTTTTTTCATGTGTGCAAAATTATGATACTGGCACCCAATTATCATACGACAACCCATCATCTTTTTGTTTCTGTTCTTTTGGGGGCTTCTGTTTTGGAGACGCAAGCCAATACATCAGTTGGGTAAGTGCAATAATGGCTCATTGTAAGTGCATCGCATGTAGTCACCCCCTACCTATATTAACTAGTAATATAGGATTGAATTCTCGTACACGTGTGTTATTCATGCGCATACGAGACTTCTTATTTATGCGAAAAAATGTTCTCTTGCTAGGTGATATAACATGTGCTGGCAAGGGAGGAAACTGAAGTGCAGTCTCATTAGGATAAACACTTTCCGGGCACTGAGTCAATTTTTAATGGGGAAAACATAGCATAATTCAGTAGAAATTGTTTTAATATGAACAGGGAGAATCCACAGTTTTTTTTTGCTTTTTTTTGCTTTTTTTCCACTTATACCTAAATAAAAAATAAAAAAAAGTTTAAAAGATGGGTTTCTTTAAAATGAACTCGGATCGGATATAGATATATAGATTTGCCTCAGATATGACCGTATATGTGCAGAGGCCACCCATGGTCATTGGTCAGGTGTGTTCTGTTTCTGAAACAGAGGAACTTGCCTTTACAAGGACTAGTTCTTTCTTTCAGGTCACGTACGAGGAAAATGTGGAAGCTGGCCCACGTGGCACTTTAATTAATTAATTACTTATTTTACAATTTACAGGCAGGCCTCTTGCTTATTATAATTGGAAAAAATTGTGTTTCAGAGATTCACCTGACCCGGTCTTTACTGCTGCAACTCCCAACTCTGCCCTGGAAACATCATCCTCCTTTCCCTAACCCTAGGTAGGCTTGGCCCATAAGAATGGTTGGGCTCAATGGGCCTAGTAATCTACATTCTTCGGGCCCATATATGGCCCGAAAATTCAGCCCGACAAACCCGTCGTGAACTGTTTATAAGGTAATTTTGACATACAATCGGTTGTATACAACTGGTGATAGGAAAGAAAATAAAAACTAATATCTTGAGAAAACTAGCGACAATTGTTGGATAGATCATATCATGTAAATTTCCTATAATTGCAATTATCATGTGAATTTATAGGATAACAACTTATCCACACACGCATTAAAAAGGAAAAAGAAAGTTCAAATGGATTATGATCAATGGCGGAGCCAAAATTTTACATTAGAGGGGGCCTTTCATAAACATTGTATTCTCTTCAAAATTATCATGAATTTCATATTTTAAATTTTTTAAATACTAATATCATCATCTACACTTTTAAAGCCTTAAATTTTGATAATTTATATTCCAAAAGAGAAAAGAAATAGAAAAAAATAGTTCATAAAGTGCAATATTAAGATACCCCACTCATACATTAAAAAAATGAGAAAAATAAAAAATTCACAAAGCTTTAAACAAAAGAGGAAGAGAAGGAAGAGTTAAAACTAACCTAAAAGATTTAAGTGAGATGAGTAGAAGAGAGACTAGTAAATTTTATGGAGTTTCACTAAAACACCCAAAATGGGGGCTGAAATTATAAAAAAACCCAACACCTAAAACACTTTATAAACAAACCCAAAACTCATCATTACACACACTCAAAACCCATTTATAAACGCACCCAAAAAATATACAATTGTTGATTTTGGGGTTTATTTTGGGTGTGTTTCTATGTTTAAATATTGCTTGAGTTTTTTTATAAATACATATCTAGGATTGGGTTTATTTATTAATTTTGTATAAATTTTATGGTTAATTTATAGACAAAAATAACATAATATATTATTTTATTTTAAAATAAATATTCTAAAACTAAAATAATATATATTTTATATACAAATAAAAAATAAAAAATTGAAATGGATGCCTGGGACCACACTGGTCTCATGCCGGCTCCCCCCTTAATTATGATGATGTTTGTTGGTAGAAAAGTTTTTATTCATGGAGCATTTAAGTTGCAACATCAGCAATGTCGGCAGCCTATTGTATTATTTGGTAACTGGTGGCTATCACAAATTCACAATGCTGAACATGTGAAGTGGCAAAACTGAAAGAGGCACATCCAGATCAAGGCCATTGACATGGCAATTGGACACGTGTTGCAAGATCCAAATGAGATAATTTTAAATAATTTTTATAAAAAAACAAATGAAGAAGAAAATCAATATTTGATATCTAGTGGCATCTTTGAAAAGTAAATTTTAAAAAAAAATTGTGTAATGATTAAAATATCTCAATAATTGAGGCAACTCGGACGGACTATGGAGATCTTGAAAACGAGATGGTTGAGATATTGGGAGAGGGGATTGGTGGAATTTGGGATCCTAGTCGACTCACAGATACAAAAGTGCAAACTTTATTTTTATTATTTTTGTTTTATTTATTTTTACATGGAAAAGCAACATCTTCTTGATAAATAAGTTGAACCATCAAAGTTCTTGAGTCGGTTGGAATCAGATCTTTGCGGTATCATCAGCATCATGCATGATGCATTTGATTAGAAAGTTAATTGGGAGGTTACAAAAAGAGATTAGTTGGGACTAACAATAATTTGCCATGTTGTCACTTAATTTTGATGCTTTAAGTGGCAAACACTATTTTTTTTCTTTCTCTTTTTCAATGTGCTTCCAAAAGATTTACATGTGAGGGAACAGTAGGTGCTTGCTTAGCTAACAATGCATAAGCAATAGAAGTTTGTAATTATGTTCATAAAATTGTTCACTTATTCGATACAGCTCGAATTCGATGTATTTAAGTCAAACTAAGAATACTTGGATACTCAATTTCGACCCACTCAGCTTTCATCCTTAGAAAGCTAGAAAGGTATACTAGCACATGGTGAGATTGTTGAAGAGCAACATTAGCAGTTCCTTGAGTAAGTCTAGAATTGCTTCCATTTTGCAGCATATGTTTTACTCATCACATATTCCACTCTCCAACATAAGTAGCATACAGTAGCAACTCATGAAGATGCATCTAGTGTGGACCCGAGGGAATATGTAATAGAACTACAGAGTGGCCCAAAATCAAAAGGAATCTCCATGGGTCCACATAAATAATATATAAAAAAGATCAATTTTAGCAAGCCTTGCAATTTCTTATATTTGCTACACAAATTTTTGTTGTAAATAAAAGTTCATCCACGGAACGACCCTTATTACAACCCTAGGTTACTGAATGAATTTGGGGATTAGTGTAATTTGTCCATCTAGATTCTGTTGGTAAAACAACAATAAAAAACTGACGATTAGAATGGCTGATAAGAGCATCTCTAAAGAAGATGTCAAATCATACGTGACACTTTTAACGGATAAAAATAACGGCTGAAATTTATTTCAACCGAATTGCTATAGTCTATATTTTAATACTTATCTATATTTTTTTCTTCTTATTATTTCATGTATCTACTGTCATTATATGCTTTCATTATTATTTTTCTTTTTTATTGTCACTTGACACTACAATATTATTGATCTTTTTACAGTTGAAAATTTATGTTGATCTTTTTTATGTTCTTTTCAGCAACCAATGTGGAGATGGATGCTTTTTTTGTTTAATTATATTTTATAATTAATTTATAAGTATTTTAACTTAATTAATGAATTACTATTAATAGTAAAATATAAATACATTCATTTAAGAAAGTAATAAATAAATCAACACTAATGTAATAAAATAATATTTTAATTTGACATATTGAGTGAGGTGTAAAACTATAAACATCTAATACTAGCCCCTTGACACATGAGTGAGCATGTGCCAATTGGTTTTATTTTTTCTTTTATTTTTAGAATGAAGAAAAAATAACATGGGCAGTTATGTTCCATAAAAGTATGACATATTATTTGATTTTGTTTTTAATTTTAATTTTTTAATATGAAAAAAGTGAATTTATCATATTATCTTAATTTAATTAATAATTTCAATTCTTAATGTTTGAATTAACCAATGACATTTTTTGGTATTTTGAATGTTTCACCATTCTCTGCCTTTTGCTTTATATATACATATATATATATTTTTGATTAATTAGATAATATTAATTTACCATTGACCCAAATGTCAAACTCACAAGCCATTCAATTGGGCCACTTGCATAGCCCAATCCAAGGTATTCTATTTCCAATAGTAAATTTTATAAAGACCTCCAAAGAACCCTAGTTTTCCAACGTTGGACTAATTTCAACTCAAACATGTTTGCAATGCCTTGCAAAGCCAACAAATTCAACTCATGCTCATTTTAAAGAGAGAGTCTTAAGTGTAACTAGTTGTATACACTCATATACTTCTCTCTCTCTCTCTCTCCTCTCTCTCTCTCTCTCTCTCTCTCTCTCTCTCTCTCTCTCTCTCTCTCTCTCTCTCTCTCTCTCTCTCTCTCTCTCAATGTGATAAAAGAGATGGAAACATGATGTATATAACTGATAATAAGAAAGTTTTCTCCTTTCTAACCTATCCATTCATCAGCAGCGGCTTTGAAATTTTAGGAGTTCTCTACCAAAACAACAAGAGGGCCTCCTAAAATAAAGTCTTCAACGAAAAATTATAAAAAAGAATCAAACTATATAATCAAAATTTTGTGATCATCTAAAATAAACACAAAAACAAGGACACCGCACCACTTCCTCTCCAGCAAACCAAAGAGACTCGTAGCACAAATATGGCTAAACCTTTTATTTTGCACAGGCAAAATCATGGTGTCTACAGTGGATTGCAGTATTTGCTTCAAAAACACAACGAAAACCAAAGAGAAAAGTTGGGTCAACAACACCACACTGCAACCATCCCAGTGACAGCAAGACACATCCAAGAACAACAAAAGTCACCAAGAGCCTACAACAGACAAACAAACAAAAGACAAGATCCAGATAGATCTGGGCAAAAGGACCCAAAATCCAAACGAATCTGAGGAGAGAATATGAGAGGGGAAGAAAACTAGGAAAGGAGAAAGGGAGATGAGGAGAGAAGGATGGAAGATGGGGAAGTCACCCACCTCTAGATAGGGGGCGTCGGTTGTAGTGCAAGCTCACAGTTTCACCTTCAGAGAGAGTTTAGGGTTTCTACGTGAGGTATTCTTTAGGAAAACAAAGAAGCCCCAATTTTCCTTACTTTGTACAAAAAGACAAATAAAAAGTGAATATTAATATTATTAAATTAATATAATTTATAAGCTACAACAACATATTAATGTAAATTAATATTTAATGTGAGGTGTCCTTCAAAATGGGACCCTATACGGTCCTCACTTTACTCATGCCATACGCGGCCCCTGCGATACATGCATAATTTCTATGTCAAAGTGTGTGTTATCCTTTCCACGTTGCAATCCTATTTCTTAACTTCAAATATTAGGCGGATAAAATTTTTGGGCTGGATCAACTAACTTATTTGGTTTGAATTGGACTAAGTTAATGTGTTTGGGCTTCTTCACTAGAATACCCATGTGCTCATATTGACCAACGTTGACTTTAATATCCACTCTGTTGACTACTACCTTGGTGATATTCATTGATCAAATCAAATTCGAGCATAAACACCAGTTCATGTGGATAGGCAAGCTGACCTCTAACAAAGTCATTTTCATTTGCTCCGTGCAGCTACGCCTAAAAAACCTAGTCATCAAGAAGCCTTTGTTTTGTCACCATTGCACAAGACAGCATACCTCAACCTCATAAGTCTCCTAGCAATGAACCCCAATTTAGCATGCCCAAAATACATCTCCTTCATCTTCCACCATCACGTCCCCCCATTATGGACGGCAGAGGACCACCACACCAGAGATTCGAGCTCGGGCCAGAAATCATCGGTCTATTGGGTGTTTTCGCTGGAGTCATAGTTGTTGCCACATACCAATGCCTTGTCAACAACTGTTGTTGCAGCCAAAGGCGCATACAAAATGCAAACACACAACAACAACAACAACAAAATGAACAACAAAGGCAGGGGATTCAAATCAACCCAAATATTCATAGGCCTCCTACAAGCAATAATCCTCCACCTGCTCATTTGATCCCAATTTTCAAATACACCAAAGAATGCAAGGAGGGAATTTGTGCTGTGTGCTTGTGTGAGTTCAGAGATGGTGAGACAATTCGTGTGCTGCCTGAATGCATGCACTTGTTTCATGCGGGTTGTATTGACATGTGGTTGAACTCCCACTCTAATTGCCCACTTTGTCGTACGGATATTGTGCCTCCGCGACATGTCGTTTTGTCGATGCCGCCCCCTCAACATGTCGTTTTGTCGATGCCGCATTTTAGTGGGGGAGACATTTAGGAGGAGCACTTGATACACTTTTGAGTTAATTAATCATCTTTTGCTCTGTGCCCATATGATCTATATGTATGAACATTTCAATTCATTTAAAACCACGAATTAGATGACTATCTTGATAAATTAACAAAAACTACCACATGCAAGTTGCAACTGCATGTTTACATCTTTTTTCTCTTGTAAACCATGCTCAACCTGACTTTATAATGTATAATCTACAGAAAAAAGCCAGAAACATGGTGTTACAAATTTTGCACACAGCACAGTGACACAGGTCCTAAGTACTTTTAAGATTCCTAAAACTAATTGTAATTTGACAATGCAAGATTAGTTCTTGAAAATAAACAATAAAGACCAAGAAAGGTGGATTTATGATCAATTTGCAATCTCCTCTAGGGGGACAAAAAGCAGTTTATGGAAAATTACCGAGAAAGCAGAATAATGTCATTTACAAACTTTGCATCATTGCAAACAAATTTACAAGCTTCCGCTAAACTGGAGTGAGTAGTTCTCTCAGAAAAGACTGGATGCTCATCTTCCTCATCCCCACTCTGTGAACTAGTACATAACAGGAGTTCTTTCAAAGATATTGCAAAAGAAAATGGCAGTGTTTACAAACTTCATGCATTAATTTGTTCAAGTTGAGAAACAGACTAATTTGGTCAAGTTGAAGATATAACTATAGAAAACTCTGAAAGAAGATGAAATAAATCATTATTAAAAATTTAGAGACAGTAATAAATGAGGAACAAATTGGAGAACACAAGACATCAAACATATTCATGATAAGTGAAAAAACAACAATTCAAACTCAAATTTGTATTAATAAAAGAGAGCGAACTAATTGTAGGTACGGTTATAATTGAGGCCGTTGCTTGCACCAAATCTGGTCAGGGCTTTTTCGGGGTCATAATTCTGTTAGGTTGAGCAGCCTGATATGAGCTCAATTTAGAAAAATTTGAATTGGGCTTCTTTAGGGTCGGGCCCATTTTATCAAATTGCCAACGTTGACTTTTCCACACCGTTGACTGGTGCTTTGATGAATATATAATATACAAATTTATAAATAAACCAAATCCTAGACATGTATTTATAAAAAAACTCAAGCACTATTTAAACATAAAAACACACCCAAAATCAACAATTGTATAGTTTTTGGGTGTGTTTATAAAATGTTGAACGTGTTGAATTTTTTTATAATTTCAGCCCCCATTTTGGGTGTTTTAGTGAAACTCCCTATATAATATTATTCTGACATCAATTTTTTTTTTGGGTCGAAATTCTAACATCATATTTGAACAAAATAAAGAACATTTGTTTTCATAGGCAAGCTGACCTCTAGTTGTACAAAAGTTCTAGTTATATGTGAACTAAGTAATTTTCTTTATCTTTTTCTCCGTACCCCCCCCACGTCTAAAACAGCATAGTGAAGTCTTTGTTTTGTCAGAAATGCTCAAGACACAGCATCTCAAATCTCCATCTCACCTAGCAACCAACGCCAATTTAACCTGTGCCCAAGACACCTCCTCCGTCATCTGCTACATTATCTCTAACCCCACCTCATCTCTCTCTCCATCATGGATTCATGGACGGAGGAGAGCTACGCCGAAGACGATCTGGGATTCGAGTTCGAGACACTTAAGCTCATAGGCCTCTTGTTGTGCCTTGCAATAGGAACCATCGCCGCTGTAACATATCATTGCCTTGCCGACCAAAGGCGCATGCGAAACAACAACTACACACAGCAACAGCAAAATGAACAACAACCTCAGGGGCTTCAAATCAACCGACAGTTGATCCCAGTTGTCGAATACAGCAAAGAAAGCAAAGATGGGATTTGCGCTGTGTGCTTGTGTGAGTTCAAAGTTGGTGAGGCAATTCGTGTGTTGCCTGAATGCATGCACTTGTTTCATGCCGGCTGCGTTGACTTGTGGTTGAGCTCTCACTCTAATTGCCCACTTTGTCGTACTGATATTGAGCCGCGACATGTCGTTTTATCGATGCCACAATTCAGTGGGGGAAACCTTAGCATTTGAGCTTGCAAAACATGTATGTATGGATGGATGAATGTCCATTTAGACTTATAGCTAGTGGGTTTTGTTGTAATAGATTAAGAACACATGCATCCGAAGTTCTGTGTACGCTTTTCAGCTTTTATAAAAAGAAACGCGTTTTGTTTGGTGAGTAAAAGAAAAAATATAATTACTCTTGCTTATGAATTATTTGCTGGCATTTTTTTTTATACCTCTAGGTCCTTATTATTGCTGTTGGCATCAGCTCAATTTTGTAGAATTGAATTAGGCTTCTTTAAGGATCAGCTCAATTTTTTTTATACCCCTGATCACGTTGACTGCTACTTGGATGAAATAATACTATTATTAACATGATAAATAACAGTTGCTGTCATAGGCAAGCTGAGCTCTAGGCTATAGCTGTATCAAAGTTCTAGTTTTTTTGTATACCTTATAACAAGGTGACTTTATTTTTCTCCGTAACCCCGTACGTGTTGTTTTGTCACAAATGCTCAAGACACAGCATCTGAAACCTCCAACTTCCAAGCCACCTAGCAATCAACGCCATTTTAACTTGTGCACCAAGACGACTCATCCTTCATCTAAAACCCCCTGATCATCTCTCTCTTTCTCCACCACGGACGGATTAGGAGAACCGCTTGATGTTAAGATGATGTTAGATTTCGAGATAGTTCTCATAGGCGTTTTGGCCCTTGCAGTTGCAATCATCGTTATTGTAACACATGCATGCCTTGCCGATGATGACTACGAGATTCATATCAACCGATATCGGAACAGGCCCCGGAGAACAACAACAGAAACTAGAGCAACCATAACTACAATAAGCAATATTTCTTCATCTGCACATCATCAGTTGATCCCAATTGTCAAAGAAAGCAAAGATGGGATTTGTGCTGTGTGCTTGTGCGCGTTCAAAGATGGTGAGGCAATTCGTGTGCTGCCCGAATGCATGCACTTGTTTCATGCCGAGTGCATCGACATGTGGTTGAGCTCTCACTCTAATTGCCCACTTTGTCGCACAGATATTGAGCCTCCTCCTCAACATGTCGTTCTGTCGATGCCAAGTTTCAGTGAGGGAGGCCTTGGGAGCACTTGATCTTATAGCTAAACTTGCTTATGAATGATTTGGGTTGCATTTTTCCTTGTTACACTTACAATTTTTCATATTTTTATTTCAATCGAACCCAAATAAACTCAATAAAAATATCATAATATTCCAAATTCCAAGAAGAGGAAGATATGTGTAGTAAAAAAAAATATATTACTCCCTTTGATTATATTTTACATAGAACTAATTGTCAATCGTCCAATTGCACATAATGTTTTGTTCCTTGTTCATTTTTATTGCAACATGGGTTGGTGAGGGTCCAGACAGAAAATCATGTTCTAGGGCCTGTACAAAATCTGTACTACAACTTGGGCATGCTTGGTGGAGCTCTGGCCCAGCTTGAGCCTGGGCTGGTTTAGTCCTGTCTGGCCTATACCCATCACTGAGGACCCAAAACCACAGACAATATCCCTCATGGGTAGGACCTAAACAAACCACCTGTAAAATATATACATAATCCTATACATATAGTCAGTCTCTCAAGTGGCAGCATCTATTCGTGTCATGAGCACCACATGTTTAGTTGTTCAAAATTGTAGACGAGTGTAAAAGAGTATTGACTTGTAGACTAGTAGTTTTAAGTTCGAACCCCTATAACCTTGTGGTAGTATATGTGAAAAATCTCTCTCATTGTAATTTAGACTGTCATTCATACTAAAAAATAAGAGTACAAAATTGTAAACATACGACTTACATTAGCACAAATTATTTCCTCGTTATAATATAAGCAAATATTTATTGATATATAATACTAATGTTTTTGAAAAAGGGTTAATGACCTAAATGGTCCCCTAACTATCGCTCGATTATCATTTTGGTCCATCAACTAAAATTTTCAATTCAAACGTCCTTAAACTTTTTATATTTACCAAAATCGTCCTTCCGTCAAAGTCTGTGTATTATTCCGTTAAATCGAGGGACAAAACCGTATTTTTAGGTGAGTATCCACTTCTAAAACGAATTGGCCACTGTAGCAACGACCATTCTCCATTGATCAACCAATAGCGCCAAATCACTTCATTCTTCTCCAAAACCACTTCTTCTCCATCCCCCATTTCTTCCAAATCCAAACAAACTCAAAACCCTAACCCTAGCACCGGTCCTAGCCCTAGCCACACCACTCCTTCGCCTCTCCAGTCCAAGCCCAAGCCTAAGAAATCCCATGGCCAAGAGGTTGTCTGCAAGAGGATTAGGGTTTATTGGCAGTTGGATAATATCTGGTACGAAGGTTATGTGAAGTAGTTCAGTAAGGATAATGGTAAACATTTAGTTTAGTACGATGATGCTGAAGAAGAGTTGTTGGATTTGGGAAAGGAGAAGATCAAATGGGTCCAGGAAACCGTCAAGACCTTGAAATGTTTGAGGTGAGGCCCTTTGTCGACTTCCAACGAGGTCGTTGTGGATGATGAGGATGAGGATAAGGAAGGCAGCAATGATGTTGCTGACGATGATTCCAGTGACGAGGATTGGGGGAAGAGTGGGGACAAAGACCTAGTTGCTGAGGAGGAAGAGGAGCTTATGGAATTGGAGGATGAGCGATAGGGCTTCTCAAAAAGTCACATATACCTTTCAAAACCTAGTCACGTGGCCATCGCGTGATCGAAAGTGATGGAATCTGTCACGGAAAGACGATTTTGGTACGATATAAAAAGTTTAAGGACGTTTGAATTGAAAATTTTAGTTGATTGACCAAAATGATAATCGAGCAATAGTTGAAGGATCATTTAGGTCATTAACCCTTTGAAAAATGAATTATATCATCTATCAATGTTATAAAAAGGAAACGAATTGTACTTGGTGATTCTATACTAGAATACAAATGATGTACTTGATACCAACTGCAGTAAAATATGTAGCTATCATGATATTACTTGAGACTTTCCCTGAAAACCCCACATATTCCCATCAATAATTGCTCCTCACAAACCCAAAGAAAACTCCACCACATCACACACAAACACAAAAACACATTGTTTTTTTCCAACTTCACCAAACTGAAAAGAAAAACTCCAAACCTCACCCACTCTCTCTCTCTCTCTCTCTCTCTCTCTCTCTCTCTCTCTCTTATCATGGAGAGCGCACCCACCGTCCTAAACAAACCACCCCCACCTTTCCCAGCACCGCCCAGAAGCGTAGACTTCTCTGCCCTCGGATTCATCCTCGGCCTCGTCGCCGTCATCACCATCCCTGCTCTCGTCTACGCTTTCTTCTTCTCCATCAAGTGCCCTCCCAACCCTTTCCGCCGCCGGCATCACCGGAGCTCCACCACCGCATCGGGACCCATCCGACCCGAACCCCACACCCTCAACCGGAACGACGTCATTTCTGACGTCAAGTACCAGAAACAGACCCATGTGAAGGAAATTGGAACAGAGTGCCCTGTTTGCTTGTCTGTGTTTGCTGATGGTGAAGAGGTCAGGCAGCTGAGCGTCTGCAAGCACTCTTTCCACGCTCTCTGTATAAACATGTGGCTTAAAGACCACTCCAATTGCCCCATTTGTCGAGCTTATATTGCCGTCGATCGTAGTGGTGGTAACAATCGAACGGCGTCTGGTGCAGCTAGAGATAGAGATGATCAGCAACAAGGTTTGCCTGATGCTTCGTCTATGGTTTGACACACTAAATTAATTTTTGTTTTTTTCCTTCTGTTCTTGGAGGGTTTTGTGGTGATGGGGTTTTGGTGGAAGATGATGATGATAACATCTGGCAGCTGGGATATTGGGTTAATTCTTTTGCTTTCTTTTGAAGTTTTCGGAAACTCACCGACAAAAAGTTGTAAACTTGTAGCTGTAGTTCAATTTCTTTAGCTTTTACTGGAGAGAGAGAGAGAGAGAGAGAGAGAGAGAGAGAGAGAAATGCTAGAAAGTAGTTGATTTAATCAGGGCTTCTTCTATAATTTGAAGGTTGAAAGTTGAAACTTTGAGCTGAATTTCAAACCAGATGATGTTTGTTTTAATCACCTTTACCATATGGCATGCCTAATCATTTCTCAACTGCAGTCAACATATATACTGTCAGCCATGTGAGTATCAGCATGAAAAAAAGAAAAAAGAAAAAAAAGAAAAAAAAGGGTTTTTGCTTCTTCATTGGGGGAAAAATAAAAAAAATAAAAAAAATAAGAGAAGGGAAATAAGTGAGTGCGCTTGTTATTTTTTTATTTTTGCTGAGTGAGTTTCTGATAAAGACCACAGAAGTGGAGTGGGTGAGTTATGAAAGTTTCTTTACAAACAGTCTGAGTTCATACGACACGTAAATTGTAATGATGTTTGTTGTTTGCAGATTTAATTAAAAAGGAAACAAATAAGAAGTACCTAAACATTTGCCTGTCAACAACCCCATTTGGTGTTTGATCATTTATAAGATGACACGTCCTTTTAATGGGTTATAATAAGCACTTGATCAACCAGTCCCACTAATAATATCATTAAAATGGGCGGAGCACCAACTTGTATGATTATTTGGACCACTCCATGCCTAATTAAGCTACTCAAAATTTTGTTTTTAATACATACAATATTAAACTACATAGGAAGATTCGAGCTCAGGTACATAGGAAGATTCGAGCTCGGTACATTGCGCTACTTGAAAATTATTACATAAAAAGAAGAGAGTTCATATGCAATTTGGGAGGAAATTTCCTTCGTCGACAATCAACATGAGTCATTAGTTCTGGCCCATTTGGTACCAAAAGTTTTTTTGTTTTATTTCCCTTTTCCATTGTCTTATTTGTGTCCTCAAGCAAAAAGGATGGCTCATAAGGCCACCTCTTATATATTTTTTCCTTTTTATCATTGACTCATAACCCTTTTCAAATTGAAATGTTTGCAATGTTTAGAATTCAATGCTCCTGCTTAATCACGTTTTCTTCTTCTTAGATTCAATGGAGAAAATGATAAAGAGAATGGAGCTCTGGTCCTCAGTCTAGAGCTCTATGTGCTGTTGCTGTTCAAGTTAAAAATGGAAATTTTGCTATTGGCATATTTGGATCACCTCAATTGATAAATTTTGGACAAGAGGCATTCCTATAATATACGTTACAGAATCTAATTACCCATGTTCGACCTGAATTGTGACTCCGTCTAAGACATGACAAAAATCTCACACAAATGACTGCTCTTAACCAGTTGAGATAGATCCCCTAGCAACGTAAACAAAAGGAAGTTAAGGTGTACCACAAACACAAACGGTCGAGCGGTTGCAGATCACAACCCACAATTCAAATTAAATACTAACGGGTTATGCTTTCCCTCTCCCACTGAACCCATTTTCCCACCTGTAAATTGTAAACAAAAGAGAAGAAAAAGCTTCACGCCGACACCACCTCCTACCTTCTCACTCCCTCCAAAGCCAACCCACATCACCAAATCTCTCATCTTTTTTGTCATTTTCCAATTTCCTCTTGATCCCCAAAAGTAAAGAACTTTTTTTTTACCTCCAATGAAAAGAGCTCACGCTCAATGGCTCATGATTTTAACCGCCACTTCCCTCCTCTTCCTCATCGTTCTCCTTACCGTAACCCTAACCGGCCACGGTAAATACTCCTCCGGCGCCTCCGATTTTTACTACGAGCAGCGCCAGTTTACCACTCTGGACCGAAACTTTGGAGATACTGCCGAAAACAACGACGGCGACAGCAACCGGTTAGGGCTTCCGAAACTCCCGGGATTCGCTTACCTCATATCGGGCTCCAAGGGCGATGGCCCCCAGCTGCGGCGGTTGCTTCAGGCGCTTTACCACCCGAGAAATTACTATTTGCTGCACCTCGATCTCGAAGCTTCGGACGCCGAGAGGCTCGAGCTGGCGAAATTCGTGAAATCGGAGGCTGTCATTCGGGAGTTTCGGAATGCCATGGTGATCGGAAAAGCCGATTTGGTCACCGCCAAGGGCCCCACTATGATTGCCTCCACGCTTCACGCCATTGCGATTTTGCTCAAGCGGGCTAAGGATTGGGATTGGTTTATTAATCTCAGCGCCTCAGATTATCCTCTTATGTCCCAAGATGGTAACTTTACTAATTTTAGTAATTTTAGTTCTATTTTGTTAATTACAGATTAATTAAAGTTTCTAAATTGTTGCTGTTATAGAGCTTTTGCATATTTTTTCTTTCTTGCCGAGGGAGCTCAACTTCTTGGAGCACACTAGCAATATTGGGTGGAAAGAGTAAGCACCCAATTTTTTAACGCAATTCAACAACTGGTTTCTTTCGAGTGTTGGGCTTGATATTCATAATTTGCATTATGTTTTTGTGGGAATGTTACAGAAATCAAAGGGCAAGGCCTATTATTGTTGATCCTGGCTTGTACCACTCTAAGAAATCCGGTGTGTTTTGGGCTAAAGAGAGAAGGTCAATGCCTGCTTCCTTCAAGTTATTCATGGGTACTTCTCCTTCTCCGCATTTAAGTATACTTTGTGTTCTGGGTTTATTTTCTCATGCCGAGCTGGTATAGAAAGTGGTATATTAGTCTTTCCATGTGGTTTTCAGTTGAATTCATGAAATTGAGGATAAGTGCTGTTGGATACTAATGGATGTTGGCATTTGCTAATCGAAGTGTAGACTAATAGGGTTATATTAGGTGAATTAGAACGAATTTAGAAACCACTTCAAAATCCAAAAAGAATTTGGTATTTCTTCATTTTTGAGCTTTCTGTACAACCTCCTGACTCGGATTTGCATTACACATTTACCATGAGAAGAAAAGCATAAAAAGCTAGGATTTCTTAGAACCATGTATGGATTTTGTTTCTGGAAATAATCAATGCAACTGCCTCGAGCACAGTTTGGTTTCTGAGTTCCTTAAAGCCGGAGAATTATAATGTCATTATGTAATCTTTCATAATGATAAGATAAGCTCATAATCAATGATACTATAATGATAAGCTCATAACCAGTGTGATGCTGCAATAGTCTGGTGGAAGACTTCAATCTTGCCATTTTGATCATAGCCTACAGTTTTTACATCCATAAGAGTGGAACCCATGAATTTTCATATATATTCTGGGGTTCCGCAACCTTGATTTGGAACCTGAAAATGCCATTTAACATGATGCAAATGGACAGTATTTATTGTACTTGTTGAATGGTTTATCTTGCTAACTATATGTGGCTGATGGTTTGTAGAAGCATTTTATTTTGCATATCTCAAACATAAGTCTTTCTACTTTCAGGGTCCACGTGGGTGGTGCTGACCAAATCGTTTCTTGAGTTCTGTGTTTTGGGGTGGGACAATCTTCCCCGCACTCTTCTCATGTATTACACCAATTTCTTGTCATCCCCAGAGGGCTACTTCCACACCCTTGCGTGCAACCACAAGGACTACCAGAACACGACCGTGAATCATAACTTGCATTACATAAGGTGGGATAGCCCTCCGAAGGCAAATCCAATTAACCTAACGCTGGAACATTACAATGACATGGCCCAAAGTGGAGCTCCTTTTGCTGGTTCATTTGCCAGGGACGATCCGGTTCTCGACATAATTGACAAGGAGCTCTTGAAGAGACCAAGAGGCCAGTTTACACCGGGTGGTTGGTGTTTAGGGAAGTTAGGTAAGGATCTGTGTTTAGCTTGTGGCAACCCAAATGCTGTAAAACCAAGTGTAGTTTCAAAGAGGCTAGAGAAACTCGTTGTGAAACTTCTTGATTCTGAAAATTTCCGGCCTAAGCAATGTAAATAGTCTTGTCTATGCTTGATTTTCCCTCCCTCCCTCCCACATTTACAATTTTTCTTCAGTCTAATAAAAAAGAAGATAAAACGAACTTGGGAGAGAAACCCTTTAAGAAAACCAAAACTGGTTAAGTGATTAAGAGCAGCTAACCGTGCATTATATGCTTCTAACTGAACCGTGCATTATATGCTTTTTGAGAGAAATAAAAAGAAATATTGGCGTCGCACGGACTCGAACCGCAGACCTTCAGTGTGTTAGACTGACGTGATAACCAACTACACCACGACACCTTTTGTGCCCTGACTTTCCCTCAAGAGCTATAAGTAAAAAGACATGGAAATAAATATGAATTTGGGTTTGGGGTACTCCAATCCAATGTGGGCAAAACCGCGGGCCTGGTGGCGCAAAAATCAAATTTCAGGGGTGGGCCCATTCGGATGGCAGTTTAATTTTAGCACGCTCTGCCCTTTATTTTCATCTGTTCCTACTTCGTCGTCTTCATATTCGCGAAAAGCGGGAACTGCAAATTTATATATATACATATTTTCAATCTTATAATAATATGCTGGAAAAATCCCCCTATTTTTAGGGTTTGCGCTTCTCCTTTGAGACACCTAGATCTTCAGGTTCGCGCTCCTCTTTCATTTGAATGCCTCCATTTTTCTTTAACGCAAAAATTTACATCTCTCTATTTCTTTTTCTTTAATTTACTGTATTTTTATTTTCTTTACTTTTGTGATCGATGAGCAGTATAGTGATTCTCATTGTTCTAGTAATTTTTGTAAATTCTGTAGCGTCATTGGTATGTGTTTGGAAGCTCATCAATTTGATCATTCTGTGGTGTTTGTCGATTCAATTGCTTTCGGTTTGAGAAAGCTTGAGCCAGTAGTTTGGAAAATTGGCAATGTCTCATTTAAGAAAATGTTATGGTGGAGATGGCTGATTTCATTGGATCCTCCTGACACTAAAATCACTTGAATAATCGAATTTAAATGGTGCTATGTTTCTTTTATGAATTGAATTGTAGTTTCTTTCCTTTTATGATACAGGAGAAATTGCAAATAAGTGTGTTTTTATTACTCACCGTAAACGCCTAGAATTATTTTTGTTTGATTTGCAGAGTGTAGCTAGTTGAACATTATGGATGATAACTACTCTGAGGATTCATTTGGGGGATTCTTTCAGAAGCATTCTAGTGCAGAAAGTTCTGTTTCAGCTTCACTGAACAATGCAGCCGCTTTTGGGAGTGCACGGAGATCTATCACTTTTGATCATGACGATACTGGTACTGCCAATGTTGAGACGTGAGTAAAGTGGTTTATGCATCATATCATATTATTCCTTTTTCGTCTACATATGTTATCAGTTCAACCAGAACCACTGAAGCACTATGTTTGCGATAACATCATTTTAAGAACTTGTTTGATGGCTGCTTTAAGCGGTACCTAAGGGTATTCCTTCTGAAATATATTTTTTGTTCTTTTTGTTCCTGCTAAAAGAAATGCACCAAAGAAGAAAAGGGTTTCAAGAATGACGGGTGGAGGTCTGCGCCAGTTCAGTGCCATAGGTTAGTAATTGATATACACAAGTCAAAATTTTGTTCAGTCCATGATAATATAGTTTGTGCATGTGTTTGTGAATTAAACCTGTTGTTAATGAGTATCATCTCTCAAGGTGGGGTTAGTGAACATATAGATCTTGTTTTCCTTTTCAGTTTGTGACTTGTTGGAGAGCAAGGGAAGAACAACCTATGCTGAGGTATATTTTTCTAAAGTAACTATGAAGTTTATTTGGTGAAGAATCATTATGGAAAAGGTTTATTTAAGAGATCCTTTATGTAGTATTTTTTTCTAGGATAGTGTTACATATGGTTTTTGCGAATAATGGATAGCTTCTATTTCCAGTGTCACATAATCTTCGGATTTTTGCAATATATTTTTCCTTCTTTGATCAGTGAATGTTTAAGTGCAAGTAATTATAGTGATGGTGTTCAGCTTGCAGATTACATAATGTCAGAGTTAGCTGGAAATGACAGTGAAACAGCAACATCTTTGAGCGAGGTTCAATTCAGACTGATATAACTATCTACATTATGCTTCTTTTAATGACTATCATTATTGTCACAGTTGTTTTGCCATTATGGAAATTACTGAAGTATGTTGTGAAAATGATTTATCAACTTCTCAGTTTAATGACAAAAATATTCCACGGCGGGTATATGATGCATTAAATGTTCTTGAGGCATTGGATATCATCACAAGAGTTAAAAAAGAAATAAAGTGGAATGGGATTCCAGACAGAAAGATGGATTTGGAAGGAATGAAGGTTAGTGAATGTCATTATTTTGATCGTGTGATACATAAGTGCTATAAAATTTGGGGATTGAATAATTTGACAATTTTGATTTTGTCTTTGATTCTTTCAGGCAGAATGTGTCAAAATGATGAATAGGATTGGAAGGAAAACGGCTTACTTGAAAGACTTAGAAGAGCAAGTAATGATATCTGACATACTTTTAGTCTGATAAGTTTTGTAAATCCCTGTAGTATATCTTGTGGTTTTAGTCTTATTCAGTCCCTATAGGAATGGTTTGCTAGTAGGACTTGTGTTGGAACATTAATTGTTAAATCGCAATAACCTATGACAGTTGGCGTGATTGTTAGTAGATTTTTATTTTATAAAGAACAGAAAATATAGGCTTTAACATTTTTCACTTTGCTCAATCAAATGGATTTACTCTACCCGCTTATGTTCTAATAGTCTTTGTTATTTCTCTGGAAAAATATGATACAGTTTGCAGATCTCCAAAATTTGATGTGTTGCAATAAAGAGTTGCTTAAGAGTGGAAACACTCGTCCGGGGGGATTTTCTTTGCCGTTTATACTGGTCCAGGTATATTACTTTGTTATCTTTTGCTGGTTTGCTGACTTGTTTACAGTTGAAGCCTGTAGTTAGCATTTCTTCGAGTTGGAGATTTTTAGCGTTTATCCTCACTCTACTCTTTAGCTTAAGACAATGACCAAGAGCTATGACATAAATTTATCATCTAATTATTAGGACAGAATGGGCACTAGTTTGGTTGACATTTCAGCTGATGCATACTTTGTACTCTGTCATCATTGATATGTTGATCAGCTAGTGCACACTGGTATGAACTTCATTCCTGCATGAAAATGAAGTTGTTGAAAATTTATCTTTAGTACTCACTTGCTAGCTAGAGATCTGTTGATTGTTAATTTCAGCCCAATCTTTAGGCTTCTTTCTTAGGTGGAATGTGTAGGGAAGTATGCTTGAAACAAAGGCATACCCTGTTCCTAAATGGCAGAATCATCAATCTACCATCTATACGAAGAGTTCAGTTTCCTGCAAGATTTAGAGATTATAAATACATAGCGGATGCATATATGTGTATATGTGTGACAGTGCATAATCTTATTTTTCAATCTTTTTACTTCTGTAGACAAGCCGTGATGCTGCCGTCGAGATTGAGATTTCTGAAGACAAGCACATGGTGCACTTCGATTTCAATAGGTATCAGTACTTCGTGTCGCTACCGAGACTTTGATGTAGTTGTGACTTGTATCATTTTCTAACACACACTTATCTCTCTGGCAGTGCGCCCTTCTTCTTGCACGATGATACTTACATCCTGAAGCTATTGCGGCATCACCAACCGCCGGAAAGAACAAATGTATCCCAAAATTATTCAGTTTACCCGCCTTCTCCATGTCCCAGCATTGGAACTCTGGAACAGAAACTACGAAATCCAAAATGAACAAATGTTGAGATGCTTTACTAGGTTTATGAAACTTTTTATAAAAATCGTTATAGGCTTTTCCCTTATTCTTCTAAATGGCTTGAAGGTAATTTTGTTTCAGTTTTATTTTTTAAGGATTTAGATTTATAGCTTAAATAACAATTGTTTTTCTGATTTTCTGATTTTCTGATTTTCTCGTTTTCTATAATTCTGTTTTTGCTGATACATATTTAATTACAAGAAATTAAACCAAAAAAGTGCAGTCAAGGAGATTGCATTCAACTTTATTATCTGGTTCCCCAAAAAAAATAATTAGCAAGTATGAGAACGGCTGTAAAGGGCGCGTGGGTAGAAGTGAGGAATGATGGTGTGATTTAATAATATAATATTCCCATGCAAAAAATAAAGCAAAGTGGGGAAGGGAAGGGAACAGAGCGGACCGGGGTAAAGGGAGTTCACTGGGGCGGACACTTCTTCGACCGTGAGGCCACACCCACCAAAGCACAAGAACTACCTTTTCTTTTTTATTAAAACAATTCCTTTAACAATTTATTTTCCTTAGTTTATCATGCATTATTTCATTATTTTAATCCATATAAATATCAAAATTGGGAGTTGCCCATGTACAGGATCTGCACCAAATTAAACTAACATATAAATAATATAATAATTAAGCTGCTCTCCACATTCACATAAACAACATCAACTTTTTCCATGCAAGATGAGAACCGCTAATCTTATAATATTTCCCAAGTAAAAGAGAGAGAGAGAGAACCGCTAATCTTATAATATTTCCCAAGTAAAAGAGAGAGAGAGAGAGAGAGAGAGAGAGAGAGAGAGAGAGGCATCAGAAAGAACCTTATGGATTAAGAAACTGAGAGAGAAAACATAGTCCTCAAAACCCTAAAAAGTAATAAAACAAAAAGAGTAGTCTTAGCCTAGTGAGAAGGAACAACTGCAAACAAGTAACAACAAGAAGTAAATTATTAGTATATAAATACACAAAAGGCCCCTCCTTTATTTTTGCTCCTCATCACCACTCCCACCCCTCTCCCTTGTTTTCCTTTCTTTCTTTCTGTCTTCCTTTCTCTTTTCTCTCTCTCTCTCTCTGCAACTCTCTCTCTCTCTCTCTCTCTAGCTTCTCTCTTTGTTGTTGATGTGATTCTCCACTATTATCTCCAAAAACCCATCAACCTTTACAAAAGATAGAAAGAAAGGCCGCCACAAGAGAGAGCCATGGTTTTTTCCTCCATTCCAGCTTATCTTGATCCATCCAACTGGCAACAGGTAACCTCTAGCTCCTTCAATTTTGTTCTCTTGAGGAATTTCTCTCCCCCAAAAAAAAGTGAAAACATTTCAAAAGCCAAATATTCTATTTACTTTTGTTTTTCATGATCTTCTTGAATATACCAGATATTTGATTTCTGCTTTTTAATCTATTTTTCTCCTTTCATTTTGCAGCAACCAAATCATCATCACTTTACAGGAAGCACCAGCAACAACAGCAACATAAACAACAACAACAATTCTCACCTCCTTCCACCTCCGCCACCGCCTTCAAACCCTCATGGTGGCGGCAGTGGCGCAGGTGGTGTGGGCTCAATCAGGCCAGGCTCCATGGCAGATCGAGCCCGCATGGCCAACATCCCGCTCCCGGAACCGGCACTAAAATGCCCCAGGTGCGATTCCACCAACACCAAGTTCTGCTACTTCAACAACTACAGTCTCTCCCAGCCCCGCCATTTCTGCAAGACCTGCCGAAGGTACTGGACACGGGGCGGCGCGCTGAGAAACGTTCCCGTGGGAGGAGGCTGCAGGAGGAACAAAAGAAGCAAAGGAAGCAGCAGCAGCGCCTCCAAGTCTCCGGTCAGCAGCTCGGACCGGCCAACCGGTTCGCCCGGTTCATCAGGTCAAGCAAATATTGGCTTAAACAACACCGCAAGCACAGCAGATAATAATATTATGATGAGCCCACAAATCCCACCGCTGCGTTTCATGTCTCCTTTTGCCACCGACATGGCCTTAAATTATGGCATGAACGTTAACAATTATGGCGGCGGCGGGGGAGTAGGAGACATGAACAGTTTTCATCAGATGGGGAGCGGCCTAGGGAGTATCGGTGGGTCGCTCTTTAATTTCCAGCAGCAAACGCCGTCTTTTCCCTTCTTGACAGCTGGCGGCGGGCTGGACCCTTCGCCGGCGGCTGCGGGGATGATGTTCGAGAACAGTGGAGTTGAGGTGACGGGTTACAATCAGGTGCGGCCGAGAGCACCGTCTGGTCATGGTGTTGCGGGGATGAACTCACAGATGGCTGCGGTCAAGATGGAGTTAGAAAGTCAACAACATCATCAAAATCAAAATCAAAGTCAAAACCAGGAGTTGAATTTGTCGAGGCAGTTGATGGGTATGAGCTCAGGAAATGATCAGTATTGGGGTAATGGCAGCGGCGCCGGCGGTGGCGGCACTAGTAATACTTCATGGACTGATCTTTCTGGGTTTAGCTCTACAACTTCCACACCTAGCAACAATATTAATAATCCCCTATAACAATTCAATTTCTATTATCTTATGATCTTTTGTGGTATATTGGTCTCATCGGATCTAATATACTTAGCTGTGAAGCTGGCTTCGGGTTTTAATTTCTTAGTGTGGCTTCAATTAATTCTATTCTATAGAAAGTTAACTTGGAAAAGAGACTGATCCATTGGATGAAGCTATAGATCTGCCCCGTGAATGAGATGAAGGAAGATTGGGAGAAGTGGCTGATGGGCTTTGTTCGTCGTGAATCGTGATGAAGTAGTGGAAACCCTAGAAATGGTAGGTTTTTCGCTTTTAGTTTACCTTTTGCTTTTCCAGCTTCATCTGGGAGCTGAGGGTTTTTTTTTTCTTTTTCTTTTTGGAATTTAGTTTTAGGATGGCAATATTGTATGAGCTAGATAGGATGTTTGCAATACTAGTAGTGAGTGTATGAGTAGTTCATGGAGTTTTGAAATCTGAATCGAACATGTACTTCATGGATTTTCTTTCATGGAATTTGATGTTCTTCTATATATGCTTGCTGCTGCCGTCATGATCTTTTTTGTGCTGTATATGTAGCAATTGTTACATATATAATTAACTATGATATATTCTCAGTTGAACTTTCCGCCATTTAATATTTGCCCGCAGCAATGATTCCATCTAATTTGTTCCACTAATCTCTGAAATGGTATAATGTTGTTAGAGATGGACCTTTTAATTGTTAAAAGCTTCTTTTTGTTTTAATCTTTTGAAATCAACTTTCATTTTTGCGGGAGAGTGGCGGAGGATATGTTAGAATGTTCATTGGTTTGAACAACGTCGCTTGCCAAGTAGACCAAGTGTGTAACTTTGATACAGTACTTCAAAAATTTTGTTTTTTTTTTTTTTTTTTTTTACATTGGGAAGAAAGAAATCCTGGGATTTTGATCGTGGGTGCCAAGCAAGGGGAAGGAGGAGGGCGACAACCACTGTGGTAACCGACTGAAAAATGAAATTTGAAGTGAATGAAGTCTTTGCGATAATTTTAGGGCAAAGGATCAATATACTTCGATGGAGTCTTTCTTTTCTTGACTTTAATTGATTCCCGGCCCCCATTTTATACAAGAAAAGTTGATAATTTGTTATGGATTTAGGTTGCACAAGCATGTTATTATATTGAAATATTTTGTCATAAGTCTAAAGTCCACATTTGTTTGACAGATATTACAAAAAGGACTAAGCTTCCATTCTAAGCAAGCTTATGACTGTATGCGTTTCAGGTGTCGGCCCTGTGACTAACAAGGTCGTCGTCAATGATCATTTATCAAATCAGAAAGACTGTTAATTTGTACAATTTCAAATGGCTTTTCTAATCAATTTCATAGTCTTTTCTCAAGAATATGCTGATTCTATTTCAACAACCAACCGTAGTTTCGGTATAATTTGCTCTAGATTATTACTTCAATAATTAATTTACCAGGTCAGGAAAAATACACTAATTAAGGTTGATTCCTTCAATTAATATCCTATATATAGTTGCTAAATAATAATTTCATGGTTGGGGGACAAAAAAAGAATAAACCTAGCTTAGCTGGAGAGTGATCTTTAAAAAGCCATAGATTTTGGCAAAATCAGCGTCTCCATCTCCATCCATTGATTTGTGGGGACAAAGCGCCATAAATTTCAGTTCTAAAATATTTATTCTATCTATTGCTTCCATTACATATGCTGCATGGAAGATACAGATAAATCAGCTTCCCACTTTCTTCTTGATCTAACCAAGACATAATGGAGACACATATATGTATGTATACATCCACATTCCACATTCCACATTCCACATTCCACTATGAGAGAGAGAGAGAGAGAGAGAGGAGAGAGAGAGAGAGAGAGAGAGAGAGAGTTTAGTGATATCCAACTCTCTAACAAAACCAATTGTTTACTTAACATGCATGGCTAAGTTTTGTTTTATTATAGATTAATACTATTGTTAGGCGCACGATTTTAAATGATTGATATATATTATATATTCCAATAATTGGAATGGCACATAGCAGTGATTGGTTTGGAGAGAGAGAGAGAGAGAGAGAGAGAGAGAGAGAGAGAGAGAGAGTGAGATTTTGGACCGACCAAGAAAAAAATGATTTTGTAATAATTTTATGTGTCCTTGTAAGGAGATGGTGATGAGATTCTAGATGATGATGATGATGATGATGAGGCTGCGTTAATTTCGTGAAATTGGTTTTTGGTATGTAGGACAAGTCTCTCAAAAGACGCCAAAATCACCCCTCAATTCCACACAACCAAAATTCCACATTCCAAAATCATGGACAACGAGAGACATAGATTTTTGGTCTTCTACTTTCATACCCACCCACCACAAACATAAGACTTTGTGTTTTTGTTTTTGTTTTTGTTTTTTTTATTTTTGTTTGTGTTTGTTTTTATTCTCGAACTTTGTGTGCCGCTGAAAGAATATAACGTAAGTGAAAGATTTTTAAGTTTTGATCTCATGCTTGCTCATTGGAACATGGAAGAGAGAATGTCTGACCAGGTCTCGCGCGCTACCAGACAAGCTACTGATTTGTCAGGTTTCGTGGACCTGACAGTCTGACATGGCAGGGGTCCCAGTGATTCGATAGAACGTTGGCACTCGCTTCAGAGCTGCGTGCTAGCTATAGCTTGTTCCAATTCCAAGTATATCTAACTTTGCCATCTCATTTCTGATCTGACTGACTGACACACACACTGACTGTGCGCGGTCCAACTTGTCAATTTTATTTCAAACAGAACTATGTACCCATTTTCTTGCTTGGAGAAAGTGAGATCCCATTGATCGATCCTTCCAATCCATTTCACTATCTGCAAACAACTGATAATTAAGTTTCTAATCCCACTCAATTATTTAAAGGAATGCAATGATAATAATCCACTTTTATTTGTAAAAACTCATCTTTAACCAATTTAATTATAGAAATTTGGCTTCAAATTAGAGTTGTGAGTGAAATTTCACGTTAACTTTGTAAGGAGTCATCAATTGGCATATAAATAACCAGACGAGACATAATTTCAAAACATATACTTTTGGCAACTTAGTGGCTAAATTGAAGAGAATATCATATAATTATGTGCGAGTTTGTGAAAATTCGTTGTCGACCTATCTTTTTGGTGATAAAGAATGAATCAGTGGTCCGACATGTAGATTAGCATGAAGCTAGGAAATAGGCCCTCCCCATATTGCTCGGTGTTGGATAATCTATCAAATGTTGTTTGAAGTGTGGAGTACATGTGTTCAATCTTTCAATTATTAAGTCATCCTTGGTCACGAAGATACAAAAAGAAAGAGGGCTAAGTAAAGTGACTCTTGTGGGTAGATGGATATTGGATAACGATATTTATTGTCCCCCCTACTTGTTTGGCCTTTGTTTAGAAATGATGTCCAACTTGGTTCCTATAGGTTTTATAGGTTATTTTTTTTTGTTGTTACAAGAATTGGGAACCAATCAAAGCTCTAGATTTAGCACTTTGGTTTCTCATCTCTCTCTTATTACTACCATTGAATACCAAGCACTAAACCTGTATCAATCTGAAAACTCGATCTAGATTAGATTGGTTCAGTCAACATTATTGTTTTGTTGTCCTCTTTAACCTAAATTAAACGCCATTCAATTGACCTAAATTGATAATTTGGTTGGTACATGAAGTAATTAACTGGGATATCGAATTTCTGCAATTTAATTAGACTGTAGTATAGTACTAGTAGGCCACCACAATTGAACTAAAACAAATCCTTTCTAGGACAGATAGAAAGCATATTTGGCAAAGCTAGTTTGGGATGAATTTTGATCATGGTCATGGACCAAACAACAAAACAGCGCCTTGCAGCCTTGCAGCCTTGCAGATTCAAAGCGCCAGCCTAGAGATATAATTGTAGTTGTCTTTCTAATAACAGTTTCTCCTAAAGATTTCTCAAGATCTGCTGCTGCTATATATTATAATATTTTGGTATAAATCGGGTACCAAGAAAGACTGCAGGTACGTACAATATTATAGTTGGACCAAACCTCAAATTGATAACAAATCTCGCTTTCAGTATAGTTGAGAAACTTCCCCCTACATATTCCTAGGCCTAGCTGTTACTTACCAATATATTAATTCCAAGTTGGAATGGTCGTGTTGAAAGAAAGGAATCTATGTAGGGTGTTTGGATTTGCTTTTTGCAAGAACCAAGGCTGGCCGGCCTTGCCAAGAAGGAATAAAGCATATTCAATATAAAAACCCTCAAATATATGGTCATGGGTTTTGGTCAGCTTAATTGGAATTTGGGTTGTGTGTGTGGAAATCAGAGGAATTTGAAGGATCCCAAAAGTATTGGCATCTTCTTCTGATCATCATCTGCAGTACTTGTAAATTAAAAGTCACAACCCCCAACCAATTAAAGAAGATGAAGCTGTTAGTGTTTTTCTACTTGTACGAACAAGATAGAGGGCAGGAGAAGGAATTTTGGAGGCTCGGAAATCCAAGCCAAATATATTCTAAGTTCATATAACATGGATCCTCATCATGTTGATGATGGCCACATGGGTTTGTGTGAAGAGTGACATGCGCTCTTCTCTCTTCCTCACACACACAGACCATATTATACACACAAAGATAGAGAGAAGCAGCAGCAGCTTTCACTTTTAACATGTTGTCCTTGTTATATATGACACATTCTCTCTCTCTCTCTCTCTCTCTCTCTCTCTCCTCTCTCTCTCTCTCTCTCTCTCTCTATGGATATATATAATCCTCATCATCATCAACAGGTGGAAACACATAGAAAGAGACTGAGATTCCAAGCTCTTCTGAGATATAGACCTCACGTTCTCCCACATGTTGTGATCTCAATTATACATGCATATACAAAAATATACCCCTCCTTTAGATTCTTTGTGGTATTCTAGCTAGAGGAATGTGTGAATTGTTGATGCATATATATTCTACATAAATTAATACGTCACAATTATTTATGAGTGCGTGAATGATTGAGCATGTAGCATAAATTATAATTGCTTTATTAAATTCATATGAATCTATATGGTTATGAATGCGTAAATATATATACATTAATGTGGTAACTAACAATTACCATGTTAAACAGGTAAGCTGGAAATCAAATCCAAGTAGTTTTGAGGAGCTTCCCTTTACAACATTAAAGATAACATTTGGCAGTAAATGAGCGTAGCTCACAGTAGTCAAATATAGGGTATAAATTATAATTCCCAAGGTCCCCTACATACCATATCTGTTTCGGTGAGAATAGCATCCTATGAAGTCACTTTCCCAACATTTCAAAATAGCCATGCATTTCGTAATTGACTTTATATATGTTGATTTCGGATTAGCAAAACCACTTGGTAAAGTTACTTATTCCCAACTTGGTCCAGCAGCAGCTAATTAACAAAGCTATACAAAACGTGTTTAAAGGAGATCATGATCTAATGCAAATTCATAGTTTTTTCTAAGTACAAGCGATAGTCTAAACTATAGGAGGAGGACGGTTTCTTACACACACACACGCACAACTAAGATACCATAAGGTTCGAACCTGAGATCTCTTGTCTGTAAGTTAAGACTTTTTTTCACTGAGTTACACCTGTTGGTGCAAATTCATGGTTATTAAGTAAGTTCTTTGGAATTTTTTGGCTGGAAAGTTCAAATCAAGTGTACAATTCATTTGGGTTTTTATATATGAAACGCGTGCATTAATATTCTTTCTTTACCAAACATAGAATATAAGAATCAGATTGGATCAAGACCTTAATAATAATAATATGTAACATGGCAATATATATATATATATATATAGTCCCCTTTTATTGAGGGATCTCTAAAATAATTTTATTTGAGGGACACCCTTTAGGGTACTCTACAATTTTTTTTCCAATGATCCAAACCATCTATTTTGTAGGTCTTCATTCATAGATCATCCTTACAAAAAATTAGACAAATCGGAAACTGTTTCGACATCCAATTGTGTCATACAAAATCAATGAATACGGTACTTCAAGAAATTACTAAAATTTCAATAACTCAATTGAATGGTCAAATGATATCGGATTCAAGTGATTTTTTGTAGAAATGATCTTTGAATGAGTATCTACAAAATAGACGGTTTGGATTAGTGAAATACAGTCCGGAGTGGGCCCTATAAGAGGTGTCCTTCAAATAAGCTTAGTTGAGGGATCCCTCAATGAAAGCTCTATATATATGGTCAGATCATCTTTCTTCTACAACATATGGACTAATTTCTTGATTATATTCTTATTCTTATTAAAAGCTAATGGGAATAAACTAGGTATAATTGAATTTTCTATAGGCTTTAACCTTTTGCAAAGTGCGTTGTCGTACATGCCTAACAATTTTGTCGTTGGATAAGTATATAATATTATATATAATGGGGTACGTAGGAAGGTTCAAGGTTGCTAGCAATTTATAATTTGCGTTGCCATTGCATACAATACATGCTGTCTTGTTGACATGACTAAATACACATTTGTATAATTAATAATTAATAATTAATAATATTTTATATACATGTATGCATGGAATGGATGCTTACGAGAGAAAGCACTCAGATATTGATTGTGAATTTTAAATATATGAAGAAGAAATAATATAAATTTAATTGAGCAAGTGATTGTGTTATTTTATTTGATTGGAAGGCAACATATATAATACAAAGCTAAAAGCAAAAGGAAAATTCTTTGTATCAATGTTGGTCCAAGCATGGCGCGGAGAAAACGCTCTGTCATGTCACAAGGTGGACCCCAATATCCATATTCTTGCTTGCTTGCTATGACTTCACTCATCTCACCGCACATAATGCGGAATAGTAGATCATCACAAATCAAACGAAATCAAACACTACTCTACACACTTTTTGTTTGGATTGAATGTTGATTGACAGTGTGCTCGTTCCTTTGCATTCGAGCTCGACCCTCTTTCCCAAACTGCACATTAGAATTGCTTAGGCTATGGCCTTGTCTTGCACACACGCACAAAAAAGGAAGCTTAGATGTTTTTCTTGGTAAATTTGCCAGCTTTTCTTGACAACAAAAATTTCTTGGTGATTATAAACTTGTGCTTTATATTAGATGGGTTGTTTTGTTCCTTTCCGCTAGGGCCGTAGCTTTTACATAGTCTTCTTGCTCTCATAGTTTCCTTGGGCCCAACCCAAAAGGACCAGGGACGGAAAGAGAATTATAAAAGAAAAAAGTTGTATAGGCCACATCATATTTTAGCCCATAATGGCATTATAATTGACAATGATGCATTGCCGACCATCCTGCGGACTGGTCGATCTTCTCCTCCAATCCCCAACTCTTGGAAAAATGAGAGAGATATCTTACAATCACAATCGCCAGATGGATCCTGGAGGCACCTCCGATTTTGGATCGAGCATTTCAATTATTTTTCATGCAAGGCAAAGCAAGCACGTAACTCTCAGACGATAGAAGAAATGAACATTTAGTTTGACAGATGATGGTGGCTACTGGAGGACGGCTTCAAGCTTGCAATTACGTCCGAGAGATGAGCACCAAGATAGAGTTGTATTGATCTGATGATTGAGACAGACACAGATTCCTCCGTCGTTGTTGTGCCTGCCTACCAGTATTGAATATCTCTTTTTATTCCATTCGATGTTGATTGGTGGATGTCATCAAGCTGTCTTTATATTTGCTTTCGAATTCTTAAGATGGCCTCATGTTCATGAGATTATAAGTAAAAAAAGGTAATGTGTTTCTCTCAGCTTTCAATTATAAAGTTATTGTGTTTCATTTCGCATGACCATTGGATTTGAAACGCCTGTAGATGACAGTTCAATAAAATGAGATACTAAAAAGATTATGTAACTTTCTACTAAAAAGCCAAACTACACGAATGGAGCAGCCGTGCCGCCTAAAAGTGATTTGATTTGGCTTCTCCCCCTAATTTAAGTTCGAACTTTAAACTTAACCAAATAGAACTTCCCACACATAATTGATTTGCTTGCTAAATTGCATTTCGGGTCATAAGTCGACTATCACACTTTCACTTCCATCATAGTATAGTAACACAATTATATGTAAATCTAAAGAAATCAATAACCTGAAAGAGAAATAGCTGAATAACACAAATTGAAGAATATCTGCTGCATAGACGATATCACAAAATGGTCTCAAAACATTCAAAATTAGAGAGTTCGTCAAATTCTCGTACGAAAATGCATAACAAAAACTATTAGAGTAACTGAACTACAACCATTAACACAACACTTCACGTTCTCACTTCTTCTTCTCAGTAACACCACCAGACCTGCACATGAACAATTCCACAATCACATACAAAGCATATAAATCGTGTAACATAATCAAACCACCAAAGACAGTGTGAAAATGAAAGGTTGAGCTCCCCAAAAACTATCTACTCTCATCATACAATATGTTAGTCCAATTAAATAACTGAAAAAAGAATCAGAAACAGACTTCCACTCGCCGGACGACCAAACTAACTCAAATGTTACAAACATGGCACACAAAAACAGAGTTGACACCAAAAACCAGACTATTACAAACAAATTTTGATATTGATTGCAATGGTACGAAAACTAATTCGTAACATTGAGTTTGATAACATTCAAGCGCATTTACGCAAGCTGGTTTAACTCCATTTTCACACATTTGTCTTAACATATTCAAAAAAATACTTCAATCCAGTCCTCCACCACTTATGAAATAAAGGGCAAAGAAAAAAACAACCAAATAAATTGACGATAACACAAACAATCTCATAAATTGACTATAACACAAAAATGCAAAAGCCATATGAAAACATATCAAACACACAGCAAGGGCAAAGAGAAAAATCTCACCTCATCTTGCGGAGGACGTTGGACATCTCCTCTCTCTTCTTCTTAGCTCTCTTGTGGGTACCCAACTTCCTCTTGGCCACCTTAAGAGCACGCTTGTCCTTACCAACCTTCAAAAGCTCAGTGATCCTCTTCTCATATGGAGCAAAACCAGCAACTTCCCTGATCAGGTTCCTCACGAAATGCACCCTCTTGCTTGTTTTCTTCATTGTCAAAACCAACAAAGCATGGAAATTTTAGTATTATTCACACTATTTCATCAAAAAATCAAGACCCAAACAACAAAGAATACAAAGACAATCCCAGAAATCAAAACTTGTATGAACAATCAGTGATCAAACAAAAGCATACCCCTTTGCGGTCAGACGGGCGAGGAGCCAATTCACGCTTGGTAACGATGTGGCCTTTGTTCAGACCAACGAAGATCCCGCTTTTGGGCCCAGCAGGAGCCATTTCCTGTACGAAAAAGCTTCAGTATTCAACAAAACCATCTAGCACAAACACAATAAAAGGATGCTTAGTAAGTGATACTGGGAAATTTGAGCCAGATTGGTACCTCCAATTCAGCTCGAAACAAACCCTAGATCTTGGCGGTTGAGAGAGGCGCGGCCACCTAGTGTGTGAGAAACTAAAACCCTAATGCCCTTGCGTCTTAAATACTGCGTGGGTATCGCTATTTTTTATTCAGGAGTCTCAGGACGACGACTTGGGTTCCAAACCTTCTCGGCCCATATCCGTCAGGCTTTGCTTTATGGGTTCAATTCAACCAATCGTTTGGGCTTTTGTATTTTTAATTTTTAATTTTTGTTCGTCTGATCTATTCATCAGCCCAATAGCTATGGATCAACTGGTCCAAGAGAATTCATGGTTGCTAATTTTGGGTTTTTAAGGTCTTTGGAGCTTCAAACTGCACCCAGAAGAGGAAAAAAAAAAACTGTTCAAATGTTTGACTTCATCATTGAATGAGTAGCTTGCCTCTAGCTTGTTTGATAGTCTAAATAATTTTAAATTAATTTAATTTACGGAAAAGAGTACTCAAACTTTAATGCAAAGAGACGGACTCACATCTCTGCCCGACTGACCTAATATGTCACGTTTGAGACTTTCTAGCATCCCATATTTATTTAATTTCTTTGGGCCAAATTAGACCGAATGAGCAGCGTCATTTCGTCAGAGTCATAAGCTGATGGGGCATGCAAGAGCTGAATGATCACTTGCCCTATTTCAGGCCCAAAAGGCCAATTATTTGCCAACCTCAAAAGACGGGAACACAAAGCAAATTGGCGGGACAATGACAAAACAAGAGTGCAAATTTTTGAGCATCTAGCCGTACAAATTAAGCCAACACATTATTCGAGTAAACATCGAATCTCTCCTGGAATTATAGCGAACAAATTCTCATGTCCCAAAATCCTCCTCCACAGTAAGCAACTTTTAGGCTTTCGGCCAAAAGCAAATCCCCCAATCACTTGGTTTAGACTTCAGAGAGAGAGCTCTCTGTCCATACATAATATATTTCATAAATTATGAAACTTTTCCCCCCCTCCCTCCTTTTTTTCTTTCTTTTTTCTTTTCTGGGTTTTTGTTTAAAAGTTTTAAAAATGTATATACATGTCCTTATTTCATGGTTGTTCTTTTCAGAGCTGTATATAATTGACCAAAGCAGGGAAAGATAAAAAGCAAACAAGCCAAGCAAAGGGTTGGCGACCAGAATGGACACAACAAGTACGAAGAGGTCCAAAAGAAGAAAAGCTGTTGTCATCCAACGCCAATACAAAAGCAAACAACCAAAACAACAACAACAACAACAACAACAACAAAAACAAAGTTGATCATTCAACTACTTATGTGTATGTATTTTGTGTCTGCTTTCTTTCTGGTTTCTCATTTTCCTACTCTCATTCATTTTTGTACCAAACTTGCTTTTCCAAAACGCAATGCGGCTGCAGAAGAGAATAATATATTACCATAAAAATACTAAATACATACACATGTAGAACAGTTTTAATTTAAATTATTGAAGAAAATAAATTGATCGGACGGATATGATAAAAGAAGGGTTCATATTCAACGGTGCTGATTCAGAAACCACGTTGAAAAATGCATGTTAAAGTCAAATAAATTAATTTAGGGGATTAATTTAATTATATAAAAAAATCATGTGTGAAACAAAGACTTATTTAGGACTAAGTACCAACTAGTCTACAAATACATGTCAAGGCCAATGAAAGATAAGAAAACGTATAAAATCCAAATACCCCGTAAATTTCTGACAGCTGCCCGAACTCTAAAAATTGTTCATTTTAGGAAGGAGCAAGGGGCTGCGCGGTGAAGCTGCCCGAAATCTCCGCGGGCAGGTCCGAACTCCGAGGCCCATTAGTCCCAGTGCCTGCCTCTACTTAGATTGCCTATGGACATCAACATATTCATTGTAGCCTAAGCCATTGCTGGTTCTCTGCCCACCACCACCATATCCATCGCCGTTGGAAGGTGGCACTGGAGGAAGTGATCTCAGGCCACCTTTCAATGCGATAAGGATAGAGTGAGTTTGGGGAGATGGGTCAGGGATTGAGTTGCACAGAGACCCCTCAAAGTGGACTCTTTGGACCTCTCAAGGATGGGGAATTGGAGCTCGTTGAGGCTATGCTGGAAGCAGACCCAAGTGTTTTTCAGCAGAGGAAAGGTCGTGCGAGGTTGTCTGCGCTGCATGTAGCTGCTGTTGAGGGTCAGATCGAGGTGGGTTTTGTTTCCTATTGATTGGTTTTTTATGGATTCTTTCTGGGATTTAGTTTTTTTTTTCTTTCTCTTTATTAATGGTGTTGATGAGTTTAGATTATGAGATTTGTTTTTGGTGCTTGGTCTGATGATAAGTTCAGGTTCTTTCTCTGCTTTTGGATCGTTCTGTTATCAATCCGGATGTCGTGGATCGACATAAACTGGTAATGGGATTTTTTTGTTGATGCTTTTTGTCAATCAAGAACAGTTCTTTTGGATGCTTTTGAATTTTGATTCTTTTTTTTTCTTTTTCTTATGTGGTTTTGAACTGTTTTTCTATGTGATCGGTTTTAGACCCCGTTGATGTTGGCTGCAATAAACGGGAGGATCGCTTGCGTCCAAAAGCTTATCCAAGCTGGAGCAAATGTATGTTCTTTTCCTTTTGTGTACAGTTTCTACTTGAACTACTAATATTCTGATCATGGGGTTTGTGTGTGTGTAATTGTTAGATATTGATGTTTGATTCCCTGAATGGAAGAACCTGCCTGCATTATGCTGCCTACTATGGTCATGCGGACTGCCTCCAAGCCATTCTTTCTGCTGCCCATTCCTCCCCTGTAGCAAGTTCATGGTTGCTCTCTCTCTCTCTCTCTCTCTCTCTCTCTCTCTCATGATTGGGGTTTTTTTTTGGGGGTCAAAATCTCTGGTGTTTAATTTACGTTGGATGGCATTGACAGGGGATTTTCAAGATTTGTGAACATAAGAGATGCAGGTGGTGCAACCCCATTGCATTTAGCAGCCCGCCAAAGTAGGCCAGAGTGCGTTCATGCTCTTTTAGACATGGGGCTCTTGTTTGTGCTTCAACTGGTGGATATGGGTAATTATCTATAGTTGTGACCTGGTATGATAGCTCACTAGTAGTAATTTGCCAATGTGATTGATGCAACTACCATATATATGCAGATACCCTGGAAGCACACCGCTTCACTTAGCTGCACGTGGTGGATCTTTAGATTGTGTCCGAGAGTTACTTGCTTGGGGAGCAGATCGGCTTCAATTAGATGCTTCTGGGTAACCTTCCTTAAATGGATAGTGTGAATATTTGATTCTACAATAAATTATGCATCTTGACATGTTTGAAATACTATGCAGTCCATATTAGTCAATAAAGATGAGTATCATTTGCTTGTCATGAAGTTTAACGAACCGTTGCATTTTAAAGAACAAGTAGATTCCTAATTAGGAATGGCTCATTTCTTTTATTCCTAAGTCCTTATCACTGCTAGTTATGTGCACACCAGTAAAAATGTGAGCTTACTATTAGTGTTTAGAGTTTATCCTATTTTGTAGGTTGAAATACTGCAAAATCATTGGCATCACAAAATGAATGGAGCCTCTAATTCCACAAGTCTTCCATCCTTAAGTTATAAATGCTCCGCTTTAGGTAAAAGTAGGACTCAATAGTTTGTTGGTATGTTGTCATGATATTATAAAATTGTTCTCTGCAGGAGAATACCGTACACAGTTGCTCTGAGGCGCAAGCATCGAGCTTGCGCAGCTGTACTGAACCCTTCATCAGCGGAGCCTCTTGTTTGGCCATCACCTTTGAAGTTCATCAGTGAGCTTAATCCAGAGGCTAAGGCTTTGTTAGAAAGGGCGTTAACAGAAGCAAACATGGAGAGAGAGAAAGCTATCTTGAAGGATGCAGTAAACTCACTTCCATCTCCTTTGCATTCAGATGCAGAGACTGATGACAATGCCTCTGAGGTAAATGTGCCTTCTCTTCTTGTTTAGTTTTTCATATTTGTTGTGATTGGTCAATAGAAAGGATTTAAAATCTATTTATTTATCTCGGAATTATTGACAGAATTTCAGGATTGCATGTATATGACTCTTGAAAAGAACTTATGATGGGCACTTTTTACCATTTTATGCCAAACACATTCATATGACGAATTTGTTGGTTGTGATGTCTTTTTCTAGTATAATAGTGCCTCTGTGCACAGATTCAATGAAATCTTTAGTAGAACTCAATTCTTGGGCAATGCATGTAGCTTTCTTATTCACTGGTGAATTCATATCAAACAGGCTAGCGATGTGGATCTATGCTGCATATGCTTTGACCAGTTATGCACAATTGAGGTCGGACCATGCGGTCATCAAATGTGTGCACATTGTACCCTTGCCCTATGCTGCCACAAGAAGCCCGATCCTTCAACTACTTGTCCTACAGTCCCAGTTTGCCCCTTTTGCCGAACCACCATTACCCAACTGGTTGTGGCCAATATCAAGGCCAATAATGATGTGGAGCTCGAAATGAGTCCATCAAAGCCGAGGAGATCAAGAAAGTCTAATGTCAGTGAAGGTAGCAGTAGCTTCAAGGGGTTGTCTCCTATGAGCTCATTTGGAAGGATGGGCGGTCGTAGCTCAGGAAAGATAGCTGCTGAAACCAATGAGGAGATCCATAAGCCTTGACAAGTGAAGTTGTGGACTTGTTCTCTTTGAACCAGTTGGTAGTCCAGCAGATGGAGGAGCTAAGCTGTCTTGGATTTACTTAGGGAGAGTGATCCTCACTGGTATGTTTTCCGATTCATCTGGAGGGTCTTAAATGCCTAATCACGCATGAGAATATAGATGTCCTTCAGTACCCTGGATCTGAAGGTTTTGTTTTTTTGAGTCATGTTGAGTCTGTTTTTCTTTAAATTAAAGAAGCAGCAAAACATTAAGGGTTTCCCCCCAATTATAAATATAATTATATTTCAAATAAATAAAACTTCAATTACCATCCCTTCCCTTGTCATGGAAGGAGAGAGTGGGTTCTTTTGTTCTCTCACCTACCATGGTACTGTGTTTTTGGATCTAAGCCATCTGTGCCGATGAATCAACAGAGCCCTTTTGACATGTCTCTGCATCTGCAAAGAGTTCTTATGTGAAAATAGGCTTTTCCATCGGTTTAAAGCTGCAATTTCCAGGTTGCATAGAGAACTTAGTTACCCCTTGGATCTGTCCTTAATCTAAGAGCATGTGAAAATTTGAAACTGGCATACGATTACCACGAATGTGGAATTGTGCAGCATTTAGTAATTAAGAATGATTTGTCTAGTTAAAGAATAATTTGAGATTTTAATAATATAGTTGACCTCAAAAGACTATATTAACTGACATGACTTAAAACTCCAAAGGCAAAGTTGTATAAAAAAACCTACGGCCCTTAGGCTCCATTAATGAGTTACATACCACTAGCCTGACACTCTTCTCTTGAAACGATTTGCAAGCTAAATTTATTTTTTGGACGAATCAAGCTGAATTTTTAATAGGAATCCAGAGCTCACTAAATTTAAATTCCAATGAGGGGTCAATCATTTCACGAGTTGTCCACACAAACATGAAGACACTAATGTAGTTCCAAATCCATTGCCATATTCTAATAGCTCCCTGTTGTTGGATCTTGCTCCACCATCCGCTCTCTCTGAAGAACTTGGCTGACCAGCTGCTACTAGGCCGTCTACGAATAGCCTGTTGGGGTCTGAAACCGGCACAGCCGGTGAGCAATTGTCAGTTCCGTATTCAATCGGTCCACCGTGATTTCTTCTGTTAATGTTGTTATTGCTTGCTCTCCTTTCTGCTTCAAGAAAGTGACCTAAGGATGGAGTGTTATTACTCTCATTCACAGAGTCGCTGGTTAGCTTGGAGCAGAGTGAAAACAACCAAGGTTTGGATTTGTGGTTCTTTTTTCCTTTGGAGGTTTCAAGTGCCCTTCCCCTTGTTGATCTTCGTGAAAGGCCTATAATGCCAGAAACACCAAGGAGCCTCCCTAGAGTGATGCTCTTGTCATGGAAGAAAGACCCAGTTGACTGAAACAAGTTTCATGAAAGAATCACTAAGATCAGAACTTTCTTGATTTACATGAAAGACTATATTTGAAAAGTAACATGCCGATTACCAAGGGGTTTTAAGTGCCAAAAATAAAATAAAAATCAATGGAAGGTATGCTGGTGTGATTCCATTTCTAAAATTAACAGATTGAAAACAGAGACATCTTTCTTGAAAAAGACGAAACAGAGACGTCAGAGAAATCATTGAGGATGATGATGACCCAACAAGCATGGTGGTATATGGAATGGAAGTAGAATATAGAGTGGCATGATGATGATGGGTTTCTTTTTATTTGTGAAAATATATTTGGCAATGCCATTCCAATATATTTTTAATACAGAAAAATACTGACCTCTGTATCAAGATCTGAGGAAGAAGAAGAAGAAGAAGCGGCAATGGAAGGGGTGGGGGAGCCACTGACCAAAGTGCTGAATGAAACCGACCCAGCAGAGAAATCCCGGCTTCTGATCAACCCAACTCTTGCATTCAGTGGTCGCAATCCCAAAGGCCACCCTTCATCCTACATTCAAAACCATAGGCATTTTCCACTTCACTCAACACAGAGCTTCACACATTATTCTCCATCCAAATGAATGGCTTTCTCAGATTAAAAGCCAAAACAGAAAAAGAAAAGAGAGAAGAGAAGTGCACCTACCTGATGAGCCATTATTCTCTTCTTCCTCCCTAGTATCTAGAAAGCTGGGTGGTTGTCACTTCGCAGAAACAAAACAACTGTCATTTCCAATCCATCAACATGCTCTGTTCTAATTTCTGAAAATAAAGCAAAGATGAATTGATTGAGATATTAATTAAACAAGACAAGAAAACAAATCACAGCGTGACACTTTGACACACATATTGAGAATCTGAGATGGAGATGGAGAAGCAGTGTGAAAGTGACGCCTTACCGTTTAGTGAAAGCATAGACTGGTTTTTGGCAGACAGAAAAGAAGTGAGAGAGAGAGAGAACAATTTTTGTACGAGAGTCAGAGAAAAGGGAACAAAAACACAACACCAAGGGACAGATTAAAAAGAAGATCTCTTTATTTTATTTTATTTTCCAAATGACCATTTTAGCCTCCATCTTTAAGTGTTTCGTCCATTTCATGGCTCTCTTGTTCAGACAGTCTACTGAAAAAAGGTTTTCTTTTCAGCTAGATATTTCTGTTACACATGCATCACAAGCATCATGTTGATTTATAAGATGATTTAGGAGCCTAAAGCTTTTTGCACATCTAATGTTACCCTAAATAGATACAGTATAGACAATCGTAAAGGTAACGCTCGGAATTGATTCATATTGAAGAATTTACATCGATCAGAAGAACTTTTTTATAAATAAAAAAATTAAAAACTAAATACAATGTATTTGAAATGGCTATATGCAATGTAGTATAATGTATTTATTTTTCTATTGAGTAAATCACGGATTTGGATTGTTAGCAAGTTTAGCTAAATAGGAGATTTCAAATCCAAAAGATTTTGGCTAATGTGTGTAGTTTTTGCTTTTTATGGGAGGGAAGCCAATGTTTTATAGATTAAAATGCTTGAACCTAAACTTTAACTCTGCTCAAGAATTAGGAAGTAATAGAAGAAATACATGCATTGTATTTAGTGTTATTATAGATCGATTGGCCTCACAGATTGAGTTGTTATATTAACCATGAGGAGAGAAGAAGATATCAGTGATCAAGGACTCTTTTTTGGTGCAGCATATCAACTGTTTCATCCTGTCTTTTGAGGACGCTTTTTCTTTTTGGTCCACACAAATCAGTCACAAGCTCTGTTCAGTTCAGTCCAGTCCAAGCTGCTGCAGTGTCTTCTACTACATGCCAGTTAAATAAATTATTGTACGCTTCTTTTTCTCATGAAAATTATTTTTTAAAAATATAGTATGAACAGAACTTCTTTTATAATTTTCCAACAGCACCTTACATTCATTCTTTCGTCTGTCTTATGAATATCACAAACATCAGTATACAGTAAAATCTAACTACAGTTGCATGATTTGCATCGGTGCCCGCCGTGGCGGAAGATAGGACCTGAACACTGTTCTTGTCCCTGGATGAGTTTCTAGTTTGAAGGACATTGTGGCCACAACAAATCTCTTAAGAAGATGCACGAATCACTTGGATTCTACTGCTCTCTAAAGCTTTGGTTAAATGGTAAAAGACAACAAGAGCTTCGATAGTAATTCCGAGAATATACCATAAAACTAACTTGTTGACGATGGTTAATGGTGGAATTGGCTTGCACCTGGTCGGTACTCTCCAATTCCTAGCAGGTCCTGCAAATGTGAAGGTACATTTTATTGGGAAAAGTAATAATGGATAATTTCTCTGATTGTTCATTAGCATAAGGAGCAAAGAGAAAAGAACATGGGTTTAAAATCAATTAGGCAAGAGATCCTACCCTTACCCTAAGATAATTTATTCAAATTATCAAGCTTTTTGATGTATGGGGTTAGCAAACAAAGCCTGTGATATAAGCACGTAAACAGATAGCACATGCATGGTTCTGACATTTTAAACTATATTATCTCATACTGATGATGATGGTATGTGTCTTGAACTCTACTCCAAACCCGACAAAAAAATTTGTGTATTTGGTGATCTTCCCAATGAAAGCTCTAGTTTTACCCTCACCATTTATCAATTCAAAACAAAAAGGAAATCATATCCTCACTCTGTGTACACTGTACAGCATTTGCCTTCGATGGAAAGCAAGCTTCAAGAGAATATGAGAACCAATTCTAGGAAAGCAGAAATTAAGTCGCACACTTCGGCAAGGTTGTCAAACTCATAAAGTAGACGCTTGGAGACCAACCTTGTGGGGTTCAGAAAAACTATTAGTTCTGTGTTCTAGACTATAAATCATGGAACTTGGGGATAAAACCAATGACAATCAACAAATTTGGGCAATAGTTAGGTACACTTTAAAGTGATTGGGGTTGATAGCTTTTTCTATCTTGTCCTAAAGTTCAGTCAGATTAACAAGAAAAGACAAAGAATGGAACTTAACTGCTGACATATTCATTTCAATACGATAAGGATCTAAATGTGGTAAGGTGATAGGAGCTACTTCATAGATGAGATGACCATCACGTTAGGCTAAGCTCTACTTGAACAAAGCATACAATGTATAGCAGGACATGTAAATGAAGCAGCCAAAATGTGACAAGGGAATATAGAGAAGAAGGAAGAGACAGTTTTACCTGAGATGCTTTGCTTTTGGCCCTGGTCTCTGCTGTACTCGGAATATCATGATTTGGCTTATTGAATTTCTTCTCACGCCGGTCACACGCGCCCCATCCGTCTGAGAACCTCCCGCCCCTAGTGACAAGGGGAAGGGGGCAAAACAGCAAAACAGCAACCATATTCATAACAGAGTGTGACATATTATTAGAAATTACATTACTATTTTCATGCCTAAGTTCCCAAAATCCAAAATTCATACTGCATATGTGCCCGAACCACAAATTCAGCGCGCAGAACATTCCGGTTCTCATCAAACTCAATGGTCTTGTCTTTGATCTCAAAGGAGAGATTGAAGTAAAATGATATCTTCCTCCAACCTATACAACACACACACGTTACTCACTCCCAGCATTCTACCTCGAAACAAAGAATATCTCCATAACCTTCTTTACCTGACTTTTTGATGAAAGGATGCCCAGAAATCATAGTGTAATCTGTTTTCTCCAAAATCTATCAATTGAGATCGCACAAACATAGCAACTAATTAGGTCAACGGAACTAACTACTGATGTAATATTTCCCAAATTTCTTGACTTAATAATCATATAACAAATTAACAAACTTTAAGAAAGTGAAATTCAATTGAACTGAAAACTCAATCATATAAGAACACTTACCGCCATTGCCGCATTCTGATACTCCTTGAACAAAGAAACTGAAGGGAACCTCCCGGTCAAGCTATGCACAGAGCCAGAGCTATTATCCCCCTCATCTCTCTGGGCATAGCTCACAGGGCTAGCATAATTCCCGATGCCAGGCGACACGCGCGTCTCCGGGGACGAGTAAAACGGTGTCGTAGGCGTGGTCGGCGTCGTTCGCTGTACATTTCGGACTACGACAAGAGGACTGGTGTCGTTTACTCCAGAAGAAGAGGTTCTGGCGATTTTCCTCGGCGGATGGAAAGCCGAGGGGTCCTCGACGACCTCGCCCTCCGTCGACGACGACTTTGAGCCTGAGTCGTTGGAGAAGGGGAGCCGCGGGGTCTTGAAGAGCTTCGGAGGAGGAGAAGGGTAATTTGGGTATTTGATTGCGAGGGGCTTGCAGGATTGGGGCTTGTACTTGGAGGAGGAGTGTGAGGCGGCGGCAGAGTCGATGACTGCCCACAAAGCGGCGTCGTCTAGGTCCTTGTCGTCGACGATGGGGTAGAGGTTGGGCGAGGCCATGGGAGAGTGGAGGAGCTTGGATTTTGATCTGGCGCGCGAGTACCAATAATTCAATTTTGGGGAGGAAGACAAGGCTGGGTTAAGGCCCAACTGCATGGCCCAATTAATACCCTGGTCCACTGCCTTAAGGGAGAAGACCATTGTTGTTTTTGGACCCCACGCCCCGATTTTCTTTTTCTTCTATTAAGAGACCTTATAAACCCACACCCTAAAAAAATAAAAATCAGATCATGGTCTCTCCCACTAATAGAATTGGGATAATTTATTCGTACTTATAAAACTATTCCCCACATTCTAGGTATGCTTGGAGTAAATTTATTTTTATGAGTTTTTGAGTGAACAACTCACATAGCTCATATGCTTCTATACATGCTTTCTATTTAGTGGGTGTTCAAGGTATTTTGCATCCGATTTTGAATCTCTATGTCCGTAAACTCATTTCTCTTCCATTTCATCTCATATACCTATCATAATTTTAATTCATTATCTTATTCTCCCTTACCGCTTGGACTAACCTAAAGACTAAATTTATCATGCTTTCTTTAACTTGCCATCTTCTTAGAAAGATAGAATTAAAAATATGGAGGTGGATAAAAAAAGTAATTAATTCCCATAGAGTTTTAGAGGACTAAAGGAGTACAATTTTTAATTATCATAGCCTTTCCTAATCTTCACTCAAAATATTCATTTTTAAAACGAAAGAGAAAAACAGAGTAGCCGTTTCCATTCTCTACACAAAGTACGCGTGTCGTCACCTTGCATGCGATTCTCTAACAAACTATTTGAAATTTCGAACACTCCAGCGTTTGCGATCCTCACCCTTTGAAACGCCGCGCGGTAATTTGCTCGAAACGCCGAAACGGAGTGCAAGATTCAACATCGCGGTCCCCAAATTCCTCAATCAGATCCAAATCTTCCTTGAGATTCACATCATCCTTGTCCGAATCAGCCAACACCTTCAATTCGTCGATCGGCCACTCAAAATCCTTCACCTCTTTCTCCTGCAACTTCGTCCCTGGAACCTTCTTCGCGCGACTCAGCTTGGAAGAGATCTGAGAGAGCAGGACCGAATCCAAGTAATCTTCGAGCTTCTTCGTCGTCGTTCTCAACTTGAATTGCGAAGAGTCAGGGGCCATGTGGCAGCTTTGAAAATCATCCCTGCAAGAAACTCTGGAGTCAACGGTTGAAATAGAAATTACTGAAGAATTTCGAAGCGGTGTGTGCGTAGAGAGAGAGAGAGAGTGCGTACGGCAATGAGAATGTTGAGGTCGGTGGCGGAGAGATGGAGGTAGAGGAAGGTCGAACGAGGCGTCTCTGAATCTCTTCAACGGTGGCCAGAGGGCTGCAAGTTGAAGTAGTTTTGGCTCTCTTCCTCTCTGCCATGTTTCGCGCGCGATTTGGAGTTCAAAGCAAGTCGAACCACCCTTTGCCTTATATAACCTCGAGCTCAACCGAGGGTCCCACATGCGTGCTTGAACCCACTTTCTGGTTTAATATAACAGAATTGGGGCTTGACAGTTGATTAACCAAAACTAACACCAGAATTCTTGTGATTATTGTTTCTGGCGTTTGAAAATCACAGCCATATACAAGCATTCATTATGTGGAAAAAACATAATTAAGGGTGCATATCGAACACAATTAAATGAATTGTGATTAATTTATACTCTAATAAAGAAGAATGAATTCACAGATCGGGATGAATTTCCCACTATAAAAAATTAGAATAGGTAGTAATTTACAAATTTTTTGAATTTACAACAAAAATAGCATTCTCTTCTTCTTCTTCTTCTCTTTTGCCTGATACAAAAAAAATAATAGGCTTTTACAAGCATATATTACAAGGAAATGGATGGGGCGTGATTTACAAAAACTTCTGATGATGAGCAGCTTTGACCCATTAAAAAAAAAAAAAAAAAAAAAAAAAAAAAAGGGCTCTGACTCCTTGTAGTGTACAATCTATGTATGTATACATCCATGACAGGTGATGTTTGTTTCTAAGATAAAATTTGTCTCCATGTAAAAGATAGAATTGTGAACAACATAAAAACCAATTATTACTATTATGTAGGGCCTCCAAAGATATTGTTCTGCATCTTCCTAGGTAGCCCAAAATTTTGATATGCTCTGATCTCACCTTCTAGAGTGGCTGTGACAATGACCAAGCCCCAAGCTGTTGCTTGCGTTGTTTGGTTCGCATTGCTGTTGTTGCCAATATTGTCAAGCCAGGACCAAGAGGAAGACCAAGAGGACGTGGATGCACTGCCAACAGACATAGAAGAATCACCACCACCATACCTAATAGAGGAAGGGTCTGAATTGAATGACTCTCCAATCCCTGATTCTGTCCGGGAAATTTGAGCAGGATCTTGATCTTCAAGCGGCGGCGGAGTTGCAGGTCTTTGATCCAATGCATCTCCCTTGTTGTTGGTGTTGTTTTTCTTAGGAAGAGGCGGCAGAAGTCTCTTGCTCAAGCCTGCTGCGTCTTCTTGAGTAGGAGATGCATTTCCTGAAGGGGGTTGTTGCTGTTGTTGTTGTGTGGAGCGTTTTGAGTGCCTCTTAGAATGCTGCACAGGAACTGGGGGAGGGTCGCCTTTTATGGTGCCGGGCCATGGGATTGCTACTGAGACATCTTTACACTGGAAATGTTCATGAGAATTTGAACTGATGATACTTTTTTTTCCGGCCCCCGAGGTTCGGGGCTCTTCTCGCTTCCAAACATATACATGAGAATCTTCACTGGCGCATATGACATACTTCCCATTTGGACTGAATGAAGCTCCAATTTGGCTGCTGGTATTTCGGAAACCTGTTTGTAGTCAAATTGCATATAAGGCATTATTGACCAGAAGATATGTAAACAGGAATTGAAAGGTTCTGACGATTGGAGGAGATGCATACCTCTAAACTTGTGAGTCATATTTGTACCATCCACAATTCGAATACGGGAATCGGCGGAGGTGACAAGCATTTCAGATGGATTCATTGGCGAAAACTGTTTTAATGAAAAAGAAGGGCCGAGTAAGAAGCAGTTCAGATGGATTTATCTTCGATTAGAGAGTGGGCTATTACATTACCTGGAAACCTGTAATTTTCTTTGCTTGATTTTTCTTCTTGTTTTGAATATCAATCTGGCTATGCTGACTTAATTTACAATCTGGAATACCAAACAAGATGAGCTTTATCATAGACTGTTTATATGAATAATTTTATAACTAGAGTAAGGTTTTATGCAGGGGTTTATGACCAAAATTATGCAATGTGTATGAAAAATAAACCAGAAGACCAAACTCACACCTTCTGTGCTGTACATGCGACAGTTTCCTTTGTGGGAACCGATGAGGCAAGCCTACATTTATGAAAAGGTAAAAGCAAGATCAGTCCAAATCATTATGAATTTTTCTAAGTTGACTTGACAAGTAAAAGTAAAAGTTTTTTCTTTTCTTCTGAAAACCATAAGCATGTTCAAGAGTTCATAAAACCATAACATTCTGATAAAAGCAATATACAAAGGAGCTGTACCAGGCCATCTGGAGTGAAGGAAGAAGCAGTGACCATTTCATGAAGATCAGTCCAGTCCACGACTTGCCGAACCGGTATATTCCACAATCGAATCTTTGCATCAAGTGAGCCGCTAATAAAATAATTGTCATCCAAAGGATTGAACTGTATGCAAGTCACTGCCAGTCCAGAAACCAAGTCAAAACTCAAGAACCTAATATGCACAACAGCTAAACAAACATTGGCTTATTTATGCATGGATATCTTACCATAATCATTGTGGGCAAACAACTTTAAACAAGTCTTGGTCTCCAAATCCCATAACCTAACAGTTTTGTCCATTGAAGATGAAAGCAGTAGCTGCAAATTTATCAAATTATATCAGCCTGTCTCCTAGTCATACCAAATTAAATTAGCCTTAACTCCTACTTCTATCAAAACTGAATTTATCATAAGGCCAAACTAACAGAGTTGAACTCGAGCTTTAATTTAAGAAACAGAACAATTAACAAAGAACTTACCTGATTTCTGGACCATGACAAGTCCAGAACAGCGTCCAAATGACCTTCAAAAGAGCAAACAGGTTTCTCCGAAAATGAGAACACAGTTTCGGGCACATGTACATACTCCGGGATGGAATTGGTTTTTCTAGCAGAGCTTCCCTTTCCCTTCTTCTTCTTCTCAAAGGGCACAAGTGCAGCCTGATCAGAAATCGACGGAGATCGATCAGGAGTGGAGGAGCCAAACGATTGATGAAGTGGGGTTGAATTTCCATCCAACGACATAATCTCACACTCCTGAACTTCCCACACATGAATAATCCGATCCTCTCCCGCGCTCGCTAGAAACCTCGCGTCCAAACTAAATTTAATAGTCCAAATTGACCCCTCATGAGCCTGAATTTCTTGACACAAATGCAATGCCGATAGCTCCTTGTAATGCTTCCCGGTGTGCCTAACTTTTATCCATTCCGACGAAGACGACGTCGTGTTCTTCCCGGACTTGGGGTCCGGCGGTGTCGGTGGCGGCGTTGGCGTTGGCGTTGGCGTAGCCGCTTCCCTGTCTTTCTCCCCAATTAACACACTCACGGCGGATCCCATCCCTTTTATGCTGTTCTTCAACATCGCAACCCCTCTTCTCTTGCTCATTCTCAGGCTCTTTGAAACAAACGAATTTGCGTTACCTACCTTCCTATCTCCCCCGCCTTCGCTCGAAACGTTTTGTCTTCTCATCACCTCTTTCACCACAGGCGAGTATCCAACGCATTTCTCAAACTCGTCCATGTTCAATTGCTTCCCTGTCTGGAGATCACTGAACCGGTTCCAGCACCCGTCCTGGTCGTACTCGTTGACAATGAACTCAGTTCCTGTATCCAGATTCTTGATCAAGAAGAAAGCCCCTATCCTATTGTTCGAAAACAACGACGACAATCCGCCGCTTGTTCGAACCGGGCGGCTGGCAGCCGGGGTGGCTCCGCCGACTTCGCTCGGAGAAGCTCTCACGGATTCTGTGTACGGACATATTGTCGAGCGAGCCCCGGCTATGGTGGAGCAAGTCCTCGTGAGCCGTTGCTTGGAGATTGTTCCGATTATCTCCTCTTTCCTCTGTTTGTCTACCGAGAAAGCTTCGATGTCGCCCTCGGACCTCGATCGGACAAGCACCAGCGGCAACGTTTCAGTCTCCGGCTCCGGCTCAGGCTCCGGCTCCGGCTGAGCTGTTGATTTTTCTACGTGTTCTTTAGAGCGAGTAACGGACCGGGGGACGGAAACGGCGCAGTTTGGGATTTTGCTCGAAATGAGGCGCTTAATGCTGGTAAACTGTTTGAAGCTGGTGAGGTCTTTGCCGAGTCCGTCGGCCAACCCCATGCCCTGTAACAACCGTTTCCGTCTTTCGGTAATGGAGCCCGGCGCCGCCATCCAGATATTGTAATCCGGCGACATCGGAGCCATGGACGCCGGAGTCATCGCGTCTGCGGTCGGGGAGGGCGGCGTCGTGGAGGGCGGGGTCGTTTGGGGAGTGACGAAGGGGCGAAAATCGAAGTCCCTTCGGACGGAGGAGACGCAGGAGGCGAAGGACATACGACTGTCATCGAAGTCCTCATCTTCGGAGGAGGAGGCCTCGAGGTCGAAAGGAACGGCGGAGGAGACGCGGTCGTTTGACTCGAAGAAGCGGTCGTCGTCTTCGTCGTCCCGGAGGCCGTCCCAGTTCATCGTGAGCGTTTTCTTCCGCTCCATGGTCATGGTGCATCAGGCAAGACGAGCGAGCTTAGCTTAGCTGTTGGGTGAGTTTCAATGGAGGAAAAATGGAAATGGTGGTGGCGATCGTAGAGAGAGAAGAGTTTTGCTATGTTTTGATTGTGTTTGTGTTTTTGCGCGAGAGAACGAAAGGGAGAAAGTGGAAGAGAGAAAAAGGAGGGAGGGTGTCTGGTGGTTAATTACCGTTATTGAGGAAACTGGAAATAGTCAAGAGGAAAGGAACGCTTTATTTTTATAATTAATAATTAATTAGTGGGATGCGTTATTAGTAGTAGTGCATTACATTCCTTCACGTCTTTTGATTCGTTATTAGTTTAGTATGATGATGATAATAATAATTGGATATTATTACAATTTTCCAAATTTCCATTCCATGCATGTCGTGCGGCATCTATGGCCTCGAAGGATTTGCGTTTGCCACTCACTTCTTGCCACGTCACTACTGAATTAGTTATACAGCGTCGCTTCTGAACCGCAGCTTAAGAAGCCCAAACATACCGGGCTCCCTTGAAAATGAAGATGTAAAGGTCCAATCTTTCTCCGGGGAGGTCCTACATGTGTTGAAAAATCATCACTTCTGAATTTTCCCACCACCTATGACTCCTACTATCTTTATGTTATATAACCCAACTTGTTAATTAACATGTCACAACTTATCATCATTTGGTTAAGTGGCACTTAGTCGGGGTTTCATTTGAGGAGTTCCTCCGTTCAAATCATAAACGAAAGTTGTTGAGCAAAACAAATTAGCATGTCACGTATGTAAGTGGATTACATAGAGAAATCTAAGCACTTTTGGAGAGCATAATTCCAACACTGGAGTACTTAGTTAACACCACTTTTTATCAACGTTGAAGAGAGAGTATTCGTCTATCATCGAAAAGAAAAATATTATTAAACTAATAAGAGCTAGCTAGTTGCTTACATACTCCATTCTTAAGAGCTGGACTATCTTGTATTTGCTCATAATCTTGATACATCATACCTTAAAGATTGGTTTGAATGTTGATAATTTGATATAATTAATGTGAGTTGTGACTGATCAGGGTGTGATGATTGGTGAGGATGATTGATTAGTATCCAACGTCAAGATATATATGCTTAATCACAAGATCAACAACTTATAAGGCAAGTGCTGGTGCCACGTTACTACAAATTTAACATGATCACAACACAATCAGATTCAGATGGACACTGAAATTGATTAATTATAAAGCCACAAACTGAAAGAAATCAAATCTATATATCCCGCGTGCCTTCACGGATTTAAAGTTCCCATAATTGTAGAGACTTAAGTTCAGCTTGATTGGTGCACTACAAATCAACCAATGCTTTAAAAATGAGATTGGCAAATCGAGAGGAGTAAAAATGTCGACGACCGTACATAATATATACGAGAATGTTCTTTTTTTAATCTTATATTATATCCCTCTGTCTTCTTCAATTCATCCGTACCAATAATAAAATAAACCAATTCATATAATACTCGATAAATTATGAGAAGATATAAAAAGTATATTCCTTTTTAAAAAAAGAGTACATAAATATATATTTATCAACTACTCATGGCTTTTCATGAGAAAACAATAGTGTAGTAGATCCCACGTCTATTCACTTTATATTCTTTTTTGTATTTTTTACTAAAGTTATAGGAAGGGCACGAGAGTTTTTCTCGACACATATTACTAAGGTGTTATTAACGTTCGAACAAAAGATATATAAATCAATGTCATTTTTCACTGAGCTGCATTCCATTGGTCACTTTTCAACTTTATATTCAATCATTTTTTTTTTTTCTATTTTTGTTTTTTTTTTTTTTTTTTTTTTTTTTTTTTTTTTGTTTTGTGAGGAAGCTCATCATGGAAATGGAGCATGTTTGCCTTTCTTGGAAAGCTAAGCCTGAAAATATTATACAGACCTAATTTAAGAGAGATTCTATCAACAGATGGGCAAGCAATAAGCTATGGATTTGAGGCCTCCCACATATCGCTAGTCCACTTCCCCTTCTCTAAATGAAGGGCTCTTGATAACTAATTAACCCTTAAGAATGTCAAAGTGAGCTTTATACTAACATCTCCCATTTTCCTCATCAAGTAATAATAAGAACCAGAAATATCTGTCCAATTAGTCCATGGTTGGCAACTGTCACTTATTCTTTTGTTTAGTTGAAGGAAGTTTTGAATTCAAATTCTATTAGCAGTTATTGACAAATAAAAGGTTCCAAATAATGATAATAATAATATTAACAAATAAAAAGAGATTTGCCAATATAATTGTGTTAAATATAAGACCACACTGGTGAACACATCACAACATATAGCTGTCTACATATAATCACCTAGCTAACAATTAAGAAAAAACCTTGTTTTATTGGTACTTTATGTCTCATAATAAATACCATATTGTTCTTAAAATAACCCATAAGGAAGGAAAAAAAAACATTTAAAAAATAAACCAAGATATATTAATTTTTTGAAATATAATGTGGTTAACTATAGTGCAAATTGCTCCATGTAAAAAAATGAAAATGAATTATAGTGAATTTGTAATAGTACAACGAATAATAAGTGCACCGGGGTTTGATTCACGTATGAGACAATCTTGAGGCAACCATATAATTGATTTTCAGACCAAAAAGAAAAATAAATAAATAAAATTGATATTGTCCTGTCCATGGCTGTGATTCAGGTGTAACATGAAAGGCGAAAGAAAGAATCTCTTCAAAAAGAAAAGAAAATTAAAAGAATATATTAAACTTTAATTTTTATTAAACGAGAATAACACCTCGAGCACAAAAGAGCATATCTATCTATCTTTCAATGCGTCTCTTTTCTTGGTCGTTCTGTACTTGTTCTTTCATCTTTTCCCAACTTTACAACGTCATCTGAGCTTTAACCAAGATCTCACCCAACAACAAAATTAAAATCTTAATTATGAATTATGGATTAACTTTGTTACCATGAACATGATTAACAAGATTAACAATAATAATGGTACAATTAATCGACTAATTAATCACCGGGTTTCGTCGCGATGAGCTTGTTTGGCCTTTTTGATCTTGGCGCGCAAATCCTGGAGAAGAAAATTTGACGCAAAGAATGCCTCCAGTTCTTTTGTGTCCAGATGATCGAATTGGAATTGGATCCTTCTGCGACTGGTTGACGATGACGTCACCACCTTTCTCTTCCGCAGCGGTTTTCTTGGCGCAGGCGGGCATTTTGTCATCGGCGGGATTCTGTGCTCCAGCGACGTCGGCGTTTTGAACCCGTCGTCATCGTCGTCTACGTCAACCGACTCCGTCGTTCGCCGTTCTTGCTTTGCGGGAGTGTTAATGTGATCCGCGCCGTTCTTGGGTTGTTCTTGTTGTGGGTGATCATGGAGGGCATGATCGTGATCCGAGGGCTGTTCGGGATTTTCCAACGTGGGTTTCTGGGTTTGATCATCGTGATCATGATGGAAACAAGGATCTGAATTGGAGACTTTTAGACCGGAGATCCGGTTGACCAGTTTTGACTCCATGAAAGATGATTGAGATGATGAGGATATGGGAATCAATGATGGGAAGAGAAGGCTGATGATTTAGAGAGGGAATTATAGAGAATTAAACCACATATATATAATGATCAAATTCACCTTCTTTTCCTAATCCTAATGGGTTTGGGATTTCTTGGAGCTTATTTGGAGAGAAAAAAAGGAAGGAGAGAGAGAGAGAGAGAGAGGCATTGGATCCTACACCAAGAGGATTTCAAAGAAAGAAAGGGAAGCCTCCACTAAAACCGATTGAAACTCTCTCTCTCTCTTTAGCTGATTTGGTACAACATAACATGTTTGTTTGAGCACACTACGCTCTTCTTTTCTCTGATCTCTTACGAACTTTTTATGCATCTACCCACGTGGCTTGTTACATGGGGACCACATATATATGTAATGTCATCTATCTTCTCGTGATATTATCAAGGTGCTTTGTTTATCTAGCAAGCAAAGCACCCAAAACAAAATCGGAGTTTCTATTCCCTCTTTCTTGGTTTCTAAAGTTTGTTCTAGTTTTGATGTGATTTTAATAGCTCTTTCTTGGTTTCTAAAGTTTGTTATAATTTTTATGTGATTTTAATAGTACGAGGCCAGCTATTAACTTTAGGGTTCAAGTTTAAGTTTGACAGGATTTCAAGTCTAATAAATTTCGAGTTTAAGTTATACAAAATCTAAAATATTCGAATTTTAGGTTTCCATCTTGATGTTCATATATCACCTTCAATGTAAGACCCCCGAAAATATGAGTTCTTTGTGTGCAAATTAAGGCATATATTGAGCCCTTGAAGCCGCTTGCATTTTTCTCCCACACAATTTGAGGGTAGTTGGAACCACCCACTTACAAAGTGGGTAATAATTAATAAACTTTACCAAATCGACTCTACCCCTATCATACATACTATATAGTTCTACACTATTTCTACCACCTTCATTTATAATGCGACCACCAACATGATGGAATTTCTACTCAATATCACCATTATGTTTATATACATATATGATCTAACTGCTCTTATTAATTCATACATTATGGGCACCAGGGCACATTTACCAATATGGTTTGCCTCATGACCAAGTTTGGAAATGTAGAAGTATATATTGACTCTTGAGTCTTAATTAACATACTTGCAGCATGAGTAAATTTTTCGGTGTGACGGTGATACGATTATGCAGTGTTATTAATTTACTAGTATTATGACACGTGTATTAAGTTTATGATATATTCACTATATAATCTAAAAACCTAATAATGTGTGTGACGATGACACTTAGAATTTCCCCATGGTATGGGTCTATGCTCAAATTTACCAATTCTGCATGCAGCACCAGAAACCACAAGCAACCTAGTTGGTGAATAACTTGTGTGAAAGATTCACTGGCTGAATGAATAAATAAATAGGGGAGTGGGTCACCTCCAAATCAACCTAACCGAATAAATCTCAACTAATTAAGTCCTTTGACTTAATGACCAATATTTAATTACTTTAATAGAAAGCTAAGAATTTGGTTATTCTTATTAATCACCCCTCAGCTAAAAGGATGCTGTTTGTCAATACGCCCTGGTGCTTTGTAGCTTAGGATTCTCCCAACTCATGAAAATAGAGGGGGTTAGGATTTGGTAACCTTCCAAATCCAGAGCCGTTCGTTCTGTTGACGATAAGTTACAATGAAGATTTCGTCCACGATATGATGAATTAACGAGAAAAACGAAAATCGCGGGTTGAGTGTAAAGCGGGGACCGGGTCCGTTGGAGTGCATGGTTTTCATCATCAAATAGTTTGTGGCTTTTGGAATTGAAATTCCACTCCACGTTCTTTTGGTAACGTGAAGATAACAATCCAATGATTTGGCCTCAAATTTAAAACTTAGTTAAAATATCATTTCCGCTTGCCAATGGAGCATTTATTTGGAGACTAGTAATCTCAGGTAGGTTTGAGCACTTTGAAAGTACATGTATGAGAAATCACATTTCCCATTATATTTTAGAATATCATTTATATATATATATTATTATTATTATTTCCGCCCTCTTGCATTATTTGAGAGTATATATAGATGGTTGAGATTGTTATAATACAATGAAAAACTTTAACAAAAGGTGTGGTGCGGTTGGCAAATTGCCACCTCCAGCTGACGAGCTATTTAGTGCTTCAATAATATGGATTCAAAACCAGTTAAAAGCACTTTGTGGTTAGGAGCAAACCGAACCCCAAGCGAAGATTAATCCCACACTTCGTAGTATTTACCGAAAAAAAAAGACTTTTACGTCACATGGTAGAGCACTTTACGTCTACACCTATGACAAAAATTGGGTTGAAAAATAAGAAGCAAGGTGAAATGCTTCCATCGAAAGTGTAGCAAATTCAAGTATTTGATCAATTAATTCTCTTGAGGCATGAGAATCATAAGTGTCATTAGCACTTTTGGAATTAATTAAGCAAATGTTAGAGAACATGTAAGAATAAATATCATTTTGCTTAGTCGTAATTAATAATAGAGTAAGGTACAAAACAAAAATATAAAGAAAGAGTGTTACACAGGACACAAAACTCGCGTGGGGAATATTGTAAAGGGTTTTGCATCTGCTTCATGATTTTGCCCCCATTGCCAACCATCATGTCTCATGTCACACAATCCATCTCCTCCTCCAAATTCAACACCGGCCTTCTCCCAACCACAAGAATCTTCATTGGACTTCGCTTCATTATTAATATAAATAAATATTCCCTATTAACAAGGCTGCCAATCAGAACCATACCCAGAATATTCCTCCCAAGCTATAACACCCAATTTTTCTTGTTTCTATTGTTTGTTCTATGCTCTATTTTTCCCTTCTCAGATCAGCTAATTAAAGAGTTGTGTTCGCTACGACTGCTCGCACTTGGGAAGCTATAATATCACTAACATCAATTTACATCAACAGCTGTCAATCACTTACTTAAATCGACTAATGTAGTATTATTAACAACACTACAATTCCGAAGTCATCAAACAATTCTCTAGATTAGGTTGGATACATAAAGATTTGAAGAAAGAGTGCGTGTATTGACCCTCTTTATTATATGTAATTATCAATTAATCATGATCCTCACTACTTATCAACAACCCCATGAAAGTCTTGTAGCCAGCTCTCCTTGCCATTTGCCTATTTTGTCAACCATATAAATATGAAGCATGCACGTGCCTATGTGTCCTATGGAGATTTGGGACCATAGCTACACACTAGTACACTACACCCCAAATCGATACATGATTCGCCAACTTTTGGAAGGTGCCTTGTTCTGCAGCGTGCAAAAGAAAACTTTATATTTTTAGAGTGGAAAGGCCGTTGCCCATTGCCCACTACTATTATGTTTTGTGTCGCTTGTTCAGTGAAGTCTACCGTCTATGTCAGGGATGGGATCTAAGCCAGCCCAACACAACTTTCGTAATGATGATTTTATGTACCTGAATCGATAGCTAGAGCAAAACCTTCTCTGCTAGATGAAGTTATCTTCAAGTATTTTAAATTAGCAGTACTTATAAGTTATATGAACAAATTGAGGTTCAACGAGGAGCTTCTTAATTAATTTTATTTTGAGGGACATCGTTGTGGATTTATTATTTGTATTATCGGCCCAAAATGAGGTTCATTCCAGCTGAAGTCTCCGGCCCAAATTATCTATTTTGCCATTTTAGCTTTGGCACAATGTTTATTGTATGTGATTATAACATCATGTGATATACTGAATTGTTATTATAACTCCGCTAGACATTGATAAATTATTCCTTAATTATATACTAGTTCCTTGGCACACGCTCATGTGTGTACCAATTGGTATTTTTTATTATTATAAAATTTTATTTTATTTTAGAATTAAAAAACCTAATGGGTAGTTTTGTACTATAAAAAATAGGACATATTATATGATTTTGTTTTTAATATGAAAAAGTATGAATTTACTATATTATTTTCATTTAACTAATAATTTCAAATTTTAATATTTGCATTAACCAAGGGCATTTTCTAGTATTTTGAATATTTCACAATTCTCTGTCTTTTGTTTTATAGATACTAGCCGTTCTGCATGTGCTTCCGCTCTCGGGAGAGGTTTTTTAATTTAAATTTTTTAAATTTATTTTAGAATTAAAAAGGATAATGGGTGGTTTTGTTTCATAAAAATAGGATTCATCATCGGATTTTTCTTTTAATTTTAATTTTTTTAAATATGAAAAAGTGTGAATTTACCATATTATCCTTATTTAATTAATAATTTCAATTCTTAATATTTACATTAACCAAAGGACTTTTTTTAGTATTTTGAATGTTTTACTATTCTCTACTTTTTGATATATATATATATATATGGGTACTTTTTGATATATATATATATATGGGTACTTCTGCATAAAGATTAGGGGTAAAATAGTCACTTTAAGCGGGAAGAATAGAGGCCGAAGGACACCAACGGATTTGCTAAAGGACAACTGGATCCACTAGAGAGTAGAGGCCCAGAAAAAAGTGACGCGTCGCGTGGACCGTAGATCCAGTATTCATGCAAAGGACGAATGGTGGGGATTAGAGCGAGACCGAATTGCACTGCATTTAAGGCGCATTTCATTTCGGGCCGAGTTCCATTTTCATTTCATCCGCAATTTGGCATCCCATTTTTTTTGCTCGCTTGGTTTTTCGTGTCCGTTTTTGTTTTTGTTTCCATTTTGAACCAACACCAAGGCCCTCAAGGCGGGCAGCTCATCCGAACCTCAAAGGAAAACGAATATTCTAGGGTTTCACAAAGGTGAATCTCTCTCCATTTCGATCCGATTATAATCGCACAATGTGCTCAGAATTTCCATGGTTTTGTTAGATTTTGGGTTTTCTCTGTTCGGATTTTGTTGTGTGGTGGATGATTTTTGCTACATTTGGTTTGCATTGTAATATTTGATCGGTCTGTGAGACTGTTGTTCGTTGTTACAAAATTCAGTGTAATTTTTTTCGTTTTATTTATGGTAGATTTGTCCCTTGATCTGTTTGTTTGCAGGCGATGATGGATTTGCATTGCTGATTATCTTTTTTTTCTTTTACAGAAATTAAAAAAAAATCCATTTTCTTGTTTATGTCCATTTTCTTTTTGATTTCTCTTCGGGAATTCAAATTTTCTTGTATGGGCACCAATGCTGATCGATGTTGATTCATGTGCATGAGACAAGTGATCATTCCATTGATATGTGATGTATGATTGTTTAAACCTGTGCAACTTGGCTAATTTTTATTTTTTGGGTTGTTTCATACAATGCTGGTTATTTGCTTGCAGGAAATAGAAGATGGCGGACGCCGAGGACATTCAGCCTCTTGTCTGTGATAATGGGACAGGAATGGTGAAGGTATGCAAAACAGAATTCAGTCACTGTCCATGGCGATGTGTGATAATCTATCTTTCTGAATGTTTTAGCTGGTATAGCTCTTAGATGCTAAAAAGTGGACTTAGTCTGATAAAAAAATGTTGTTGTGTAGGCTGGATTTGCTGGAGATGATGCTCCAAGAGCTGTTTTTCCTAGCATTGTTGGCCGCCCACGTCACACTGGCGTTATGGTTGGCATGGGCCAGAAAGATGCGTATGTTGGGGATGAGGCTCAGTCCAAGCGTGGTATCTTAACTCTGAAATACCCCATTGAGCATGGAATTGTGAGCAACTGGGATGACATGGAGAAGATTTGGCATCATACCTTCTACAATGAACTTCGTGTTGCTCCTGAAGAGCACCCAATTCTCCTCACTGAAGCACCTCTCAACCCTAAGGCAAACCGTGAGAAAATGACCCAGATCATGTTTGAGACCTTCAATGCTCCAGCTATGTATGTAGCCATCCAGGCTGTTCTGTCTCTCTATGCCAGCGGTCGTACTACTGGTAAGCTATTCAATCAGCTTATATAGTGACCACTTTTCCTTTCCATTAAAAGAATTTTCGTAACTGAATTAAGACTAGAAATTTAGAACTACACTTGTAATAGCTGGGGACTAACTATCAGAGGCACCGTTTCTGGTTGAGATGGTTATTGAAATTGTTATACTTGGCATAAATTCGGTTGACAAATAAGCATTGTGAAGGTTCAGTCTAAAATTCTCAAAAAGGTTTGGTGGCAGGTAAAACATCCCACTGAATGGGGTCACCAGTAGATAAGATAGGCATGTGCAGTTTATTTGGAAGATATTATAAATGATTTTGGAAACTCAGTATAAAATTATCTATGAGAATGATTTTGGGTAAAAAGTCACTTTGGATTTGCTTAGATCAGCAAGTAAATTACCACAGGTGAAATTATGAATGTCGTAGGTTTGACATTTTGAATAAAATTCTAACTTGCTAATGCTGAAGCTATATCCATGATGATTTTTAAACAAGGATTCATGTTTTCGTATGTGCTTGTGTGCAGGTATTGTTCTTGACTCTGGAGATGGTGTCAGCCACACAGTCCCCATTTATGAGGGGTATGCTCTTCCACACGCCATCTTGCGGCTTGACCTTGCAGGTCGTGACCTGACTGATGCCCTGATGAAAATCTTGACCGAGCGTGGCTATTCATTCACCACCACAGCTGAACGGGAAATTGTGAGGGACATGAAGGAAAAGTTGTCTTACATTGCTCTTGACTATGAACAAGAATTGGAAACTGCTAAAACCAGCTCTTCTGTTGAGAAGAGCTATGAGTTACCTGATGGTCAGGTGATCACCATCGGGGCTGAGCGTTTCCGATGCCCAGAGGTCCTCTTCCAACCATCCATGATTGGAATGGAGGCTGCTGGTATTCACGAGACCACATACAATTCCATAATGAAATGCGATGTTGATATTAGGAAGGATTTGTACGGGAACATTGTTCTTAGTGGTGGTTCCACCATGTTCCCTGGAATTGCTGATAGAATGAGCAAGGAAATTACTGCATTAGCACCCAGCAGCATGAAGATCAAGGTTGTTGCCCCACCAGAAAGAAAGTACAGCGTCTGGATCGGAGGCTCTATCCTAGCTTCCCTCAGTACCTTCCAGCAGGTTGGTTTCGTAATATACGTACTTAGTTTCCTTGTACAAACTACCCCTAAAGAGATTGTTGTTAATAATCCGATTTCATTTGAGTGCAGATGTGGATTGCCAAAGCCGAGTATGATGAATCTGGCCCATCAATTGTGCACAGGAAATGCTTCTGATTACAATCAAGGATAGGCAGACTCAAGTATCACTATTTGGAAAGAAAATGCTACTTGCATTCTTGTTATCTGGTTTTGTTGTCCAATTTTTATTTGCTTTCTATTATTTTACTGGCCGGAACTATAACGTTGTAGGTTTATCGCTGGATAATTTGTAATGTTTCCTAAGATGTTTTTTATATTCTCAGTGGTCGTTGACTAATCCCTCTGCAAGCTTCGTGGTAGCATGTTTAATCTGTTCCGGGAAACTTTTTGTTCTGTAATTTTCTTTTTCGGTTACTTATATGCTTTGGCATTTGAATCAATGGGTGGTTTCTTTGACATGAAATTGTGCAGTTTAATATCTAAAAAATTGGCAAAAATGATATGATTACGCCAAATTGGACCATCAAGTCTCAACCCTAAATATGTACATTTTATTTTCATCATTTTTGTATATTGATATCAACAATATTTTCGTAGTTTTTTTTTAAAATTCGAAAGCAACTTTTCGTTGCCATGTTTCTAAAAACTAAAATGCAATCCAATAATAATATACTGAAAATACAAAATTCATTTCCCAATTGCATTTTAGTTTTTGTTACAAGCGTTGCTACACAAAATGGGATATCTAAAAATTTATCAAATAATGTAACCGCATGTGATTTATTCACTTATTTCTAATAAGAAAAGCAAATCAACCAAAATGGGATATCTAAAAATTTTCATTACAACCAACGAAAAATAAAACTTTTTCTCTTCAAGAAAAAATAAGCCCAAAATTTAGGGATTTTGCAGAGAGGGAAATTGGAATTGGAATCAGGAGTCATAACCGGATTTGGAGGGACGATTTGGTTCAGACAATCAGCTAAAAGAAATTCGGAGCTCAAAATCCCTAGTCTCAGCTGAAACCTCAGCTCGTGATGTTGGCGCGCAATTTCCATTGCCGAATCCGTAGAAGCAAACAGAGCCTTGGTATTTGACTCTGCAATTACAGAGAAAAATGGGTAGGATAGCTGTGGCAGCGATTGTGAGCTTGTGGGTAGTTCCCATTTCCGTCCTTATGAATCACATTGTTCCCGAGCCTTACATGGTAAGCCCAACCCACCAAAGACCGCAACTTTCATTGGTTCGATGTGACTGCTATCTATTTTAGATTCTTGGGTTTGTGTAAATTTTTGTTTTTGACAAGTTCATGCTCTTATGATCTGTAGGATGAGATTTTCCATGTGCCTCAGGCTCAACAGTACTGCAAAGGCAATTTTAGGAGCTGGGATCCCATGATCACCACTCCTCCTGGCCTGTATGTTCTCTAGGAATTCTTAATTCTACTTTTGTTGTTACTTTGTATTGAATTTTGTATGCAACCAGCCGATTTCTTTTTGGGCAGTAAAGGTTCTTACTTACTTTTAGCAAATTTGTTGGCTTTGCTATGTTTTGATGGAGAAACTTAAGGATCATGTTGTATTAGCAAAGAACTTAGTATATGCTATTTAAAACTTTTGCAGGTACTATCTTTCACTGGCCCATGTTGCTTATTTGTTTCCAGGCATGTCCTTCATAAAAGCAGCCACATCATTTTCTGAAGTCTGCTCCACATCGATTCTTCGCTCCTTCAATGGTGTTTTGGCGTTTCTTTGCAGTGTTCTAGCATATGAGATAATCGCCCACTTGAGACCAGCTCTTGATGAAGGAAAAGCAACACTTTATGCAGTGGTCCTGGCCCTGTTTCCTCTCCATTGGTTCTTCACTTTTCTCTATTATACAGATGTTGCATCACTTGGTGCAGTGCTTGCTATGTATCTTGCGTGTTTGAAGAAGAAGTACTGGTTTAGTGCATTGGTAAAGGCTCAAGTCTCTTCCATAAGTCATTTTATAATTTTTGAACGTAAGGATGTGATTCTGATGTAAATACACACTTGTACAGACATATACCTATATGTTTGTCCATTCAAGTGGTAACTTAGTTTGATGTTGTTAATGCAGCTTGGTGTCATGGCAGTTGTTATTCGGCAAACAAATATTGTATGGATGCTTTTTGTTTGCTGCTGCGAGGTTATAAATATTACTTTGGGTGGTCAAAGAGATAAAATAGATGTAGACGACACTGACTTCTCAACTAGGAAAAATGTTGAACTAACTCCTGCAAACAGTATTACATTAGGCTCAAACCTGAGAAAGCGGAAGCTTAGAAGTTCAGTGGATAACGGAATACTTTTAATGTCAACTAGAAGTGTTTCTTCTCAAAAGTTAACGTCAGGTTTGTCTTCACATAGCTTTCCAAGTTGATTGGTCATGTCCTTCGTGGGATATTTTTTGTTCTTAAGGCTTATAACACATCTTGGTGGCATTGTTTTGCAGGTTTTCTTGATGAAATTAAGGCCATCTTTCTAAGATTATGGCAAATGAAGTTGGAAGCTTTGGTTTCTTTCAGCCCTTTTATTCTAGTATTAGCAGCCTTTATTGCTTTTGTTCGTTGGAATGGGAGTGTAGTTCTAGGTATGACTCATCGTTTTCTTTTCTTGTTTTTCTTTTTGCTTTCACATGTTGTGGCATATAAAGTGGCCTTTATTACTGTTGTCTCTTATTGTGTCCAAATGTTGTAGGTGCGAAAGAAGCTCATGCTGTTTCTCCGCATTTTGCACAGATCATGTATTTTGGTCTGTTTTCTGCTCTTATGGCTCCCATGCACTGTAGTTTGAGTCAAGCTGTAGATTTATTCCGGTCAATGTGGAGGAATAAGTTTCTTACTTTGTTTCAACTGTCTTTAGCACTGGGTGCTGGGTTCATCTCTATTCATTTTTTCAGGTTAGCCCTATTAAACTTTTTTAGCTTAATGTTTTTAGAAGAATAGTCGCACTGAATTTGTTGAAGAGGAAATTTTTTTCACAGATTTTGTTACTACTAGCCATTCTTTGGCCTGCTGGCATGCCCTCATATGGACTTCTTAAATAATGTTTGAGAAAGCAATTTTCGTCTGTTTCTTTTCTGGCTTTTTTCGGCTATGAAATTATACATTTTCTCCAATTTCAAGAATGATGAACGTTTCCTTTGCTGTTTTCACATCCAGTGCATTATGAATAATCATTTAAAAGTTTTATGTCACAATTTTATAACGTAGTTCGTCGACTCTTGCAGCATAGTGCATCCCTATCTTCTCGCTGATAATCGGCATTATCCCTTTTATCTTTGGCGGAAGGTTATCAAAGCTCACTGGTCAATGAATTACCTACTAATCCCACTATATGTTTATTCATGGCTTTCCATCATCACTAGATTGGGTTGGTAAACAGATCTCTTAGCCATTATATCTGATCAAGCTTCCTTATCTCTCTTCACTAAATACTTGTTTTTATTTCACTATGGCAGGGAAGTTTCAGAGGAAGATCTGGGTGCTGGCATTTTTCTTGGCAACTGCTGCAGTTTTGGTTCCAGCGCCACTAATCGAGTTCAGATATTATACCATTCCCTTCTTTTTCTTGATGCTACATTCGCATACCGACGATTATCAAAGTTTGCTCTTCACGGGATTTCTGTATATAACCATCAACATATTCACCATGATGATGTTCTTGTATCGTCCATTCCATTGGTCCCATGAGCCAGGGACCCAGAGGTTTATATGGTAGCTTGATTCACAAGGGATGCTAAAAGCATCTCCAACAATTAGCCGTATGAATTTTTGTTTTCTTGGTGTTCATTGTAATGAAAATTTGTTGTAGCTTTGTACAAGTTGAATTCATTTATAAAGAAATGAAATGATAATGTTTTGGTTTTCTTTACCTGCATGAATTTCTGAATCTTATTTTATCATTGTGCCATCTCTAATTAATCCAAAAAATCTGGGTTTTATGCTCAATGGTTTTAAATATTCCAAAACCCAATTTGATGGTAAATTTGAAATTGATTTTCGATTCAAGGGGCTTGTACTTGCACTTGAGGTGTTAGGTTGGATTCAAGCGGCTTTGGTCCTTGTATGAAAAAAGAAAAAGAAAAAGATTTTCGATTGAAAATGAGGGTGTTATGTGTTTGGTTGACAGTGGTCAACAGTGATCCTCCGTAGTTTACGAGGCACACGAGTTGCAAGGTCACAAGTTATAAGCCATGGAAGTCGGAGGTTGCTTGAATTACAAGCCATGGAACTCGGCTCTGTCTCGCACCTCGAACCTCAAACACTCATGAGCCATGGCGGTGGAGAATTTGGCTTCAAATTCAATGGAGAATATTTCTTGGCTTCAAGGCCTGCTATGGTGGAGAAACTGGGGCAAAAGAGACTGGGCAATATCAGCCATCGGATTTGCCGTCTTTGTCTTCGCTCTCTCTTTCGTCTCCTACTCTTGGAACTCTGATCCAGACTCCAACCTCAGCTCCTCATTCCATCGAATCACCGCCACCGATTTGGTCGACTTGACCTTGTTGCACAACGCCACACGTAGAGGCGCAGGTACTCAATCTTAACCCTGCTAGCCAAATTTCAAAATTTCTTGTGTCTTCAGCTCCTAATTCAATTCTCTTCTTGTTTAAATTTAAATTTATCGTTTTGCAGTTTGCTTAGATGGGAGTTTGCCTGGCTACCATTTTCAAAAGGGCTTTGGTTCTGGCGCCAATAGTTGGGTGCTTTACATTGAGGTCCTAACAACTCAAATCTTATGTTTTTCTTTTTCTTTCATTCCATATACTTTTTCTATTAGAGATGTTGATTAAGAAAGCAAAAATGGGTAATGGGTTTGGGTTGAAAATTGAAATGCAGGGTGGAGGTTGGTGCAATACAATAGAATCGTGTTTTTGGCGTAGAGAGATCCATTTAGGGTCTTCCAAACATATGGGACATCGAGTCCACTTTACTGGGATTTTAAGCCCTCACCAAGCACAAAATCCTGGTACTTCAATTTGACACACCTGTTTTGTTGTTGTACCATCACCATAACGCTTAAGTTTGTAGCTTTTAACCAGCTAATTGATGTGATTCAATTCCATTTTTGGAGCATGCTCTAGAATTCTTTAACTGGAACAGAGTCAAAGTGCAGTATTGTGATGGTGCATCTTTAGCCGGCCACCCGGATAATGAGTTGAGGGTAAGTTTTTATTTAGATATTTTAACCAGTTGTAATTTTAATAATGGAAGTTTTTGCTTTTGTTTTTCAAGTAATTAACATTGTGTGTTCTTCAATGGCATAGAATGGAACACGCCTTTTCTTTAGGGGTCAGCTCATCTGGGAAGCACTTATGGATAAGTTCTTCTCACTTGGCCTGTCGAAAGCGAAACAGGTATCTCTGTGGTTACTTGGATTAAGCTCTAATTGTTCTATACATGTACAGTACATGGTTAGATGATTACGATTCTCACTCTAATTCAGAGAGCTAATTTCATTCATGTTTTAATGATATAATTTGTTGATTGATTCTCATTCGCATAAATTCACTTTCCTGTCCAAAATAGGTCTGTTTCTGCTAATATGTATGAGTGACAATCTTACAGGCCCTTCTTGCGGGATGCTCCGCCGGTGGATTGGCGGCTCTTATACATTGTGATGAATTTCGTGGTCTTCTGCCTAAGAATGTAACTGTCAAATGTCTTGCTGATGCAGGTTTTTTTCTTGATGAGTATGTTTTATGTGTACCAGTGCGTTCTGCACCAACATCTTTTAGCTAATCTGTTCAGTATGAAGTCTTTCTAGAATCATGTTTTCTTATGTGAACTCTTCGTAGGATCATACTTTCTTGCTTCACTTATATCTCCTAAATATAAAATTTCATGTGATAATGTGCAGTTTCGTGATCCTACTATTTCTAGTTCATACATCAGGAATTGAAAGCCTATCATAATTAAACACCTACGTACCAATCCATTTTCTAGAAACTTTGAAATTTTTCGTATCAAGCTACACCAGGAATGTTGAATTTCTTGCATGCTTTTACTAACTGCTTGTATGTGCATAATGCTTTATTATTATTATTATTATTATTATTATTATTATTATTATGATGATTATTATTTTCAATGCATCCTCTGTGCTCCGAATAGTGATCACACAGAGAAAAGAAATATTTTTTAGCAACTTTCTGTTTCCTGCATTTCAGGAAAGATGTTATCGAAAATCCCACCATGAGATATTTCTTTCACGATGTTTTCATCCTTCATGTAATGCTCTGATCTTTACTGATACTATCTTATGTAATCTTTAGCTAGGTGATACTTACCCTTGTTTTCTCTGTACAAATTTGATTACTAACAATGGTGATACTGTTGGGTTCTCGGGATCTCGGGTTTGACAGATGGTGTGAATATGGGGTGTACACACTAGTCAATATAAAATTGAATCTTTAATGCGTCTGCTAATGCTTATTTTAGTATCTAAAACTTCATACATGAGACAGGGTTACATCCATTTTGATTTTGTAACCATTATACAGTGCTTTCATTGACACTAAGGTCTAGCTGAAAGCTACAGGTTTAACACAAGAGTCATTATTGATATCTCTTGCTTATTTTTCTGGTCAGGGTTTAAGAAAAAGTTTACACAAGGATTGTATTGCAAGAAAGGAACCAGCTGAGGTAGGTTTTCTTTAACTCTTACACAGTATCTCCATCAAATTTGAGATGTTCTTAATTCTTCTGCTCAGTTGTTGATTCATAACACAAAGCCCCTATTATCTGTTGTGATTTTTCGCAGTGTCTATTTCCTGAAAAAATTATTAAAAACATTGCCACCCCAGTGTTCCTCCTCCACTCAGCTTATGATTTTTGGCAGGTAAGTTTCCTCAGAACCCAAGTTTCATTTGCACGTCACCAGAATTTGATTTCACATTCATTGTTTTTATTTTTCGTAATTGGATGATCATTAGATACAAAATATCTTGATACCTGAAGGATCAGATCCGTATCACTACTGGCAAAAGTGCAGACTGGAAATTCATAATTGCAATGCTACCCAGGTTGAAATACTGCAAGGTAATTGGGTTCTTATGACACAATATGTATTGCCTGACAGTTCAGTAAATGACTTACAGCTAAAATTGGCCTGAGTCTATGTAGCAAGGGATTATATGGCCCACTCTTCAAGGAATACTATCTCAATGGTTTTATAATTGTTAGCTAAAGTACATTGCTGATTGCCACCCGCCATTTGTAGACTTATGTGGACTATAAACCAGCATATTTCCATCCAGCCCGCAAGATGTAATCAGCAGGAAGTTTATGGTCTTATTATGTTAAATTTAAACTAGAATTCTTAGGGTCACTGAACCAGAGAAAATTTTGGTGAATATAACCCGGTTATAGAGAATTTGGACCATAAACCAGCATTTTAAACAGCTTCCAGTTGCATCAGGGGGCACTACTGGGGTCTTCTTTTTAGGTTTTTTTTTAGCAAGGAAATATCTCGGGACTGATTGGTATTCCCAAACCTGTAGCACACATGTTTTTTGCGCGTACAATGGTCTACCATTGGTTCATCTTATGTGTACTTGTATTAACTGGTTTGAGACCTCGTCATTTGGAAAATAAGATTCATGCATTGGACCCTAAGTTTACTTGTAAACATAATATTGTGGCAAATTACCTAGGCAACTTTTTTTTCGTACAGGTTACCGCAGATCTCTTTTGAAGGCGCTAAAAGAATTCCAGAAAAATAAGGAAGGAGGAATGTTTATAAGTTCATGCTTTATTCATTGCCAGGCATGGATGACTGAGACATGGCATGCTCCCACTTCTCCACGAATAAACAATAAGGTGAGGAGTTTCTTATCATCGTATTTGAATGCTGAGATAAGATAAGGCTTTCTTGTTAACTAGAATATTATTTCAGAAAGTATTTCATCCCTGCAGTACGTTTCTATGTGATTTGTAGAGGGAGAGAGCCTCAGTCATCTCTCTCCCCTCTCCCCAACCCCTGCCCCCTACGTGGGCATCCTTGTGCTAAATCATGTTATACAATCTATGTGTTTGTCATGTGATTTTACCTACTAAAGCTGAAGTGCTGTAAGCCCAGCATCATGGCATCAAATGTGTTTAATTAATTAATTTATCAGCTTTCTGTCAATTTCTTAACTAAACTCGATATCTAACTGTTTGTCTTTGTTGTTACTGATAGACAATTGCAGAGTCCGTTGGCGATTGGTACTTTAATCGAAATGCATCAAAGAAAATTGACTGCCCGTTTCTATGCAATCCTACCTGCTATCATGTAAATTTCACACATGGTTGATTGAACTCAAGAACACAAGTTTTTAGCGGGTTATTCCCAACAGTAGATCCTTACTTCCTCAGTATCCCCTGGTGGAAATACTCTCCTTCTTGTCCAGTGCATGATCCTATTTTTGTAGATATCGAGAATGAAGGTGTTTTCAGAATAAAACAGTTTATATTGTTGTCACTTCTTCACATATAGGAGATAGTCATTGTTAAATTTTGTATATTACATTGCAGAGTACAAATTAACCAAATGAAAGGCCTTTGCTTGCAATGTAGCGATCATTTTGAAACAGCTCAATGCTCAAGGATGTGTGTGTGCTAATTGCTATGATTATCTTCTGTACACCTTACTTAACAGAAACCAATTGTAAATACTGCACCTCCTAATTATAAACCCAATTTAGTGCTTGAAACTTGTAAATCATATATAATTGTAGATACGTGATTTCTAGATCTCTGCTCTCACCACTCTACAGATCTCATGTCACTTGAGTTGAGGCTTATGAGCCATATATTTTCGATCACAGTATATCATACATGTTACATGTAGATAGTTGTAGATACCAAGCCATAACATTTTCGTCTATAAAAATAATGCTAACTTGTGAAACAGGAAGCATGCAATGATTTTCATGCTGCCAGGGTTTAGCAAAGAGTTTGCACAAGGATTGTGCTACGAGAATGGAACCTTCTAAGGTAGGTGCTCTTGTCCTATTATGTATAGGGTACCACTGAGCAAATTTGATAGGTTTCTTCTTATTTCCTATTGTTTGTTGTGAACTTTTACGACAGTGTCTCTTTCCTGAGGAAATCATTAAAAACATTAACACCCCAGTGTTCCTAGTCAACCCCGCCTACGATTTTTGGCAGGTAATTTTCCTCAGAGCTTCATTTGCTTGATTGATTTCACATTCCTTCTATCATTTCCTTATTGGATATCATTAGATACAACATGTTTTGATACCTGAATCATCAGATCCACATGGCTATTGGAAAAGGTGCAAATTGAACATTTTCAATTGCAATCCTAGCCAGGTTGAAATACCACAAAGTAATTGGATATGTATCTTGTGACCCAATATGTATTGCCTGACAGTCTAGGAAAATCACATGCACCTAATGCTGGTTTGAGTCTATATATATTTTTAAGACCATAAACCAGCGTTTTTGCAGCCTGCAAGTTGTGATCAGCAGGAAGTTTGGGTCTTCTCATCATGTCACATTTAAACTACTCCATAAAGTTGTTACTCTTAAGATAGGATTCTTAAGGAAATTGTTCTATGAAACATCTCACTGGAACAATCTGGTCATAGATTTTGTGGACCATTACAGTTGCAAGTTGGAAACAGTGGGCATTGCTAATGTAATCTTATGAGGTCATCTTTTAGCAAGGAAATATCTTGTGGGGCTTATTGGCGTTTCCGAACCCATGTAGCATACATGTATTTTCGACAGACAAAAATTATATCATCGGTTCATCTTACATGTACTTTTAGCTTCACTGGCTTGAGGCTTCTTGGGAAATGAAAAAGAGGATTCAATGTATTGGTCCCTGTAATTGACTGTATAACAAATAGTAATTGTAAAAAGAATATTGTGGCAATTAACTTACCAACTTATTTCATACAGGTTTCTGAGGTTCGATGTTGAAGGCGCTGAATGAATTCCGAAAAAATAAGGAGGGAGGAATGTTTATAAGTTCATGTTTTATTCATTGCCAGAAATGGATAATTGAGACATGGCATTCACCCAATTCTCCACGAATAAACAATAAGGTGAGGAAAGTTTCATGATCTTATTTGAATGTGGAGAGACCCTCAGTGATCTCTAAATCCCTCTCTCCCTCCCACTGTGGGTAGTGTTCAGTGTTTAGCTCTGTTCATAAGCTTAATGCTCACGCTTCATACTTGCATATGATTACGATAGACATATCAGAGTTCTATTCAGCGACTTTAGCGCCAGCGTTGAAACTCTTCAATGCACTCAAAAAATTGAGTTCTCAGGAGGCTGATTGAACTCAAGAAGGCCTCCAACTTTTTAGTGGGTTATTCATTGTAGACATTGAGAATGAAATGGGAAACGACATTGTAACAAATTGGAAAGATGGGGGTATTTAATTGTAAAAATTAAGAGGATAGGAGCAAACATGAAACCACATAATACCAAACTCGAATTGACCCTATATTATAACATGATCACTTCTTTACCTAGAGGAGAAACACTATTAACCAGATGAAAGGTCTCTTCCTTTCAATGTAGGGATGGATTTTTATTTATTTTCGGGTCAATAATGTACCTTTTTAATTGTATGAAATTTTTTTCCTTTTTATTTATTTTGTCTTAGTTTTTTGTTTTTATATTTCATTGGGGGTTGGGTACGAAAGGTTTAATTCTCTTAAGATATTGACATTACAAATCAGCTGTCTCCAGTGGAGCCTAATGAGTATGTTTACAAAGATTATGGGGGAAAAATTGTAGAAATGAAAGAATGAATGGCAAAATCAGCCAACCCTTGTTTTTTTTCCCCCTAATGAAGTTGTTTGAGACAAAAAACGAAGAAGTCTGGATTGACTTCCAAATGCGTCAACATTATGAAGCATGTGGCTTACATAATAAACTTTTAAGATTTTGATTTTTCTTCTCTTGGATACTTTTCATACTTTTCATACAAAAAGCCAATAGATATGTGACTCCAAAATACTATTCTGGGGAAGCAATGCGCTGGTTTCTGCTTCTGTCTCTACGTCCATCAATTTCCTTCCAGTACGGCTTCAAGTAACACACAAGGCAAGATATGTGACTCCAAAGACTTTCAAGTCTTCGTATGAAAGTCAGGTTGGACATTGATTTCTTCTTTTTTGCTTTTCCAATTTTTTGGGTCTGCAAAATACTTACTTTGAAGTCTTTGCATGCCCATTCATATTTAGCTTACTAGTGGACAAACGTTCATTTTCTTTTTATCCTTCATTTTTTTCCCACAAACGTTGACGGTTTGTCTCCTTTTGTAACTCGTTAAACGAACAGAGAAGAAAATAAAGTATACACATACATTTTCAGTAAATAAGTTTCATATGTGTTTGTATGCCTTTTGGTTTTATGAATAAACTCTTATTCTCAAAAGTTTCATATAATGCCGCCCACACAATAATAACGTCCAGACTTTCGGATAAAAAAAACAACTATATATATATATATATATATAAGCTAACGAAGTTCATTTTAATCTTTTTATTTTATTTTTAAGATTGATTCACTTTATCTTTGTGTGTTTTTTTTTAATATATTGCAAAACATGTGGTTTTCATAAACGCGCTTACACAACAAAATTCTAATAACGTGGGTCCCCATATGCCCAACTATTGGAAGGACCAATTGATATATTATTGGAGTCACTCTTGACTGGTTGCTCCATTTCCATGCTGTAGAAAGAAAGCAGCTCCAGCTCCAAGTCCTTGTTGAGCAATAATCTGAGAGGATAAACAAGTATCCTAAACAAGCTTCAGTTATGGAGAGGTCTAATCAAGAGCCATCTGACTCTCAAGAGTAAGTTGTTTTAACTCTAAAATAATCAAATGCAATTGAGCATCTATCTCTGTTTGTCTCGCGATGAACATTAATATATATCTGCATGAATAATTATTGTTCAGGAGGGCAGAAAAAAGGATCAGTAAGTTTGCATCTCGGAAACCTGCCCTGCATTGGGATAGGGAATTTTTAATGTCATTTTTCAGGACGCCAGTGAAATGTGATACGGAATTGGTAATATTATTCTATATTTTATCTGTGTCACTGGATCCTTTGTTACTCTACAGTCTTATCCTCAACGATGACAGGAAGTGTGTCGTAGTGGACACAAAATTGCAAAAAATAGCTATTGTTTTGCGATCATTGGCAGATCTTTCCTACATATGGTCCATTATTCGTGATATTCGTGATGATGGTGGTATTCTTGTTTTTATTTTAGCGCTTATGTTTGATGGTCCAGTAGTTTTTCGGAGCATCCCAATAGCCATTTTGGCTGTTCTTCCTGTTCCGCAAGTAAGACACCATTTCCTAATTATGTAAAAAATTGCTACTTTGTGCGGTAATTCAATGATTTTGGAATTTACGAGTTTGTGGTTGCCGAGAAGATGAAGAAATTGGGATATGAAATCATATTTCTTTTTCTTTTTTAATGACTTGGGCAACCTAGAAACTGAAGAACTTAGGCTCTCACATTGCAATGTACATGTGTGCAGGTGGCAATTTTAGTTTTCTTTCCAAGGCTGAGGGCCTCGAGAGCTGTGAACAGAATGAGGATTATGAATTCACTTATTCTGTTGCAATATGTGCCACGAATTTATCCAATATACAGACACTGCAAAGATCTTAACAAGAATAAACTCGACAATTATATTTCTGATCAAATAGAGCGTAAAACATGGGTCCCAGGGCTTCTCAATTTCATCCTATATATCATTTCTAGTCATGTAAGTTTCCATTTGATGTCAATTTAAAATTTAATTGTCATCTTTAAATAAAATATTTTTTTTTCTTCATTATTGTCCGGGTTAGATTGAATTTTGATTTTAGTTCTCTTATTGGATACATTTTTTCTAATATAGATGCGAATATATACAAAAGTATAAGTACATTAATATACCTATAAATATGAATTTAAATGTACTTATAATTTTGTACCTATATAAAATATAAAATATATATATGTATATATACCTAATTAAATTACTAAAATCAAATTTCAAAGTGGAAGGGAAAATGAAATCTAAAGTGGACGGAGGGTTTCATTTTCCCCTTATTTTTCATGAGCCATAAAATATTTTCACTAGCATGAACATAACAAACATGGAAGAAATAAAAAAAAGATTTTTCATTCCCAAATCAATTTTCATGCGGACACCCAATCTTAGTGCATATGCATATTTCTTTGATATTTTCTTGAATTTTCTCTAAGTAAACTAAAGTGCTTCTTGATCTTTTAGGTATTCGGAGCATTTTGGTATTTCTTTTCTATTCAACGACAGATAGCATGTTGGGGGCATGCTTGCCAAAGTGGAAATGGATGTGAGTTCCGTATTTTTGATTGTGATGATGGTACACTTAGAAATGTCACGCTTCTAAATGATTTATGCCCCATAAATCCATCAAATGCAAAAGTATTCGATTTCGGTATATATCTTGATGCTCTCCAGTCTGGCATGTTGGGGTCAACAAATTTTCCGCAAAAGGTCTTGCAGTGTTTCTCTTGGGGCATACGAAATCTAAGGTTTGACCTACGATAAGTTCTGCTTGCATATTGCACATTTTACAATAAGTAACTAAAACAATTTTGCAATAAAAAATACACTTGATTGAAAGTAAACATGTAAGTAATAGCAAAAATGATGTGAGGTTTCAATTTAGAAGAGTTCCAAGTTTGAATCTCATTTCTCTTGGTACTAATAATAAAAATTGTCATCCTTTGCAACCTAAAAGGACGATATGGAATCCTGTTTCATGTTTTCCCTCACCTTTCCCCTCTCGTAGACTTTTTAACTCATTAAATCTCAAGATCCAACAGTTAAGCTGCTTGTGCTGCGTCAAGTTGCCATGTTATTACTTTTGTTTTCATAAATAAATAAAAAACTACTTTTCAGATTTCTCTCATATTTTCCTAGTGGATTCCAGTCCCTTGTTTGTTCCTTCTAGGCTTACACTCGTAAGCTTTGTTTGCTTGTGCTGCGTTAGATACTGTTGTATTTATATATAGCTTGCTCCTCTAATTGATTTTGCAGTTCTTTTGGTTCGAACCTCAAGACCAGTATGAACGCATGGGAAACCCTCTTTGTGGTTTTTATTTCTATAAGTGGCCTGCTACTGTTTATATATCTCCTTGGACATTTGCAGGTTGGTGATGATGCACTACTCTTTATGTAAAAATATGTTCTTCTTAATCTAAAGGCTCTTCGTTATATCACTTCACTTATTTTGAGTAGTTTCTATATATGTAAAAGGGTCATGTTGAAAACCTATATATATCTATTATATAACGCCCATGTATAATGCATAGAAACTTGAGGACTGAACTAGTTTTTGTTGAATAGACATTTATGCAGGCGACTAACAAGGAATATTGGATTCGGCGGAAGATGCGGAAGATAAATTCAGAAATAAAACGAATGTCAGTTGAATATGGCCTCCCTAATGCATCCAGCGATATCCATAAAATAGTACGAAGACAAATTCGACGAGAGGAAGATCTTGCTGTGAAGAATATATTCTCTATTCTTCCCTCAGAAGTTCAGGATATTATCAAGCGCCATCTCTTATTGCCTAAACTAAAGGAAGTATGTTTCTATGTCTACCAAAAAAGTACTGAAACATCAACTGATTTGAGAGTTTTGAGTTGAGGACTTAATAATCAAATTTTTTATAAAGTTTAAAAACCCCTTGTAATATACAAACTTGTGGTTACAAGCAACAGATTCACACAAGTGTGAGAATGGAAGGTATAAGTTATCATTAGCTCAAATAGAAAAGAAGAAGACGACGTACAAGTTTTTCTCACACATCTTGTTTGCTAGCTTTGTATCGATCTCTTAATGTTTCTCAATTACATGTATGTACTTAATCTCAGGTGCCAACGCTTCGAGGTATAGACCAAAACCGGTTGGATGAAAAATTCTTGGATAATCTTGAGCAAGTGATCTATGATGGAGGCAACTATATTATTCGAGAAGGGGAGCCACTTGATATGATGATCTTCATCTCACGGGGCAGTGTTCTTACGTACAACACTAGTAGTACTGGCCATGGTGGAGGAGGAAGTGTCTTGTCAAACACTATAGGTCGGCTTACTAGGGATGATCTTTATGGACAAGAACTTATGAGTTGGGCAGCGACATCAACCTCCTTTTCCGACTTGCCCATCTCCAGCAAAACCCTCAAGTCTCATGAAAAAGTTGAAGTCTTTGCCATAAGAGCTTCTGCTTTACTGCTTATTGTCTCTGAACACAAGGAGTGTTTCAAGACAGAGGCACAGCGCTCCCACCCAACGGATGACACTCTTATTGAGATAAATGAACATGGCAATTCTTAAGTTATTACATATGCAATATTGTGCAAGGTCAGGTACCCACTTGTTAGCTAGCTAGCTATAAGGCCTTTGTTAATTATCTATATAACCAGATTTTTGTGAAACCAGTTATATAAATTTGTACATTATTATTGTTTGCATAATTATGAGTATCATCTTAGATTTTAGAGGCTATTAGGACGGACACGGCCCTCCGATTCTATAATTCTTACATGTAGCTAGCACACATGTATTTTCGACAGAAAATAATTATAGCGTCGGCAATTCACAGCCTTGATTGATCAAGTTAGATTCGAGTATGTATTGTTTCATTCAGTTATTGTATTTTTACATTTCTACTCTTCTTTTAATTGTTAATAGCAGAAACCAAAAAAGAAAAGAAAAAGGTATTTAGTTATATATCCATTCTTACCAATAGTGATATAGATAAATTTGTATAAATTTTCTACACCATTTAATTTCTATAAATAAAAAAACCAAAAAAAGGACATTTCATATTGGGTTTTTTTAATATAATTTGGGGCTTATATTGTGCATAATAGTTAAACTCCCAGAGAAGAAAAAAAAACATATAGTATCTCTATCAAATGTTTTATGATTTGGGGCATTTGCTTGCAATGTAGCGATCATTTTGAAACAGCTCAAGGATGTGTGTGTATGCTAATTGCTATGATTACTTAACAGAAACCAATTGTAAATACTGCACCCCCTAATTATAAACCCAATTTAGTGCTTGAAACTTGTAAATCATGAGATAATTGTAGATACGTGATTTTGAGATCTCTATTCTCACCACGCTACAAATCTCATGTCACTCTAGACTCTAGTTAAGGCTTATGAGCCATATATTCTCGATCACAATAAATCATACATGTTACATGTAGATGGTTGTAGATACCAAGCCATAACATTTTCTTCTCTAAACATAATGCTACCTTGTGAAACATGAAGCATGGGATGAGTTTTATATACATTAATGGTTAAGAGTTATTACGCGTAATACACTTTGGTCATGTTTGGTGACTGTGATTAAATTGGATTATGAGGTAGAATTGAATTGCATTATATTGAAAATGATAATACAAATCCAATGATGTGTTTAGTACTCCGTAATAGGCTCACTAAACCACCTCATTAGACAAATTTTAAGGAGAAATTGGAAAAATACAACTCCAATCATATGCCCTATCCACCTTTTAAAATAGAGAGACTTCTAGGAGCTTCTAAATCTGAGGAGAGATAAATTCCGCTTGCATATTGCACATTTTACAATAAGTAAGTAAAACAATTTTACAATATAAAATACACTTGGTTGAAAGTAAACATGTAAGTAATAGCAAAAATGATGTGAGGTTTCAATTTAGAACAGTTCCAATAACAAAAAGGGAGTTTCACTAAAACACCAAAAATGGGGGCTGAAATTATAAAAAAACCCAACACCCAAAACACTTTATAAACACACCCAAAACCCATCATTACACACACTCAAAACCCATTTATAAACACACCCAAAAAATATACAATTGTTGATTTTGGGTGTGTTTCTATGTTTAAATAGTGTTTGGGTTTTTTTATAAATACATGTCTAGGATTGGGTTTATTTATAAATTTGTATAATAAAAATTGTCATCCTTTGCAACCTAAAAGGAAGATATGGAATCCTCTTTCATGTTTTCCCTCACCTTTCTCCTCTCGTAGACTTTTTAACTCATTAAATCAAGATCCAACAGTTAAGCTGCTTGTGTTGCGTCAAGTTGCCATGTTATTACTTTTGTTTTAATAAATAAATAAAAAACTACTTGTTTGGGCCTAAATTGGCATACCCAACATAAGGAAATAAAAGCCCATCTCAGTTTTGGTAGCCACCAAACACCTCTTTGAAATTGGGCCATAAATACACATTCAGCCCCAAAAACAGTGAAAGCCCCAGCCCAACATCAAAGAACCCAGCCTTTAGTTTTAAAAAGGGGGGCCTAAGTCCTTTTTGCAAAGAAAAGAAAAAAACCACTAGCACAGAATCAAAATGAAATATTAGAGACTTGATTAAAAGCCTATTCTTTCAAAGAACCCATGTGACCATCAGAAATGGAGAAGTCAACAATTTCAACTATCACAGAGTTGATTGGAAATTTCAAAAGAAAAAGACAGTGGCTGGCAAACTAGGAAGACACATCTCTGAAAATCTGCCAGCCAAAGATCAAAATCCGTCTTATATATTCAAAGATATTGTTTCCACTCCAGAGAGGCACAATCTTTTAAGGGATACGCAGACTATGTTTTCAGAAAGAAGATAAGCAGGAAATAGGGGATTTGTTCAAATTGAAGAAATCAAACTAACCATCACAATTGAAATCACACAAGGGGCAGTTAAATTGGGAAAAGGAATTAGGTTTTCTCTTAAAAATAGGGAAGTGATCTCTAAGATTGATTGATGAAAGCCTATCTGCCAGAATTTAATTAAAAATTTTCCCTATCTTATATCTCTTTGTAGATCTTTGAGAAGACTTGCCGCCCATTATTTTAAAAGAAAGAAAACCCTGCCCCTATGCATTTTTTTATATAAATACAAGAGAGAGTGAACAGGGCAAATGACAAAAAATCTTACACTCAATTCATCAATCAAACAAATAACAAGAGATCAACCAAAAAACTCACTTGAGCTCTAGGAAAAACCTGCTTGAGATCAAAATTCCCAAAGTTCAAACTTAGAAAATAAGTCATTTAAAACGAGATTCCTCTCGTTACAAATTTGGTTTAGCAAAAGCTAAGACAGGTAGAGTTTGAGCTTTTCCCAAACATGAAAACCTCAACAGATTTCATAGTGCAGTCCTTAGCACACTGAGTCCTCAAGAACAGCCGCTTCTGCCCTTTCAGACTGAAGAAATCGCAGTTATGTCCGCTTAAAAGCCTCACAAAATCTTGAAGTAGATTAAAGCTCTGCCAAAATTGAACTTTGGTATCGATTTATAGCTGAAGTTGTTAATAGTTCAGTCCAGCCCAGACATTTGCAGTCCAGCCCGGATCAGAGTCCTCTATCCAGGCAGAAATGGAGTTCTAGTTGTCTTTTAACCTTCCTAGCATTGATATGTATGTCCATAGTTTTGTAAAGGGCAGTTCTGCCTAAAACAGTCCAATTTTTATCAACTATTCTGTCCAGAACAACCGTTTTTATACTGAGATAGATTATGAAAGTCCTCACCAGCCTGAGGCATGAAAAGAACTTACTTGGGAGATATTCCTCACCCAAATTCACAATCGTTTGTTTATAAATCAGTAACTTGGGGCGCAAGCTATTTATTTTCTAGAAGAAGTCTGCTAGAATCTTCACTGCTAGCAGTGGCACGCTCATACACCAAAGAAAGCTGTCTTGTTGACCAGTCAATGGTTTCCAAGGCAGTGGGGAACTTTGCCCTTCCATCTCAGGAGTAAACGCAAAACGGGGTGAACACTACTACACTTTCAGATTTCTCTCATTTTCCTAGTGGATTCCAGTCCGTTGTTCCTTCTAGGCTTACACTTATAAGCTTTGTTTGCTTGTGCTGCGTCAGATACTGTTGTATTTATATATAGCTTGCTCCTCTAATTGATTTTGCAGTTCTTTTGGTTCGAACCTCAAGACCAGTATGAATGCATGGGAAACCCTCTTTGTGGTTTTTATTTCTATAAGTGGCCTGCTACTGTTTATATATCTCCTTGGACATTTGCAGGTTGGTGATGATGCACTACTCTTTATGTAAAAATATATTTTTCTTAAATATAAAGGCTCTTCCTTATATCACTTTTCTTGTTTTGAGTAGTTTCTATATATGTAAAAGGGTCATGTTGAAAACCTATATATATATATATATATCTATTATATAATGCCCATGTATATAATGCATAGAAACTTGAGGACTGAACTAGTTTTTGTTGAATAGACATTTATGCAGGCGACTAACAAGGAATATTGGATTCGGTGGAAGATGTTGATGATAGAGTTTGACATAGCGGATATGTCATGTGAATATGGCCTCTCTAACAATACAGAGGATATCCGTAAAATAGTACGAAGACAACTTCGACGAGAGGAAGATCTTGCTGTGGAGAATATATTCTCTGTTCTTCCCTTCTACGTTCAGGATATTATCAAGCGCCATCTCTTATTGCCTAAACTAAAGGAAGTATGTTTCTATGTCTACCAAAAAAGTATTGAAACATCAACACCACCTTTCTAAGTAGACTAAAAGATGAAAGGACTATATTAACTGATTTGAGAGTTTCGAGTTGAGGACTTAATAATCAAAATTTTAAAAAAGTTTAAAAACCCCTTGTAATATACAAACTTGTGGTTACAAGCAACAGATTCACACTAGTGTGAGAATGGAAAAGTATAAGTTATCATTAGCTCAATTACATGTATGTACTTAATCTTAGGTGCCAACGCTTCAAGGTATGGCCCATGAGCTGTTGGATGCAATCTTGGAGGATCTTGAGCGAGTAACGTATGACGGAGGCAACTGTATTATTCGAGAGGGGGAGCCACTTGATATGATGATCTTCATCTCACGGGGGCAGGGTTCTTACCTACAACGCTACTAGTACTGGCCATCGTGGAGGAGGAAGTGGCTTGTCAAACACTATAGGTCCGTGGCTTCCTAGGGGTCACCGGCCCCCCACCCTACCGTTTAACAGTCGTATTGAGATAAATGAATATGGCAATTAAGTTATTACATGCAATATTGTGCAAAGTCAGGTACCCACTTGTTGGCTAGCTAGCTATAAGGCCCTTGTTAATTATCTATAACCAGATTTTTGTGAAACCAGTTATATAAAGTTTGTGCATTATTATTGTTTGCATAATTATGAGTATCCTTAGAGGCTATTAGGACGGACACGGCCCTCCGATTGTATAATTCTTACATGTAGCTAGCACACATGTATTTTCGACAAAAAATAATTATAGCGTCGGTTCATCTTACGTGTAGCTTCACTAGCTTGAGGCTTGCAAATGAAAAATTCGATTCAATGTATCGGTCCTTTTAATTGGTTGTATAACAACAGAACATTGCGGCAAGCTTACCAACTCATTTCATATGAATTTCACTGGTTTTTTTCATTCATGCCCAAAAACAAGTTTGTAACAGCGTTGTGTACCCTAAGGTAGGGTGGCTCTGAGGATGTGCAAGTGGTGTCACCGGACAAGGCCCCCAATTTTAAAGTGTCCTGAAATTTTTTTACGTGTATATTATATATATATATATATACACACTTAAGTGTGCAGGATAATAATAGAAATGTGCATTTGGTTGAGTTGGAATTCACAGCCTTGATTGATCAAGTTAGATTCCATTATGTATTGTTTCATTCAGTTATTGTATTTTTACATTTCGGCTCTTCTTTTAATTGTTAATAGCATAAACCAAAAAAAGAAAAAGAAAAGGTATTTACTTATAGATTAATGCTAGGCTTACCACATTTTTCATACCACATTGTGTACCACCTCTCTAATAGAGGTGGAGTTTTTTAAATATAATTTGGGGCTTATATTGGGCATAATAGTGAAACTCCAAAAAAAAACGTAGTATAGTATCTCTATCAAATGTTTTATAATTTGGGGCCTTTGCTTGCAATGTTGCGATCATTTTGAAACAACTCAAGGATGTGTGTGTATGCTAATTGCTATTACTTAACATAAACCAATTGTAAAAACTGCACGCCCTAATTATAAACCCAATTTAGTGCTTGAAACTTGTAAATCATGAGATAATTGTAGATTCGTGATTTCGAGATCTCTATTCTCACCACACTACAAATCTCATGTCACTCTAGTTAAGGCTTTTGAGCCATATATTCTCGATCACAATAAATCATACATGCAACATGTAGATGGTTGTAGATACCAAGCCATAACATTTTCTTCTTTAAACATAATGCTACCTTGTGAAACCTGAAGCATGCGATGAGTTTTATATACATTAATGGTTAAGAGTTATTACGTATAGTACACTTCGGTCATGTTTGGTGACTGTGATTAAATTGGATTATGAGGTAGAATTAAATTGCATTAGATTGAAAATGATAATACAAATCCAATGATGTGTTTAGTACTCCGCAATAGGCTCCCTAAACTATCTACTTAAACAAATTTTAAGAAGAAATTGAAAAAATACAATTCCAATCATATGTCCTATCCACTTCTTAAAATAGAGAGACTTCCTAACAGCTTCCTATAATTTAATGATGCTTTGTTTTATGCATTTTTTAAACTTTTAATTAATGCTAATTATTTTTTAATAGAGATGAATCAATTATATTGAATTAAAAATAATTACAGTATTTATAATGAGTATGATTGAAGTTCAAATTTTATAGAGAGCTCTTAAAATAAGAAGTATGATTGCTGATGCTTTAAGCATAATTAATAGATTGGATTAATTGAAATGTGCTACCTTATTCTATAAACTATGCGGCTGATTTTTGCCGGGACAAAAAGAAGTAGAAAAAAATGTTGTTGTCTAGTTGAAGATTGGGAATTGGTGTTTTAAGTGTCCAGTTGACTCCGCGAGCACTAAGCAGAGCCAATTGATGGTGGGGTCAATGGCAAATCCTAGGCTTCGCAGCCTGCTCTGGTGGAGACGGTGGGCCAAGAAGGACTGGGCAATCGCAGCCGTCGGATTTACCGTTGTTGCCTTCGCTCTCACTCTCCTCTCCAACTCTTGGCGCGATGAACCAGACTCCGAAATCACCCGCCCATTTCATCCCATCACCACCTCCGATTTGGTCGAATTAACCTTGTTGCAAAACGCTAAAGCTAGAGGCGCCCGTACTCAATCTCATCCCCTCAACTTGCCACCTAAATTTCGATTCTTTGTCTGTGTTTTCAGTGCCTAATTCATTTCTGGTTTAAATGCATGGGTTTGCAGTATGTTTAGATGGAAGTGCGCCTGGCTACCATTTGAAAAAGGGCTTTGGATCAGGAGCTAACAATTGGCTACTTCACATTGAGGTCTTAATTCAAATTTTATGCTTTTTGGCATGTCTACAATATGATGGTTTCATTCAATTTCAGTGCATTTACATGTTCTAGTTGATATGTTTGTTAAGAAAGCAAAGCTGGGTAATGGGTTTTGGGTGGAAAATTGAAATTCAGGGTGGAGGTTGGTGCAATACAATAGAATCTTGTTCATGGCGTAAAGGGACCTCATTAGGATCTTCCAAATACATGGACCATAAAGTTCCCTTTTCTGGGATTTTAAGTTCCCACCCATCAGAAAATCCTGGTACTTCAATTTGTCTCAGCTGCTATCTTATCACCATAATGCTTCATTTTGTAATATTAACTCAGTGTTAGTTGTTAACCCGCTGATTGATGAATTTCAATTCCATTTTTGGAGCATTGTGTAGAGTTCTTTAACTGGAACAAAGTCAAAATCCGGTACTGTGATGGCGCATCCTTAGCTGGCCACCCAGAAAACGAGCTGAAGGTAAATTTATGTTTGAAGATTTTCTGTCCTGTTTCGGAACCGGTTATAATAATTTTATTAATGGAAGAATATTGTCTTTGAGGAATTATATGAAGAAAGTTGCTCGTTGGTTCTAACATTGTCTGTTCCTCCATTTCCTAGAATGGATCAGCACCTTTCTTTAGGGGCCAGCTCATCTGGGAAGCAGTTATGGATGAACTCTTGTTAGTTGGCTTGTCAAAAGCCAAACAGGTATATCTGTGGTTACTCCAATTAAGCTCTGCTTTATAATAATGATCTGTAAACTTACAGATCTTAAACATCAATAAAATTTTATGCATGCATATGGTTTGATGGTTATGAGTTACGACTACACAAGTTGTGGTTTGGTTAGTTCTACAAGGATATGATTGGTCCACAATTTGTAATAAACTTCTGCAGAAAAAAAACTATGTTTCCTGCACTGCGTGAACATCTTTTTAATGCCTCACATAAATTCTATTTTCCAGCATCCAAATTTTATCAGATTGGTCCATTTCTGTTAATATGTATGAGTGACAATCCAACAGGCCCTTCTTTCGGGATGCTCTGCTGGTGGGTTGGCGACTCTTATACATTGTGATGACTTTCGACGCCTTTTGCCTATGGATGCAACTGTCAAATGTCTTGCTGATGCAGGTTTTTTTCTTGATGAGTATGTTTATGTGTACTAGTGCCTTCTGTACCAATATTTTTTAGCTAATCTGTTCAGTATGGAGTCTTTTCTAGGATCATACTTCTTACATGTACTCTTCAAGGACAATGTTTCCTATCAAAATGGAATACGTATCATACTGTTCCCTTTTCTAAAAGATTTTAAATTCTTCCTATCAAGCTACAGTAGGAATGTTGAAAAGTCTTGCATGCTTTTAGTAACTAGTTTCTGTACATGGATTATGTTTTTCCCTTTGTTTTGCCTAAGGCATCCTATGTGCTCTAGATAGTGCATAAAAAGGAGGGGGAGAAATTTTTTAGCCTCTCTTTGTTTCCTACTTTTCAGGAAAGATGTTCTCCAACATCGGACCATGAGAGCTTTCTATCATGATGTTGTCATCCTTCAGGTTATACTATAATCTTTACTGGTACCCGTTTATGCAATCTTTAGCTAAGTGATACCCAATTTTTTTTTCGTGTATAAATTTTAAGTGCTTCCAAATGGTGATACTGTAAAGTTTGCGAGGCCCAGCATATGATTATGGGATGTAAAAACTAGTCAATGTGCATTTGAATTTTTAATAGGTGCATCTGCTAGTTCTTATTTGAGAGTCTGACACATCATATTTGAGACATGATTTCATCCATCTTCAGTTTATCTATATTACCTGTATGAAAATAAAATGTTTTGTCATGCAAGGCTATATGAATCATTAAACAGACTAAGGTCTAGCTGAAAGCTGTAGGTTTAGCCCATTAATCATTATTGGTGTCTCTAGCTTATTTTTGGGTCATGCTGCCAGGGTTTAGCAAAAAGTTTGCACAAGGATTGTGTTACAAGAATGGAACCCTCTAAGGTAGGTTTTCTTTTCCTTTTCTGTTTATGGTACCACTGACATAATTTGAGAGGTTTCTTCTTATTTCCTGTTATTTGTTGTGAATTTTTATGACAGTGTCTCTTTCCTGAAGAAATTATTAAAAACATTAACACCCCAGTGTTCCTAGTCAACCCAGCTTACGATTTTTGGCAGGTAGTTTTCCTCAGAACCCAAGCTTCATTTTCTTGTCATCAGAATTGATTCCACATTCGTTTTCTCATTTCCTAATTGGATATCATTAGATACAACATATCTTGATACCTGAAGCATCAGATCCACATGGCTATTGGCAAAAGTGCAAATTGAACATTCACAATTGCAATCCTAGCCAGCTTGAAATACTACAAGGTAATTGGATATGCATCTTGTGACCCAATATGTATTTCCTGACAGTCTAGGAAAGTCACATACACCTAATGCTTGCAGCCTGCTAGTTGTGATCAACAAGAAGTTTGGTTCTTCTCATCATGCCACATTTAAACTATCCTATAAAATTATTACACTATGGTAATTGTTCTATAAAAAATCTCACTGGGACAATCTGGTCATAGATTTTGTGGACCATAAACCAGCATCTTATACAGTTGCAAGTTGCAAACAGTGGGCATTACTAACGTCATATTATTCGGTTATCATTTACCAAGGAAATATCTTGTGGGACTTACTAGTGTTCCTGAACCCTTTCAACAGACAAAAATTATCGCATCGGTACATCTTACGTGCACTTTAAGCTTCACTAGCTTGAGGCTTCTCGGGAGATGAAAAACATGATTTAATGTATCGGCCCCTGTAATTGGTTGTAGAACGAATACTAATTGTAAACAGAATATTGTGGCAATTAACTTATGAAATTATTTCACAGGGTTCCGCGGTTCAATGCTGAAGGCGCTGAATGAATTCCAAAAAAAAAGGAGGGAGGAATGTTTATAAATTCATGTTTTATTCATTGCCAGACGTGGATAACTGAGACATGGCATTCACCAAGTTCTCCACGAATAAACAAAAAGGTGAGGAAAGTTTTATGATCTTATTTGAATGTGGACATAAGATGAAGGTTCCTTGTTAACTAGAATAATAATTCAGAAAGTATTAGATAGAGAGAGACCCTCAGTGATCACTCTCTCTCCCTCTCCCTCCCTTGCATGTTTTGCTCACTCCCACTGTGGTTAGTGTTCAGTGTATAGTTCATAAAGCTGTTTATAAGCTTAATGTGCATGCTTCATAGTTGAATGTGATTATGATATACATATATCTGAGTTCTATCCGGCGACTTTAGCGCCAGCAATGTAGCACTCAAAAAATTGGATGTTTACAGGGCAGCTATAGTTTATTCCATCTGTAAGATAAATCACGTTATGCATCTATCTGTCTTGTGGTTTTACAAAATGTGTATATGCTTTATACTTGTAAATGTTGCTTTATTTATTTTAGGCGTTCACAGTAGCAACTGAAAGCCTAAGATACCACAAGTTTGGCATTATGGCATCACATCTTTTATAAAATAAAAAAAATTGTTTTCTGTCATTTTTTGGAACTGAACTTGTTATCTGACTGATTTGAACTTTGATAGACAATTGCAGAGTCTGTGGGCAATTGGTACTTTAGTCGGAATGTCGTAAAGCAAATCGACTGCCCATTTCCATGCAATCCCACCTGCTATCATATGAATTTCACTGTTTTCTCACGAGGTTGATTGAACTTAGAACGCCTCCAACGTTTTAGTGTGTTATTCCTTGTAGACACTGAGAATGAAGATGTGTAGAAGAAGAAAAGAAAAAAACAGTTGTATATTACATAGCAGGATCACTTCTTTACCTAGAGGAGAAACACATTCTGTAATTTTCTTTTTTAAAATCTTGGAGTCCATATTAACCAGTTCAAAGGCCTTTTCCTTTCAATATAGCGATTTCAATGTAGGGATCGATATGAAACAGCTTTGTGATGTAATTAAGTGCGCCGTGGATATCTTTTGTACCTTGATTTCCATATTTTTTGGTTGTCCTTGATTTCCATATGAGAGAGAGAGAGAGAGAGAGAGAGAGAGAGAGAGAGAGAGAGAGAGAGAGATGTCATTAGCCTCGTGCATTTAGCATCGGTGCATTTTTTTTTTTTTAGAAAAAGCGATAGTATTTATTGATAAAACAGAACAAATACAAAGCCTCTTTTCCTATGAACCAAACGGGCCTTAGGTTTGTCAATGAATAACTAATAATATACACAATGCAAAGTCATAACAAGAAGTACTATTGAAAGGGCCTTAGGTTTGTCAATGAATAACTAATAATATACACAATGCAAAGTCATAACAAGAAGTACAATTGAAAGCGCACGTACATTTCACATCCATTATCTATGCTTGTAACAGTCACATCTGATCATATATTGGACACTTCAAAGGAGAGTCACCTTGAGAACGAGACTAAAACTTACCTGCAAGATTCAATATTATATATATATATATATGGTTAATCGTTTTATTAGTCCCTAAACTTAGACCCGATTTGCATTTGAGTACCTCAATTTCTAAAATGGTTCTCGTGGTTCTTTAACTTCATTTTCGTTAGGACAAATGGTTTTGCTGTCAATTTTTTTAACTTTTTCTGTTAAATGTAGGGGTAAAATGGTATTTTTATATTAAAACCAAAAAAATGAATAAAGAATCATATCTTTAAAATAACAATAAAAGAAAATCAAATAAAAATTAAGTTTGAGGGGAGTAGAAATCGGGATAGAGGGGAAGAGAGTTTAATTTTAATTTTTTAGTTTTTAATTTTTTAATTCATATTTTAATCATTTTTATACAAAAATACCATTTTGCCCCTACATTTAACAGAAAAGTTAACAAAATTAACGGTAGGAGTATTTGTCTTAACGAAACTAAAGTTGAAAGACCACAGGAACCATTTTGGAAATTGAGGTACTCAAATGCAAATCGGGTCTAAATTAAGAGACTAATAAAACGATTAACCCTATATATATAGTCCTCCCTATTGAGGGATCCCTCAAATAATTTTATTTGAAGGACACCCTTTAGGGTTTCCTATGAATTTTTTTTTCAACAATCCAAACTATCTATTTTTTAAGTTTACATTCATGGATCATCCTTGCAAAAAATTAGACAAATTGAAAACTGTTTCGACATCCAATTGTGTCCGACAAAATCAACGAACACGGTGCTTTAAAAATGTATTAAAATTTCAATAATTCAATTGAGTGGTCAAATGATATCGGATTCAAGTGATTTTTTGTAGAGATGATCTTTGAATGAGTATCTACAAAATAGACGGTTTGGATTTGTAAAATACAATACAGAGTGCGCCCTATAAAAGTGTCCCTCAAATAAGCTTATTTAAAGAATCCCTCAATCAAAATTCTCTCTCTATATATATCAGAAAGGGAGAGTGAGCCTGAACTAATTGCAATATTATTGCAAGTCCCTTCAGTGGAAAGCATATTGTTTTTCATATTCTTATGAATTTTCTCTAAGTCAAACCGTTTTTGTTGTTGTTGTTTTTCATGTTCTTCTTGGTTCTTTTAGGTATGTGGAGCATTTTGGTATTTCTTTTCTATTGAACAACAGATAGAGTGTTGGAGATATGCTTGCCGCATATAAATGGATGCAAGTTTAGTATTTTTGATTGTGATCATAGTATGCTCAGAAATGTCTCACATGTAAATGATCATTTATGCGCACCAACATTTGAGTTTGGAATATATGTTGCTCTCCAGTCTGGTATGTTGGGGTCAACAGATTTTCCGCAAAAGTTATTGCAATGTCTCTCCTCGGGCGTACGAAATCTAAGGTTGGCCTACGAAAAATTTCGCTTGCATATTGTACATTTTACAATAAGTAACCAAAACAATTTTACAATCAATTACACAATATACTAGCCAAAAACATTTGATGGATCAATTTCCCACTCTATTAATTAGCTCTTGTGATAGTAATACTTCTCTGTCCAATGTTAGAAGAGTTCCCAAGTTCTTCCGTCCCCTCCCTCAATAATAAATTAAAAATATTTATATATAAAAAAAATAACCTAAAGCAGGATTGAATTATCTTCAATGTTTTCCCTCTCCGTTAGGCTTTTAAGAGAATCCTTCATTTTCCTCAATCAGCTCATGATATATAAATAAGTTGTTTATCTTTTTCAAATCAAACATAAGTGGGTTAAGAAAATGGTATTTTCTAAGTTCATATATCATTTATTGATTATTTATAAGCTCATATATAACACATGAAAACCCTACAAATTACCCTCACCGTTAGCCAAACTTTTAGTATTGACGATAAGTGCCAATGTGACATTTGTATGACCCTTATTTTTTTTAATGATGTGTACTCCACGTAAGCGATAAATTAATTAAACAAATCAAAGAATAAAATAAATATAAAAATTCATAAAGCCAAAAGGAAAAAAAAAACAAAAAAACAAGATAACATCCATACAAAAATAAAAGACTTAAACTAGTACTTACCGTCCTTTTCTGGATATTGTTGTATTTATATATTGCTCCATTGATTTTGCAGTTCTTTTGCTTCGAACCTCAAGCCCAGCAGTAGTGCGTGGGAAACCCTCTCTGTGGTTTTTATTTCTTTAAGTGGCCTGGTACTGTTTTTATATCTCCTTGGACATTTGCAGGTCGGTGTTTATGTAAAATTATTTCTTAAGCTTAAAGTTCCTCCTTCCATTTCCATATATCATTGTTCTTGTTTTGAGTACGTAGTTTCTATGTAAAAGGGCCTTGAGGATTTAATCAAGTACTAAACCTACTTCTTGTTGTATAGACGACATTTATGCAGGAGACTAACAGGGAATTTTGGATTCTGATGAAGATGTGGAACATAAATTCAGTAATAATATCGCCTCTCTAATGCGTATACTTGGATATCTGGAAAAGAGTACAACTTCGACGAGATGAAGATCATGCTGTGGAGAATATATTCACTATTCTTCCCTTTGAAGTTCAAGACATATCAAGCGCCATCTCTTCTTGGCTAAACTAAGGACAGTATGTTTCTTTGTCTACCAAGAAATATTGAAAAATCAACACCACCTCTCTCTCTCAATAAATTATCGTCCACATTAGTAAAACGATTTTGTAGCTTATGGGATATTGTATCCATGTCTTTATTTATCTTACATGTACTTCATCTTTGGTGTCAATGCTTCAAGATATAGACCAAAAAGTGTTGGATGCAATCTTGCGGCATCTTGAGCCAGTAAACTACACTAGGGGCAGCTATATTATTCTAAAGGGGGAGCCACTCGATATGATGATCTTCGTCACACGGGGCAATCCACTTACCTACAACACTAATACTGGCCATGGCGGAGGAGATAGTGGCTTGTCAAACACTATAGGCTGTCTTGCCGGTAGTGATGTCTATAGAGAAGAAGTTTATGACTTGGGCGGCCACATCAACCTCCTTTTTCGACTTGCCCATCTCCACCAAAACTCTCAAGTCCCACAATAAAGTTGAAGTCTTCACTATCATGGCCTCCGATTTGCAGCTTATTGTCTCTGAATTCTCTCAGTTTTTTCCGCACAGAACTTCCCCACCCAACTGATAGTACTCTTGCCTGAGATACCCCATGGCAACTTGTAGGTTACATGTGCAATGGGTGACCGCCGTAGGTACCACTTGCTAGGCCTTTGTTAATTATCTTTAACCAGATTTTTAAGTGAAACCAGTTATTATTGTTTGCATAATTAAGTTGAGTAGTCTGATCCTTAATTTTAGGCTATATTTGGTAACTAGGATTTGATTGAATTAGGAAGTATGATTGGATTGCATTAGATTGGATGATAAGTACCCTTCATTAGAGTGCTCCGGATTTGTGTCGTGGCTCCCGGGTCTTAGGTCTTGGGTCTAAGATCAAGGGGTTTGGAATAGTGGGATTATATATTCCACCTTCTTGGTAGACTAAATTATCCTACAAAAATGCACATAATGAGATTAGGGTGGAATTATTTTTATCATATCTACATTAATTTTTAACTCCAAAATGACATTGGATTAAGCTAATCCAATACTACTACTACCTCACCTACCCACCAAATGAGGCCTGAAGGTTCATTATTAGAGCACTTCCACCTTTATGGGCAAGGACAAGGCAAGGGCTGTCACTATTTACGTGAATAGTGGCAACCCTTGCAATTTTGTTTCCACTCCTATGGGCTAGGGTAAGGGCAATTACTATTCACATAAGATATGAGAAGATGAATTTGTATAGAGTTTTTGATGTGGGAAGTAAAGAATATGGCTAAGTATTTATAAATAAATAAAACAATTCTGAAATTTTTAGTTTTTCTTTTCTTTTTGTTTTGTTGCTGATGTCATTATGACATCAGCATTGTGTCATTTTGCCCAAGCAGCAACTCGGACTGAACTTGCCCGTGGGCTTACCCAAGTGGCTGGGGCCCACTGTTTGACCGAGCTGGAACTCTTGGGCTGGAGCTACCTTTGGTTGCTTAGGCCCCCTCTTACCAGGCTCCCCTCAACGGTGGAAGTACTCTTAGGATAAACACGGTCCTCCGACAATTGTAGGAATTTATCCTTCATACACTCAAATTTATTTTCTATTTCCTTAGCCTAAGGCCCACGACAGACACAATAAGGCTCCGATTAGCAAATGAAAGCCACATCAAGGCCGACACTTAATAACAAGCAGCCACCATCAAGGCCCAAAAACACAAGACAAAACCCAAAAATTGCCGAGCTTTACAACTTTTCCTATTGAGAGGCTACAATATACTAAATTGATACATACAAAACATGAAAATTAGGATATGAATCCAACATTTCGTCTGGGAGAACAATTGCTCTAAACCACTAAACCAGTGGGTTTCTTGCAGCTTTACAAAGTTTTAATCGTCAAAAACTGACCTGGTAAATAAGTAATTCAGTTTATTTAACACGATAAAGTTTTAATTACATTGCCCACTCCAAAAAGGAATTAATTTAAGTCAACTAAAATAAGGGAAATGTTTGGAGCGTTTGCTGATTGAAATGAAAGTTTTGAGCTGACTTTCAACTTTCAAGCACCTAGTATGTGAAATGTACATATAGTTTGAATTTCTTTGATCAACTGGAGAACTCTGGCACGTCTCATTGTGGAAGCTGGGGGAGCTGGTGCCCCAATTCGCACGCAAGACCCTAAACTCAAACATTTCATTTTCTCATCTGCTCCTGTTCCAACTATTTTGTTTGAAGTTGAGAAGGACAACATTGTTTTTCCATTGAAAGTCAACCCAAAAGTTCAACTTTTGAAGTCCTTTCCCCAAATCATGAGAACTAAGCAGATGATCAGAGTTTCCCAATCACACAAACAACAAGTCACCTGAGTTTACTTGGATATGTCAGATTTGTGAGTAATTTTTATTATTATTATTATACAATCAATCTTGAACGAGAGACAATCGAATACAAAATTTCGAGTATATAAAGTAAATACTCTTAATCCCTTGAATTCCATACATACCCATTCCAATTACGAAGCACCTGTGGTACATTTATCTTTGACTTTTGTTCTCTAAAACCCAAGTATTTCATTTATTACGAACCTACCACTGACCTGCTCAAATTCAATATGCCTTTAACTGCAAATTTCATCTCTCAAAAATTATGGTCAATTATTGCAATGCCGTAATATGAACGTGACCTCTACTATTTGAAAAAAGAACAATTTAGAATTTTGAAAATAGGCAAAGTCATGATGCAGAAAAACGTGTCAAGGATTAACAACAGAGGATGATATGGATTGACCATCGTAATCATCTCCAACTGCGCTGCCCTTTCATGCAGTTCATATGTATAAAATCTTCAACTCCTTCGTAGAAGAATTTTAATTTTATGACAAGACAAATGTTGAACTCATAGCTCACATATTTATTTATTATATTGACATTGCCCAACAACGAATTTTCAATTTTGAAAGTGTTGATTATAATTTTATTATCAACGGCATCATACGTGTATTTCTAAGTTTAACAAAATTTTGAATCTCATGATGTAACAGCATCTCTGATAGACTCCCAAATGACCTTTTACATTAAAATTTGGAGAGAAGTTGGAAATTCAATCTCGACCATACTTAATATTCCTCTCCGACAATATTTTGAATTTCAATTTCAATCATGCTTCTTTAATGAGCTCCTAAAAAATTTCTAGTCTTTTTAGCTAAAATTTAACTTGAAAATAAAGAGTATCATTTGAAAGAGTTCAATTTTCATGTGTCAATCCTGTTTGGTAACAGGAAAATTGAACTCCAATTGAAATGCTTTGAGGGAAAAGAAAAAAAAATCACTTCAAACAGTGAAAACCTTTTACTTTTACACCTAAGTTCTAACCATAAACGGCGCAACATGGAGGGGAGTCATATTCAGCTAATACCTAAACCAATATGCTTTTCCAGGTCTTTGGAATGGCTCAGAAAAAGGTGTTGATTATGATGTATGTAGAAGTTCAAACCCATGAAATGTAGGGACAGAAAAAGCTAGGCGGTTTCTATTTTCCAGATTTGGTAAAGAGAAGCAGGGCTGAGGGTGACTTCATGCTTCAAATCTAGAACCCTTTTGGTTGAAATTGAACTAAACATTAGGTTATGCATCAACAACTCCATTTCCCAAATACTAAAGATTTTTAGGTTTCATTTTTCTGTCGCAGTGTGACTGTGTATGATGTTGACTTACATCATAAAGCGAAAGTGAAGAAGACACAATCTGGGGTGGGTTTGGCCCCATGAGGATCAACATATTTATTCAACTTCAGGACAAGAATCACAGACTCTTCGTCCCAACAACTCTGTTTTCTTTCCTTTGTCAGAGAATCATGACAACAGAGGTTGAAGAAATCTAAGTTGCTTTTGTTGGCTACAACAAAGACTTGTGATACATGCAATCACATGAAAATTGCGCGTTTAGGTAAAATCAGGTATTTAAGTCTACGAGGGTTCGAACATTTAGGAATTGAGTTTACAGTCCGCTTCATGATCACTCTTTTCATTCGAGTTGAAATCTCAATTCTTAGTTTCTCACAATGCTCTTAGAACTTGGAAGAAGCAAAAGGGTTACTATTTTGTAATTACATATGTGCCAAAACAAGAACTCCAAACCTTGACATGGAAATCAGCTGTCTCTGGCGGAGCCTAATGGGTATGCTTACAAAGGTTAAGGGGAAAAATGGTAGAAATGAAACAATGTATGGCAAAATCATCCAACCCTTCTGCGAATGACTTTTTCTATTTGCAGTTTTAATGTTTATTTACACCGATGATCGCCATATTCTTCCCTCCAACGATATAACAATGATTGAAACGTCATCATGGTACCGCCGGCGTTCCCCTTGTGGAATGTCAAGCAACTCATGGAAGGCCATTCCTGCAAAACCGCAATATACACATTAAGCTTTATAGTTTCATAAAATAGTCACATCTTTAGAACTTGTTTACTGAGACAAAAAGGCTTACCAGCTTTCTTTGCTGCTCGAAACAACACTTCTTCGATGAGATGTTGTGCAGGATCTCCTTCAGGAAACGAAGAGATGAACAACTCAACTTCAGAGACAGCTTCTTCATTGGTGAAGTATTGGTAGAGTCCATCAGAAGACAATATTAAGAGTCTGTCTCTTCGGCTGAGTTTGTGGTGGTAGACTGATGGTATACAAGTGAGGTAGGGAGCAGTTCCAACATAGTTGAGCCTAAACATCTCTAGCAAAGCATCATTCCATTTTGGCTGCAACAAAACCAAACCAGATGTTAATGGTTATTCAAAAATGGGCAACAATATGCACAAACAATTGAAATTATAAGATCACAGCTGACAAATATATCACATTTTGTGAACAAGAGCAATTCTCATTCATGTGACATTTATCAAGTAATGCACTTGTTGAGGTTCCTCATACCTGTTTGAGAAAGCCAGCTCCGAAGGCCCGAGTGACCTTCAAATAACCTTTCACTCTGTCATTCATTATTGCAGAAGCATCGTCAGGATGTTCATTCTTTATTCTTTGAACTTCCTGAGATTTGAAGAACTTGAGTCTAGTCTCAAAATAAACCATCAAAACAGAGAATATAAGCACAAAAAAGCACTCTTCTTTATAGAGAGGTGTTTTGAGAAAAGAAATATTACCTCTTTCACATATGTGCTGTGATCCATTGTGAGCTGAAGTGCAGTCAAATTATTCAAACTGTAACTTTCATCAGCATTTGATGAATCAAGATCATCTGAAGGCTCTTCACTAATCCTTTCCAAGTTCCGCCGCATGTTGGGTTCGGCTTTCCGAGCTAAAACCGCCCTACTATCCCCAACATTCATCAAGTAAACATCATCTCCCTTCATCAACATCACCAAAACACAAGAACCCATCAGAGCCAACTCAGGATTTTCTGTCACCATCTTATCTGCAGTATCCAAAAATGTATCCTCTGTTTTTTTTAGGGCCTCTGAAAGAGCTTTAAGAACATCTTTAGGATCAGGAGACGCCGCACCATTTGACACTGGACGTTTCAAATTCTCCTTTAGCTTCCTATCAAGCTCTGGCCTTTCTCTATCCCATTCACACTTCCACCGCCTCTGAGTATCCTCAAGCTTATTTCCCAACCCATTGCTCTGTTTTCTCTTTGAATTACCATCTGCATTAATATCCCCATTTTCTAATGCATAATTCTCCCCATGAACTCCATGAACCATCCCATTACTCATCTGGGGCCGATCAATTTCTTTTAAGGAACCCGAATCCAGGTACGAATTCGATGATTTTACTGCCGATGATTCGGTTTCCATTTCCATTTCGAACTTGTCATTCCAGAGCAACCCTTTGAGTTCCTCGTGCACAGCAGAGTAAAGATTAGAAAGTAAATAATCGGGGGCATCAGGGCCATTAAAACCATCATAAATCCCCACAAAAACCCAGCCATGCTCCTCTGAAACCACAACATGAACTCGATCCTCACCCGCTTTCCCTTGCGCCCAATGAAGATTTTGGCTCCCCATTGAGTAATCTCCACTGCAATCTTCATTCTCATTGCTCAAACTCACATGGCTGCTCAAATTAGTGCTACTCGGAGTCGCATTCCCACCACCCATCTTCTCCGAATCCGATTCTTTGACCAATACGCCTCCCTTTACCGGCGCAACACTCGATCTCTGCCCACGACTCACAGCACTTGAAATCGCTCTTCTTATAATCTTCATCAAGCTCCTTTTGGGTTTGGTTTCAATCCCAAACGAGAGACTTCTCTCTAATCTCTCGCACTCTTTCTCAATCGGACCCGAATACAACCCACGATCAATCGGACCCGATAAGTACCCTCGCTCTATGGGGCCCGATAAGAACCCTCTCTCGAACGGACCCGAACTCGCAACTCCCTGGTACGACTTCCGGGGCACCGGCTGCAGAGGTATGGAAGCGAACGAGGTCGAGCTCTCGAACCTCGCCGCTCGGTCGCAGCCGGCGCTGTACGGATAGAGATCGCAGAGAGAAGTGGAGAGAGGGGTGAATGTGTTGGCGCTGACTGAGGCTCCGGAGATTGATCGGAATGTCGTCGTCGGCGGGTTCGGGTCCTCCGACGAAACCTTCGACGACGACGTTTCGGAGTCCGGCCGGAAGTAGCAAAACGAATGGCCAAAACCCTCGTCGAGTGGGTCCAGTACGCCGACGGAGTTGTCGTGTCGCTGGGATATTTCTCCGGCGGTGCAGAAACAGCGACCAGCTTTTGCGACGCGGTTTCCCATTCGAAATGAGAAAACGAAAAAAAAAATGAAGGAAAGAATTGGGTTTTGTTGATTGGAGTGTTTGAAGGTGTTAAATTTGACTGTTCATGGCTCTCGGCGCAATTAGCAACTCAAACGGAGGAGGGAATGAGGGAAGTCACAAATAAATGGTTTTTGTTCTGTGAAGAGAGAGAGAGAGGAGGAGGGAGAGAGAGAAAGAGTTGACTTTTTGAATGTGGGCTTTCAGTTTCTTTGTTTACTTGTTTATTACTTTTCTAAAATGGTGTTTAATTTAATATAAAATGGGTTTGAATTTATTTTAATCATGTATAGAGGGGGTTGACTATGAGTTGGGGGGTGTGGTTTTAGTAAAAGCGTGTGGGGTTTGAGCAGAAACTTGTGATTAATTAATGGGTTTTCAAAAAAGTCAACAATACAAACAATGGTAATTCATGCTGCTGCTTGTGAGCTTCTGTCACTCTGCATCACAATAAGCTAAACATCACGCATTGGCCTGGCACGGGGGCATGGAGGGAATGACCTTGTGGTTTAATTAATTAATTTTTTAAATTTTATTTGTAATTCTTGTTTCGTTTCGTGACTTAAGGCCAGTTTGGCTTTGCTGTGCTGTGAAAATAATCGTTGTCATATTTGGTGTGAGAGAAAGCAGTTTAGCATTTGATAAATTTTTTGTTAAAAGTGTTGTTAGTACTGATTCTCACATAATTAGAAAATAACTCACGCATAACTGTTTTCCCTTAACGTGCAATTTCTCTCTTATATTGTTATAATAAAAAAGTGCATGATGATATTTTTTGAAATACTGATAAATTTGTTATGCTGTCATTAACTTTCACTCTCTGTTAAGAGAAGGATTCAAGTCTAAATTTGTAATGGTTATTTGTTGATTTGGTAAGATTCAAACTAAGAAATGGTAAAAAAGGATCTTTAACAAGATAATATTAGGAAGAACATTAAAAAAAGATGAATAGAGAATCTGATCCCCTGAAAAAGTAAGATTTTAAATCAAAAAAAAATTCGAAGCAGTCATTCGAATTCTTATGTAGCAAGTACAGCCCCATGTTTCCATTCATCATTCATGCTAAAGTCATACGTTTTTATTTTTGAAGTTCTTATGATGAAGTTATGGAGTTGACTTTGTTGCAAGTGGGAATTGGACTTTTGGGTACTTTTTGTTGAAGATGAGATTAATTAGAATGGATCTTGCATCCCAAAATCTGACAACCAAACAAAAAGAATAAAGCAAGTGACAAAGCCTTTACCACAAGCATATTAGAATTTAGAATATTATTTTATAAATGTAAGGATTTTGCCATTTGGTGCTTTTATACGCACTTCATTCCCTGCCCATATGCATCCCATTCCCATGGTTTCCTAGTTCTTATCGAAATTGGTCGTGCATGTTTTTTTTAGTGTCTAAAATTAAACCTCAATCAATTAAATATTCGAATATCCAAATTAACAGTTAATTTGGAATGAAAAATCTACTCTGACTTTGATCCCCAGTGTATGAATGATGAATGTTAACTCTCTCTCTCTCTCTCTCTCTCCTCTCTCTCTCTCTCTCTCTCTCTCATTGTTTGTGCAAATAACAAGCATCACATAGGCTTCTGAATAATTATGCACGGTGCTATTTTAGGGAATTAGTTAGTTTTATAAAGTTAAATTACTAACTAGGCTATTCCGAATCCCAAAACATTAATTTCAAATGATTCATCTTGTTTCAAATTCGTTTCGGACACAATTCAAAGTCAAACATTTTTTGGATCATGCAATCTAAATGGATTCTTTCAACTTCGAAATCCAGATATTGCTTATGGGAATCCATTTGTTTTGTTTCTTTTTTCTCCTTTGAAAGTAAAAAAGAAAAAAACAGCCTAAATGGGCTGAACTGATCATTGGATCAGAAAACATATTTATTGGTGGCCCATGCTTGTCCTGCAACATAAATATCAAAATTTTATATTATTGCTAGAGATACGAGAAAATTAGCCCAAAAACTTGCATGCAAATAAGACGAATCAATTGCATTTAAGCCCTCTTAAGGGAAGCACACATCAATTAAGAAAACATTACATCACAAAAAAGGGAAGCACATATCACACACATCTTGGCTGACTTTTATTAATTCTTCTTGTTTTCCTATCTAAGCACATTTTGCCTAATCAGTCATAGAAATTGAGGAATGATCCTTCAAATTTTATAACAACTTACATATCTTTCTGTGTTTGAACAATATTCCTATGATAGGCACGTCAAAATGCGTTTGTTGTTCAACAGTCACAAAAATAAAAATTTTGGAATGATTTTAGGTATCCGTTTGTAGTAACCAAATCATTAGCTAGAATGTAGCGTCCACCCCTTTATATCCAAGGTCGAACAACCCTTCGAATAGATTCGAGTAGTTTAGCATTGTAAAATTTAAAAAAAAATTAGAAAAAAATCTTTGAACGCATTTGAAAATGTTAATTGGTACTACTAGAGAAAGAGTTGGCGGGTAAAGTGGGAAGAAGAGTAACTAATTAAGGAATGAACGTAAAGACCAGGAGTAAAATGAGACCCCAACCCGAAAACACAGGTGGAAGGGGGGCCGAGTTCCCAATACTTTAGGGGGTCTTCAATTTTTACTTTATTTTCTCATCTAATCTGCTTTTCAACCTACGGACAAACAAACACGAAAGCTTCTCCAGTTCTTGTCCTAAACGTTCATATGGGTGGCTGCTGCCATGAGGCTGGGGGACTCTGTTTTAGCTCACGGTTTTGCATTATTCATTCAATGGTATGAACTATGATTAATAATGATAATTACTGCTTACCCTTTTGTTTTTTCTCTTTATTTTCTATGATTTTTGTTGTGGGATCAATTTAAAAGGCAGGAGAGGTGGAGATTGTTTGTTTTTTTTTTTTTTTTTTTTTTTTTTTTTTTTTTTCTTTTCATTCATCCTTCCAATGTATTTCAAACTTAAAATCATCTGGGAAGTATTGAATTTTTCTGAAAACTAATTTAGAATCTAGATGCATCTTTAGTTTCCCGTAATCATTTACCCTCTATGAGCATCAACCAAACTCAGATTAGGTGGAATGCCTTATGAAAACAATTGAAAGGAATTTTGCTGCTTTAATTTGTTGTTTGGGGTATAGAATAGATTACATGTTGTTTATTTGGGCCCTGACCTCTTTGATGGCTAAATATATGCATCATTGCACTCAGTGTTGAGGAATTGTTAATACATTGAACTGAAACTCTCTCTCTCTCTCTCTCTCTTTCTCTCTCTCTCTCTCTCTCTCCAGATGTCAAGCATTTTGTATTTGATACATAGTGTTCACTATTATTGTGCCCAATTCAAAATATACAATGGAATTCCTTCATATATGCTTGTAACTTGGATCAGGTTTGAAGCTTGAAGCTGAAGCTATTGGTCTCAGTCCGAGAGTAAGGTTTGGGAGGTGAATTTCATCAACCATGGGGAAGAATTTGCGAGACGAAAACTCTAACAATCCATCAGGGAATGAGCATTCAGCAGGGTGCGTGTGGGGCCTACTTCATATCATGAAGTATCACCACTGGCATTATGTCAAGAAAAGACTTGTGCACAAGAGGCATCGCTGGAACAAGCATGCTGCGGGTAAGTAAAGTGGCTCTGTATGTATATTTAGTGTGTGAAAACTTGGTGCTGGAAATTATGACCGGGCTCTGGGAGGTGAAAACTTTGGTCTGCTTTACTGCAGGAGTTGGAGATCCTGGAAACGATGCAAATGCCTCTACGCAAGATGCCTCTATGCAAGAAGAAAACGATGCTAAGATTGACAAATCTACTGTAAGTTTGAGCAAAATAACTTTTGTTTGCATGCATTTAGTTGCATTTGAATAAGTGAATAAACGAAAGCATCCTTTGGTTTGAAACTAATCAGGATGAAGGAAAGATGAGGCAGTCCATTCCTACAGTCAAGAATGTCAAGGCCCGAATAAAAGCACGGATTGCTGGAGAGATATCGAAGAAGAAGGGACGACATAACCGGAGTTCAAGCTGTCCTGCAAGATCACAATTGAAGCGAACTGAATCGATCCATCATTTGGAACCACCGTCTCACCTGGATCCAATTGCTGACATGGTATTGAATGAGGGAAGTCCTAGAATTTTTCACCGAAACAATAAAAACTCTGATGCTGCAAGCAAACCAGAATCACTGCCCACGACATCCTACGAAGAACCAACTAGTGGCAACAACAATTGCGGAGAGAGTTGCCCAATAGTTCTTGGAGATCACAAAGTGCATGAGCAGGTTGATGAGAATCAACAGGATCACACACTTATTCAAGATAAGCTAGACGATAACATGATGCAAGATATGCTAGAGCAGAAGTTGATACATGTAAAAGAACTAGACGCAGATGCTTCCCTACACCATCTAAAGGAGTATCTGGAGGCTTTGGATATAATCAATGTAAACAAGGAGTTATTAGTAAAAATCTTACATGATCCAGGCTCTCCTTTGGCCCAGCACTTCCATAATCAGCAAGCAGTTGGTGCAAAAACGAGTTTAAGTAAGTCAGAGTCATTCCCTGTACCTGGCTCTTCAGACAGAAGAGGTTCTGAGCCTATCAAGCTCAAGCACAAGCATGAGTTGATAAGGTCTCCTTCAAAAGAAGAAAGTAAGTCGAAAATTGGTAGTCAAGCACAAAAGTTAGCAGGGTCTACTTCTTTGAAATATGTTGGTGAACGGTCAATGCCATCGATCAATGAGTACAGTGAAGATGGAATTCTAAAGCTAAACCAAGCAATTGCTGATAATTCTTATTCTGGTTCTGCCGATAATGAAATGGCAATTAAGCGTTTTAAGGATCTTAGACAGAAAATAAAACATGTAATCAAGGAGAGCAGAAAAGAGAGACATATGATTACTATGGATGCCCTCCTTCACAAGATTCCTCATGGCCAAAAGCTTACTAAAGAATTGGAGCAGGAGATCGATAACCATTCGAAGGACCTTGCAATGAGTACAGAAGGTAAAGACAGTCCAGGAAGCAGTTATGAAAGCGATCATTCGGTTTCTTCCCTCAAGAAAAAGAAACAGCGCCACATGAGAAGAGCATCTTCCCTCAATGCATCACTTGATAGGTACTGTCAGTTGTATGAGACTAGTTGCAGCAGAGAAGCCAAAGGCCATACATCTGAGAGATTGAAATTAAGAAAAGAAAGGGTAGACTCACCTTTGCAGCCTGTTCTGAAAACGCTCGGGAGGATTTTTTCCTTACCTGAAATTAAATCATACAAGTATCAGAGTGAGGAATCTTCTGATGTTTTTTCTTCTGGAGCTCCAACACGGTTTGCTGTGGATGGCAGGGCAAGCAGAAGAAGTAGCTTTGATGAACAAAATAGTCTAGACATCCCTATAGGTTCAGAAAATCATTTGCAGCTAGATGCTCCTGTAGAAAGTAAGACAGAAAACTTGGCTGAAGTTGGTGAGTTAAAGGTGGCATCAACATCAGTTGCAAACAATGAGGCAAGTGCTCCGGTGGATTCGATTTTTGATGATATTGGAAACCTAACAGCAGGGAACAGTGTTTCTTATGTGGAACTAAATGTTGAGCCTAGAAGTGAGTCCATTATTAATCATGCAGATCCCTTTCCAATCTCTGTGCCTGACTTCACTGTTTCCCTATCTGAAGGTTTGTGTTTTCAATTTTCATCAATAGCTTTTACTTCAATGTTTACATCATCTCAAACCAAGTGCATGCATTCTTCAAAACTTTAAATTTTTGTTTGCTCTAACAACCAGTATGTTTTAAGAATCTGTAAGCGTCTGTTTGGATTGAAGGATTTGGATTTGACAAGGCTGAATTTTCTACAAAAAGAAGAACTGGATTAGATTGAATGTATTTTGAAATAAGTAGATGTAGAACATTTGAAATGACTACATATAAGGAATCATTTGAAATTTATTTGTTTTTTTTCCTTTCTTTCTTGTCCACATCTTGGCATACATGGATTGTAATAGTCTATGCAAACAATTTTACCTTATAATGTCACCTAAATCCATAGATTTGGAATCCCTCAATCCAAATGGGGAATTATCAGATTATTAGTCTTTAAATCTTGGCACTTAACGATCAAACAAGCATTTTTCAGTGTAGAAAATGTTATTTGCATTCAATTAGATTTCCCATTTAAACCGTTCTCGTATTTTCTTGCATCGATCAAAAACTTGTGACCTTTGGGGTTGAAATGGATCATGCTTTGGACATTGGATTTATAGGAGCAGAAATGAAGCTAAAGCCTAGAGATGGACTAGAGAACTTGGCCAAGCAAAGTGAAGAGCCTGTTCTTGATACCCCTAAGGTGGTTCACAGTGGACTGGATACAGAGAAAACAGAGAGTCACAGCAAGCATTTGAGTTATGACATGTCTCATCTTCAAGTTGATGCAAGAGACATGGCTGAATTTAACTATGTGAGAGATGTGTTGGAGCAATCTGGGTTCAATGGGAATGAGTCCCTCGGGACTTGGCATTCAGATGACCAGCCGGTCGATCCTTTAGCGTATGAAGGTGTCGAAGGCTGCTTGGTCCATGATCCTGATTGTTCAGGAAATGAAGAAGGTGGCAAATGTGATCACTTTCTGTTGTTTGATCTGATCAATGAGGTACTGATGGAGATATATGGGAGGTCATACACTTACTGTCCCATGACCTTGTCTTCTCTATGTAACATCCCTCTAATGCCAGCAGGGCACCACGTTCTCAAGCAAGTATGGGCCCTTGTAAGTTGGTACTTGAGCTTGAGGCCAGAGTTTGATCAATCATTGGATTATGTTGTGAGCAGCGATTTGGCGAAGAATGATGGGTGGATGAACCTCCAATTTGATTCTGAGTGCATAGGAATTGAGCTTGAGGACCTGATTTTTGATGATCTTTTAGAGGAAGTTAGCTTGAGCTTGTGGATGGATCAGGTTCCTTCCTAAGGTGCCTTCACCTTGCTTTACATTATAGTTCATGAGAAGAGTACAGGGACAAAGATTAGCAAGAAAATTAATTCTTTTTATTTATATTCATACATTATGTACAGTTAGTGAATGAGTAAATTGTTGTGTATATTTGCTGCTCAACTAATCAATCAAAATAAATTTCAATCACTTGGGCAATTTTGTTGATCAGCCTTCATTCAAACTCCTAAGGAGATATATCTATCTGATATTGGTATCTTCTATCTTCTTGGCTGGCTTTTGTTCTTGGGAATTTGGTTTCAGTGCAATTACCCACCATCATTTTGGTGGAAGGTGAAAGCTTAGTTACTAGTAAAATCATACAAGTAATATTGGGAAACACGATTTATTCTTAATTACTTAAGTTACAAATTTTTTGGACCGAGACTGCAATCTTACGAGAGTGCCATATATATAATCATAGAAGCAAAGACTATCGCCCTTTATTATATCAAACTGATTGATGGAATCCTTGAATTGGTTCTTTTCCTGGTCTCTTAGACAAATTTAAAGTAATGGTGATTTTACACAAGAGACTTGTTCCTCTAATTGTTTAATTGTTTAATATGCAATGTTTCAAAAGTAATGATGAATAAAAGTAGAAAGAAAACAAAACTAAAACGAATAAAAGGTGCTCAAACACCTTCAAATCCCGAATCATTAACATTAATTATCACCTCAACTCAATATAATTCCTCTTTTCTCCTTTTGGTATTATAGAGGCCAAAGCTCCAATCCCAATGCAATTCCTAGATTGGACATGGCTTGACGCAAAAACAAAAAACGAAACTTTACTTCCTTGTTCCTACTCACAAACAAGTAAACATGAGAAACCTCTCATTCAAACGACCAATTACGTATCAGCATCCCATATATGTCCTGCAAGAATATAAGCAAAACCAAATTACCAATAATTATCAAAGAGAGAGCCCTTTCTTTTTTCTTTTCTTTTTTTTACCAGAAGAGATATAAGTACACGGTTGCTGTAAATAAATGACTAAATCTAATTGTTGACTTGCCTGACAAGTATGAAGACATATGTTCAAGTCCTCTGATTCAAAGACAGTAGGCATGCCTGGCTCCAAGATTGTTTCATGATTATCTTCGACATGGTATGGGCCAGGGTTTGGAACTTGGTCCGCAGAAAGGTTGGGAACTTGGTTCGCAGCAGGTTCCGGCACTTCAACTTGATAAGGAAGTTGATCTTGATCGTGACCTCCATCTTGTTGCTGCACACATTGAAATAAACAATTTTGTGGGGGGAGAGAGAGAGAGAGAGAGAGCTGAAATAATATATATTAGCAAGAACGACAGAATATCATAAATTTCTGGTTTATATGTACCTGAGGAGGAGGTTGATAGTTGTCCTGCCCATCCGTGAAAAGATAAGCGGGCATCATGAAGTTATCATGAAGATGTCTATTGGAATTTTCAACATTTCCTCCTCCAACATTGATATTTGGCAGACCACATTGGTCATTAAAATTCCCTTCTGGGGGTGGCAACACTGGAACATTTTGTTGCTGATCAAGATCACCATTGTTGTCAGGCAAATTTGGAGGGAATTGGTATGCAGAACTAGCACCAGTCTCAAAACCAGCAGAACACGACGACTGCCAATAAACTCCGAATTGATTCACATCGTTAAAATGAGACCCCAAGTTATCAAAGCTCGAAGACATTGGAGTAAAATTCGAACCGTTCTGATTTACTGATGTAGCAAGGTTGTAGCTGAATGGGTTATTGGTCCCTGGCTGGCTTTGTAGTGGGTATACTTGCATCAGATTATTTGTCCCAGTATTATTGTTGGTAAGTCCAACATTATTCATTGGGTCAAAAGACATACCTCCATTTTCAAAATTGTTACTCGGTTGTTGCATTCCAAAAGCTGCCGGGCGGTTTTCTTGAAAAAACAGCTGATCCCCATTACGATTACCAAGCGTTGGTTGCTGGCGCGGAATGGATCTGCTGCTGTTGCTAGTTGAAGATTGCTGATCATTAGAGAATTGGATGAAGCCGTGGCAGTTGGAAGCAGCAGCAGTAAGAGGTGGGGTGGTTCCAATTCCAGCTGAGGGTTGAACTTGAAATGTAGAGCCAACTGATGTTTCCATTTGCTGTTGGTTCAGGAGCTGTGAGTGAGGTTGGTCTCGTTCGTTACTGTTGAAGAGTAGTTCTGGGTGGCCACGTGCGAAGCTTGACCTGCTCAACATATCACGCATGTCTTCGTCCCCCGCATCCGCAACTTCCTTCTTCTCCAAGAATATACGATACTTCTGGAAATTCATATACATGCGCAAACCATCATTAACTAACAAACATCTATACACGATGTATTTTTCAATAAACACTAAAATGATCATTAATACACCTATATATTTTCGTGTCCCATATTATCTTATTCTGTCAATTTTATCAATAAAACCGTTATCTTGCTAACATGCCATGGACATTTTAGTAATTAAAATATTTAAAATATAATAAAAACCAGTTATAAATATTTTTTAATCCAAAAAATTCTTAGTTTTATAAATTAGTTAAAAATCAATAAATAAATATATGTGTATATGTATATGCTTGCTGGGTTTCTTTTTCTTTTTGTAAGTTTTTTATTTTTTATATAAGTTTTTAAACAAATGCAACTTGCAAAATTACTAAATATTTTTACTCCTAATATATGAAAGGAAATAACATAAAATTAGGTAGTAATTCCATTAGTCTAATTGAATATTAACAAACCTGCAAATGACTACCCACACGCTTTGCGGTTAAGTCTGGCTCATTCATGAACCTGAGAATTCCCGTTGGCGTAGCGTCTGCAAGAACCCAAAAGGAAAAGAAAAACAAGAGGATGCAAATATTATTTAGACTGAAACACATATGATTAGAAAGGAAAAGAGAGTTGAGATGATTAGAAATAGGAAATTCCACGTACTGTCCAAGCCAATGTGTGCAATTGCCTGCATAAACTTTTCATGAAGTGATTTTTTCCACACCAATTTCCTCCTCCTTGGGGCAGCCGTACGTTCTTCATCATCGCCATACCCTTGGCTGTCCCGATTTCCATTTCCAAAGCCACCTTCTGCAATAATGGTAGAAATTATTAAGAGACTCAAGTAAAGAAAAACAGAGAGAGAAAAAAGAAAAAACAAATATGGCTTGGAAACTTACCAATTGGGCCAGAGGCATCACGTCCTATACGGTAAGCATAAATGCTTTGAAAGCAGAGAATGGGAACAGAGAACATAAGAGCAACGATTAAGACTGAAGCAGAGGCAGTGGCAGAGGCTGCCTCTGCAGAGGCAGAGGCAGAGGCATCACCTCCTATACGGTAAGCATAAGTGCCTTGAAGGCAGAGAATGGGAACAGAGAACAGAAGAGCAACGATGAAGACTGACTTGGAAGCCATTGTTGTGTATACTATTACTGAAATGGGAAATTGGGTCTGCACCCTTCACACCCAGTAGTGTCAACCAGGCTTACAGAGATGCAGGTTGAAATCTTAAAACCTGACCAAAGAAAGCGCGTCTTAAATAGTAGCAACTTTCCTTTTCTAAAATCTCCACAGATTATTTCGTCCAAAATAAAAATAAAAATCTCCATAGATTATAGGGATAATCACAAAAGATAAACCAATTGCCCTTCAAATATACTCGTAACATGAAAGTACCCAATTGCCCTTCATATAAATACATATGTATTGACCCTCTCTCGCATTCTCCCAAATCATCTTGCCCAGGCATGACTTCATATAAAATAGAGAGAGTAGCGGCCACGGCGACGACGTCGGTGGATTCTCCAAAGCCTGACCCAGACACTGACACTGAGCTCGATACCAATCCAAACCTTAACCCTAACCCTAATTATTCAAACTCGTTAGTCCCCGCCTCCTCCAATGGCACTAATGTCTGCCTTCTCAAGTTTGCCGGAGACTCTGCTGGCAGCGCATTCATGGGCTCCATTTTTCGCTACGTGCTCTCTCTCTCTCTATATATATATATATATATGTATACATGCGTATGGAGTGTAATGCTTTAATTGCTTAATTGTGGTGTTTCTATGTGGGAATTTGAGTGGTGCTGATATATGATTTTGAGTGTTTGACAAAATATGATTTTCGTTAATAGTGTTTTGGGCTTTGAGAAAGGGAGTGAATTTTCTCTTTCTGACTAACGAGCTATTGGAGTTTTTGGTTGGTTTTGTTTAGTGTTGCTAATGGTTGAGCTATGCTAGTGTTTTGAGATGTGAAGCTGTGGTTTTCTCTAATGGTTGAGCTATGCTAATCTTTTGTATTTTTCAGTTTGTATCACGTGGGTTTCTGTTCAGTATTGATATAGTGATTCTTAATACGCTTTCGGATATGTTTTCTGCTGAAATTCTTTATATCAAGTGTATGAATTTTGAATTCGAAATTGTTGCATTTGCCTTATCAAAACCTGATATGATATATCTTTGTGATTGATTTTGTTATATATGTTTGTGAATAATATTGTTTGTTGTGGGTTCCAAATTTTGAAAGTGCTATTATTTTGCTATATATGTGTGTGTGTGTGTGTGTGTTTGGTATCGAGCTCAGCGTCAGTGTCTGAGTCAAGCTTTGGAGAATTCACCACTCTCTCTGTTTTCTATGAAGTCATGGCTGGGCAAAGATTTGGGAGAGTGCGAGAGAGGAGAGGAGAGAGTTGGGAGAAATTGGGTTTCAGAAAATATGAATTTTTGAGGGGATATAGAGTCAATACATATGTATTTATACGAAGGGCAATTGAGTACTTTCATGTTATAAAGTGAGCATCACGTGCATTTGTTTATTTTTCGAGAAGGAAGCTTCCAAGTTCCAAGTTGACTAACTGCTAGTTTGATATTGATGTGTCTAGAGAATAATGGACGGCTGATTCCTGAATCTGGGGGATCTATGGGAATATTCCTCCTGTAATCATTATTGAAGATATACTCTATATTTCTATAAGTAGGACGGTCGGTCCAATAAAAAAACGAGAGATGAGGATCACATATTAAAAACCCTTAACTTATATAAAGTCACAACACACTCCCTCTCAAATGATTGAGGGAGTCAAGATCTGGCGGGAGAAAAAATGAAAAAATAAATGAAGATGAAATAAAATAAGAGATATTTAGTAATATACCCATTCTTAGCACTAAAACTATAAATAAACCCTACATCATTTCATTTTTATAAACATACCCAAAAAAAACCCAAAAAATGACAAATGGTACAATTAAATTTAATTTTAATTATTAAATTACTTTGATATCCTATTGAGTGTTTTGGGCTTTTTTATGAAATTTTGGGTTGGGTTTGTTTTAAGAAATCAAATGGCAATTTTGTAATTTAAAAGAAGTTAAAAGCCTTTTTGTTATGTTATAAATGGGTTTTGGGTGTGTTTATAAATTCCATTTCATATAGGGTTTTTTTATAATTTGGGCTCCTATATTGGGTATATTAGTGAATCTCCCATAAAATAATGGGAGATTCACTTTTTCCATTCTTTTCTGTTGTGTGTTTACGTAGGCTACTATATGCTAGAACTGTCAACAGATTATCAGATCCATTAATACACATAAAATTCTCATAAATAAATATTCTTTTATACCTTCTCATAATTTAGCAAAAGGAGAAAGATAAGAGAGAGTCGGTTGAAAGAGTTCATAGCGGGTTGGTGAAGGAGGCCCATTCTGAAAATTTCTCATTGTGTTCTAATTTTGTATATTCTAAGAAGAAGAAAAAATGAAATTGAAGATGAAAATTAGAACAAAATAAAATTGATATAGTAATAAACTTGTTTGAAAAATATCAAATTTTCTATACGATTCAAAGCTTTCCAAAAACCAATCTGACTATCTTGTAGAATTGGAACATTACTGTTGCTAGTTTTCGTGGGAGTTGGTATCGTTTTCTCGAAAATTCTATATTACATTGGTGGTATCAGTGCAGGCATTCATCCAAGGGCTGATATTTCACTTTAAAAATCAAGGGATGAGATTGAATGACCTAAAGACCTACTCAACCCTTTCTTATTAAACCTCACGTGAGTCGCACGTGACTGAGAAAAGGAAAAAATTTCGACGTGCAAGTCGGCAGACGAGGGGTTGTGATGAGGTAGAATACAGGTCAGGTTATGATAATGGATCTAATATGAAAGGAAAGAACTTAGTTGTACAAAAAAGATTACTTGACATAAATCCTAGAGCATTTTATATGTCATGTGGTTCTCACTGTCTTAACTTAATACTTTGTGATATGGCCAAGTCATGTGTTAAAGCAAAATCTTTTTTTGGAGCATGTCAATGCATATATACAGTATTCTCTAATTCAACAAAACAATGGAATGTATTACTTGATTATATAGATTGTTTAACTTTGAAATCATTGTCAACTACACATTGGGAAAGTCACATTAAAAGTGTCAAAGCAATAAAATCACAAGCTTCCTAAATCATAGATGCTTTATTCAAATTAGTGAAGATGCCAAATTGAGTAGGGATGCTCAAAGTTTAGCATCAAGTTTTGACTTTATATTAAGCTTGGTTATTTGATATGACATATTGCACAAGATTATCTTAGTAAAAAATTACAATTTGAAGACATGCGTCTTGATGTTGTTGTAAGACAATTAAAAGGACTTGTTTCATTTTTTGAAAACTATATGATAAATGGGTTTATTTATGCCATGATTGATGCTAAAGAAATTGCATTTGATATGGGAATTGAGCTTGTATTTCCTAAAAAACGTCAAATGTGTAGAGATACTAAGATTAGTGTGTAGATGCTTAAAGAGATAAATACACTGACCAAGAAACTTTATTTATCAATCAAACGATACCTTTTACATTATGAACGACAGAGTCGTTCGTGATGTAAATTGACTTGTTTGTTAGGTAAATTGCTCGACGAACACGATAGTTTACTTTGAGAACGTAAGATGTTCATTTGTTGGGTAAAAGTGGTCGCTCCTTTTGTAAATTGACCAAGAGACCTTATTTAACAATCCAACGATACATTTTACACCATGAACAACTTAGTCGTTTGTGAGGTAAATAGCCTCATTCGTTAGGTAAATTACTAAACAAACCTGGTATTTTACCCCAAAAACGTAAGGTGTTCGTTTGTTAAGTAAAATTTATCGTTCCTCGTGCAAATTGATCAAGAGACCTTATTTACCATTCCAACGATACCTTCTTGGCTAGCTTTTGTTCATGTTGCAGGCTTCTGTTCTTGGTTCATTGCAATTCCCCACCATCATTTTGGTGGAAGGCAGGGCCGGCCTTGGCCCAGGGCCCAATTGTATAATGGGCACAAAATTTTCTCCTCGGACCATTATGTATTTGCCAAACAAAAATAAAAAAGAACACGTATAAGAAAAAACTCCACGTATTATATACATAGGAAGCGTGCTCTTGAGAAGGGCTATCGACGCACTCCTACTCCCTTTTTTTTTTTTGGTGTTTTTTTTTTTTTTTTTTTTTTTTTTTTTTTTTTTTTGGATCAGATTTGCTTTGATCCAAATATTGCTCGGCCAAATACCAAACTCTCATATAAGTCGCTCGCAAATATCATGTCCTTGGACTCTGAAAATATCTATAGGATGACTAAAAATGTCTAAAGGGGGATGAATAGGCCAATTTAATATTATATTCAATAAACAAAAATTAAACTTTAGTAGTAGGATTGATATTGCTTATCAATCCTATTAAAGATAAGATTAAGATAAAAATACTTCGAGTGAAAATAACTCAAATTAGAAATCTGATAATGAATGCATGATTATGTCATGATTTACCTGAAATCAGTTTCTCATATCGGTCAAGTTATGCATCGGAAGTATGAGGTTGAACGAGTTGTGTCAAAATGTCCAGTAACAATTCTTCACACACTAATTTTCAACCTATGCTTGAGCCTAGGAAATGACAATACAAATTTCTTACTAACAACCTCTCTGTATCAAAAGTTATAGGTAACTAAAGAATATTTTTGAAATAATTTCTTCAGATGAACAAGATATATCATTCTTATTATCTCTCTTTTTCTTTCTTCATCTGTCATCATCTATTCTTCTCCCAATTTTCTCTCTTCTTTTGCCCCAAATCATCATCTAATCAGCTGTTTTTATTTGATTGTGTTGATATAAATTAATAATTAGTTACATTAATTCTATAGGGACACTAACTTAAATTTTCGCCTGGGGCCTTATAAAACTCACGACCGGCTCTGGTGGAAAGCGGCAGAACAAAGGCATGCTTGTATTGGGAAAAGCATCAAGCAATGCAATGCATGTGCCTGAAAAAGAGATAAAGAAAAACTGATGGATTTTATGAGGCGCATCTACATCAAAAGTGATATTCCACAATCCACAGCAAACGGACGACAGGAATTTGGGGCCCACCACAGTAAACTTAGCATCACTGAGAAAGGACGCGGGCCCAACTGTTGCATAATCCTGTTTGATGGACCTTCCCAATATTACAAAAAGAGAGAAGTATGGAGCTCTAACACTGACTGGTCTTGTAGCCCATGTGCTGTACCCTCTAGTTTCTAAATAAATACCGTGAGTGGATACAAGTAATATTGAGAAATATGATTTATTCTTAATTACTTAAGCTACAAATTTTTTGAATCGAGACTGCAATCTTACGAGAGTGTCATATATAAAATCATAGAAGCAAAGGGTTACTTAGCTACAATTTCTTTAGACTGAGACTGCAATCTTATGAGAGTGTCATATATGTAATCATAGAAGCAAAGACTAGCACCCATTATTATATCAAACTGATTGATGGAATCCTTGAATTGGTTATTTTCCTGGTCTCTTAGACAAACTTAAAGCAGTGGTGATTTTACACAAGATACTTGTTCCTCTAATGGTTTAATTGTTTACTATGCAATGTTTCAAAAGCGATAACGATAGAGAGTGCAAATATCTTATCTATTCTAAGCCTTTTGGTACATGAGGGGACATTGTTTCACAAGTTTGCTTTCGAGCACACACATGAACGGCTGATAATTGAGCTTTGTACAATAATTTAAAATGTCCCATTTGATAAAGTACAAAAATCATCAATACCCACCTCCAAAATAGATGCTGTGTTGAAGAACCCACCACAACATATCATTGTTATATTTTATAATAGGGTAAATTGTTGAACACTCATCTGAACTATCACGCTTGTTGAAATTTTTACAATGAATTAATTTTTCAACCAATTTAGTCATTGTGTTAAATTTATTCGCTAATTTCACCATTGTCGTCAGCTTTTGCACAATTCCATCTAAATGTCCGTCAAATATAAGGGTAAATTTGACATTTTACAAGGTATCGTATTAAGAAGAATAAGGAAAATGTAATATAATATATTTAAAAGGTATAGCCGCCCGGCTATACTGGCATCCCTTATCCTCGCTTTATATTCCACATTCAGACTCACCACAGCCTCAAATTCACCACCTCGCCATAACCTGCCCTAGTCCGAATATGGGATGTGGCTGTGTTATGGCAGGATTTTGGGTGGGGTAGAGAAAGAGAGAGAGAAAGGTGGTGGTCTGGTGGGCTTTTATGTGGGGCTACCGTTGGGTGTGTAGGCGGTGGGGGAGGGATGTGGAACAGCTATAAGAGAAGAAAGAGAATGTTTGAAAGGGGAATCAATGGGGGGAGACCAATTATTGCAGATTTGATTCCTCATCAGTGACAGGATTGCAGATCTTTGAAAAAAAAACTTTGATGAGGGTTGGTATCCAAAGCTTCTGGATGCATATCTGGGTTGCATTGTTTTGTTGTTTCGTTGGTTTGGTTTTGGTGGTTTTGGTTTTTGGTTTTTTTTTTTTGTTTTTTTTTTTTTTTTTTTTTCCGAACTTTTGGCTGTTTACAAAGAAAGAGAAGAGAGATGAATAAGAAGAGAGAAGAAGGATCAAGAGATTTGGGTTGCAGGTTTGGCATGTGCCACGAGATTTGGATGGAAATTGCCAAAAACTAACAGTGGGGGTAAATTGGCGATAAATTTTAGTACAAGTGCTAAATCGGCTGAAAAATTAATTTAGAGTGTAGATTTTAACTAGCGTGATAATTCAGGAGGGTATTCGGCAGTTTACCCTTTATAATATCAGACAATAAGATACTATTCATTTAAATTGAAGAGTCGTGTTATCATCAAATGTCTATGCACACGTGAAAAATTTCCTCAACCGACTTACAATATGATTATCATCAAGTCACAACATCTAGTGATGCACACGTGAAAAATTTCCTCAACCGACTTACAAAATGATTATCATCAAGTTACAACATCTAGTGATGAGCATAATCGCAACTGAATCCTACCACATCATAACTTATAAGTTGGTGACAAAAATTGGTTACAATGTATGCTTTCAAGGACTGAGACTTGATATTAGGGTTGGGTAACAAGTCATTCTCAGTGAACATATTGAGGGGGCCTAAAGAGTCAACACATAGACTTCAATTAAGTTGACTAGTATTGCTTCTTTACCATCATAACCAAATGCAACAGATCTGGCATGGCCCTGCGTGTGCCTTTCGATGCATTTCTTTCTCATCTTTAAACCTCTCTTTTTCAGCTTTCTTCACCTCCTCTTTACTTTACTTGATTAGAATTTATTAAGTACTAGGATATACATATGATTTGTTCGTGCATGTCACGCCCACATGGAGCTCGTCTTAATGAAAAACATAATCCCACTAATTAGGCATTGCCTAAAATCCAAGCAAACCGTTCAGGGAAGTCAAGCCAAGCTTGGCCATTACTTCTTGACGTCAATTATTGCTTGCATCAAAGCATAAATGATATAGTTTGGGTTGGCACAAACCTAAACCACCAAGGATTTTTTACCAAAAAAAATCTACCAAGGGATTTGGGATCATTTGGTATTGCTTCTCCAAGGAGCACTTGTGCTTATAAGTATTTTTATTAGAATAACGTAGAGATTTTCATAAGAAATCCAAGTATTTCTCCGAAAAATACTTCTATGATTCATAAGAATTTCTAAATTTTTTTGTTAACTCTGTCAATAGCGCTTTTGGTTATCAAAAAACGCTTTTAATCCTTCTAAAAGTGCTCCCCAACATACCATTTTCTTCACCTTATTGTGTAATTTCCGAAACTTCAATTTATATTACTTATGTAATAAGTTATGCTACTTGCATCAACTATTAACTCACTGGTTCACTGAAAATAGAGATAAAAGGTGCTTAGAGTTATTGGTACTGAATATGTGACGATGATTTTATTTCGTTTACATCGTAATTTTCTTTTCTGTGCTAAGATATCTGTGATTGCTATTTTACCGCCCCACATTAGCTATTTTATTTTCTATAATCATGCTGGATAGTATAGAATTCCAGCTGTTGTTATAGGTTTTTTATTTTTTATCAAAGTGAGATAACTTCATTGAAACAACCACTGTTGTTATAGGTTAAAAAAAACAAAGATATTTTCAAGGATTTATAATTTACTATATTTTCCATATACTCAAACACTAATGGGCAGATAGGATCACACGTATATGATTGATCACTGAGGAGGTAAGCCATGATGGCACGTAACAGGCATGCACATCATCTTCATCAGAACCGTTGATCACAATTTGATCTTAACCATCAGCAATCCGACGGTGGAGAAACTTAAAAGAAGAGGTACAGTTCTAGAAGACACCACCCGCCCTAATTATGTAGGCCATAGAGAAAGGGAAAACCGACAGATACGTGGAAGAAAACAGGCATAAGGGGATTGGACCGATATGCATGGATAGACATGACGTGTGATCATGCCACGTGTACGGTGAACATAACCCCATTCTCTCTCCTCCCCTGCATTATAAATTGAGGGTCATGGCCTTCCATAAAACTCGTTCAAAACAGAGTTGGTGTTTATCTGGTTTATATCAACTTGATCTTAAATTTCACTTGTGATTTTTTATTTCAACCTAAAAATGTCGTCATGCTGTGGAGGCAAATGTGGTTGTGGGGCTGGCTGCAAGTGCGGCAGCGGCTGTGGAGGGTAAGTTTCTGTTTGTTTTCCTGGAAACAAGAAAACTTTACCAGAAAATTTTTCTGCTCTGTTTTTCCTCTTTCCTTTTTTGTTGTCTTTAAATCAGGCCCAGATCAAATTGTTATCATTTTTCATTATGTGGGTGTTTATGAATCTTCATGCAGGTGCGGGATGTACCCAGATATTTCCATGGAACAGAGCACCACAACTGAGACCCTTATAATGGGGGTTGCACCTCAAACCTCGTATGTATTTTGTCACATCCATGAAATTCCATATTATATTTTTTTACACTTTACTCATTTGAAGATTTTGTGGTAATTTTTTTGATAATTAATTTGTAATTGGGTTTTTAATCTGCAGTCATTTTGAGGCTTCTGAGATGGGTGTTGTTGCTGAGAATGGATGCAAGTGTGGAGACAACTGCACCTGCAACCCCTGCAAGTGTGGAAAGTGAAAGAAAAACGACAGCTATTGAAGCAGAGGATGATGGACTTCTAATATTGTAGCAAGTAATCTATGCGTGTGTGGTTTTTATGATCCAAAATACCAAGTTTGTGTGTTTTAGGAACCGAGTTAGGAACTGAGTTATAGAATAAAGTGGTCATGGCCCGTCTCTTTGCAGATCCTTCTAGGCTAGGATCTGATAAGGGTGAACCCAGGCATGCCTGCTTGTGTCTGTTTTCATTGTACAAAATTAGTATCTATATATGTATGTGGACTTTGTGAGGTGTTTGTTGACTTGGTGGATCATATTTTATGTAATTGTGAGAGGAAAGAGAGAGAGTTTTTGATGTTATGAATGAAAACTAGCTCCTTTCTTTTACTTTAATTTGTGGGATTAATTATGGTTTTGGTGATAATGGTGACATCTTTGTGCATTATTTAAGGATTTGCAAAAGCCAACACGGCAGGTGAACGAGATATTATACTTATCTGGAAGAGATTTCAATGTACATGGGCCAACAAGACCTTAAACTTATCTAGAAGAAATTTCAATTAAGTTTTAAGTATGTCATTAATCAAACAAATTATTTAAGGATTTGTAACCCAATAGTGGAGAACCGTTTACTTTTTCTTGAGAAAAGTGGAATTCTACTCTCTCTCTTTTTTTTTCTGCTTTTTTTTCTTTTTCTTCTCTGTAATTGATAGATTATTGAAAACAGCCTCAATGCCATAAGAACACCTTCATCACCCATTTGTCATGAGAACACTTTTCAGCCATTTGTCATGGCAAAACTAAATAAGATTGCAAGCAAGTTGTAGACTTGGGCCTTCACCCATTTGTCATGAGAACACTTTCATCTATTTGTCATGACAAAACTAAATATTTGTCATGACAAAACTAAAAATAAGATTGCAAGCAAGTTGTAGACTTGGGCCTACCTAAAAGTAAATATAGGTTTTAGCTACAAAAAAAACTTTCATTTTTGGAAAAAGCCTAATTTTTTTTCAAAAAAACAGAAAACCCTCAACTTTCAAACCAAAGACATGCATTTAAAGAATTCTTTAGAAAATCTAAAAATAAATAAAAGGCATTTTTGTCCATTTAAACTTCTTTTAAAAATATTTTTCCCTCCTTTGGCCTTTTTTAAAATGCCACCCGGCTAGAGCGGATGTGTTCAATGTTAGAATATCGCTTGTATATAAAAAAGAAAAAGAAAAGATTGCAATGCTGAAATTAACCTGTCTACACAAATCCAACAGAGAGGGTCTTTTTAAGTCTTACAAGGACACATGTAATTCACATCAGTATGGAATCTGATGAGCTAATTGTACAGACTCTGCTTCATAATGCTTACTACTTGACCTGTGAAATCTCTAAGCAACTGGGAGTTGCGTTTGTTTGCTTATCAAATACTCCTACCGCAGCTTTATTAAACAGGTTAACAATCTGTTAAACAAAGTTTAAAAGTAGATTAGCATCTAATACATCATTTAATGGAAAAAGTTTTGACTCGAATGTAAAACTATCTTTTAGGTTCACCTGCTTAGATGAGAGGCCTATTTTCTCCAAATCGCTTAGCTGAAACATGACATATTCAACTTCAGCATTACTCTGTTAAATGTAATTCAAAGTTCATTTCACTGAGTTTTGCTTACCGATTTTAAAGGGCTCGTTTCTCTGAGCTCAACTATGTATTCAGCCATTTTGACACCTATTCCCTGAATGATACACAAAAGAGAGAAAATTTCAGAAGGCAGCAAATCAGTTTTAAGAACACAAATATGTGCTGTTTGTTTGACATGAACCTTCAACTCCAGTAGCTCCTCCCTGCAATTAACAAAAAAAACAGTTAAATTTCATTTGTACAATTGAGTGTTAAAAAAAAATGAAAGAAATGAAAATGAGGATATTTTAAAAAGATAATGAACCGTTACCTGTTGGCTGTATTCAAGAAATCAATATACTCTTTAAGCAGGACGTTCTGTGAAATACGAAACAGAGAGATGAGGATCACATATTCAACAGCTTAAACTTATGGAGTTAAAAGTAACAATTGTACCTTTAAGTTTGACCCACAAGAAGTGAATTTATGAAGTGGGGTGCGTGTTTTTTGACTTCTATTGTTCCTCACCGGAGGAGGAGTTTCTGGAGTCTCTGGCTCAAAGAGGAGGGTGCAATCTCCATTTGTGAACAAGGGTTCATTGAGGGGCTTTTGCTTTATATTGGTGTTGAGAGGAGAGAGAGCTTTTCTTAAGGAACTTCGTAGTGTGCTTTTCCTCTCACTGACAGGTGATGAGTCGAAATTGTTGGCAGAGCTTTCCTCCTGGTTTGATGCCTCACCTATGCAGATATCAATATAGAAGCTATTAATATTTCAAATAACTAAACATGCACAAATAAGACAATCATTCAATTTGTTCAGGGTGTTTGAAGCAGCATAGCAAGTGAACAATTCAAGCATAGCTGAAAAATACCAGGTAAACTTGTATTTGATTCCAATACAGATTCACCAGCTCCAGCATTGCCCTCTTCTTTATCACCAGCTAATTGCAGACTCTGAAAAGCAATTCAGATTCATAAATACACAATGACATATAATATGAAGCGCAAGATAACTAACTTGGAATGCATTTAGTAGCGTTTCATTCCCCATGTGGAGCTACTAAACTAGAACTTTTTTCTAAAAGTTGTTAGCCAATTATAATTCCCAATAATGTGAAAACCACAGTTACACAATACATGATAGAATGAGAATGTTAATCAATGGGAGTTTCCTTATTAAATAGTAATTACCTCCGAATTAGAATCAACGGTGCTTTCATTATAGAAAATGTTCCTGAAAGGCACAGTGATTGTCCTGCAAAAAATGTTAACCAATCAGGCAAGGGTGAGTAGTAAATAGCATAAGGATGTTCCATTCAACTAGTTACTTGTACCTTTCTTTGGCATTACAGGCGCTTCTGTTAGTCATAACCTTGGCTTTCACAGAGCTGAGGTTGATGGTGGGTTTCTTGACATTGGCAAAAGAATTTGGAGTTTTCCCCAACAAGGGAGAATTTAATGCTTGACTTCTTTGTGCACTCTTTGTCTTTCCTCTTGATTCAAGCCAAGCACGAAGTTTGGCTTCCATGTCAACTTTAATCTTTGGAGTCTCTTGCTTCTTGGCTGAACGAACAAAATTGGTGATGTGGCGTGACCTAGCTGCCAAGCTGACAGTATGAACAGACTCCGGGTACTCTCCTGGATTCTATTATCAAAGAAAATGGATTACAAATAAATCACCGAAAAAAAAATAACAAGTGACTGGCCAGACCAAAGCATTGCTAACTCAAACTCCTTACCAAGCAAGCAACCATCAAAGCCTGACTCATCCCACCTAGTGAGTCTTGCAATATACGAGTCAATTTACTCTCCCTATAGGGAACTCGGGATAAGTTGTTGTTCAATGCATAAATGACATTAGACAAGGCAAACAAGGACTGGTTGATCTTTGCACTTTCTTGTAGACGAATCCCTTCGTTGCAAGTTCTTCTATTATCTTCATTGCCTGTTTGAAGTAAACATGTAGATTAAATATGAGAAGACAAAAACCACAAACAAACTCAATTCCCTAGTGAATTTCACCTTACTTAAGCTACTGGAAAAAGGTTAGGAATACGAAAAAGACCTGCTAAGTCTATGAGATTCAACTTCCCAGTAACAGCCGCGGAACCATCATCACAAGGAGTGGAAACGGCAATCACAAGGACCCCATGGCTCCTACTAGAAACATCATTCAGACCTGTATGTGCGACTTTCCGCCTCTGAATCCCACAAGAAAAAGCCTCATAAAACTCAGGCATGGACTTTACAGGGACCCGAGAGAGTCCCCTAAGATGAATCTGCCCATCTTTGTCATCCAAAACCGCAATTTCCTTGGCTTTGATCTCTAACAGGTCATAACACCTGTCCATATAGACCTCGTAGTATGAAATTTCAACTGTGCTTCCTGTGCACTGGCACATAGACATGATTGTGGACATGGCCAGCGGCATTAGACCCGGCATCTCATCTGTGCCCTGGCACATCAATCACATGCTGAATTAAATACTGCAGAAGAAAATTCTTCAAAACAAAGACTTGAAGCTGCATTTAGTTACTTGGGCAACACAAAAAACTTTATAGACAACTCTACCATATAATTCAGAATTTTCATTTTCTTAAGGGATAAGTAGAAATGAAGTTCAGTACTTCATTGATCCTAATACAAAGATTTGAAATTTTTTTGGGGCCAACCAATGCATTGAACTTTCCACATTCATAGAAATGCCCATGATTAACCAAATTAATGCTCTCATCAAACTTAAATGCCTTACTAATGAGGGAAAAAACACTGAACCGAACAAAACTTTCATCTTTTTGGATAAATCAAATTCAAACCTGCATAGTGTAAGTCTTTCCACTGCCGGTAGCTCCATAGGCAAACACCGTAGCATTGCAGCCATGAAAGAGTCCTGGAATCAAAGGGCTCACTTCTCTGTAGAAGATCCGACCAACATTGTTGTCCTCTTGGGCAAAGCAAGAGTCTAACCGGTAACACTCGTTTCGGCTACACCCAGAAAACCAAAAATAATCCATAATTCAAAACCCAGCTTTCAAAAAAAGATAAAAACCCAATAAATTTCTTCGAATTATCTGACTGAAATCTAAGAAAATCCCTCACCTTGATTCTTTATCTTTGAGATAAACAACCACTTCTTCAGTAGAAGACTCACAGTCTTGTTCAATTACTGAAACACACGGCGTCTGATCTCCGTTATTGGCAGCGATCTCGTGGGGAAGAAAAGGACGAACCCTCACAATGACCCTGACCTTAGAACTTGAATTGGGGTTCATGGCTTTTGCTGGAGTTGCAGAACTATCTAGAACTAGACCACCCTCCATTAGAGAAGAAAAATCTAGCTTGAGCTTGAAGATAAAGAGAGAGATTGGGGAGTTGAATTTGCAGAGAGAGAGAGAGAGAGAGAGAGAGAGAGAGGAGGGAATTGTAACTGAAAGCAGTAGATTAGAGGGAAGAAGAAGGTGGTTTTGAAACTAATTGACAATACCGTTGGTAGAGACAGAACAAAAAAGTTTGGGCCTCGCTTTTCTAGTTTGAATTTGGATTTGGGGAGCAAACTTGCCGTTGGGCCTGTGGGCCCCACTATTTTCTATATTATTAAGTGCGCCCTTATGGTCAAAATTTGAATTACTAAAAACTTGGAGGATCTGCCAGCACGCGGCCTAAATGCGTTAAAGGGTTTAAGACGGAGGCTCTAAACCCTAAAACCCCAAAACTGTTGGAATCAAAGACGAAGATGGACAAGGGCATGCTGGCAGCGGACTTGGAGGGTCTTCCTGAAGAAGATAAGCATAGAATGGCCACCTTGATCGACCAGCTTCAGATTCGTGACAGGTTTGTGTGTCTTTTTATGTATAAAATATTTGTAAATATATGTTTGTGCTTTGTGAAAGTGGAGTGTCTTTGTCTATTTCTTGTTCTTGAAATAGTGAATTTATTAATTTATATATAGTGAGACGTTTTCTGATATGGTGCATGGTAGATTGAAATCTTAGAGAAATACCAATCATGAAGAACCCACAAGATGAATTTATTTATTTATTTATTTATTTTGCATAATTGTGTATTGAAAATATGGAATTAGGATGTAATTTCAGTGTAAAAAAGTACAGATTTGTATACGCAGATGATGATTATCATGAGTTATAATTATGAAGTCTCTGGTTTCTGTTATGTTTGTCCAAAATTGCAGCCTGAGGATGTATAATTCATTGGTGGAGAGATGCTTTACTGACTGTGTAGACACCTTTCAGCGCAAAGCCCTGACCAAGCAAGAGGATTCTTGTGTTCGTAGGTGCGCCGAAAAGTTCCTTAAGCATTCGATGCGCGTTGGCATGAGATTTGCAGAGCTTAACCAAGGAGCAGCAACTCAAGATTAAGCTAAGCTCCATATGAATCATCTTTGGCATAGAAATCTTATAAACCTTTTGAATTGGTTTTTGACAGGTGCAATTGGTTTACCCTTGGTTTTAGAATTATGCTTCTTACATTGATTGGATTTGTACCCTTATAAAGAAGAAACTTCTTGTCAGGTTTTACAGTTTAGCTGGATATGAATCAGTTGCTAACTTATTACATATAAATTTTGTTCCATTTCCATATGTTCTTGGAAAGGCATGAACAAAAACTTTTGCCCCTTTTCCATATCAGATTGTGTGACTTTACAATAAGAGAAGCTGTGTAACTAGGTCTGTGTTATTAGCTTGATTAGCTTTCTCTTTTGTTTCCCTTAAATTATACTTTATTTGGGACAGTGATCTTGACAGTGAACCAACCAAGTGCTGCTTATTGTTCACATTAGTTTAGAGTACAATTGGTTGGTAAAAAGATTTGACTTCTGAGCTTTGGCCCTTCGTGCCAAAGATGACAAAGGCCAACATATGATTGAGAATTGTCTCGAGGTGCAGAGCTTGAATTGAATATGCTGTGATATATGGTCAATTCTGTGCTTGCTTACTTTTACTTAGTTTTTCAACCATGTAAGATTGTTCCAAATCAGATTTTTCATCCATTTTTATTAATGGAACAAGTTACATGAGGCATCAAGTTCATTTCATTCAATGTGGTTCGTGGGATTTAAACTTATGATATTTTTTCAACAAAATGAAAAATGAGTGTCTCAAATGATGGTTGGCAATCCTGCCGTCAGTTAGTTCCTATTATTTGATTATATTCTCTCTTTTTTCGAGTATTATTTGATTGTATTGTATTCACCAAACTCAAAAGTGCAGCAAAACTAACGAGCCCAAGAAAACAAAACTAAAACGAACAAAAGTCGCTTAACCAATTTACAATCAAACCCCTAAAACAATTCATAAGCTTAAATGAGCACTACTACCATCACTTGAAGCAACACTACCAGGAGTGTCTCAAGCAGGTTGCAGCAAACTCCGTCAAATTGTAGTATAGAACTAGACTAAATGTTTGAATTGGAGCGTTTTGATATGGTTAGGAAATTAAAATGTAGGTCTGGTAGTATTATATTATGGGAATCAAACTACAATTTAGACAAAAAATACTATACAATTCGGATTTGATTGTCGATGAAGTATGAAAAAGAAAAAGAAAACGGTCAAGTTGAGGGTTTTCCCGCCAACCAACGGTCCAGATCAATGAGAATAGAAACAATCACAGCACAGAAAGACAAAGACCATCAGGCACCGTACACTCAGCCATGATCTGACGTTCCAGCGAACATGAATACCCTAAACCGCAATTCATTATAGTTAAACGTTTCTTTCCAAACAATACCCACTTAAACCACGAGCTATTTATGTCCAATCCAACGGTCCGAAAATGCCCGCGAAGCAAGCCGCCCATCCAACGGCTCCAAACACGTTCGATATTTAACAAAGAGCCTAGAGTGCCGTTTGAGGTTCAAACTTTTGGTTTTGGTCCCCTAACGTTCTGGATGAACCGTCAACCGCCGTTAGATGATAGGGTTTTCTAAAGCTCACAAAAACTCAAAGGCCTTTTGATAACGGTAATTAACGGAGACGTCGGTGCATATATATTCGTTATAAATTTATAATAGTTTTTATTATTATTTCCTTTTAACCTCTGTTTCTTTCTTTCTCTCTCTTCGTTTCAACGGGCGAGGATTTTTCGAAACCAAAAAGCTCCCTTTCATGTTTCAGAGAAGAGGCTTCTGAAATCTGTTCGCCTAATCGATGAGCTCGAATTCGATTCCCGCCACTTCTTCACAAGCATGGGTACTCTTACTTTCAGAAAATGGTTTTTGTTTCTTGAAAGAAAAAACTTTTCTTCTTCCTATTTTGTTGATTTGCTTTCATGTTTTTTCACTGGTCTCAATCAAGTTTCCACGTTTTCTTGGACTTCAAGTTGCTCCGATTTGTGCTGGATTTATTTGGGCTTTGGATTTAAGTCTTGTAATTCTCTTTAATTTGCGTTTTGGTAACAGTTTTTTGATCTGGAAACTCTTTTTAAGATCTGGGTCTTGCTTGTCTGGGTTATGGCGGTGGGGTTTTGAAGATTTTGAAGTAAATTTAGGGTCTGTTTTAGGGTTTTTAGTGTTTATGATTCGTTTGAGGGGTTATTTTTGAAGGGTTTTGTTTTATATTTGTGTGTTATGTATCTAATTATTGATTAGGATTTTGAATTTTGGAGATTATTTATAGGAAGATATGGAGGAGGTAAAATTAGAAGAGTGTTGCCTTGAGAATAAGCAATCAACGGCTGCTTCCAGCTCGTCTGTGTCCGAAGGCAGTGGCAGTGCTATTCTCAAGTCCCCAGGGGTTTGCAGCCCAGCATCAACTTCTCCGACTCACCGGTACTCTCCCTTAATTCCTAACAGCTGTAAATTAGTTACAACTATAGTGATGTTCTCTGTTTAAAAATCATTCTCTTCATAACCGGGATTAAATTACGAATGTGATGTTTATTTTAGGTTTCACGCATTTGGTTTTAGACCTTTTATGATTCTCAATGAGTGTTTGGATCCTTACCTACTGAAAAATGGATATGCCGATCGATTTTTGTTGTGATCATTTTCCATTGTTTATAATTATCATCAACAGTGTTGTGGTTAGTGAACTGAAATATGTGAATTTGATCTTTCAGGAGGACTAGTGGTCCTATTAGGCGAGCCAAAGGCGGTTGGACTCCACAGGAGGTCAGCATTTCATTCTGTATTTGTGTTCACTTCTTTGTAATATCAGCTAGAAGCATGAACATTTTTGTGTTTGTTACTAGCATATTGAAGGGAGAGGTTCATCATTGTCAATCATCAAATCATCTAATTTGGAAAGGCTTGAAACTGTCATTTCTTTTAGACTTTCTGGTTTTATTACTTCTGTTCTCTATAATGTACACCGTCTCTATCTCACCCATTTTCACCCATTTTCACATGATGTTGCTCAGATACATGTTCTTATGTTTTCTTAGCCATAACTCTTTTTGGTGCGTGATTTTAATTTGCAATAACATGTTGATTGGTCACAGGATGAGACATTAAGGAATGCGGTTGCAGCTTTTAAGGGGAAGAGTTGGAAGAAAATAGGTTTGTCTCTGTCCTGATTTATGTTGTGTAGTTGCAAAATTTCAGTTGTTATGGTGCTTTTAGGTAGCAGTGAGTCTGCCCAGGCAATGTGCTCCCGTAACTTAATGAGGTCTTTTAAATGGTAGAGATTTTGATAAACTAGAAGAAATCTGATTTTGGCTGAACAATAAGAATATATTCAGAGCTCTAAAAATTCAAAGCAAACCAATCATATGACATAGATGTCCCAGTAGACTGGGCGTGTAACTGTTCGCTCAATCCACTAATTTCTGTTCTACCTATGTTGTAAATTACCAAAAGTAGGTAGAACAATATATAAATTACACACACGACTAGAAACCTAGTCTTGGCTGTATTACCGAGTATTTTATTTGTTGTCATATTATTAATCTAATATTTGGAACAATGTGTATGCAGCTGAATTTTTTCCTGATAGATCGGAAGTGCAATGTCTGCATCGGTGGCAGAAGGTTCTTAATCCAGATCTTGTTAAAGGACCGTGGACTCAAGAGGTTGGAACCTGATACCATCCTTACTTTTTGTGATCCTTTCTTGTAGCTTTACATTGAACTTTCTTTAACTTGTTTGTTTTGTAGGAGGATGATAAAATCATTGAACTGGTAGCAAAGTATGGACCTACAAAATGGTCGTTAATAGCGAAGTCTTTGCCTGGCCGTATAGGGAAACAATGCCGGGAGAGGTAACCTTCATAAGTTTAAGTCCTTATGTTGTTGTCATGTGCGACCCTGGAACTCTTGAGCACTATAATGCTGACCTGATCTGTTTCATGTTCCTCTTAAAATGATCTTTTTCTTTCTTTCTGGAATTAAGATTTATTCTTTTTATTACCTTTAGTTTTGTATGACTCTGATGCTTTATGCATCAATGTTATTCCTTCCATTGGCTTGGATCTTCCAATTGATTTCTTCATGAAAAGCAAATAAATGGTTTGGGCAGTGTATACACTTGTAAAAACAATGGAACAATTTTTTTTTATTTTTTAAATACAGGTGGCACAATCATTTGAATCCAGACATAAAGAAGGATGCTTGGACGTTGGAGGAGGAATTAGCACTTATGAATGCCCATCGGATACATGGGAACAAATGGGCTGAAATAGCTAAGGTTTTACCTGGAAGGTATCTTTCTTGATTGATTTTTTATTTATGAATGGCGTTGAGGTGCTAAATTAGGGCAACATTGGGGTACATGTATTTTGAAAAAGGGGTACATGTATTTTGAAAAAGGGGTACATGTATTTTGAAAATCAAGTTCTTTGGTATTATTGTGCGTATGTACTGTTTACTAAGTCAAATTTTGCATAACTTTGTGTTTGTAGGACTGATAATGCAATAAAGAATCATTGGAATAGTTCCTTGAAGAAAAAATTAGATTTCTATTTGGCTACTGGGAAACTTCCACCAGCTGCAAAGAATGGTTCCCAGAATGGTGCCAAAGAGACAAGTAAATCCACTGCAACTAAAAGATTACTTGTTTGTTCAACTAAAGGATCAGATTCAACTGCTCAGACATCATCTGGAAATGCAGACGTATGTAAGCTAGATGAAGATGGCAAGGATCAGTTCGAGTCCTCTGCCCCACATCAGGATTTGGGTGCTTCATCAAGTGTTCTTCCAAATGAGCCTGCTGATTCTGAAGGTGTAGAATGTCAGCTGAGATCATCCTTTAGAGACCTTAGTTGCTGCAACTCAGAGTCAGGGTCAAAGTTTGAGAATTTTTCAGTAAACAGCAAGCCCCAGATTGAGAGTATCATTAACAGCCAGGCAGAGTCTGAGAATTGTGGATTTAACAACCTAATAGATGAAGACAGAGTTAAGAGAACACCTGTGCCAGTTGAAACTCCAGGCTACAGCTCTTTGTACTATGAACCACCGTTAGAAAGTTGTGGTCCATTTGATTCAGGTTTTTCCAGCATGCGTTGCTTTCAACATGATTACGCTTCTAGTCCAAATGTATCACCTATAAGTTTCTACACTCCGCCTTGTGTGAAGGGCAGTGGTTTATGCAATCGAAGTCCTGAATCAATTTTGAAAATGGCTGCCAAGACCTTCCCCAATACTCCTTCCATCTTGCGAAAGAGAAAGAATACTTCCCAAGGACATTTGCCTCCTAATAAAATTGGGTTGGTGGATTGTGAATCAGTCAGGGAAGTGCTTAATGTTTCTGATGAACAGGAAAGACACAAAAACAGTGCGGAAATGTCTGGGTCTCAAGAAGAAAGTTTGTGTGAGAGTCCAACCAGTCAAGGTATCAGCACCATTGGGCCTAATGGTAAGGCTTTTAATGCATCTCCTCCATACCGGTTAAGAGCCAGGAGGACTGCTGTTTTCAAGTCTGTGGAGAAACAACTTGAGTTTACATGTGACAAAGAGTATGATGGTAATTCTAAATCTGTGGAGTTGTCTGCAAATGGAGGCTCTGGTGTAATCAAAGATTGTTCTCGTGCAACAAAGATGGAAGTGACCTAGGGCATGCACTGTAAGTTACAGTTTTGCTTATCGTTGTTCTTGAAATCTTTTTTTAGAACTGATATAGTTCATGCTTGGTAAAGCTGTCTTTTATATTTTACTTGAGGATGGAAACTGGATCTGATCATGTCTCTGCATGGAGGATCTATGTATGACATATAATTGCTTGGTCACGTGGTGAATTATTTATGATTATAGCTTATCCAGTTGCTGAATTTTGTCCTACCATTATATTGTTAATAACACACCTGACATGCGTAGATGACAAGCTTGCTGAGGATAGTGCATAGATGTTTTAGTTTTCTGATAAAGGAATCAAAGTTGTCATTCTTTGCATTATGGATATTAAGAGTTGGATCTATTTCCTTCCTCATTCTTTTCATTTTGTAGCCTTTGTTGCCAAAGTTAGAAAAGAGCCAAACAATCTTGCCGCCTTTGTTAGAGTAAAGTTACGATTAGAAAAGATTTGTGAAGATCCTAAGTCTCTTCAATATTGGTGGTACAGAATCCAAAGTGATACAGAAGTCAATTACAACTGCCTTTTAGGAAAGATAAGTGGAAATGTGAAAATTTCTTTTGTTTATATGAACTGATGAAGTAAACTATCTCCTAGAGTCCTAGTGGTGAAAGAATTTGTGTACTTGAAGTCGTTTTTATTTTCCTGGTTAGTGATGAAAGAAATAGTGTTTGCATATTTTCGCACTGTATCTGCTCTAAATATTCACTTTCTTTAAGCCCTTTTCTTTCGGCCTGCTATTGGGTTCATCATTGAAATAGCAATGGAATGAAGCAAGAGGCAATTTTAAATAAGTTTCTGATTTGGTTTCCTCTGTTATTATTCAGGTACAAAGGAGGGTGATTCTATTGAAGTTGGCTGACACTTTTGAATTGGTGATATTTCCAAGTCTACAGAGCTCTTTTGAAAAGCGATTTATCGATTTATCAGACCACTCTCTGGTCTTGCATCTTGGATGCCTTACAATTCATTAACTTGCAAATACACCACCTGATCGTTACATTGGAAGGGTTTTTCAGCACAGCAACTTGACAAAATACAGTGGCAGTGGGCTTCTGTTTTGTGTAGAATAAAAATGATAGGCCCCAATACTTGTGAAAATATATTGATTGTACAGAAAACCCATCAGCAAAGGAGCGATGATGCTTTATGCTTGAAAATTCCCTTAATGAAAGCGTAGCTCCAGTCATCTGTTTGGTTCTTTACCAATTTTAACTTTACTACCTTCACACACACGTACTCTTTAGAAATCTTAGTATTGTTCTTTATGGCACCAACTCTTTTTGTCTCCCATTTTCCTTGGGCAGTGGATGTGAGAATTTTCATTATCTTGATAAGTTTGTTTTGTACATAGAAGGAAAGCCAAATTGTTAATGACCAATTTTTTTTTTATTTTTTTATACCAGCTATATTCTACTTCAATATAATCTAAATTATGGAGAGGGAGATTCAAACTCGGTTACATAGTGGGAAGCACATTCATTCTAACCAACTTGACTAAGCTCATGTCTGTTGTCAATGAACATTTAATCTAGTGGCACTGAAAAAATAATGGGCATGGGAGGAAAGTGGATGATTTCCATTCCTGACTTCCTCTGCGTTTACTTGCAATCAGGAATGAAAAAATAAGTGGGTCCCACCTCAAAATCCGTAATCACATTCCCTCAGAACTAGATATCAAATCAACTAGGGGGAGTAGTCGATACGATTCTCATTCCTGTTTTCCCTTAATAACTTCTAATAATACCCTTACCACTTTGCCATAATTCTAAAATTAAATTTGGATTTTGATTCATGCAAATTAGTAAACAATAACAATGGGAATCAATCCCATTCCTTTGCTAATTCCATATGTTTAGTAAACAGCTTAATGTGAATTATTCTTCTCATACCGATTCAGTAGTTCTCCGATTCCTTACTTTCCCCATTACTGATATGTAAACATCCCCTGAGTCTCTCCTCTATTGAAGGATCTCTCATGCACGATTATGTTAAATTAAAAAAAAACCGAAAAAGAAGGAAATTGGGTTGCGAAATTAGCTTAATAGGATGTACAAAAAAAAATCAAAGGCTTATTCATGGATATGCCCCCTTGTGCTTTCAAAATAGTCTCAGATTACCATTTCTTTGAAATGTCTCAATATACCACCTATACTTTCAATAAGTGCCACGTTAGCTATTCCGTCAGATTTGAGAGAAGTTCTGTTAGTTGATGTGGCCCCCACTTCTTTTCAATCTCTTAACAAGGGAGAGGAAGGGTTAGTCAGGTTGAGAAAATGAGGAATTTGATTTGGGGATTTCAGATTTGGGAAATGAAGGATGGTTTGATTTTGGGATCTCCCAAATCTGAAATCCCCAAATCACATTCCTCATTTTCTCCCAAATCTGAAATTTCCTCAATTCAACATTCTTCTCTCAAATTCCCTTTTTTCTCAACCTGACTAATCCTTCCTCTCCCTTGTTAGGAGATTGAAAAAAAGTGGGGGCCACATCAACTAACGGAACTTCTCTCAAATTTAATGAAATAGCTAACGTGAGACAATTATTGACAGTATAGGTGGTACATTGAGACATTTCAAAGAACATGTGGTAATAGAATACTATTTTGAAAACAAAGGGAGCATATTCATAAATAAGCCAATTTCAAAAGAAGCAACTTTCAGAAAACTGCGTCTCATGAAAACCCCAAAATCGAAGCTGAATCGCGCAACAGTTCTCAGGCTAGAAGAGGCACAGTATATGATTGTGCCAAAGAAAGTATGTAATGAAAGGTGCAAAGTCTTCTTTATTTTTGATACTACTTGTAGTACCAGATAGGTGTCAGATGCTTATATTGGTAGACTGAATTTGTCCGTCATCAGGACGACAATATTTGTCCACCAGACTGAAAAGTCACTACTTACTGATCCTGTTGTATAAGCACTGAGAAAAAAAAATTTTTAATGAAAATAAACTTTGAACGTGAACATCGGAGAAAAGTTGACCACCAGTTTTAGGCCTTTTATGGGACATTTGCAATGCAATTACTAGCCTAAACTTGAAGGCACTTCTTTTTATTTTCAAACTATTAGCTTTGGCAACTATATCAAAGGATTTATTACCAAACCCAACCGAAACAGTTTGAAATCTCTCGTAACAGCTCCAGAAGTCACTCCCCCTCCTTTCCCTCCCTTCCTCAACTCTCTGATAATTAAAAAGAATGTAATAACAAAACAATAAATAACGCCACAAAGTGAAGGAGAGAGAGCAAGAGGGATGGACTGAGTTCCTCTCCATGCAAATGCCACTCTACCCTTAACCAGTGGCTCGGGGCTGATGTTATAAAATATCTATGTACAACCGTTTCACGATGACTCCACAACCCTGTATGTTGCCAGGCTTCAGCCTTGAGCATCATATTGAACTGTACAACCATTATAAAAAAAAACAAACAGAACAACCTGCCGACAGACGGTCTTCCCTTGGAACCAAATTTTCAACATGCGGAGAGGAAAATCCAAGCATCTGCCAATGTAGGTGACAAGATATTTAGTAACAGTAGGAAAATAATCTTTAACAAGCAAACTATAAAAGTAAGGCCACAGGCAAAGAGTAAAAAGTAGTCGGGAATTTTATAGCGTTCCATACTGTTCAGAACTACGTTAGTTTAAAACATAGCCACTAACCTCAATGTGCGGTAAACTGAACCATTAATGCAAGGTGCAGATTTATTGTCAGAACTGGATATTCTCTGTTACTATCAAGAATCCTTTGTCATCCCCTGACATAAATCTGTGTCACAATATATACCGCCTGAGATGCCAAACTAGAATATTCAGCAACTTGAATAAAATGAACTAACACCCATGACTTTCATGATATTGCCTTTACCTTCAAATCCAAACTAAACCATGAAGAAAGAACCAATGGTAGTTTGCCCAAGAACCTTGGAACTTCGATCAAGACCATGAGAAGCAACCTGCCACACAAAACAACATAAACTATTTACCATAAAACTAAACACTACCAAGAATATTTTTCAATTGGAACGTATAAATTAAGTAAGCTTCTTTATGAAAACACAGAACAGAACTGCTCAGTTTCAACATAACACCGTTGTCAGGTTTGGCCACGACAATGTCATTGATAGTGGGGGTGGGGCAAAGGGCTGCAGGTGGAAGGGAGGGGGCGTGAGAGGGAGGGCCAAAATTTTTATTCAACTTTTAAATGAGTGATAAGTAAGTTGTTTGGAAGAAGAATTTACCTATAAATTACCATAAGCAACTGTTAAGTTGCAACGAATTTCAACATTTACTGCATTAGGTAAAATATGATGCAAACTTAAAATGTAGCAAAAGACTCTCACCAAATAAGTTAAAGCTGCATAGCGTTCGTCATTCAAGTACAGCGGCTTTCCTCTTTGCATTTCAACATCCTGCAATTTTTTTTACAATAATACAGAAACATATAGACCCCTATAAATCAATGAATGCAAATAGGAACAAAAACAAGAACAGAAGCATCCACAGTTACTTCTTCCAACTTCTTCATTTTTTTCGTAGGCATTTTTGCATTTTATTCAGAGAAAGAAAAACATAATAACCGTATGCAATAAAGAAAGGAGCTCAATTAACAAAGGAATTATGTCCTCTTAAATGCGTTATCAATTTAGCCTTCTTTTGCTTCATTCTATCCATGTGAAACTCTAAAGTTCTGGCCATAAATTACACCATCCATATTATTTTGTCATTGCAAATTGTTTACGAGGGAAGATGATAAAAGAAACAGAAGAGCAGAATTTCTGTGTAATTACTATAGTATAAACTAGTTACCTCTTCCCCAAAAGCATCCAAGTACGGTGATGGCCAGGGAGCTTGCCGCGCACATCTTTGTAGCAGAATTGTTGTCCTCTAATAGCAAAAAAAATTAACCATCTCCATAAATAAGAAAAGAGGTAAAAATATAACTTACAAGATTTAAGAGACAGCTGCGAAACATAACTTAAAAAAATAAAAATAAAAAACGAACTGCAATGCATACCCTGATCAACAGAAATACCCCAGTACCAGAACCACAGGCCAATGCATGAGTTTGGCATCCACTTTCCCTAAAGATGCAATGTCAAAATTAGCAATAATGGGCACAGCAATGGCCCAACGGGGCATAAACATGTATGCACCTCGAGGGATACTTTTCTTAAAAATAATGACAAATATTGGTGAAAATATATATACCGGCAGCATGTCTTCCAGCTTGGAGAGCATAATCTCCCACAAAGCAGGCACAATGCGGGGTCCTCAAGGATGGATTTGCAATCAGGACAACGCTGTTTAATATACCTGAAAAAACACAATCTTTCTGAATGAGTTTAAATTCTTGAGAGATTTGAAATTTTTTTTTTCAAAGAACAAGTACTCCAGCAACAAAACAAGAAGCAATTTAACCAACCTCTGCAAAAGGTCCTGGTAAACTTGGGGCAGACGCAACAACTGGAAGGGAACTGCAGGATTACAGTGTATGCTTCCTCTAAATCTTTGGACTTCAAACCCCTTGCAAAAATGACGGAACCATTTCTGAACCATTGAACGCACCACTTTATCCTTAAGAATAACATCAAGTGTAGGAATCTTGAACATTCTTTCTATCTCCTGAACTTCATTGAGCTCTACCAGCGCCACATAAGTGGTATCCATCATGTCACCAATGGCATGAGATCTATCCAACACATTATACCTTTCGAAGAATGGCGCTTGGGCATTATAGTTTAGTAAATTCAACAGCAATGCACACCTCCGCAAATAAGGGAAACTCAAGCTACGAACTATGTTCTTAATATTACTGTTACAAGAAGAGCCAACATAGTTTGAAACAAAATATTGCTGCGGGCATCCAGATTCTCCCATGAGTTTAGAGACATCAGTAATCAGACAATCATCAACACCTAATTTACTCATATCGCATTGATTTTTCCCAAGATATGCAATTATACCCTGCATTCGCCATATTGGATTAGGCCACTAAATGATTATAATGGAACCCAAGCATCAACCAAATAATAAAAAGAGATAATTACAGATAACGTACCTGAACTACAGAGACAACATAGAATAAGTGCACCAGGGATAACAAGGAATCTTCACATGATAAAAACCGATACGGAAGACAAAAAAGAACCCACATCAATGATGAAAAAGGATCCCGAGCAAGGACAGGATCAGATGCTCTATTCCAGAACTGAATATCAGGATATGATACTGCCATATCAACATGTTCCAAGATACGCAACATAGCCCCTGTAAAACATAGCATGGATGAGGATTTAATAACTTGTAAGAGTGGAATAAATCAGGAACCAAGATGACTTGTGATATACAAATGCCTGAACTTATATTGTTTTTGGCAAGCATAACACGTAAAATTTTGCACACATGAAACTGTAACAAGTATTAGTCCCTTCGGTAGCTTTGAATATGATCCAAGATATCAATCAGCCGCAACATTATAATAAGAAAGGTTGGTGCTACTTATCCCAAATTTTCACTTCTTTCCAACCTATGTAGCATATATACACGGCATCATTGCATTAATAAAACAACAATGTTGTAGAACCCAATGTGAGAATGCCATGTAAGTTGGATAGAAACAGTTCGGTTCCATAGCATTACCGATCATCTCAAACTATTATGTTTTAAATTCATGTTTCAATAAATAAATAAAAAAGGAAGTAGACGATAACTCATTAAATTTAACTCTAACTGCATGCGATTAGTGAATCAGAAAGCGAGGAAAAAAAATAAAAAAACTCCACAGAAAGCCACAAGAAACACATGAAATAAATGGCACTTACTGGTAGCAATAACATTACCTTGTCCACATGTTTCACTACCATGGTCTATGGAAACTCCAAAGCAAATAGATTCTGCAAAGCTCTGAATTCCTATAAATCTCTGAAGCACATGAAGAGAATTCTTACTTTTGCTTTGGACTACTTTCAGCAACAAAGACAATACAAATCTACTCGAGGATTCAAGTTCCTTATACAATGCATTAAGGTCATAGCTTGGTGTTGCATATTTCCCGCCAGAACGTGCAGCAATTTCAATTGATAATAGGGAGTACTTAATTGTGTCCCACATGAGCATTGGGTGGCTGACCCTGGCAGACCCTGATAACTTATCCTGCTTAGTCGGAAAATACATCTTACAGAGCAAACGAGAAATTTCAAGGTTTGAGGTCATTCTTCCACATCTCTGCAGAGGAAAACCTTTAAGATTTCCAACCTTCCCAGATGCCTTTGCTGCAGATTGCACAAGAGCCAAGCCTTGCTGAAGCTGAAGAGAATTAATTTCTCCACCTGATTTGACCAATGGACCAGTAGCATGTGATGAACTAACACCTGAATGCAGAGACTCCTTCGAGACCTTCTCGAACAACCCTGGCAACGCAGGCAACACAGAATTTGCAAGTCGACGGCATACAGGGCAGAGAAACTCCCCCTAAGGAGAAAAAGAACAAACATGCAAAAGATCAGTAACAGAACCCTCCTTCCTTCACAAGCAAGAATGAAAAATGGAAAAATATGTAGGCCTTGTACCTTATCTGGATCTACAATATGTCCTCCTTCAAAAACAATTCTTCTGAGATACCTGCGTGAAAAGATAAGAAGATGGGGGAAATTAAGCCCTTTTCACTAGCACGTCAACATTCTTCCAGAGCGACATATATGATATATGTATATCTGACTTTTTTTCTCTTTGGTTGTTGCATCACAAGTACATAACCATTTAAGCACGAAATTCAATTTTTACTAGCAACAATTTGATCTGGCAAACTATAACATAGCCCTTTTGCTAGAACTTGTCAAATAAAGAAATAAAATAAAAAATAATAATAAACTGAATCATCAGAAAGGCAAACTTGATAGTTCACACAGACTCTTCCCAAAGAACAAGGCAATTGCAAATTGTCAACACTGTTTCCTTGATATTCAATTGTAATGGAAGTCCAACTTAATCAGCCTTCTTTCTCCAATTCATTTACATCTAATTGTGATTGTCTCTTAACAAAATATCTTAATACAGTTGTTTCATTTTTAAAATTAAAACTTCTACCTTTCTTGCAAAATAAATCACAAATTAGATAAAAGAGTTACAAAGAAATCCTAAATTACAAAGTAAGGATTGAAAACTTCTGCTCTTGATAGGACTTACCTTTCCTTCAGTGAAGATAAATAGCGATCAAGGCATCCCTGATGCACAGCATGCCCACAGGAAGAAAGATAAATTCCATCACAATCTATCGGCCCAAATCCATCATATGCTGAAAGCCGAGAAGAATCTATTGGCACCCTTTCATTGGGACCTTCAGAGGATGAAGGATTTTCTGTTGTCTCTCTAGAAAGAGCAGCTGTATATTTTCCAAGCAACATAAATTCAGCATGCTCAGTTTTTTCTTGATCCCCTTCAGGAGTTGAAAATCCCTTATCCTCTGTAAGCTTAGAATGCCGCATCTTATCATGCAATTCTTTTTGGATGGAGAGGTACATAGCGTCTTCCATTGTCTCAAATGTACATAAAGTCTTTTCACTTTCATCATTTAATTCACGTGGCACTTGGATATTCTTTAATTCATGGAACCGGCACTTGAAAAAATCTAGAAGAGCCTCAACATCCCTACGTTGCCCATGACAGGCAAATTCAGTGATTGCATCCTGAACCAACTGTTTTAAAGGGTAAGATGGTACCACCCCTGAACCACCTGACAAAGAGCTTGTTTCAGATTGATCAGTCACCTCACCTTTGATAATAGACATGTGCTCCTTGTCTATCCAGCGAGGTTGTTCCCATGAAAGGGGACCTCTGTCCATGAAATTCAAAAGCCTAGATTTCTGAAGAAGAACTAAGTAGGATATGGGATTTCTGGAATTGGGATCATGGCAAAGTGAGCAAACAACTTCTGCAGACTCTTCTGAATCATCTTCAACGTCAGGGTTACAAACCTCTTGCTCAAATGTTGAGCCATCATCCAAAGTGGAATTAACACTAGCCATAAATTTCGATTGCTCAGCTCTCATTTTTTCCAAAATGGCAGCCTGTCTCTCTCTGGCTTTTGCCTTGCGCTTCTCAGAGTCAGAAATTGAACCCGAGGTATATGTGTCACCATTTGGAGAAGATTGTAATACATGACCAATTACTTCAGGTGCAAGTAGTTGCAGTTTGTTCATACATCCCGCATCAATCTCTGCAAACTTCTTCAATAAGCTTCCAATTAAAGAAGAGAGGTCACTCCCAGCTTCCAAACAATTGTCTAAATTCGCTTTCTTATGCATCCTCATCAAGATCACAAGAAGAGACAACAAGCTTTGTTGGCCAGCGCCAAAATGCGGTCCTTCATAAATTTCTTCACCAGCAAAAGCTAGTATGGGAATTGCATCTCCATCATAACAAGACTGATCACCAGATTCCTTATGCTGAAAACAAATGTCTAATGCTAATGAGAGTAAGTGCAATGCAGTTAAAAGAACACCATCAGGAGCTCGCGAATCAATTGATTTATCAGAAAAAATAGCATAAAACAGCACTGCACGGATAATTTGAAGGACTGCTTTAGAAGTGGCTATTCTAGCAACCCCCTTGAAAGGAGGATAAATCTCAGTCCACCTCGGTAGCTGAGTGGTCAATGCAGAAACGCTACGGAAACGCAAGTATCTTTCTTCTGCAGCTTGCAGATCCCTTGAGTTCCAACGAGGGTAGAACAAATCCATTTCTTTCCAAAATGTCCATCGTAGTGAATACGTCCCCTGATTAAAGCCTGAGGGATTGGAATATGCCGCAACAGTATCCAAAATTTCAGGAAGCTGATCAAACTTAGACAGATCACGAGGAAGAGATTTAACCAATTGACTATGAGTGGCATCTGCAATGGCTAATTTATGAATCAACTCTCTTTTCAAACTTTCAGCTTTAGTTAGCCCACAAAATCTCCTTTCTTTGACTATTTGTATAATAAGAGTTAGCATTTCCTGCACTAGAACTGCTTCATATTCACTTGAGCGCTCAAGGTTCAAAGAAAGGTAGCTTGACAGACCAAAGCGTTTTACAATTCTATTAACATAAAGATCAGCTGGAGCCAAGGCAGCACAGCACTGAAGCAGAAACAGGTCAAGCTCCAAACCCTGTTCAGACCTGCAAATAAAAAATAAAAAATCATAATAAAGGGCCATCATCAAAAAAAACCAAACAATACAAGAGGTACTTTTTCCCCTACAATGCATGTGTCAGATAAGAATAAATCACTTACCAGCGAACTGAACGATACCACTCACATGATAATAGGGCAGCATCCCCATTTTTCCGCCATATTCCAGCATGAACCTCAGCACAAAATACTTTGATCCGAAGGGGATGCTCCATAACAAAGGCAGAAAATCCATATGGGTGGCATCCTCCTAGAAAATTTCCAAAGAAGTCAGTCAAAATTGCTGAAGATGAATTTGCAGAAGTAGCACTAGCCAAATCTGGCACTTCACCAAAACATCTTCTCAATGCTTTCTGTAAAAGCAAGGAAGTAACCGATGTAAAGGAATGTGAACAGATATATCCTGCGAACTAATGTCATATGTTATGTCTGGCCAATCTGACGAACTCAGAACACGTAAAGCATCTAAGTCCATGGCACCATCTACTTCCATGACACTATCATCCAATCCTGCAGGACTACAAGCATTAACTGAATCAATTTCGTCGGGAACCATTAATTTAGTTTCCTGGCCTGCAACTTTACCATTCTGGAAGTCAACACTCATATTGCAATCACTATGTAAATGCGATGAACATTGCTTGCCATGATCTTCACTTGAACTGGCAAGTCTACCAAATATATTGCCTCTCCTGATCTTGGATAATGTTTTCTTCAGTGCTGAAAAATTGCTACCTGAGAAATTGCTAGTACTTGGAGAAGATGCATCAAGAAAAGCCCTGGAGGTATTATCAACTCCCAGCCAATTCTCAATGGCCCTCAAGCACTCATAGGTTAGCCACATCACAGATGGTGGAATCAAAAAATCAGAAAGAGCATCTGATTTATCTTCCGAAACCTTCGATGCACATGCAAATGAACTACTCCTCCCCACTGCACTGCATACAGAACTTTCCGGGCACAACCGTCCCACTTTTGCATGTCTTAGGCTATCCCTGCCATCCATATCCTGCAAGTCTTCATCCATCCTGTCGCTAGCCACAGAAAATGCCCCATCCACCAATAGAGAATGAATGTTGGCAATTGAATGGCCTAGAACGAATGGCAGATGCATACTCTCATTTTCTTCTTCGATGCGGATGCCTGTTTCCCTTTTTTGTGGATTCATCCCTTGCACGAAAGTCAACAGTCTCATCCAAGATCTTGAAATATCTTGCTTGTCATGAGTTAAATATTTGGGCACTACAGCATGGCTCATAACAAATCGAATATCTTCAATGACACGAACGGTGATCTCAGACAAATTTGACCACTTGGTAACCTGTAAGGAGGAAATTACCCACAACTTTACTACATGAACCAAAGTAAATGAAAAATAAAAAAAGGAGCCACAACAGAAATTTGAAGAAACAAAATAAAAGTATCAGATTCCCAATCACAATGCACCATAAAAACCAAAAGAGGAACAAAAGAACCAGAAAAAAAAAAGGAACTTGAATAACTCCAAAACCAGGGCATAAAAAAAACTCTAGTTAGAATACATAAAAATATACAGCACGCCTTCAAATTGAAGCAAAGTAAGTACACAATCTAAGTGGCAAAGTCATCAGTTTTATCATGAAGTAATGTCAGGAAAAAGGAGGTGAACGTGCAGAGGTATGATCATATCGTACCCTAGCACTTAAGGAAAGACAAAAATAAATGCATTACCTGTAAACGACCGTCATCACCAGCACAGGAAACGAAAATATCTTGCAAGCATCCCATCAGCATAGGCAGTAGGTTCATTTCTTTCACAAGACGGGGTGTTAAAGTTGGCACTGTGAAGATTTGTACTGAGAATACAGAGAGCAGCGGATACTTTTTTAAAGAAACGTCATTGAATTCCATTCTGGCTTCACTTACAACAGCTGGGTAATAACACAAAAATACTTTGGCGAACTCATACTTGAAAATAGGTTCCCCCAGCAATTTCAGGAGCAACTCATGGAGCTTTTTCACAACAGCTTCAGTCAGAAACCTCTCTGCCCTCACAAGAATCCCCAATAAATCCCCTGATGATAAAATCATCTTAGATACAAAACTCAGCAAACTTTCACTGTATTTGCAGAAGTCTAGAAGCATCTCAACCACAACAAAAGTTAACTCATTTGCAACCTTCTTACGCTCTGTCACATGGTCGCTTGCTCTAGGGGTTTCCCGGTAGGTAGTTTCTGCAAGAAGTAGCTTATTTTTCCAAGAAACGAAGACGCAATCAAGAACAGGCCCCACAATGTTTGCAAACTCCTCTGGAAGGGGTTGTATCTGTTCTGCACCTTTATGCTTTGAGCAAAAGCCTTCGCGCTTCCATGCTGTAACATCACCACAATCACAACAACCACCGCCAGTATAAATAACAGAATAATCATGATCCTTGTGATTCCCATTCTGAAAACATGGAACGCAAATTGCACACGTTGGGTCATGTTCACATGTTCGGCACCTGTATGCTAAATCATTCTGCCCCCAAACAGCTCCGCAAACACCACGCTGCCCAACACTCATTTTGGAGAGATTCTTCAGGGCTGAAGAAGGTTCACCCTCAAACATCAACCACTGTAACCACACCATGCTTTCACGGAATCGATTTTTCATGGTTACTGCTGCTGATTGTTTTTTAGACCCCGGTTTAGCTTCATTTAGAACTTCTGCTACTTCCTCATCAGCAGGTAGTATAGCAGAAACTAGCTCTGGTATCCGTTGCTTGTTCTTTTTGACAAAAGCAACTAACCCACGTTGGAACTGCTCAAGAAACTCCTCAGGCACTCCCAATAGAGCAAGCCTCTGGTATAAATTAAAAAACAAATGTGAACCCACTTGTAACCCATATATCTTAACACTACAATAGGAATATGAAAGTCAAAAGTACATATGACTATACTTAAAAAGGTAATATTTTCCCAGCAAATGCATTCACTTACCCAAACAAGTAATACAATATAAATCAGCCCAGATAGTTAAAAGAAAACGAGACAAAAGAAAGGGACAAACTTTCAACTACAAATGACCAATTAATTGTATCGCAAATGCCTCAATGATAGAAAATCAATTAGAGCTCCAGTTGCTCGATAATTCAACAAATTAACTACTGGAAAATAAAATCAAAATCAAAATTCGGATAATCAAAGAAGAAAAATCACAAGGCCTACCCGTATGATTCGATCACGAGGCCTGAGGTGTGTAATTTCAGGAGGCGAATCGACTTCCATGGTAGCGGAACCGCCAGAACGCCAGTACCGCACCAGCCAATCAACGCAACACAAACACCGCTTAAACCGAGAGCCTTCACTCCCCAGGATTACTTCACAATAAATAATCTGGTGCATTTAAACCCTAACAACAATTCATCCTAATTCGTCGGTCTCGTCCAATTTTTTGAAGCCCTAATTCACCAACTGAGCTTGAATTTATGTTCCAGTCTCACTTCCAAATTGTTGTATGAGCGTAGCAGTTTATGGAGGTCTCGAAGAATCTATCTCATGAGAGAAGGAGAGAGAAGAAATGCGAATATAATATGAGAGTAGGATTGGGTTATTTGTCAAAGATTGCGTGTAAAATTATGTTCTTCGCAGTTAATTTTTGTGTTTGTTGGCTTGAATTATTATTATTATTATTTTTTTGTTGACCATTTTTTATATTATCTGCTGCAGTTGCTCTGATCACAGACTCACAGTTGCATACCATTTGTGTTTGGATGGTTTCACACTTTGTACTTGTCCATATTGGGTAAGTGGGAAAGGGACTGCTATGCGTGCTATGGAATTGTGTGGATATCCCAACCCGACTTGAGAAAATAAGAGGCCAAGCCCAATTTGAGAAAATAATTGCTACATACGTAAATTGAACAAGAGTCTTGGTTAGTATTTGGTTAGCCGGGCTTCTCTAATGAGGGTTATGTCGAAGGGTTATAATAAAGGAGGTTCAATCTAACAGTTTAATAATAATTTTACACTAGGTGGAACGGCTATTAAGAACCCCCTTATAACTCCTATTAGTGAGCCTAAATGCATTTGGATTAGGACACAAATTTTATAAAAGTTCAAAATATGAGGGACTCTGTAATCCAAACTCAAACATGGATCACAACTATATATGACTTAAAGCCCAGTATAGTGGTGTTTTAGGCCTGTCCACCGAATGAGGCCTATGAACTATAGAATTATACTAGAAAGGAGATAGATAGAGTGAGAAAAGGATCGGTGGTGTGATTTAGGGCGAATGGGAGTTGGGTAGAGGTGGACTTTCCATACCCGGCCCATGCCCAATTGTTGTTACCCATACTTGATCCTAATTGAGTAGGAGCAAAGGTCTAAAATATCGATGGTTTCAGAAACATTGGTGCTCCAAAAATACGGAAATTTTGATGGAAATATCAGGAAATTATTGACATCGATAAAAATTGAATAAAAACCACGAAAATTTTAACAAAAACTTGGATTTTTTGTTGTTGAAACTTTGGAAGATGTTTATTTAGTCAATTATCTATTACGTTATCATAAAAAATTGTAAGAAATTGCATTACATGATGGGTTTAACTGATTTAAGTTGATTATATAGCAAGCTGACAAACACTACAAGTGTAGAAAATATGTAGTAATTAATGAAAGAAGATTAAACATATCATAATAATTTATTTGGGGTAATGATTTCTCCACTCCAATTTTATTCACTCACACTCCTTTTTAGTTATAAAATGGAGTGTAAGTAGATAAAATTGGAGTGGGGAAATCACCACTCTTTATTTATAATAACTTACTACAATATTTTACACTTTATACATTACATTGTAAGATACATGAGTGACTTAGTATTACATAGAGTTCCTATATGTTTCAAATTTGAGTTATTTACACTAACACCCCTGAGGTTTTCGACTTTTTCACAAAACTCCTTGAGGTTTTAAATTGTTTTCACAAAACTTATTTTCATTGATTTTTCATCCAAAGATTAATGATTTTATACAAAAAAATTCTCCAAATGACAAAGTTGGCATTTGAGATTAGATTGCATATACTTCATTGAGATTAATTTTGTCATTTGCAAAAGTTTTTTTTTCAATGAAATCATCATTTTTGGACAAACAATGAAAAGGGGTTTTGTGAAAACAAATTGAAACCTAGGGGTGTTCTTGTAATTTTTGAGACCTGAGGGGGTTTTTGTGAAAACACAAGAAACCTCAGGGGGGTGTTAGTGTAAATAACTTTTCAAATTTTTCAATGTCTTCATCATCTTGATATTATTGATATTATAGCGATATTTTGGCCAAATGTTATTGAAGTGCGAGAGAAATTATCGACGTCGATATTTTCCAATATTATCATCAATATTATCGATAGTTATACGATATGTGTATGGATATGTTCCAAAATATCCTAAACTCGAAAAAATGATAATATCCTCGATATTATCAATATTTTAGTCCTTGGTAGGAGCTCATGGGTACTTTGACCACTAGAAGGGTGCAGGTGAGTTTAGTGGGGGTGGCAATTAAGCTTCAACCTTTATTTTCAATATTTTTTTACTCTTTCCGTTACATTGGCAAAACCGAAAGTTTAGGACTAATCGTATCAAAAAACCAGAAGAGGACTAAAAACGAAAAAAACCAAAAAAAGAGGTCCACGTATCATGCATGCACAATATACATGTGTGAAACAAGTCAACAGAAAAAGCAACTAGACGTTGGACCTGTAGCGTGGGCCAATGGCTGGGGGAAAAGAACTCAGATGTAAAGCTAGCAAGAGCAAGTAGGGTGTAGGCAAGTGTTTCTTCAATGGCATGACCTGTAACTTCAATTGCAAATTCAGGAGACTCAGAGTGCTTTTAATTACACAATCTGATGAGGATTTTAATTGCCAAAGGTTTAAAACTATGGAAGAAGGGGTTGGAAAACTTTGCCATATGAAAAACCATCGCAGGATACCACTGGAAAGTTGTAATCTACAATATGAGTTGGGGGGTTTTGAATTTCAAATGACACATAGCCTGTGAAGACAAGGCCATGCAACTAACTCTTCATACGTGTCAATTTTGATAATCCCGATTTGGTTTTGTAGGTTTGGTGCCATCTAGGTTTTTGGTAGAGGCAGTGTTCAGGTGATGAATGGTTTAGATTATTTCTGGGTTGTTGGTTGACGTCATTAGGAAAGTTTCAGTGATGGTAATACAGTAAATATGGTATCCAGGACAAGCTTATCATATTTGGGTTTGGGACAATGAATTTAAATGTGTAGTGTGAGAATCTGGCCTAGATATTGTCAAGCAATTTCCCTGGATTTTTATCAATACCACCTCTCACAATTGGTAACAAAATGAAAGCTCTATCATTTCACCTTTTTTTGCAGGCACTGCTTGGTGAATGTACATGACCTTCTCTGATCCCTATAAACCTAGAGCACTTTCCCCACCATCCCATTCCTTGCTTTGCTGCTCCGAACTCTCTCTCTCTCTCTCTCTCTCTCTCCTCTCTCTCTCTCTCTCTCCTCGTTGATCAAGATGTCTGATTCATCAACACCCTCCTCCCTGGATGTATTGGTGTCAGCTGCTTGTGCCTCGGAGGAAAATGACTTCTCTAACTTTCCTCAGGCAGTTCTCGTGGATCCCCATGAGATACAGTCCCAATGTGAATCAAAAAAGTACTAGGCAAATGGAGGGATCTAGCACTACCCCTGACAAAGAGTTGGAGAAATCGCAACTCTTCAAAACACTTAAAAAAGTGGTCGCCGTAAGTCACTGCCTCTCAATTCCTCCCGTCCTCGGTCTTTAATTAAAACTGCTAGGGTTTAATTACAGGTTAAATTTGCTCTAAACATTTTCATTTTTACACAGAAACAAATAGCAGAGTTGAAAGGCATGTCTACCTCGAAGATAGATGAAACCACCACAAACCTGCAGATCGTACCCAGTACTGTATGTGGTTTCACCATTTGCTCAATTAATCTGTAATTTTCTTTGTGGTTGGGGTTTCTAGATATGATTGTTATTCTCACATAATTTTCTTTGCCTTTTCAGTCACAGGAAACACCCCAAGCAAAGCAGACAAGATCGAGGACCACGCTGACTGGAGAATTCTCAGTCTCATTTGAACTGCCTGATGATTTTCCTGAGGATGCAAATGTTGATACGGTATATATAATTGAAGCGATATATATATCATGTTGAAATCATATATATATATATATGAGGGCCTCATATTAATATAATTAGATTTGTTTGTGGATGGCTACAGTTAGTGCCTGAGGGGAGTGAAACTGATACTCCCTCTTCGCGTCAGTTGTCTTTCTCTGAAAGACTAGATGGCTGGAGGATTACCCAAAGAAAACGGGTTAAGGGAATATGTGACATGGTAATTTGATTACTTAATTGGTTATGTGAATTTTTTTTTTTGTCTGAATGGTTATGTGATTTTGTAACCCTAATTCTTCATCTTTTTTCCCTAAAAACCCTAGTAAAATAATTTCATATAATTATGTATAATATCGAGAGATGAATGTTTGATGCAGTACTACCGACACGAAAGGTCAAACGCCAGTTTGAGATCTGTTGTCGAGGTGGTGAGATTTATTCTGTATGAAGAATTACCAAGACAGCAATCGGCGAATATGGGAAAGTTGAAAGGATCAGTGAGTTGGACTGATCAATTTATATATAACTTTGGCATATAAAATTTTGAAATATCATGCACATAGTTAGTTTGATCAATATATGAAATTTTGGTTTGTATGTTTAGGCTGAGAAGATGACAAAGTCGGCATCGGTGAAGAGAAAGTCTTCAGATGCTGGCTGTAGCAAAAACCCTCCAGAGGAGAACAAGGAGGGCCTTGATGGTCCACCAAAGGAGAAGTTGGTAAAATTGTCACCTGAAGCCATGGAAGCAAGGGTAAAGCATTTCTAAAGGCAGCCTATGAGAACTTGAAGAACTTCAAATATTTTGTTAGCAAAGAGGAAAAGGTGTCCGATGGTAAACATTCATTCTTTCTCTGCTCAATCCACTTACAAGTTTATCTCTTGTGTGCCCTTTAGTTTAACTACTGTTTGTATCCTTTGATTTTTCTCAGGGGCTAAAACAGAAGAAGTAAAGGTCTCAAAGGAAGAGGGGGAAAGCATTGTAGCCCCATCTTCTCCAAAGGTTGCTTCACCTAATGTTCCTTGCAAAGAAGAAGAAGCTCCCATTAATCCTCCTACGGAATTGGACCAACCAAATCCTCCTACGGAAATGGATCAACCCAATCCTGCAGTGAACCATGAGGAAGTTGCCATGGAAACGCTTCCCAAAATGATGGCAATGGAGGTGACCTAATTTATGGCCTTCTGGTGAGCCCCTACCTTGATGACCATATGGCCATGTTGAAGCATGATGGCGGTTCACCTAAATGAACTGTCAATGTATGAGATGGAAATTTTGGTGCATGTCTTCTTTAATGATTTGTGCATGATTATGGACTCTCATTTTATCTCATTTTTAATTGTTCAAATTTATATGGAATGGAAGTGTTTGAACATGAGTGTTAAAGGTGATTTAAAAGGTTGATATCCCATCAAATCATGTCTATTTATCAGCTGACTGGCTCAATTGTACTTCAAATTTAAAACGAGTTTTGTCTAGAAATTCATTATAATTTGGTTCAATAACTAAAACTTAAGTAGTTACATTTTCTACACTTATCATAAGTGACTTCTGTGTCACTTATACACGAACTGCATGCAAATTTATATATGACAACTGAAAAGACTACCAATCTCTACTAGTTCTCACAGAGATATCCAACTCAGTTTTTTCAGTACTGACTCCTAATTCTCTGTGTGTGGGGGTAGTAGGTGCAGCAAACACACCAAAGCTAGCAACTATGGAGGATGAGGGCAATGTATCACTACTGCCACCAAGTGATATTGAGATTAAGAAAGAACAGTTGGAAATGTTAGGTGAATTTGATCACAAAGTTGTACAGCCCCAGAGGTTAAGGGGAAGTTTGAAGATGAAATGTGGAGCGGAGATTCTAGTGCCATAAAGGCCGTCCCTATTCAAGCTATACCAGCGCAAGCGGCGAAGGTGACTATGGTGGATGGAAGGGATTATGAACTGCCCATGGGATGGTTGGTGGAACAAAGGCCACGGACCTCTCTCAAATACTTGGGCAAAGTAGACCTGGTAGTTTCTTCTTTTTTTCTTTTTTTGGATTGATTACAACTATTTTTCAAATCTAAATAATTCATCAATCAATCGAAATTGTTGTTGTCAAATTTTTCTTCAGTACTTGAGATATATGGATATATCTCAAGTACTAAAGTTGGTGTATACTATTTATTATTTACATTTAAAGCTTAACATATATATATATTATATATATATATTTCAAACATTTGTATGTATCGCGTGCATTTCACGCGTGCACACACATGCACGTTATATATAGTTACCAAATTATATAGTTACCAAAATACATGCATACGTGGTGTATCCACACAAGAATAACCATTACGCTGCCACATTGTATCAATGCTATAGTACCATACCAGGTGAGGTTTCAATGGATCTTTCATGAGTTTTATCACCTTATGCCTTCATTTTAAGTTAGTGTTCCTTATTGATCCCTGTTAAGCTTCTGTGCTTTAATCGCAGTGTTAATTCATTGAAGTTGCATATATCTCTTGAATTTGGTGCCTGTGGCATTAAGCTCTCTCCACTTTTATTATGTCAACATGCCTACTTTGCGTAGTAAAAGTACACTTGAGCTCTATGGACACTGCGGGATCAATTCGTATCCAACTTTATGAATATCTACTCATGCGTACATTTCTTTTTCTTTTTTATGGACTGTCGAAAGTGCAGTATTGTCATGAAGTTAAAACCAGAAAGCGATTCCGATCACTGAAAGCTGCTAAAAATTGGATTATGGAAGCAAATCAAGGAGAGCAAGCACATGAGCCACTCGAAGCTGGTGATGGTTCTAATTAAGGTAAGCTCCTGAATTTATGTATTGGAAGAAGTAAGAGGATACACAAACTTGTATGGTAAATTAATTTTAAAAAAAGGTTTGCTTTATGTTATCGTTATGTTTGCAAAGGAGGTTTTCAAGTGTTGATGTAAAATTTGTATTAAAGCTATATACATACATGCATGGTTGACAGTTCTTAGCATTAAGCACCAAATGATCAACATGATTGATGTTATTGTATAGAGTACTGATATTTCCACCCACCTATCCTATTTTTCCACATTCCTCTTATCTTCTCACCCACCATGTAAATTTGAAAACATAAAATCCTATCTTTCCACCAACCATTATTCCTAAAATACCATTTAATTATTAATTCAACCCAACACCATCGACTCCAAGTTAAAAACATAAAAAATTTAACCAAAAAAAACACTCTTCATCTTCTTCATGTCTTTTCAACTTCACGACCAGAAATCCCAATGAAACACCATTACATTCAACCCCTCAATCCTTTTGGAAGAACTACTCAAATTTACGTTACCATATCAATATTCTCATTAGCCCCTTAGCAATACTGGTGGCTTCACAACCGTGACACCACCACCACAACAACATGGCTACGACGAACAAGACTGCCATGGATTTTAATTGAAGTGGTGTGATATGGATAAGGACCCGCCTGTGGGTTAATTAGAATGAAAAATCTTTAAAATGGAATAAAATTGAAGGAAAATTTGGCCTCTATTATCAACACCCACCAACCTTGACACAATATTAAAGGTGGAGTTGCGAATTTGATTTTTCTTTTTCTTTTTTTTACCTTTTCAAAGGATTGGGATGGGTAGATCGGTGCTCGCTGGATTTGTAGTTGAGGTCAAGAAGATGGAAAGAAAATGGAGAGTTAAAAGAAAAAAAATTATTTTCTTTTTAAAATTTGTTTTCTTTTTAGGGTTTTAGAAATCATTTTACAAATGAATAAATTTGTCTTTAAATTTTTGAAGATAAAGTGGGTGGGAAAATAGACCGGTGGTAAAAAAAACAGCACTCTATTGTATATTTGCTTATGTCGGCTTCACAGAATTAGCACTTCGACGTTGCAAACCCACCTGAAAGCATAACATGGGTCCTCACTGATGCCGAGAATGATGAATGGAGCCTGTACATATGTGGAAGATAATTAACACGGTTCCGGATCAGGTGAAGAATTCAATCGGTCTAGGGTGTGGAAATGTGTGAAGGAAATCAACGAAATAAACATGTTTATTTAGTTTTTGAGGGACAAGATGAGGGGACTCAAGTTGCTTCCAAACTATCGTTTTTCTTTTCTTATTATATTGAACAAATTCCCTTTCCATATATTCCGGTTGAAGTGATTTCTGTCACCTTTGGAAATAATGTATGGTGCATCTGGCTATTATTGGGCTGGTGAATGAGAAACATTAACCTAACTTATATACAAACTCTTGCGTTAACAATTGACCCGTGGAAGCATAATCGCTTGAACAGGAAAAAGAAAATCAACTAAAGCGATAGCCTCATCCCAGATGATGAACGGTTTAGATTAATTCTAGGTTGTTTGTGTACCTCATTAGGAAATTAGTCAAGTGCGAGTAATAATACAGTAAATATGGTAAACATTGCAACCTTATCATATCCGGATTTGGGACAATGAATGTAAATGCGTAATGTGAGAATCTGGCTCATATATTGTCAAGCACTTTCCCCTGTATTTGTCAATACCACCTTTCATACATGGTAACAACATGAAAGGAAGCTCTCGTCTTACGTTTGTTGCAACAATTGTTTGGTGAATATACATGAACTTCTCTCTGATCCATATCAAACCTAGAAAACACTTTCTCCTTCACCATCCCATCCCTTGCTTTTGCTGCCTTCAAACCTCTCTACGCATTCCTGTACTTCAAATTCAAATATAGCTTTATCCAGAATCCTGTGGAAATTTCAGTCAACATATTTTTTAATTACTTTCCTCTTTATGTTGCATCAAGAAACTCACCCCCAAAAAAAAAATATTTATTTATTTTTTTCAGCATAAATTCTTTTCAATAATAAAAAGTTGAGTTAAATGGTCCAAAACTAAATCGTTACACTTTCCACGCTTATCAGAAGTGACTTAATTATGTGCCACATACACATGGACTGCATGCAAATTTATATATGACAACTGGAAGAGCACCACCAATCTTTTTTTTGCAGCTTTTGCAGAGATTTCTCATTTTTTTTTTTTTTTTTTTTTTTTTTTACTAACTAGATCTGTGTTTGGGGGGTCAATAGGTCTAGAAAAACACACAAAGCTAGCAAAGATGGAGGAAGGGGGAAATCCATCCATGTTGCCACCAAGTTACACTAAGATTAAGAAAGAACAGCCGGAAATGTTAAGTGAATTTGACCAGAAAATTGTCCAGCCCCAAGAGGCTAAGTTGAAGTTCCAAGATGAAATGAATCTGGACTGCTGCCACAAAGTGACATAGAGACCAATGCAGCAAAATCAGAAATGTTGAGCGGAGATGGTAGAGCAATAAAGGCCATCCCTCTTCAAATGATACCAGCACCTACTCCGACTTATTTTGATGGAAGACCTTATGGACTGCCCGAAGGATGGATTGTGGAACAAAGGCTACGGACATCTCTCAAATACTTTGGCAAAATAGATCAGGTTAATTCCGTCACTAACTTTTTTTTGGGGGGTTAATATAACTATCTTTTTTCAAATCTGAGGATCTGAAGAATTCATTGAAAATATATTAGCTAATTATAAAAGTTTTTTAATTAGATCTAATGCCTCCATTCTCAGATCTATTATGTAAATTTTTTGAAAACTAGCAAGGGTTGTTGTAATATGACGATTTTGTGTGTTGTTAGTTTACTCGTGGAACTAGTCTTTATTTTTTTTCCTTTTTTTTTTCTTGTCTTTGTGGTGTTGTCAAATTTTTGACTAATTATAGAAGTTCGTACATTAATACATTTAGTGCATCCACCTCAGATCTATAAATTTTAGGTTACTACATGTAATTTTAAAAAAAATAAAAACTAGCTAGGGTTATTGTGATCTGATTCTGTGTCTCAGTTTAAATGCGGAATTGGGGGAATTTTTGTTCCCCTGGTGACAGTACCACGTACCTATTATATACTTGCAATTCATTTTTGATGTGTACTGTTCTTCGCTTTTGCTTATGAATTAATAAAGTATATAGGTATACATGATTCATATACATGGCTTAATATTGTATCTGGATCGGGATCATATTGAAGTGTTGTGTACACTACTTAATTAGTATTGATATTGAAAGCACGTAACATATATACCTCAAGTATGTGCATGTATAGCGTGCATTTCATGCGCACAAATACACATATATATAGTTACCAAATTATAAGTGCCTAACAAAATATCTGCACAGTAGAGTATACACACGAGAACATACTAATTAAGCTTGCACTTGGGAAGCCGCCTTTTTAGGTTGAAGGGATAATCAAATATGGGGAAGGCTCAGGAATTTTCTTGTACCGTATTCCATGTCTAGATTATTAACATTCAAGCATATTATCATGAAATTCACAAAATCTGGTTGGAAGTACCTTTAAAAGCCAGCAGGGGAGCTTCCTCAATCCATTTCATTGATTTTTATCACCTTATGCCTTGAGTTTTCCTTGTCTCTTATGCATTTTTTTCCATCAACAGTTATATTCCTAGTGATTCAAGTTAGTGTTCCTTATTGACCCATGTTAATTTCAATCTTCTATTTAATCAGCAGTGTTAATTCATATTGAAATCTATCTGCATTGAGCTATTCCTAGATTGTTCAAAGGCTTCAATAAAGGAAAATAATCATGCTTTGCCTATAGTTTTGCCTCTCACATAAAATGACCATTTGTTTTTTTTTTTTTTTTTTTTTTTTTTTTTTTTTTAAATTTTTTTTTTTTGTCTGTAATTAATTAACATTTATCAAAAGTGCAGTTTGTTCATGAAGTCAAAACAAGAAAGCGATTCCGATCCATAAAGGCTGCAAAAAATGGATTGAGGAGCAACTCAAGGTGGGCAGGCACAGGAGGCATTACCAGCTGGTAATGGTTCTGAGGTGAGCTCATGAATTTACGTTGTATATTGGAGGTAAGATGATACACAAACTATTGTGTGGTAAATTTAAAATGATGTTTGCTTTATGCAATCGTTATATTTGCAAAGGTGATTGTCAACCATTGATGTAGAATTGATTAAATTTATATATGTAAATGTACAACATACCTAAAATTACGATCAATATATGGTTGATGTTATTGTACACTTGCTCATGTAGGCTTCACAGAGTGCCAAACCCCCTCGAACAAGTACTAAAAGGAGAAAAGCAACTCGAGGCTTCGACTTTGCAAACCCACCTGAAAAGCTAACATGAGTCCTCACTGATGCTATGAATGGTGAATGGAACCCGTATGTCGAAGCTACCATGGTTCCGGAACAGGTGAAGAATGAATAGGCCAAGGCATTTCAATCTGTCTGTGGAAATGAGTGAAGCATCTGGCTATAATTGAGTTGGTGTTGATGTATAATTATAGCCAAAGACCATGAAAAACTGCTTTTCAGCTTACTCTTCGAACAGTTGCCAAAAAATAAACTGTCGTTGTCTTTTGAACATTCCGTGACTTTTATTGTCAAACCCTAAACCTTCGTTTTTCTTAGATTGGTTGTAGTGAGGTTTTTCTTTTCTTATTTAATAAATTCCCTTCTCTTCTAACAAATTTAAAATGCACATTGAGGGTGGAGTATTAGAATGTGAGCATCAAAGTCAAAATTAATTGAAAATACAGGTCTGGTGTCCTCGAGGTTTTTGGTAACGATATCGATATGATGAGTAGTTTAGATTACTATAAGGTTGACCTTAGGAAAGTCCATGAGAGTAATTAAACCCTAAATATGGTAAACAGGGCAACCTTTTCATATCTGGAAATGGGACAATATGAATGTAAATGTGTAATGTGAGAATCTGGCTCACATATTGTCAAGCACCTACCCTGCATTTGTCAATAGCACCTTTCATAATGGAAACAACATGAAACTCTCGTTTTACGTTTTTTGGAGACATTGTTTGGTGAATATACATGACCTTTTCTGATCCCTATCAAACCTAGAACACTTTCTCCTTCACTCCATTGCTCCCTCTGTTCTCATGTACTTCAATTTTAAAAGAATTTTATCTAGAACCCTGTGGAAATTTCTGTCAACATATTTGTTAATTAATTTCCTCTTTACTTATTTTGCATCGACAAACTCACAAAAGAAAACAAACAAAACTTATTCTTCTTTTTTATTGTCATAAATTCTTTTCACTAATAAAATTTAGGTCAAATAGTCCAAAACCAAAACTAAGCAGTTACACTTTCTCCACTTATATCAGAAGTGATTTATGTGCCACATACACTTGAATTGCATTCAAATTTATTTATGACAACTGAAAAGAGTACCAATCTTTATTGGCTCTTATACAAGTATCCAACTTAGTTTTTTCTGCACCGACTTAGATCTGTGTGTGGGGGGTTTCTCATTAGGTGCAAGAAAACAAACCAAAGCTAGCAACAATGGAAGATGAGGGAAATTCATCCCTGCTGCCACCAAGTGACATTAAGAGTAAGAAAGAACAGCCAGAAATGTTAAGTGATTTGATCGGAGATTTGTACTGCTGCCACAATTTGACATAGAGACCAATGAAACAAAATCAGAAATGTACGAGATTGTAGAGTAATCAAGGCCGGCCCTCTTCGATGCTACCACCCCAAGAGGCTGAGACTTTTTTGGTGAAGAAAGGCCACGGACATCTCTCAAATACTATGTCGGAATAGATCAGGTTAATTCTGTCATTTACCTTTTTTGGGGGTGGGGGGTGGGTTTATTATAACCATCTTGTTTCAAATCTGAGGATCTGAAGAATTCATCAATTCAATTGAAAGTTTTTAGCTAATTATAAAAGTTCGTAAATTAGATCTAGTGCCTCCATTCTCAGATCTATTAATTTTAGAATTACTACATGTAATTTTTTTGAAAACTATCAAAGGGTTAATCTGATGATTTTGTGTCTATTAGTTTAGTCGTGGAGTCTGGAATTAGGTTTTTGTTTTTTTTTGGTTGTTGTTATCTTTGTAGTGTTGTCAGATCTATTAATTTCAGGCTTACTACGTGTTTTTTTGTTGTTGTTTTTTTTTAAAAGTAGCTAGAGATATTGTGATCTGATTTTGTGGTCTATCAGTTGAAGTGTGGGTGGGATTTTTTTTCTCTTAGAGGTGACAGTACTATGTAACTATTATATACTTGCAGTTGCAATTCAATTTTGATCTGTGTTCTTCGTATTTACCTTTGAATTAATAAAATATAGAGGTATAAATCATTCATAAATGGCCTTTTTATATCTAGAGCGGGATCATATTGAAGTATTGTGGCCACTATTTAGTATTTATATTGAAAGCATGTAACATATATATTTCAAGTATGTGCATGTATAGCGTGTATTTCACGCGCACTCGCACACGTATATAGTTACCAAATTATTCATGCCTTAAATTACCAAAATACCTGCATAGTGTCTAAACACGAGAACATACCCATTAATCTTGGGAAGCCGCAGTTTTAGGTTGAAGGGATAATCAAATATGGGGAAGGTTTTCAGGAATTTTCTTGTTACTTTACATGTTTATACAATTTTGTATAGTACCTTATTCCATGCCTAGAGTATTAACATTCAAGCATATTATCATGAAATTCACAATATTGTATATTTTGCTCATGTAGGCTTCACAGAGTGCCAAAACCCCTCAAGCAAGTACTAAAAGGGGAAAAGCAACTCGAGACTTCGACTTTGCAAACCCACCTGAAAAGCTAACATGGGTCCTCACTGATGCTGACAACGTACGGTGAATGGAACCCGTATTTCGAAGGTATCATGGTTCCGGAAAAGTTGAAGAATGAATGGGCCAAGGAATTTCATTCTGTCTGTGGAAATATGTGAAGCAGACCCAAACATTGCTTTTCAGCTTACTCTTTGAACAGTAGCCAAAAATAAAAAGTCTTTCTCTTTTGAACATTCCATCATGACTAGTTTATTGTCTTCAATTCTAACTTTGTTTAGCCAAAGCATTAGCTGCCTGGTTTCCCTGCATTTGCCAATACAACCTTAATATCATACTTGGTGACAACATGAAAGCTCTCTATTTCACGTTTCTTTGCAGGCATTGTTTGGTGAATGTATGTACATGACCTTCTCTGATCCCTATAAACCTATAACATTTTCTCCTTCACGTTTCATCGCTTGCTTTTTTGCTGCCTTCAAACTCTCTTGCTCCCTCTGCTCTCCCTCGCCCTCATATACTTCAAATTTAAAAGAGTTTTATCAAGAACCCTGTGGAAACTTCAGTTAAAATCTTTATTTATTAATTTCCCTTACTTAGGGTTGCATTGAGAAACTCACAAAACAAACACACACAAAATTTTCTTTTGTTTTTTCAGCATAAATTATTTATAATAATAAAAATTTGGGTCAAACAATCTAAAACTAAGCAGTTACACTTTCTCCACTTATTAGAAGTGACTTATGTGCCACATCCACATGGACTGCATGCAAATGATTATTGCAGAGATATCCAACTCAGTATTTTCTGTACTAACTTAAATCTCTGTGTGTGGAGACATAGATATCCAACTCAGTATTTTCTGTACTGACTTAAATCTCTGTGTGTGAAGATAGAGATATCCCTTGCTTTTAAAAGAGTTTATCCATAACCATGTGGAAACTTTAGTCAACATTTTTCTTAATTAATTTCCTCTTTACTTAGGTTACATTGAGAAATTCATAAAACAAACACACACACACACACAAAAATTCAGCATAAATTATTTTTAATGATAAAACTTGGGTCAAATAGTCCAAAACTAAGCAATTATACTTTCCTCACTTATTATAAGTGACTTATGTGACGCATACACCTGAACTGCATGCAAATGGTTATTGCATAGATATCTAACTCATATTTTTTTGTACTTACTTAAATCTCTGTGTGGGGGTCAGTAGGTGAAAGAAAATACCCCAAACCTAGCAACAATGGAGGATTCATCTATGTTGCCACCAAGTGACACTAAGATTAAGAAAGAACAACTGGAAATGTTAAGTGCATTTGGTTTTTGAAGCACAACATGAGGGAACTGATGAAATTAGAGAACCAAAGTGGAGTCAGAGTTAAGATGCCTTCCAAACTTTCTTTTTTCTTAGATTGGTTGTAGTGAGGTTTTTCTTTTCTTATTGATTAAATTCGGTCCCTTGTAACAAATTTAAAAGTGCACTTGCAATGTCTTTTGGTTGTCTTATCCAGTGATGAGAATCATTGTTAACCTTTACCATTTGCTATTCGTGGACTCAAATTTGTGGTGTTGGTTATTGAGACTACAGTATTTGAATGTGAGCATCAAACTCAAAACTAATTGAAAATGCAAGTTTGGTGCCATCTAGGTTTTTGGTAGACGTATTGAGGTGATGAATGGTTTAGATTACTACTAAAGTTTACCTTAGGAAAGTCCAGTGAGAGTAACACTGTAAATATGGTATACATGGTAACCTTATTAGATTTGGATTTGGGACAAAGAATGTAAATGTGTAATTGAGAATCTGGCTAAAAAATTATCAAGCACTTTCCCTGGATTTGTGAATACCACCTTTCACAATTGGTAACAAAATGAAAGCTCTCATTTCAAGGTTTTTGCAGGCACTGCTTGGTGAATGTACATGACCTTCTCTGATCCCTATAAAACCTAGAGCACTTTATCCTTCACCATCCCATCCCTTGCTTTTGCTGCCTTCAAACTCTCTAGATCTCTCTGCCTCTCTCGCTCTCTCGTTCATCAAGATGTCTCTGTCGACATTTCATGTTTTGGTGTCAGCCGCTGTAGCCTGCCAGGAAAATGAGTTCTCCAATTTTCCTCAGGCAGTTCTCGTGGATCCCCATGAGATACAGTCCAATGTGAATCCAAAAGGTACTAGGCAAATACAGGGTTCTAGTAGTACCCCAAACAAAGAGTTGCAGAAATCGCAACACTTCAAAGCACTTCAAAAAATGGTTACTGTAAGTCACTGCCTCTTAATTTCTCCCATTAATTAATCTCTAATTAAAATTGTCTCTAATATTCTTTTTACACAGAAAAAAGTGAAAGAGTTGAAACCCCTGTCTTCAGTGGACACAGATGAAACCACCAGAAACCTGCAAATCATACAACCTCATGCAAACATGGTATGGTTTCATTTGCTCAATTCATCTCTAGATCTACATATATATAATCGGTTTTGAGCTTTCTAGCGATATTATTGTATGATTGCCATTCTCACATAATTTTCTTTTCATTTTCAGTCACAAGTATCACCCAAAGCAAAGCCGCCGAGATCTCGGACCACCCTGACTGGAGATTTTTCGGTGTCATTTGAACTGCCAGAAGATTTTCCTCATGATGCAAATGCTGAGACGGTATATATATAATAGCTTCACTATTAGATATAAAGTGATATAATATACATATCATGTTGAAATTATTTATGCATATATTCATATAATAAAATGTACTTGTGGATCTACAGTTAGTACAGGAGAGGAGTGGAACTCCTCACACTTTACCTCAATTTTCATTCTCTGAAAGACTTCAGGGCTGGAGGATTACTCGAAGAAAACGAGTCAAGGGAATATATGACATGGTATTTGTTTGATTTATTAGTTATGTAATTTTGAAAACCTAATTTTATTTTTCATAAAAACCCTAGATTTTATAAAATAGAGTAAAATATAATTTCATATAACCATGAATATTTTCTAAACATGAAATGTTTGATGCAGTATTATCGACATGAGAATTCGAATGTCAGTTTGAGATCAATTGTGGAGGTGGTCAGATTTATTCTTTATGAGGAATATCCCAAACAACAGGCGGCAGGAAAGTCAGAAGGAGATCAATCAGTGAGTTAGACCAATCAAGCTAATTATATTTATTTTTGGCATAAAAAACTTTGAAATATCATACATAGTTAAGTTCGCTCACTATGCAATTAATCTTGTTTATGTTTAGGCTGAGAGGAGAATGGCGAGATCAGCAACGTTGAAGAGAAAGTCTTCAGATGTTGATTGTGGCAACAATGTCTCAGAGGAGGATATGCAGCGTTTCGATTGTGGACCGAAGGAGGATTTTGTAAGGTTGTCACCTGAAGCTATGGAAGAAAGGGTGAGAAAGTTTCTCAAGGAAGCCTATGAGAACCTGAGGAACTTGAAATTTGTTATTACAGAGGAGGAAAGTGAATCAGAAGGTAAACTTCGTTCTTTCTCTACTCAATGCACTTACAAGTATATATTGATCTTTTTATTTAGTTTAATCATTCTCTTTTAATCCTTAATTTCTCAGGGACCAAACGTCTAAGGGTTACAATAGCTCCTCCAAATGTTGTATCATCCAATACTCCTTCTAGAGAAGATGAATTTTCCAACCCTTCGACGGAATTTCATCAAGCCGATCCGATGAACCATAAGGAGGTTAGCAATGGCAGCCTTGTGCAAATGGATGGCATCATAAGGGCCAGTCCTTTGGAAACAACAAGGGTGATGAGAGCAAGCGCTGATCAGGGTGCACACGACTTACAGGCCTATATGGAGGAAAGAGAATCAGAAGGTAAACTTCATTCTTTCTCTTCTCAATGCACTTAGAAGTTTATATATTAATCTTTTTAATTAGTCTAAACATTCTCTTTTTAATCCTTTGAATTCTCTCAGGGACCAAAACAAAACATGTAAATGTCCCAAGTGTAGCCCTATCTCTTCCAAATGCTCTACCCAAGATTCCTTCTAGAGAAGGTGAACCCTCCAACGCTTCCATGGAATTTGATCAAGCATATCTGTTGAACCATGTGGAGCTTAGAAATGGCAGCCCTGTACTAATGGATGGCGTCCACGGTGCCAATCCTTTGGCAGCAACAACGGTGAGAGAAAGAGAAGTTTATCAGAGTGCACACGAAGCCTATATGGAGGAATGTGACCTGATTAATGAAATTCCGGAGTGCTCCAACTACGAGGACCTTGTGACAAGCCTTGCATTAATGAGAGCCAGGTTATTCCTTAACGATCTCGACGACTATTAGGTTATGTTTAGTTAAGGTTTTTAGCTTTCCTTAGTTAAGGTTTTTAGTTTTCCTTGACAATTTTGTAATTGCACATGTAAGTCATCAAGCTCTAGGTTAATTAGACTAGGATAGTCTAGTTGAAGATGATTACTGTGGCCGAGATCAACAGTGGCGCGATGCAATCAAGATCTTTAAGAGTAAATCATGCATTGCATATATATTAGAACATATCAAGTCAACGTGATGATGACGATGCCTTAGATTGAAATGGGAATGTATAGATTCCCAATTATAATACACAGTTCCTTTCATTGTCGTTTGTTGTTAATTATAAGTTCACTATACCAATTTTGGCGCCTATCTTCTATTATTAACTTTACACCTTCGGTCCATTTCTCAACTTGTTTGTTCATTCAAGCATGATTAATTCCTCTCCACATTGCTTGCACAAGTAACTCACAAAAGAAAATGAAAAAAGAGTTATACACCTATTGATGATAATATGGAGATAAATTTAAAAAAAGTATATACACCTAAATACATAATCACGGGGTATATAATGAAACTTGCCCTCAAAGGATGTTGCAAGTTTTGTGGTTACATTCAATAATGAACTGTTCGTCTCGTTAACCTTAAGTTAATTATGTTATTAGGAAACTCGTCCCTCGATCTTTTTCCTTTTTACTTTAATTTTTCTTTTTGTTACTAATTATTAAAAGGAAAGTGATATATCACCACCAGATTTAAGTCGCTCCGAAGAACCACCCCAGGAAACCACTTGAACCCGATGGAAAATTATAAGCTATAACTTGTATCTAGTCCTTGGATTCGTGGTTACTTGCCATAAATATATAATTAAGTTAAAGTAATTACGTAGTGAGTTGGGCAGTTTTAAGTTCCTAATTAGATAAAACCTGTAAAGATAAGAGCCACTATTTCTTGTTTTCACATTGGAGCCGTGAGGGGATTGTTGGAATGGTTAAAATGGCAGGGAGGAACTGATATGGAAGTTAAGAAACTAATTATGGTATACAAGGGTAAGCTAAGCATAATTGGATTTGGGACGTTGAATGTGGTTACACACCATGTAGATATGCAAATTCAAAATTTAAAAAAAAACATCTGAGTCAGATTTTATCAAACATTTTCCTTTAATTTGATATACCATCTTTCATAATTGGCAACCCAATGAATTTTCACATTTAATTATTTTCTTCACACCTCATTTGCTCAGTGTACATGGCTTTCTGTGCCGTTGTGTCTTTTTTATAAAATCTAGTGCCGTTTCTCTTTTCAGTATCTTTCTGCAATTTCTCGTTTCTTTTGTACTCTCGTTGCCATTCTTTACATAAAATACTCTCTTTCTCTCTATCTCTAGATCTTCTGTCCAGAATGTCTTCCTTTGACAAAATTGTGTTATCGATACCGTCCTCATTTCAGATGGTGCCCTTTGAAGCTAGAGTGGACAGAGAGTTGCATGAGCAACTCTATAAAAAGCTCAAAGCAATTGTTTCAGTAAGTCACTGGCTCTTAATTCCTTCCACCGATCTATGAACATGTACCTGCTTGATGAGCTTGGTATCTATAAATTATATGTGGTTAATTAGTTAACTTTCGTTTTACGCAGAAATCTACCCAAGAGTTGAGATCAAGGGTGCTAAGTAAACCTGTAAAGGAAGGGACGAGATCTACTACAAACGGAATCATAAGAGCAGCACCTATGAATTCGTATGTGGCTGAGGACTCTCTTCACAATCCAATGAAAATGGTGATTTCACTTTAGTTCCTTAATTCATTTCTTGATCTCCCTATACATATGATGTTTTTGTTGTTGTTGTTGATAAAATATATGTTGGGTTTTCGAGGATCTAATGATATGCGTGTGCGCGTAAATTTATAGTCTCATAATTAAACCAATGTGCAAACTGACTTGTCTACTCAGATACCGTAATTTAGTTGAATATATATATATATATGAGAATTTTCAAGTAACGATATTTGCATATATAAAATATCTTCGTTTTTTTGGAACTGTTTATTATTTAGATTTTCTTCTAAGGCATCATCCTTGCAAAAATTCAGCCAATTGAGAAATGTTTTAGCTGGCTGTTTGATTACCATTAAAATTATTTCACTTTTATCTAACGAGATGTATTTGTCTGCACAGTTTAGTTACAATTACTGATTTAGCTAATTTTTCACAATTATTATGACACTTAAATAGCTACTTAAATATAGACTATTGTGATTATTGAATTGCACTGCATAATGGTCCTACTGAAAGATGATTGTGTAGAATATATTGAGAGTATCATACACTAATTGGAGAATGAAAATTTTGCATTAGTGCTTAAAAGATCTTGGGTCTCTATCCATTGCTAATTGATTTTAGACTGAATGTTCACATTCTAACACACACACACACATATATATAACTTCAACTGAAGGATCTCTCAAGTAAGCTTAGTTTAGGAACATCCTTGTAGGACTCACCACACATTGTATTTCAATTATCGGAATTGTCTAGTTTTTAAATTTCCCTCAAAGATCATCTATGCAAAAAATCATACTTGAACCATTTGACCACTCAATTAGATAGTTGTTATTATAACTTTTCTTGAAGCACCGTATTCGTCTTTTTTGTTGGCCCCAATTAGATGCCTTAATGATCTTCAATTTGCATGATTTTTTTGCAAGGATGATCTATGAATAAATACTTAAAAAATAGATGATTTGGATTGTTGAATTTTTTATTTTTTATTTATTTATTTGTAGAGGACGGGTACCCTGCTTCAAATAAAATTATAGTTTCAATAGAAATGTTGATTACACATTGTGGTTATCAAATAATTTGCTTTACAATTTCCACCCCGTTATAGGAGTCTAAAAGACGACGAGTGCCCACCACTCCGGCGGGTTTTATTTTTGTGGACTACAACCTTCCAGAAGATCTCACTCTGGATGGGTTACCCCTTGAGGAGGTAACTTCACTACACAAACAGTAATATCATGACATGCATTAATTCTCTCCCCGTTAATTATTTGTGAATTGGAAACCTTCATAATATGCTATTTGTATATTAGAGTGGATTAAGGAACTCATATATACAGTGGGTTTGTGGATGGCTACAGTTGGTACCCAGGGAGGAGACGTTTGCTGCCAGTTCTAGTCAAAGGCCACCACGCCAATTCTCTTTGGCGCAGAGGCTTGAGGGCTGGAAGATCCTGCGTAAACAGAGACGCACAGGAAGATGTGATCTGGTAATACTTTGATTAATTGGTTTCTTGTTTGGATCTGATTCAACTCTCTCCTATGGAAAATATGTTGACAAGATATATTTTCTAAAAATGAATTGATCTGTTTCCTGCAGTACTTCACACAGCAGAGATCTAATATGCTTCTGAGATCATATGTTGAAGTGGTGAAGTTCATACTTTATGAAGTATATCCCCCGAAGCCGACACCGAAAAGAAAGTTACTAGAGAGTTATGAACCAGTGAGTTATATATCACACAAATCTTTTGCATATAAAGATTACAACTCATATATATTTTTAGTTCATTTTTGTTCACTATATATGTGCAATGTTTGTTCTGATCCGTTTCAGGCTTACAAGTCTTGTCGAATCATCAGGGAGTCTTATCACATCAGTGAAGAAGATGTGCGGGAATTTTTTAGGTCGTCCTATGAGAACCTACTGAATTATAAAGAGGGTAATTAATTAAACTTTCATTCTTGGGTGCTACAGGTTTATAATAATTAATTTACTAATATTTAATCAAATATCTTGTCGTGGTTTCTCTTTTAATTCTATTGTAGACCCATCTCCTCCAACTGATGCTCCACCCACCACTACTTCTAACCGTCTGGAAAAACACGCAGAAAACCCTGATGCCAACACTCCTGTGGACAATGAACTTATTGCGCCTGGTCTGCAAATTGACTTGAATCTGCCTGCAGAAGAAGCCGAGGGTGGAGAGGAGGAGGCTCTGGCAGAATAAGCCGATAGTGGAGAGGAGGCAGAGTACTAATCAAGCATAGAGTTAACCAAGAGGACGTCTAGAAGGACTTGGGCTGTTGCCAAATGGAAATGGGCAATTTGTAAATTAATTACTATGGTTGCTGTAAATTTAGATACAGTTCTTTTCTGTTTTCCCTTTCTTTTTTCTTGGGTTTTAAATTTGGACACCAATTTTATCTGTAACCTTGTTGCATGCATCCATCCCATTTGGTGTGCCTAGACGGCTAGACAACACCAATTAAACAGCTTCCTATGCAAACTCAACAATTTTGTCTTCTCTTTTATTTAAATTTTAATGATTTTTATATGCACCCCAACATTTATTTGCAATTTTAGTTAGTTCGACCAATGCCTATGTAGATTTTGTAATCGCTTGTTATGATGATATGGGAAATTCTCCCATAAATATTTTATGTTCAAGCGTGAAATTGAAAGTTTTAATTGTTCAAAACTTTAGGGATGCATACACGCACACACACATATATATATATATATATCGCTCATATGTTTATCTTTAACCATCACACATTACTGTTTGTTGACTCAAACTTGGGGTGTTAATAACTTAATAGAGCAACTTATTAGCACACATTGATTTAATTTGGGCCCCAGGGAAACCAAACTTAAGGCTACAAATGATATTAAGTTTATTGGATTCACATGCCATAAATACGTAAAAGGAAAAATAATTATGGTTTGAGGTATGTAGAATTTTAAATTTCAAATCACACATAACATGTGAAGATAAGGTGAGGGCCACTAACCCTATATGCAGAATGCATGCCATTTTTGATAATTTCAAGGTTTCCAGGTTTGGAAACATCCAAAGGTTGTTGTGGAAGTCCAGTAAGAATAAGACATTATATATAAGTTGTGGAGCAAAACTTATCATAATTGGATTTTGGGACATTGAACATAAACATGGAATTTGAAAATCTAAAAATCAGATATTGTCTGGCACTTTCCTTTAATTTTTTGCACATCAACTTTCCTAATAGGCATTTTCACACAAGAATATTTTTGCTCACCACTTTAACTCAAAGTGTATGTTCATCACTTTTTTCAACACTTGACATGTATCCATAAGCATAACCATGGTCACATAAATCAAAATAAAAAGTTAATCATGGTTATACCTATTGACACGTGTCAAATATTAAGAAGAATTATGAGCATACAGCCAAGGTTAAAGTGGTGAGCAAAAATATTTCTTTTTTCACACAACAACTTTCCTAATAGGCAAGAAAATTCTTAAAATGAAGGCTCTCATTTAATGATTTTCCCAAGACACCTTCTTGCTCAAATCTATATGACTTTCAAGCAGGTTCTGTCTTTTTCACTAAATCTAGAGAGCCTCCTTTTTCTCAACCCACAATTGTGTGCTTGTCTCCTTTTGTGTTCTCTTGCTGCCTCTATTCTCTGCATATACTACTCTCTCTCTCTCTCTCTCTCAAAATGTCTTCCCCATCTCAGAACAAGAGGTCATCAGCCACCACACCAGAAATGGGGAGGTCAGAAGAAACATATGACCCTGAGTCTCTGGAAACTGTCCCCCATAATTCACAGTCACCCACATTTGATGGTGACCAGAGGAATTTACAACTGAAAAATGATCTAGCTCCAGTTTGCATTCCACAAGCTAGAGCAGATGAGGGCTCTAGTTCTTCTCATCAACCAAATGAATACAACGTGCATCTCCGACTCAAGCGAACCTTGAGCTATATTATCTCAGTAAGTCACTGTGGCTCTTAATTCGTCTCCCATTGATCTATAAACCTGCTTGAGTTTTGCATTTATAAATTATATATGTGAATAACTTGAGAATTAATTTGACATTCTGAAAATTTTCATTTTACACAGACATATACTACAGAGATGAGATCCACGCAAGCTGCAGGGCAAATGGTCATAAAAGCAGAACCCATATCTTGCGTTCGGAGTGTTCAAGAGGTTTCACTTGCTTAATTCATCTCTAAAGATCTATCTATACATGATGGGTTTTAACTTTTACACTATCTGATTAATGTAAATAAAAATAGCCTCAAAATTAAACCAGAAATACTTGTACTTTGCAAATCAATTAGTGATCTCGCATAATTTGCTTTGCATTTCATGTTACAGGAAAATTTAAAAAGAAAACGAGTAGCCACCACTTCGGTTGGTGAGATTGTTGTCGAATCATTCGTACTTCCCCAATATTTAAGCCTCGATTGTCTGGACCTGGAGAATGTAAAGCACTTCACTGTATAAACAGTGCATGATATCCTCACATGCATATTTTATTTATTTTTTTCCATTTAACTATTAATTGTGTGTACTGTCATGAAGGGACTCATTATTTGTTTGTGGAATATGGCTACAGTTACTTCCGATGGATGAGGAGCTCTATGCAAGTATTGTGCATAGAACACGAAAATATTCTTTCGCTCAAAGGCTCCGTGGCTGGAAACTTGAGCGCAGACAAAGATCCACATTAATGTGTGACATGGTAGTGTGCTCAATTTGGTTTCTTCTTTAGATGACATCTCGAACTCTCTTATATGGAAAGTGTTGAAGATCTAATAACACTGCACCCGATAATTAAAGCTACTCTGTGCGATTGTAAAAACCCTAATTTTTTTCTATAAACCCCCTTTAATGTATCTGTTCGGTAGATCGAGAAACCCTAAAGTTATTAAATGTGACTATGGAAACCTGAATTCCTTGGTTTTCTCGTTTAAAAACTCTAGATTTATTCAAACCTTCAAAATCTAGACAAATAAAAAGAAAAAGAGTTATATGACTAGATATACATTTTCTAACAATTAATGTTTCTTTGCAGTACTACAGGCACCAGGAATCCAATATCTTTTTCAGATCAAATACTGAAGTTGTAAACTTCATACTTTATGAAGCAAAACCACAAGATAAGCGAACAACAAAACGAAAGGCGCAAAGGATTGCTGATTCAGTGAGTTAGATCATTCAGATCTTTTATATTTTTAAATGAAATTCATTTGCTCACCATATATGTGCAATCTTTTTGTTCCCTTTCAGGCTGAGACGTCTGAGCAAGGGAGGAGGAAAAGATTAACGACGCCAACAACGCGGAAGGGGCGACGAGAGGCTGATCATTGTGAAAGCAGCTATTCCGTTGGATCTCTATTACAAGCAGCGGTGGCATTGCTTCAGTTGTCCTTGGATGAACAAATCCATACCGGTAATTAAACTTCATTTTTTATCCTCTAATCATTGTGCTATGTATACAAGTTTATGTTATTACAAATTTCCTATCCATTTTTTCACTAATTAGATATCTTGTTGGTTAATTTGCTCTCTTTGAATTCTATTGTAGGCCCATCTGCTCCCCCAACTGCTGTTTCACATGAACCTGAAAGAGAATGGAACCAAGCAACTATCATCCCTCTGGATGGTCATGCCAACAACAACCCTGATGTGAGCCATCCGGTGGATGCCGAGCCGAACCCTAGCCCTGATCAGCGGGAAGACCAACCCGAAAACCGGGACGTCAACCCTCCTGTGGAAAGTACTGAACCAAACCCTAAGGCGCCTGTTGATGGCCTGAATGCTAGTGATCAAGCAGAACCCAATGGTGGAGATGAGGAAGGAGTTCGGAAGGTCGAGGCAAACGACACTACAACCGTTGATGAGGATGAGAACCTGTTCAAGGGACTAGAACCCTTAGATTGGAACATGATTTATTTACCAGACAAGCCAGAAATCCCGGATCTCAACTCTCATGTCGACAGTACTGAACCAAACCCTAGGGCGCCTGTTGATGGCCTGAATGCTGGTGATCAAGCAGAACCCAATGGTGGAGATGAGGAAGGATTTAAGGAGGCCGAGGCAAACGACCCTACAACCGTTGATGAGGATGAGAACCTGTTCGAGGAACTAGGACCGTTAGATGGCAGAATTTTTTATTTACCTGAACTTTAGCAGACAGTTTTCCTTTTTCTTTTTTTTGTTGTTGTTTGTTTTTGGATTTGGACACCTTTTTTTATGGATCTGGGCAATACCTAACAGCATTTTGTGCAATTTAATAAATGATTTAAAAGTTCACTTCAAATCTTAAATTGTCTAATTAGTACAAACAATTAAAGCTTTCCTCTTCCGGTTGGAGTGGAAGGAAAAAGAATGTTATTACAGTCCATTTCAAACATAACATCCATGGATGTCACTCTTGAATGGTAAATATTACTGTGGGGCAGGCTGTCCATGATACAAAAGTAAATAAAAAAACTCTATTAGAGACCAATCATTTTAACAACAAAAATGCTCCCATGGTCAATGTCAATGTCATTGTCAAAGAATGACATGGTCATAATAACTAAACCGGCTTGTTCTTATTTGAAGGCGCTTGATCATTTTATCTTCGTGCCTTTCTATTTGTGCGTATATGATAAAACCCTTTTTTTATGTTAAGTTTAAATTTTAATGGTTTATATATGCACTCCAACATCGATTTTCAATAGTTATAGGTGTATTTCTTTGTTATATTATATGATCAGTCGACTTGCCGATATGGACGATATGGGCCTCCAAGCAACTCATGCACAGGATGATGATAAAAACCCAAAGGTTTTTTGTTTTTTGTTTTGGTAGGGATTAATTTGATTTTGATTTTGTTATTTTTCATGAAATGTGACTGCTGAAAGGAGATTCAAATGGTTGGCATCATCTTGTGAGACTCCAATATTTCTCTTCACGGTTTGTTCACATATATCGGCATGGAACAGAACATGGTTGCTGCCAAAGGGATGGAAGTTCCGCTGTGGAACAAAGGCCACGAACCTCTCTCAGACTAGGTTAATTCTGTCATTATTAATTTGATTGTTTTGATTTTGAGTTACAATTATTTTTGTAATTATATTTTGTTTTAAAGCTTAAGGATTCATCAAGGCAATTGATCCATCCACATATTGATGGTGGTTGATTTGGAAAAGATGGACTGCGTCTCTTCTTTTGTAATCTCTCACATTCTACAGTTGAAACACACATCACAGCCAAAATTAGTTTCTTGTACGAATAATGATGCGTTATATGTACACGAGAACATGCTAATTAAGGTAAGAGTGAGATCTATATAATTAGATTTTCTCATACAAAATTACGTATCACACAACGTTGAATTCCTATCTTTCATGCAGAATTACGTACATAGCACGCAAAGTTTTATCCTCATTGCCCAAACACCGCGATTATCGTACCATATGTGCAATGTGATTAATTTCACCCATAATTAGGAGCACAAGTACTTAACCTAATGGATACCATGTTGATCATTACTTACTTATTAAGTTAGTGTTTCAGTAGAAAAATACGAGTACTGTTCTTACATCCTGTTTGAAGTTCAATAATAACACCCAAAAAGAGGGACTACTTCGTAATCATTGATCGTCTAACCCACACGCAACTTAAATTAGAAACCAAGGATTGGGATTTAAAATTCATTTCTGTGACCCTTACAAGAAAGCGACTCCAATCACTCAAGGCGGCCGAGAGGTGCATTACAATTGAAGTAACTGAAGTCAGGCGAGAACTGAGGCATTACAAGGTGGTGGGGATTCTTCTTTTTATGGTCAATTTAGGAAGAGTACTAGTCATTTATGGTGGTGATTGCCAAATGTTAATGTATCTGAAACATACTAAGGGATCGCGTGAACAACTGTCGTTAACATTCCTCAATCAATGAACGACTGTCGTTAACATTCCTCAAGTGATGTGTCATTTGATGCTATTGTCTGTTCATGCAGGGAACAAGAAAACTCCAGGCTTCGCGACATTTCCAAACCACCTAGACATAACATGGGTCCTCACAGATGCTGAGGCCTGAGAGTGATGAGTGGAGCCTCAATGACCACATGTTATCATGAGTCCTAATAAGGTGATGAATTATTGGGCCAATCCTTTACATCTGTAATGGATTGGGCTTGTCTATTGATTCTCCAGAAACCAATTCTAAAACAATGAGTTGCATCATATCTCTCGTCCATTTGAAATGTGGAAACATAAGTTTTCTCTGAAAACAGTTAAAATACAATTGTAATATAGCTGCTGAAATGATAATGCAATGCCACCTTAGAGTCATTCGGTCCAGGCCAATAGGCACAGTATAAGTAATTAGACACCCTATAACAGCATTTCATCAGAGGATGCACGCATGACCGAAAGAGAAATGATAAACAAAACAGAAAACCGAAATTCGGACTTCATACGATCTAAACTGACCATGTATAACAGATATATCTCTCACCGGCCATTAGGCTCAGCCAGCCTTGGCCTGCCACCCATCTGGTCAAGAAACTTGGAGAGACGCAAATGCTTTGCAACCCATTGCTCAGTCAACTTCTGTTCCTTTGCTTCGGCATCTCTCCTTAGCCCTGCTAATTGTTCCCTGTATTCTGCTTCAATCCTATCCAGAGCAGCCTTCTGCTCTTCCCTTAGAGCTTTCACCTTCGCCTCAATCTCTTCCATCTTCTCCCTCCTCCTACAAGCCTTCTCCGATTCCAGTTGCAATTCTACTCTCCTTAACCTCCAGGATGCTTCCTTTTTATGCGCTGCCCAAGCACGGTGCACTTCTTCCAACTCTCTAGAGCACTCTACCAACTCAGATATTACAAGGTTCTCTCCACAAACAGGAACTGAGCCATGATGTGGCATATTGCCCAAAACAATACTATTATCTGATCCTCTATCAGGCTGCAGCCAAGGGATTGGAGGAGAGGGTGCAACTGTTGGAGAGAGACTCAGGGTAACAGACGGAGATGGTGGCCTGACATTGGAGGTCACATTGGAATTAGAAAGCCAAGGAGGAAGCATCGTAGGCGCAGGAGAAGATGTTTCAGTATGAAGATAGGACCCATTTGAAGTAGCCATGAGATATGATGGGGCAGCACGCTCCTGCACTAGCTTCTCAGCAAAAGTTTCAAGAATTCTATCGTATTTACCCTCGTCAACAGGGTCAACTGTCTTATTGTTTTTCTGTTCTCTCTGCTGCTTCTCTTTGAACACTTCCCACCACTTACCCAATCTCTTAGCAGTACGTCCAGGGACTTCAGCAGCAATTTTCTTCCATTTATTACCGTGTTTGGCTTGAAGGCAAATGACAAGGCGCTGCTCCTCTTCAGTAAGTGATCCTTTCTTGATGCCGGGCTTGAGATAATTCTTCCACCTTTCTAAGCAAGATTTGGCATCCCTGTTTAGGGGCGTATTCATGCGCTGTGATACAAGGTTCCACTCCCTTGGTCCATATTGCTGCACATACGCACGTAACAAAGCGTCCTCTTCAGCTCTCCAACGTTGTCTCTCCTTCATTTCCATGACCAAATACAACTGCCCATTGCTTCAAACCGAAACGCTTCATAATGTATCTGGAATCCAGAAATCACCATGTTAGTCCATCTTCTACTGTGATATGAATCATGATGATACGTTACCAACGTCAAAAATGAACTGAATAGTGAGATAGAAGAGACTAAACTGTAGGTTATGAAGAAAAGCTAATAGAATTAATGAAGGATGGACCAACTAGTTGAATGCTCTGTTTGAAACCACGACAGCAATTTCATCATCCATTCATGCGTTTAATACAAGAAAACAAAGGAAATACTGTAATGCTCAGTGCCTTCCTCTTTTCACTTCAATTGCTAACAGCCAAATACAGAAAGCAGAACAGAACAACTCCTAGTACAAAACCCTTTCCTTATTAACTTAGTAAATTGTAGACAGGAACAGGACACTAACAAACTATAAGAACAGGATATATTTCATATTTGTAAAATGATGGATAATTAAAAATTTACATATTCATTATTTATTGTCTTTTGGTAATTAGTAATTAATAATTAATAGGTCTTACTATTTATCGAAACCTACACTTATATAATCCTTATTCATAGTATATATACTCAGTATAACATACTGATGTTAATTATATAGTGAACTATAAGATATCTTTATGACAATTAAGGTTCAAAATTTTAACTTTAAACAATAAACAACAAGTAAAGAAATTAGATAAAGGTACCCAAATTTGATTACAAAATAAGGTGACAAATGAACACACTAACACTAACAATGAACAATAACAAAAACTGACAAATTACTAAAATTTCGAAAATATACTCCAATATTCAGCTAAATACCCCAACACTATATTAGATGCAAAACCCAAAAAGCCAAAATTGAGAACAAAAACAATCAACCACTGAAGAAAAACAAAACTAAGAGCTGAAAACCCCCACTGATTTTATCCCAGTACATGGCGCTGGAAATTGTCCTGCTGACTGGGTTGGGGACTGGGGATGTGATGAGATATTTTCCACAGGAGAGAAATTTGTTTTCTTCTCTGTGTTTCTTAAAAAAAATTCCGTGAGAACTACCCCACACCTACTTCATCCAGACCGTCAAATTCATTCACCAAACATAAGTGCAACAATTACTTTGAGAAATGAGACAATACAGAAGTAGCCATCACCAACTATGCAAAGCATTGTTGCTAAATCACTCTATCACTAACTTTTCGCATCGTTTTAAAAATAAAACAGAGAGTTAGGTTGCAGATAAAACTAAGAACAACCCCAAGAAACTTGTTTTGAAAAGAAAAAAAAGACACTTTCTTACGAACCAAAACGACATCCCCATAACCCAACAAAGCAAATTGCAGAGTAAAAGAAATCTAGAAACTTTTTCAACAATCAATGACAGGAAGCAGGTACTCGTTTACAAGTAGGGAACTTTATCTCTTTTTATCTTTCAATGCTTTGCATAATGAGATGAAATGCGGAAATTGAGAGAGAGAGAGAGAGAGAGAGAGAGAGAGAGAGAGAGGCTTACATGTCTGCTTAACTGCACCAGAGGACCAAGCTTGGTCTTCGACGCATCTCCTCCAACTAAACTGCTAATAATAATAATAATAATAAGACTGTTGTTGGGATGAGGAAACAGAGAAAGATAAAATTTTGTTTTTGCTAAAGAGAGAGAGAATGAAAAAGGGTGGAGACTCAAACTCCAAAACAACCCTAGAGGGAGAAAAAATCCCAGGCTAGAGAGAGAGAGACAGAAAAAAAAAGGACAGAAGAGACTAGACTTATGTGAAGAGAGAGAGAGAGGGAGGAGAGGGATCTGACAGAGAGCGTAAAAGGAGGGCACGCGAATGGAGGGCCAAGGAGGCAAATGCAGACCACAGCCCAGCAGATGACGTCGTTTTAAGGGGAATTTGCAATATCATCAAGCCACAAAACAAAATCAAAAATAAATAAAACAAACAAGAAAAGAAAAGCTAAGGTCTACTCTACTACTGCTCCAGTACTGTGTTGTATGTCATCTTCACCTACCATGGCCCCTGCCTCAACGACTCAACGACAATTCAAAACTCACACACATAAAAACATAAAAATCAAAATGAAAACTAAAAAAGCTGCAAACTTTTGCTATAGAGAGAGAGAGAGAGAGAGAGAGAGAGAGAGAGAGGCGTACGTTCGATTTCAGCGCTTATATCTCCTCCTTTGTTTCATTTGGCGTCGTTGGGTGGACCGTGGATCATAATATTTCATCAGTGTTTCGCGGGAGTAAGCATAGCTACTACGATTACGTGCAATTATTATCATAATAATACAGCTAACGAGACGCAGAGAGGTCTTTGGGCCCATGGGTCGGGCATTGGGTACGTGGGCCTTGCCCGTGTTTCATGATTCGGGTGATTCATTCACCTTTGATGCCACCTGCGTCAGGGAAGGTGGCAAACGTACTATGGAGGATAGGACCGCATTTTTCACATTATTGGGTTGCGGGCCATATCATTGCACGTGTCTCGTTTAAGCACCTTTAGGTCACATTTGATGGGTTGGACTATTTTATTCAAAATTACAAGAGTATTGCTTGTTAGTGAACTGAGTCTAGTCCAATGGTAAATAGTTATAACTATCAAATAAAAGGTCTTTGATTCGAAACTTCATGGCACTTTAGTAGTGTCTACGTGAGAAACCTTCATTTCTTTTAGTTTAGACTATCCCTCTGTTTGGTGTGTTGAGACTGTACTTCTCCAATTAAACATCCGTCCAACAAAGCATGTGTCTCGTCTAAGCTACTTAACAACTCGTTTAATTGTTTAATATGTACAAGAATCATGACAATTGTTTAATATGTTGAGACTAAATGTGTGAAATTGGATAGCAATATAACATCTTGTGTCTTACAAATCTTACATAGAAAAATAAAACTTATAACGATTGGCTTGGACTCAACTTCAATCCAATATAACCCGACCATTAAACAAGACAAGACCTTTCGCAACCTTTCAACAAAATTAAGCTTAAAGTTGTAATCGGTCAAAGTATAATGCATGAATCAGTAACGTCACGCACAATAATTTTTCATTATTGTTGTTATTTTGTATGATAAGAGGGGTACAATTATGAGCATGGAACCCCCATGCATGCTGTGAGATCTGACCGTCGGTTGAAGAAGGGGGAAAAGATGAGAATGAATGAATTCCAATTCCATTACGTCAGGATGCTCACAGAAGAGACAGGGGTTGCTTGGGTTGGGTTCCTCTAGGTAAAGCTCGCACCGTCTTATTCAGCACCCCATTCATATCATCCATCTCCATCGCTCTGCTAAACAAAGACCTCCTACGATCCTATGGTCAACAGTGTAGATGATAGAGTAGGAGAGCAGTGCAGGGAAGCAGGCGCAGCAGGGGATGAAAAAGGAGAAAAGAGAGAAAAAGCCATCATTAGGACGGGGTGGGCCCCAGACGAGGTGTGGTGGGGGGGACTGTAGTCCGCGTTTCACGGCACAAGGAGACGAGTCTGATTGAGACGGGACCTTCTGACCCTGCTCAGAACCTCCCTCAGTTGTCAGTGATACGTTACGTCCCTTTTTTTTTGCCCTTTTTTCCTAATTTTAATAATTTTTTAAATAAATAAAAAATGCCCCTTTCTATCTCTCTCTCTCTCTCTCTGTCTTTTTACTCTTTTCTGGGTCTTTTAGTTTCGGGTTGACAGCGCCAGTGAGAAAAAAAACCCTACCAGACGAGACCACCACTTGCCAACTCACATTCTTTTTCTCAATCTCCCCCCCTGCCACCACCAGTCCACCCTCCATTTACTCAACTTACCCCCCCTCCCGCTCCCCTCATCCTCATCACTGATGAGATTCCCCTCTGCCTCCTCCTCATTATTTCTACATTATACAATATATATATTTGTGGCAAATGGAAAACCAAGCAAAACAATTGATCATTTTGTCTTGCATTGCATTGTGTCTAGGCCGTAATTCTTCTCTTGTCCTTATATAAAATGAGAATTAAATATAGTGCCAAAGTCTTTTTGTTTACTGCTTGTTGACTTGGATAAAGTTTAGGGAGCTTTCTTCAATGGGTTATATATTATAATACACCAAAAACTATATGCTAAAAACTACAATAAGGTTGAAAGCGACACCAAATAATAATAATAAATAGTTGAACTTGGGGGAAACCAAGAGCCAGCGCTTGAAGGAATTTTAGAAAAGAGGGCTTGATTAGGTTTTAAAGGTGCGGAGAATGTACCTTTGATGATGGTCCCATATCACATGGATCTTCCCGGCAATATTGATCAATGCTCCTACTTTAAGGCAACACTCACCTCCCTTACTTTATAAAGTTATTGGAAAATCACGACATGATTTGGAAGTCAATTATAATTATGAACTTTTTGTAAGTGATTTGGAGTTTAAATGGTTAAGAATATTTATTTGTGCATTCGAGATTTTATGTTCGATTCTCTTCTTTCTTAATATCACTTGTATACAAATTTAAAAAAACACTATAAATCTTCTAATATATCAAAATACCGCGACATAATTTGAGACTGAACGCTTATAATAATTAAGTTTGTTCTTCACACATCAGAGAATTGAATGAGTTTATGATTCCTTTCTTCTGTCACTTTCCAAGTTGAAATTAATGATAATTTCAAATGAGACCTTTTTTATCCTGTTGGAGATTGGGTTAATTAATTTTTTTTACTGTAGAGGTGAGATACGACCTGAAGAATCACTGTTGCAGAAAGTCGCTGATTTCCTTGTCGTTTTTGCTAGAGTAGTAGCAGTTTTGCAGTGCAGCGAGAGCAGAGGGGTGGGTTTTGATGAGACAAGTACAGCAGGAGCTACAGAAGGGCAACCTTGGAATTTTATAAAAAATTCCTGAAATGACACATCGAAGCATCAAACATAACATTTATATATCTTTGTATAAAATTGAGGGGAGATCCGCCCCTATAAAATCTCCGCCTCTGAGCCCCCTGACCCTACCCTCTGCATTTTTCTCTGAAAAGCTA